CCGCCGTTTTCGGCCTGAACCAAAATCCGCGCTGGATCCACACCCGACCCAAGGTACCGACGGTGCTTGCTGACGTTGTCCGTGGCCAATCCAAGGGCCGCATTTAGGTGGGACACGGACCGCCGGTCCAAAGGTGTGGACAGATTAAAGGCCGGCCTTGGAAAATCAGAGTCCTTATGTGCGGCAGGTGATGCTGCGACCATAGCAAAGATGTTCATCAGTCGTTGTTTCCAGCGTAGCGTTTGCACATGAATCGGAGCGTCATCTCGCCGTTCCACTACGAGCGGCCAGAAAGATGGCCGTTTGGCATTTAGCGGGCCCCAAAAAGCACCTAAAGCGCACTCGTTCCTCAAGAGACATGGAAGGGACCTCGCGGGAATCATATCGTGCCTGAGATCGGTCGGGAACAAATATTGATTCCATTTCTATAGATGTCTTAATATCTGGAATACGATTTGTTCCCGCGCCAATTGATGCACTCGAAATTGATAGGTCTTGTGCATCCAAGTCAATCTGGCAGTGTGTTCAAAAAAAGGCGTTCAAATATAGGCGACAAATGAGGGGTGCCAGATTCAAAACATCGTCGAGAGAATCTTCTGGTGTGCAACTTTGGCCGAACGGGCCTGGATCTCAGCAGTCAGCGAAGAGAGCCAGAGCGGGTTGTTCGATTTGAGATTGGCCGGGAACAAATATTGATTCCATTCCTACATATGTCTTAATATCTGGGATACGATCTGTTCCCGTGCCAATGGCTGCACCCGGTCCTGATAGGTCATGTGCATCCGAGTCAATCTTGATGCGCTTGATATGTGCCGAGATGCAGTCACGACGCAAACAAGCTTGTACATAGAAGCATCTCCAACATACCGTTGCAGCATCCAAATATAATTCGCCGCTTGCATAAGGCATGGCCGAAGGGCGGCCCACTTGCATGAGGCTTCATACTAGTTAGTCATCACGATTCATTGATTCGGAGCTTCGGACACAGTCTGATTCATATCTGATACTGCCGAGTCTGAATATTATTGAGAACTCACGAATCCTGCATCGGAGGCTACTTAGAAGCTGAAAGTCGATGGAAAAGGTTTGATTACCTCACTCCATTAGTGAGTGTATCATTCTTCAGGAACAAGCATCGGACGTTTGAAGCAACCGTTGCCATTAACCTGAACTTCACGACCCTACTAAAAACTTAATAAGTACTATGCACAGTCGAGCAATTGATGTACCTGGCCTTGCTCGTCGACAACTGTCTGCTCCTGGCTGCATCCGAGAGCACGCGCTGCGAATCCGTCTTGAGGGCCCACTTCCTGCCAAATATCATCAGTCATCGTCAAGGCTGGGGACCAGGCCGCCATGTGATACAACACACAGAAAGACGAGCAATGCTAGCGCGCACATCTGGGCCTTCAACTAGTACGTACTGTATCCGCATCTTGGTGAAGTCACTAACTGCAAGCTCTATGCTGCAGGTACGATCGCATATTCACCTCTGGAAGCAGTCGTGGGGACAGCAGATGCTCTCCCTCAGAGTCTTGCAAGAAGATGATGCGGCGACGCTTCCTGTCAAGCGCTTGCCCTGTCAATATCATGGGGCTGAGGTCCTCTTCGAGAGAATCTTCGCCTGACAACCTCTTGCCCACACCGCCATGCTGCTGCTCAACTAAGGGGCGGCGAGACGGAGCCACCTGTGAAATTCGACAAGTGCAGGATGTCAAATATGGATGCAAGCAAACCCCAGTGAGCTTCCATTAGCAAAGGGTGCTGCGCCGCATACAGCCGTGAAGCATGACCCTCGAAAACTTGATGTTGTTCATGCTTCAATCAAGTTAGAGGCACACCCATGACAACCAGCTGCAACAAGTCACTGCCAAGCTTGCACAAATAGCCGCCTTCAGGCTTCCGTTCTTACCTTGCGTATGCACGGTGGTGGTGTGCTAAATCCCTTCTTGAAAGCGCTGCCAGCGGTCCAAAGGAACGGAGAGGTAGGTGAGAACCCCTGGACAAGTATATAGGGGGACGAGAGTAAGTGAAAGTGCTCGTGCGTCAGCCGTGCCTGAGATCGATCGGGAACAAATATTGATTCCATTTCTATAGATGTCTTAATATCTGGGACATGGGACACGATTTGTTCCCGCCATATTCATGAGCACAGCAGCAACTGGTCTAGAGACCCATTTTATGAATGCAAGGTCACGCTAGACTGCACTCTGCCAGGATGCTAGAAGCAGACTAATGCGCGCCTAGAAAGAATCAAACTGCGAAGTCCCTGATAGTCTGGCCCATGGATGTATATGGACCTGGGATAGAGCAAGGCCTGCCAACCACATTGAAGCAATGTGTGAGTGACTCACCAGAGCGCGGCTCTTCTTGCTCTTCTCAAGACGTTTCGGCAGTTGAGCTGGGCTGAGACTGTTTTCATTTGTGAGAGCCCGGTAGAAGTTCGGGCCTTGGATGCTTGCGGAGTCTCCATCATTCAAGAAATCCTCTAGAGAACGTCCAGACTTGGACCCGTCAACAGACCGATCAGCGTACTCAACACCTTCAATGTCCTCGCCTTGGGTTTCTTCAGAAGCAGATGAGCCGCTGGAGAAGAGAAAAACAGGCGCACATCAGCTGACTGTTGACCAGGGTTGGCATGAACAGCGGATGGCATTTTGATGTCATCTTTTCGTGCAGCTTATCAATCTGTGACTTGCAATCGAGCTGGCGGCGCAGATTTAGCTCGAAGCCCCCCATCTCCACTAGCAGGATGGGCGACGCACCCCGCTGCCTGACTACGCTAAGCCAGTCTTGTGACTTTCTTCACAAATGCCTCTCCATTCAAAGCTGTTCTTGCTGTGGATGGGAAATGTATTGGATACAGCATGTCACTTGATGAGAGCATTCCTTTCACCTTCCGTGGCTAGTGGATTGACCAGAAGACTAAGAAAGAGCTTTTGTGTTCAGTGCTTTGCAGACAACATACGAAGAGGCAGACTTTCAACTGCACAACTCAGCTGACCACCCCAGTCCCGGCAGTGTCAAGGTCACCTTTCAAGAAGGGGAAGAATACCTTTGTCCTGCACTTGCAGGACATGATTGCGAAAACTAAATTTCCAGATTCTGGAACGAAGACCATCAAGAAGGCTGCCCCAGAGAAAGCTGGGTTAATCAAGTGCCCCAGAAACACTTTAGAAGGGCTACTAGAAATCTGTTTTTGGTGAGACAGCGGGAATTCTGAATGTATGAAGAAAATAGTGCTGAGGGAACCCAAGACTATGCACTGCGGATCTCAGCAATTCTGCTCAGGACTTTGCATACTTTTGGCTCACTGTCGAAAGCTTCTGCAATTCAAACTCCCAAGAAATCCGTCAGAAATTGGTGCCAACTAGATTGACCGAAACATTCCCCCAGCCAGTTCGTGTGTTTTTGCTTCACCAACGTTTCTCAGTCCCGCCTGAAGGCACTCGAAAAAGTCCCACAGATTTGCTGCAACTCGCAGTATTGAACGTCGTCCATGGCCAAGCATGGAACTGCTTTTCAACCTGGCTGCATAATTCTGGTGTTTGATAACCCAAACAAGCAATCAGTCAAGGAGGAGGTGCTAGGTAAAGTTCCTCCTTTTCTTCGTATAAGTAAGATTAGTGTCCGGCATCAACAACTTCATGGTCGAGGACTGTCATTGTTTTCAGAGTGCAGCTGAAGACCACTGCTCAGCATGTTTGCCCAATGTACTTCTTGCCACCAGGTGGCACAGCGTCCCGGCTTGATCTGATCTTGAATCTGGCAGACAAGTCGTCTTTGCTTGTAACAGCGCTTACCTTTCCCAATGGAAATGCAGGTTGGAAGCCATTGCCCGCAGCTCGTAATTGCAGCTTCAATGGTGGTATTCTCTGCCAGTTATTTTGATGGCGCTGCTCCTATAATGCCAATGGCTTGAAGCTGAGTGTACTTGGAGCTCAGTTTTGGCAGCTCAACGTGGGGTTCAATGATGCTGGTGACCGCAGATCAAGCAGGCTGTGCACAGTTGCTGATGCCCAACTGTGGAGCTGCCCAATTGCTGGCAGCCGGCGCTTCCACCCTGGCAGTTCAGGCCGGCAGTGTCAAAGTATTCTATGGATAAAGCGAAATTAGTTAGAAGTGACGCTGAGGCTGGAAAGAACTTGCGGCGGCTTGGCCCATTTGTGCATCTGCAAGGGCCAAGACTGAGCACCACCCACAGAGGACGGTGCAGCAAGTCAGAACGCACAGGAAGCTACCCCAGCTGACAACTCGGCGATCTTGCTCTTTGCCTTGAGCTGCACTCTAGCGACGGCCAGCTCGCTTATTCTGCTGATGGATGCTGGGAATGAGGCTATACGTTCGGAACTTCGGACCTTGGTTGGGAAATGAGAATTTACGTTCGGAATATTGGAATTTATAGGCCCGCATTGCTGCAACACGGGACGGTCCGGTCGGTACGGGCCGACCAGAAAGCCCCGACATTCGTTCACGTATACGGAGGCAAACTCCGGAATTTGATTGTGCTTCCACGTGGTGGAATGTGAGGGCCGCGAAGCCTGGCTTGCGTCCACGTATATGTCCAGATCTGTCCAGATGCCGTGCGTATATATGGCTTTGGGATTGCACTGTCCCGCTCGGGAGCAGAGCGGGTCGGGACGGGACGATCGATCGAGCCACCGGCCGGGACGGTCGGGGGGACACGTGGCGGCACGGGAGTGGGCGGTTTTATGCCGGATTTCAGATGGTTAGTTGCCGGCGGCCCCTGTCCGACGGGCCCTGCCGGTTTACAGGTGACTGCGAATGTTTCAGTGACAATAAGTGACGGAAAGGCAGCCGGCCGGCCAAAGCTTGGATACAACTTGAAGCTCTGAACAGGACACCATCCTAGCAATGCCATGCACTGGAGACAATTATACATCCCGCTTCCATCAGTATGGATCAGGACGCGTACCGTACATGTGGGGAGCAACCCTTGGTCTGTTAATCTAATGGTACTAGGTGCATTCGATCCAACAGGGATCCAACGAAGGTTGACGTGGTTCGATGGCGCCGGCCGTGAAGGCTATGGTTGATTGTACGTCAATGAAGATTCTACTCCAAACTAGCGTATGTGCAATAAGCAGACGTTTGACTTGCATTGACACACGTCTACAGGAGACATTGCAGAACTCAAAACATCATCACGTCAACCCCTTAATCACAATGTAACAACCGTACTGCGGACAAAAAGCCGACCTTCTCTATTTCTGCCCACCCAACTTCTTCTCCCTCTAACCACTGGACTTCGTCAACCTCTGGCCACCCAATGGTTCGCGGCTCGGAGTCCCCCACCCGCTTGCTAACCTCTCCTTCCGCCTCAAGCTCGTCCCTTACACACTTCCCACCCGCCTCCGCTTCCAACTCCCCCTCTAACGTCCTCCTAAGTCTATCGACAACCACAAAGGGACTCAAACTGTCCTTCATGGCGTCAAAGTAGGGCACCATGTACTCATAATCTTGCTGTAGAATCTCGCCTATAACCCGAACTCCCGGGGGCCCCCACGCTGTTGCGAAATAACCTTCTAAGACTACCCAGTGCCTAACTCTTTCTGTCAAAGAGGGGCCTTCAAGATCCTGTTCGGGAGAGGTAGTTGCGTCTCAATCGCTGCCAAAAAAAGGTAAACCTTATTTGAATTTACGGTCCACTGACATCTTCCAAGGGCCAACGCGCTTCTGAAGACAGGCTGAAGCGCTTCTCGAATTGTAGAGTACATGTTGAAGATAATCAACGAAAACAAAGGTGAGCAGAAGCTATGCAAGGACCAACACCAAAGAACCACGGGCTACTCACCATCTTTCCAATGCGCTCGTCTATTGCCTTGAGCGTGGCCCGGTCCTCGACTTTGCCCTTATTCAGTGCAGCTAACTCCGACTTTATCGTCGCCATATCTTCTTCGCTTCCAGTTCCGCCTAACCCTGATTTTCCACAAAAGAGTGCTAATAAGAAAGGGCGTAGCGAGCTGCGAAGACACTTTGTTGAGTTGGGACAATAAAGCTTAAAACATTGCAATGTCGTTGTTTGGAAACACCTGATCAAGTGCGAACTCAGCAAACGTCAAAACCGTACAGTTTGATAAGGAACACCCGCGCCGAAAAGAAACTTATTTGGGGCTAGATATACTGCTCCGCTGAACATTATAAGAATGTCTGGTGCCAGGTCTCGGGGGGAGCAATGAGCTGAGAGATATTCAATTACGAACGCGCAATGACCATTGGGACCGATTCTTCTGTGCAGAACACGGCAACTCGGTTTAAGTGGTGGCTGATGACGATGTGACGGCCACCAGCGGCAATAGCGCAATCATTTAACGTGGTTAGCTTCTCAACCTGGAAAAGTCTAACAAGCTTTGAAGGATCCAGGTGCCAATTGTCTAGGCTGACCATGTAATGTGTTAAGTCGCACCCTGGCGAGGCAGAACTGCAGGCGAGATCTCGTGACTGTCCGAGGCATGTCAAAAAGATGGGATAGAGCATGAGTGTGTCTGACTTGCAGAGCACTTCATATGACATGGCGTCAGCTCCGGATTGCAAGAAGCACAAAATAATAGGCTTCCGCACATGGCAGCGCCCTATTTCACGCTGTCCACAACGGCTTTTGTTCGTCTCATAATCGCTCCTATCACCCAGAGTTACAACCGTTTAAGAGCTCTGATCGAACGTCCATCTCAGCTCTGGGGCTTCTCAAGGGCCCCTAAAGCCTGAGAGACCCGCTTCCAGCTTGTCAGCAGATAAGCTACTAGATCTCCAGAGGTAATCGAGTGAGATGCTAGCCTTTTTTAAGTACATGAGTCTGAAATAAATTGCACATGTTCGCATGAAGTCAGTCAAGATACACCTTTCCGACTCACGCGATCCAAAGTCGTAGAACCCCGCTGTGACCGGCTCCCCTTTCATCGGCACGTAGTCATCCACTCGCCTCACAAGCGCTCCCGGTCTGACAAGCAAGTCCAGCATCTCCAGAATGTCACCAAGGGCTTCCCCGGACTTGAATTTGTAGTCTTTGCCGTGGGCACGGACAATAACCACCTGCAGATCATGGCCTCTTTAGCAAAAAGTCTCGGCTATCCTTTGTTGACATACTTGATCCCCTATATAGTTGGTCAGACATCACACGGAGGACGGCTGGTTTGCAGGCTGAGCTTGAGCCTGAGCATACCCGTTCCTGAGATAAAATAACCGGTCAAATCCTGGCACCAAACCCCGTTTCGAGTACAATGTCGACCAGCAACAGTGCTGCACAACTGGAAAGCTGGACTAGGCGTGTAAGCTTCTTGATGCTAGTGATTGAAGGGAGTGTCTGGATACAAGGGCCCCCGCCTTCATAAGACAGGTGCAGTACCATCATACTCATAAACTTTACCGCAAAGAAGATGGTCTTTCATTGTTGCCTGTGTCTGCCCTTCTACAGCTGATCTAGCGATGCTTGCTCCAATCTGAAGGCTTTCTGCGGCACGTCTGCCTTGACCAGAAGCTCACAAGCGCACATAAAGTAGGAACCAAAACTCTGGCAATCAAGCTTTGACACGTAAGCTTGCAAAGCAGATGATCGAGAAACTGCTCCATCCAGTCAAGAAATGCACAACCGAAGGATCAATCACGTGGAGCCTGAGATACCTGTACACTGACCGAAGTAGGACAATAAACTGGGAACATAAAGCCCCAAACATTGAGAGAACGTCAGCAGAGACAACCACGGGTAACCTCTGTTACTGAGTATACGGGAACAACACACCTTCTCCGGACCAAGTTCGTCTCCCTGCTCGATAATCCTTCCAACTCCCCCCAATCCCGCCTGGAGCCGAAATCTTTGTAGGCGAGGTCGTTGCGCCTGCTGCTTGAACGGGTCAGCCACAAGTTTTCGACCTGGACAAATCAAGATACCACGTGCTCAGTATGGCTTCCCAAATACTAAGGAGGCTTCAACATCATTGTATTTGTGTATCAAAACCCAATTTGAAGGGGAGGAGAACTTTTGCAGAGAAGAGCTGATTGCAGGCATGCAAGGCTGCCAACAGGCCACAAGAGTGTCCCTGCTTGAGAGGGTTCACTTGGGCGGAGTTGCAATCAAGCATGATTGCATTTTTATGGCTGCTATTATGTCTGGTTGAAAATTGCAGCGCACACAAATGCCACAGAAGCGGAATTTTGAATCATTGTCCTGATTGAGTCTGGATGGGTGTGCTGCCACCAGTGCCAAAGTCTCTTCACAGGACTGAACAACCTGACAAGACATCGACAGATCCGGGACCGCGGATAAATTACAACAGCCATTTCTCAGTTTCTTATCAGACTGTAAGCTCAAAGCTTCAACATGAAGTTCCTGAAGATCCAATTCAGCACGATTTGACCACCAGATATACTTTCTGTCGCCAGCTGAAACAATACATGGACTTGCGTGTTGCCACCTTTTGATCCTACTTGTTACATCGTCTGCCACACACATTTGAAAGTTTGAGAACCTTGTGACATCTCTCTACTGCCTGGTTTCAACTTCTCTACAGCCAAAACCCAGCCTCTAACAGACACTCTGCTGCACGCCAAGTCTCCAATACCATCTCAAATTTTTGAAGCTCATACTCCCCAGGTCGGAAGCTAATAAAACTTTATGCACACAAGACTCTCCTCATCCTCACACAGGAATCTCCTCAACCGGCACTCCTCATAAATCGTTTTCTGGAGTGCATGGGAAGCGCAAATAGGTACCTAGAATGGCTCGCATGTGGCTCTCTGCTTCTGCCGGGAAACACTGGTGGCTGAGCGCCCTTCCCCCGGCCTGGGCGCCTCCCACAGCAACCACCGCCGACATGGGGATCCAGCACCCCCCGCAGCCGAAAACTTCAATCGCAATCAGTTCCTGGCCCAGCTCCTGGCCCAGCAGAGTCACAGACTGGGAGACATTCTATTTTGTCTCCGCACAATATCGCGTATCAAAGCCAGCAACTCTCACAGTCCGCACCTCATCCAAACATTCTGCAGGCAGCCAGAAGCACAGGTTCCTACCCCTCGAATTGGATCTTCTGACGATGGAGGCGATTTGTAGAGCTGCTTACTTAAAACACTCTTAAGTTTTGCCCGGCAGAAGGATATGGCAGCAAGAGAACCTTCTCTCATTGTCCATCACGACACGACTCGGAGTCGGACTCAGAGCAAAAAGGCCTGCATTAAACTCTGACAGTCTCAAAATCGCGGCCGCGTTGAGGAAACGTCGCGGCCGCTGGCATGGCATTTCTAAGGAGGACTCGATCAGCTTTCTACTCCGCAGCGACAGATTCCATCATTTGAGAAGCAGGAGGAGGCGCACCAGCCGCAATGGCGTCCATTCGCTGCTGCCGCCCCTTCCTCAACTTCTCTCCTGCAATGAGCCACACCCAAGCGGGTGCCCAGGCGACATTGCGTCCCGCTGCATTCGCCGCAGCCTTTTCTAGAGGGGCCCCCTCGCAAAGCTTGCGATCACATTCTAGTTTTTCAAATTCTCGAGCCACCTCCATTACCGTCAGCCCACGTTGCCAGTCATGTGCTACTCAAAGCTCGTTCCTCCCTAGCTCAGATCTCCACTCCCTCTCCAGCCAACGGCACGGCGCCACCTGGCGGTTCCTCGGCCGCCGATGTTTCAGCACAACTAGAGTGAGCATGGGCCTAACAACGGGCATTGTGGGGCTGCCAAACGTGGGAAAGAGCACACTGTTCAATGCGCTCGTGGAGAATGGAAAAGCGCAGGCGGCCAACTTTCCGTTCTGCACCATCGAGCCGAATGTGGGCATCGTAGCGGTGCCGGACTCGAGGCTTCAGGTGAGACCATTTTAGGGTTTTGGGTGGTCAAGCATGATGCCGAGCACCACACAATTTGGAATGAAATTTTGCGCACTTTCTTGGTCAATTGGTTTCGTGGACAGCGTCGATGGGTACGGTGATTGAGAGTCCGTTGGCGTGGATCACACAAGCTTATGGGTTTATTTGTGCTTGCAATGCCGTCATGTTTCTCATGACAGTGCCAGCCAGCACTGGCAGCCACTGTCTCTTTTCTTGGTCTCCGTATTTTCTGCCAATGGAAAGCGAACCGCTGGATTCGCCATCAGGTTTACATATTTCTTTCCTTCGTAGTACAGGGGTGGATGTGTTGTCCTTTTATTTGGATTGCTTGCAGACAGCAAAATTCAGAGAGGGGACAATTTGATAGGAACTTCAGAGGTGTTGGAGAAATTGTAAGAGCTCGATGATGGTTTGCTTGAGAGCGGGGAGCTGTCAGTTGTGTACCGCTTTCGAAAGCCGTACCAACACAGGAAAATATTATCTACATATGGTCAACGACTTATACGATGCGGAGAGTGGTAGGCTCCAATTGTGCTTCGTAGCTGCTGACAAGGCAAGGGCCCTTGCGGATGCATCAAGGTCAGCAGCCTGACAGAAGCCTTCTACTCTACTTCTATAGCTGTGCTGAGTTCGGCGTAGTTGGCGGCCTGAAGGGCATCCAGAGCGTTGAATCATCAGGTTTTTGATGACCATCTCACTCAATATCTAAATATCCCCGTGAAATTCTTCTCTCGTGCCCCCAGCCCGGAATCATCGCACTGGTCTCAAACAGCAATCTACAGACCCCAATGATCGGGTCCCCCACCCCTGCAGGTGCTCCAAGACCTGTCCAAGTCCCAAAAAGTCGTACCCGCAATCGTCGAGTTTGTGGACATTGCCGGGCTCGTGAAGGGCGCGAGCAAGGGCGAGGGGCTCGGAAACAAGTTCCTCTCACACATCCGCTCAGTAGACTGCGTCGTCCAGGTAGGTTATGCATCAAGGTTTGTAACTCAGGGACTTAGCATAGTGTTTTCCGTGTTCTTAAGATCATGGCATTGCCAGAGCTTTTAGCTGTTTCTGAGTCCTGTCCCGGCTGGCAGCTTCGCAGATAAGTCTGCCAGCAGACTTTGAAAGGAGGCGTCAAAAGATGACAAGAATCACCAGGTTTCAATAAGGGGCGCGGTCGAGTCACGTGCACGAGCTTTGTTCTTTCAGTTGTTCTTCGTCCTACTTCTCGGTTCTACGAAAGAGACGGCTCTAAACTCCATGTGTTACGGCGCAAGATCTTGACAATTGTGCGATAAGTTTTAGTGGGCGGTATCCTGAACCCAGGTTAGCTTGAACGAGCGGCAGCTTCTTTACCTGACAGGAGGAACAAAGGGGCGAAGAACAGCAGGCTCATCCCTCCAGACGCGACATGCACATTGGAATTTCATTTCCTAGTCGGTCTTCCATCGTACCGTTGGACTTAAATTTTCACAAGCGTGCAAACCGATGCGGCAGGGGCGCTGACGTGTGCAAACAAGAATTTGCCCTGCAGGTGGTGCGCTGCTTCGAGGACGATGACGTCATCCACGTGAACGGGCGTGTGGACCCTGTGGAGGATATCTCCGTCATCAACTTTGAGCTCGCGCTCGCAGATCTGGGCCAGGTGGGAAACACCGCTTTTCTCTCACCCCCCGAGAAAGTTTCTTTCGGATTAGATTCACGGGGTTTGATTCTCTAGCCATGTGCTCAAGGTCTGTATATCTCAGAAGATGAGACGGATCCTGCGGTTTGATGGAATCAAGAATGGATGAGGGAAAGCAAAAAGGTCTCAAGAAACCGCATGTGCGTGCTCATCATCATTCAAACCTTCCCTGAAAACACAGTCGAATCAAACTCTCCAAAAAGAGACACCATTGCGGATCCTGCTTCAGAGTCTGTTCATGATTTCATGCCTTCTTTGCGGAATGCGAGAGCTTGGGGGTGGATTATGTGGATTTGAGATATGTTTGGTCAAGGGCTAGAATAACAATCACTCTTACCACATTTTTCTGGGCTTTGCAGATCGAGAAGCGGTATGAGCGGTTGAAGAAGGGAGCCGGCCGCGCGCAGAAGAAGGAGGACAAGGCGAAAGACGACATGGAGATGGTAGCGCTCGAGCGGATCCAAGCCGCGCTGGAAGACGGCAAGCCTGCGCGTGCGGTGGAGCTATCGGAGGACGAGCAACCACTAGTGAGCAATCACGCTCTTGATCTTGCCGTTTCCGGTTCTCGTTTCCGTTGCTTATCTAAGACGCTCGTCTTCTGGATAATCCGCCGGATACTCCGTGGATTTGGTCGGTTCCGCTCCGTTCCATTCCGATCCGCTCAGCAGAAAAATGCGCCCAGCACATTTATTCCCTCAGTAGGCAGCTCGCAAGCGCCAAAAATGGCCTTTTGGCCGCACACAGGACGGATATCGGAACCAGTGGACGGCCTCGATGGCCCACACCACGGGATCAGGAAGTCATGTCTTCGTGACCTACTTCCATGCTATTTACACTCTAAAGCAACTTATAGATTCTTTCCGCCCAGGTGTTTCGCTCAGCCCTCTGCCCGTAAAGTCATCCCCGCTTCCTCTTGTCTTAAGAGGAGCCCAGAAAACAAAAGCCTTGCCGCTTATCGCACGAGTGCCAAGAATTTCTACTGATTGATATGACCCCGCAGACAGCGAGGTCGAATCGAATAAGGCCCACGTGAGCATTTATGTTGGTCAATAGGACACATGCAACAGCGGGCGGGCTGTGCTGCCGTGTAGCCGAAAACCTGATTGCAAATAACATCCGAGCCGTTTGATCGCCCCACAAGAAGTTTGCATGGCAATGAAATATTTCTTTGCCTTTGGGTCCGGATCGCGCTCGATGTTTCGCTCAATGTATTTCAGTATGATTTGCACTCTAATTGTGCTCATATGCGAATTCAGATGCCGTGCAGAACGGCAGATGGAAGATGAGCATTGATTGCTGGCGCTTTGTTCCTACTCCTCCCAAAACCGTCCTCTGGTCCGTTTTGACTTGCAGACGTTCCATCGTTCTTCATGCTCCCTTTTTGTCTTTCTTTTGGGTTTTCATTTCCTTGCGAAAGTTCCGGCCGTTTGCCTCATTGACTCCCAAGTCTCTGCGATACCTCATCTTGAGCACATACGGAAGTCAAAAATGGGGCGGCCAGCTCTCGTTTCCTGCCGTGTGAAGTTCTTTGTTTGATCCCTCTGCCCGCTTCGGTTTCAGGTCGATCAACTCCAATTACTGACGGCCAAACCCGTGGTTTACGCCGCAAACGTCGCTGAGGGGGATCTGGCCAATCCGGACACGAATAAGCACGTGCAAGCGGTTCGAGATCATGCAAAGAAAGAGGGTGCGGAGGTGGTTGTGGTTTCGGCACAGGTGAGCCCTTTATCTTTTTCTCGTGAAGGTTCTTGTACCACCGGCAGTCTCTTGTTCCGAGTGGAAAGTCTACTTCATTGCCGTGTAGCGGAGTAAAAGTTTCGGCTTTTCGTTGGAAACTGTGCTCTCCAAATACAGTACGATGTTTCACCAAGCGTGCACGTATGCCTGCTTTGCTCGACATCGCAATCGCGAGGCAAACAAGCACACCACGCTAAATCTTAGAATCACTCGACATTCTGACCTTTCTCTCGTTTCACGCCCACTCCCGGGTTGCGGTGCCAAGCCCCCGGTAACGTTCTGATGGTCAGATCCACGCACTTTGACATCTGCTGATTTGGGTCAAGCGCCTAACCGCAGGTTGAAGCAGAGTTGACCGATCTGGACGCCACGGAACGGGCCGAGTACCTAGAGTCGCTCGGGGTTACTGAGGGCGGGTTAGGGTCGCTGGTTAGAGCGTCTTACGCGCTGCTCGGGTTGAGAACGTACTTTACGTCAGGGGAAAAGGTGAGCCGCGGTTGAGAATCTTGTCTGCGTTCTGGGTTAGCGTGATCGGTCACCCGATTTGAGCTCGAGGTAAGCCTGGTTAGTGCGTCGTATGCAGAGTTTGTGTTGAGCGATTGCAAAACCCAAAAACTGTGTGTTTCCAGCAAAACGTGCGCCTGGCACTCATAAGACACCTTCGGAAGTCAAAGTTTCGCTCAGTCTCTATCTGGTTGTAATGCACCTGGAGCTCTCCTTTACAACCATGCTTAGTCAAGGGCCACTAACAAATTCATTTTATTGTACGCTTCTGGTGGAAGGGCACCTAGCAAACACCCAACCAGGTCTGCTTAACCAGGTCCCGTTAACATTGGCAAACAGATTAGTTCCTGCGCACAGGAAACGCGGGCGTGGACGATACACGCGGGCATGACGGCCCCTCAGGCAGCGGGGGTGATCCACAGTGACTTTGAAAAGGGGTTCATTCGGGCGGAGACTGTTGCGTACGACGCGTTTTGCCAAGCAGGGACTTTGAATGCGGCGAAAGACAAAGGGCTGGTAAGTAACTGTCACGTGGCAGATGACGTCGGCTGCTGATCTGTGGATTGCGATAGACAAATGCCTCGGTTTGAGAGACGAGTGTCTTTGCTCTCAGAAAGGCTGCTTTTGCGTTCACAGTCCCGTCAAGAGAAGGCTTGTCAATGCGCTTGCCTGCCTGACAGTAAGGCTGCTTTCTTTTTCACATTCATGTCCAAGAAACGACTTTGTTACGATCAGCACACTTCCTTGAAAAGGATTACGGATGGACTGACTTCGAGAGTCTTGACATCAAGGGATGACTGGCGGCTCGAGTACTCTCCGCCTGCTGTCTGTTACATTTGGCTGTTTCCTTGTTGGACTCAAGTGCTGGTTCTTTTATGGTTCTGTAGCGGATGCTGGTTCGCTTTCTCTTGTTCCGCTCTTGGCTTTTCCCCTCGTCTCAGTTTGCTGTGCAGCTTCGAACAATCTTGTTGAAGAAACGCGTCCCAAAGGTGTAGGTTTGTCGTATCAAGATTTTGCATAGCTCTGCGGACCTGTCAATCTGCAACATCCATTCCCAATGTCCGAAAGACGTGCTTTGACCAAGGCACGATTCTGCGCTGCAGGTGCGATCAGAAGGGAAAGAGTATGTCGTGCAAGAAGGGGACGTGATGTTGTTTAGATTCAACGTATAACAGCATTTGACCATGGGCGCACCTCCCGTGCGCCGCTTCTTATATTTCAGTTGAGCGCTGTCCGAAGATATGCACGGAAACCAATGTTTTTCACCAATTTTGAATGCTGACGAGATTTACCAAGCCCGTTGAATGGCTATATACGGAGACGTGAGAAATGGTGCCCTGAGGGCCTGAGCAAAAGGATTCCCCAAGAAAAGAAAGGGTTAAGAATACGTTAGAGATTTCAAAGACTGAGAGTTGCTTGGGAGTTTCTTAAGGAACGTCCAATGTGAGAAACAATCGTGGCAGATTGCCACTTAAACGAGGATGCAAGCTACATAAGTGCTCGAGTCCGCTGCATGAATGGCCTCTTTCAAGTTCTGCTCGCATGCGCACGCCGTGCAACGTCGATGGGCCTGGTGCCTGAGGCAACTTTTCGGGTCCACCATCTGTACCTGATTAGATGGTCTCTTTTCGTACTCGCCGTAGCCAAAATAGGGCATAGGCTTCTCGTGGCATACATGTATGGTGGTTGTGTGTCTGAGACCTAGAGCTCTACTCGACTCTACCAATCACGGTACCGCGGTGCACCAACCTGCCCGCCTTGGGAACCACCTGCAGGTACGTACCTGCGTGACTGTAGTAGTTGCATGACTGCAATGATTGACCAAATGATAGCACGGCGCTCGCGCACTGTGACTTTTCGGGCCTGCAACCGTTATTCTGACACAGACTCTGACAGCTGACCTCGTCCTGCCGTGTGATTCTGTGTAGGTATCTGAGCATCTGTGAGGCTAGCCTCTGTGTGGGGCTCCAGCTTCAAGCTTGCTGTATTTCCCTTGTGTGCACTTTGATGCAAGGAGAGGAGATCGGGGCATGTGCAGCTCGCATTGGCGCCCAAACTTGGGGTTCATCGGTTCTTGAAGAGTTGATGCTTCTTCAAGACCCCGTTTATTGAGGCTTTCCTCGCCCACATTGCAACCATTTCGACGGGGTGCTGGACTTGGCTGGGCGAAAGGGCAAGCTGTTCGTAGCACTTGATTGCAGTCCCACACTTAGCAGCAGACTGATCAACCACTGATTCGTAACGAGGTACAATTGCCAACTGTTGTGACACGCTACAGACAAACCCCTGAGAGCGGTAGCAGCTACCGCTTTGTTTTGGTGAGCTACCGTAGCTCACCAAAACAACAAAACCCAGAACGTTTGTGCCCACTTAGCGAATCCCGCATGGTTTACGAGCAGGTCAAAACGCCCTAAAAGATGGCCCTGAGCGAGAAACTAGAGGTGGTCCAGCTGCTGATGCGCAAGGTCCAGCTGTGCGCGGAGCTCGTGCGGCTGTCGGTGCGCTACCTGCGCAACCGCAGGCTGCCCGAGCTGAGCGACGAGCGGCGCAGCGAGCTGCGGTTGTCTAACTTCTTCATGGTGGGGCCTGTGGAGACCTCTGAAGTGTCTCATTAGAATAAATCTCTCAGAGTTGAAGGTTTGAGGTGTGCCCACATTGGCCGGGTTTGAGTTCTTCGGCAAAAGGAATTGATGGTCAGCTGATCTTTTGTGGACCGATGAAAGGAACTTCTGGCGAATTTTCCTTATGGGTTCGTCATTGATCCAAGGACCCCAACATTGGGGGGGCAATGAACTAGCTGCTCAAATCATACTCAAAGCGAATAGCCAATTGGTGTTACTTTTCGCCTTCGAAAGGAACGGGCTAAGCCCGTCTCGGGGAAAGAACGGGGCGAAAGGTTGGTTGGATAGAACCTCTTGCAAAGACTCATTGATAGGAAGTGCCCACATTTTTTTGAAAAAAGACTCAGGGAAGGGTTCAATCGCTTAAGTTTGCAGTGATAAGGAGAGCCCACATTGTCAAACAGATCAGTCCTTGGAGTTGCTATGAGAAGTGATTCTTGAGGGGACCTTCGTGGGCTTAAGTCGGGCCACATTGGTCGCAGCAGGCTGAGGAATGTGGGGCATTCGGCAGGTGGCACTCAAGTAATTCTTTGGGCGTGTAGTTGGAACTTGTCAAATGCCCCCTGAAGATTAGATCTGTACGACTGCAAGCTGCCCAGCAAGGAAACTCCGAAACAAGGCCTTTGAAAAGCAAGGTTTGCGGCCAGCTAGACCCAGTATAGAAATGGAGGCCCTGCCGGAGACGCCCAAGATGCCGCAACCGCAGCGCCAGGTGAACAAGGTTCTGACGAACCTGGTGGAGAAAGCAGTAGAGATTGGGGAGAAGAAGAGGCGCGGGCCCGGGGGGCTGGGGGAGGAGCAGGAAGAGACGGGGCCGGTGAGTTTTCTGAGCTGGTTTCGTTCTTCATGTATGGCGTTAACCGTAGCTGGTTGGCTGAGCTGCCCTTTATCCTTGGTTCTCAGGTCTATATTGGCGTTGTCGTCCGGCAATGGTGTACTGGCTTTTGCCGCCGTGTTTGATTGAATCAACAAATTTAAACTTGACAGAGGTTGAGGTGCCCATCTGAGGCTTACCCGTACATAAGGTCCTAAGAGAATTTTTAGAAAATTGGGTCATGTGTCAAAAGGGAATTCGAGCAGGTAATCTACTGAATTGTGAGGTGTTGATACTCGGACCAGAGAACGTGTCATAGCAATAATAAGAACGGGATCAAGACTGGGACCTCTGGATGCATAGGCTATTGAGTGGAGTGGATGGGTTCGGACCTCGGAATCGAAAATTCTCAAACCCTGAGATCTTCTCAATATCGCCATAGAGCAAACGTTGAAGTACAAGATCCTACTTGCAGGCAATTGAACCAAGCGCCCATAGCGAGCCCCTGGCAGCCGTCCGATGCCTCGCCCTCTCTTCCGATGAGCGCCACCTGTTCGCCGGTCTCGCTTCCGGCCACGTTATTGCCGTCAGCGCGACAACTGGCGGCACCATAGCGACCCTCGAAATCGGCGAGGGGCCCGTAAATGCAATCGCCCAAATAACCCTGCGCTCGACTACCGTGCCAGAGGGGGGCCTTGAAACCGCAGAGGAGGAGGGGGGGGGATCAGAAACGGAGGCGGTTGCCTGCAAGGTGCTCCTTGTCGCTGCTGGGGAAAAAGTGCTGTTCTTCAAAGGTCAGTATCTCTAGGCATTCCTCCGTGCTTCAGGTGCGACTCCTTGCTTCCTCCCTGTTTTCGAGAGACCAGATCATGGTAGATCAGACTGACCGGTAAGCAAAGATGGAGCGTTTCTTTGACGGCATCTTCAGAACCAATAGTGTGTTCCCTCATAAGCTTCAAGTCTTGTAAAAACTTTTGTGAGAAACCTGGTCGATGTTGGTGACTTCCCAGAATAGAGCTACACTTGAAGATCACTAATCGATACCGTACACAGGACCAAGTGCAAACGAAAAGGGGACTACGAAACGACTCTCGTTTAAGCTTCAAACACGCGGCTCTTTCTATACTTCCGGCTGCAAGTCATCCTGTCTTCAGTGCCCGTTTTGTTTGAGGAGTCATCCACTCGCCCCTAATACCAAAAGGTGGAACCATATTTCCGATGCACATAGGCTCTAACGACCCTTTTCGTTTGCATACTGCAGTGGTTGGTGTGCTCGAAGACAACACCTTCATCCAATTTGCAGCCGCGCAGCTGCCACGGGGCACCCACTCAGAGGCCGCCAAACCACCTCCGCCCGTCGCAGCTCCACCCCAACCCCTAAACCCCGACCCCGACCGAAACGGGGGGGACATTAAAGCCCTGGGACTAGCCCCCGACGCCGGACTGTTCTGGGCAAGCACACGGAATGGCGCCCTAGCCGTTTTCCCAATGCCTTCCCCGACCCCCCCCCACAAAGACACTGCAGAAACGCCCCCCGTCACGCAACTCGACGCAGTCTTCCTTCTCCCCCCTGATTCGGCGGTGGCCGCTGCTGGGTTCGCCCGTTCACACTCTGCTGCGCAGAGTCCAGCGAACGTTGTGAACACGCACGCACTGACCCCTACGAACGAGCTGGTTTGTTTCCTGCTGAGGACTGCTAGCTTCCGAGAAGGAGCCGATGCAAAAAGCCTCGCATCTAGTTACCAATGCGAGCTGTACGTCTGGTGGGGAGGCAGGAACCACATTCTCATGTACGACGTCCCCTGGAAAAGCAGTGCTTCTGCTAGTAAGAAAGAGGTCTCATGTGAGCCGAGAAAGGCGCGGGAGTGGACGATGCCTCACGGAGTGACAAGTGGCACGCTGTCGGCGGACGGGTCATTAATGGCGGTGGGAATGGGGGACGGGTCGGCGCTGCTTCTGGACCTGCATCTATGTAAGTAATTCTCGATTCTATGGAAAGTAAGCCCCATGAAGGGTAACAGCAACACCTAACTAAAAACTTAAACCCAAGGTTTAAACGCTCCGTTTCCATACCCACCCTAACCCCCAAGCTAACTTCACCCGTCCCATTTACCCTCCATGGACCTTATCCTTCATAAATGCGAGCGGAGTTCTATGTAAGTGTCGGACTTTTGTGAGACCCGGCCGTTTCTTTCGTTACGGTCTGGCTACTGCCTTTGCCTGATGCGGATGTCTAAGGCGGCGTTCTTGCTGTGGCCTGGGACTCTGGAACCGTGTAACTGTTTGCCAATTGTCAACAAGCGACGGCTCTGCGAAAAGATTGGATTGCGCTCGATGTGCACACGAGCTGCTTGTAGGCGACTGTATGTCGTCGTCTTCTCCTTCGTTTGTTGCACTGACTATCGTCAACGCCAGTTCATCAGTTGTTACCAATTAGATTGGAACCCTAGAGCCGCCTGCATAATGGCTATTACTCCGCTTCTCAACGGCTGAGACACGAGGAGTGCTTTCCAAAAGGCTCTCCGAGAAAAAAGCTTCGGTTCGCCCCATGAAGAGGTTGAGTCGTTCGATTGGTACCGTACGTTTGGCCTTCTCGGTGTATCTTCTTGACAGTTCGACGAATCATTTGGAGCATCCAAGGCCATCTTAATTTCTAACGTCCACGTTTCTCAGACGCAATGAGATATATAGCATGCAGAAGCGCTTCAGAAAGTCCGGCCCCCCCTTGCACACTCGATTTGACATCGATTTGACAACCGCTGCATCAACCAGCAATGCTCAAAGCCGCCGGTGATGCGGAACTGGTACGACCGCTTTATTTACTTGTCCGAACCGCCTCCTTTTTAATCGCGCAGGTCTCACTCACCGACTCTTCCAACGACTGGAAGGCGCCATAACGGCGCTCGCTTTTACGGGGCAGAGCGCCCACCGACCCCCAACCGGACTTGTGGTTCTTTCTTCCGGGGGGGAGCTGAAAGCGCACAATTTGACGGGGGAGAAAGCGGAGGAGAAGCTCGCGGTAGCGGTCAGGAAAGGGGTGACCGGGGTTGCGTGCTTGGAGGGAAGCTCGAAGGTGAGAGGCCTGCTTAGCGGTGGTCTTTCCGAGCTAAGCTTTAATCGTGCGAACTTCTGGATTGTCTCAGGATGAACACTTGGCAGTTGGCCTTTCGCCTTCGGAAAGCCGGTTCTAAAGAATGAGAACAAGAGACGGTTCAGAATTAAGAGGCAACCCTTATGTTCGTTGAACTGTTAGAAAGTTTCGTGACTCACCTTTCTGCGTTGAAGGTGCCGGAATCATCACTAGTACGAAGTACCCAGGATCTGAAAGCTTCTTTCAGATACAGTGACGGCTGGTTCCAGAAAGATTGAAATGTGGCGATAAGCGTCTGGGCCCATCCGTGTTGACAGTCCTTTCGACCGCCACCACTCTGCAGGCGGGCGGCCGAATCGTCTGCAGAGAGCGGAGGTTTCACTGTCCGCTTCAAGCGAGTGGGCGGCCAAGATTGCTTTTGTCAATTTTTGAAGCGCAAGTCCAGCTCACGGTATGATCATACTGCGATTGCTTTATACAATCAACTTCTGAGATCGAATCATTTCCTTGTGCAGGTACTCCTGTTCTCCGACGACGAGCGGCCAGCGCAGCTTGTTGACGTCAGGACCGGCGCCGTCCTCGGGAGCTTCGCCCCGGGGGAGGGCTTCGCCTGCCCACGATTTCCGCGGGACGGAACAACGGCTCAGCGGAACGGCGGAACAGCGGAAGAGCAAACCGGAGCAACGGAAAGGCGGAGGGAAGGACCGGCTGAACGGCGGAACCGGATGTGGGCATTTTCGGGGGGACACGTGCTTGTCCAGACTGCGCAACGGCTTGGGGGGCAGGTCGAGCGGGTTAAGGAAGGGGGGGAGGGCGAAACACATCCGGACGGTCAGACGGAAGGTGAGGGGGATCATCTGTTGGGGAGTTCGTATGAAGTGTGCTTCTGCATTTTGGCGAGCATGGGAAGCATTTATGGTGACAGTTGCTGACGTCAGGGGCTTTTCGTGAATTGGCTCATACTCAAAAAGTCAGATGATGGAAGTCTTTTCTAGAGTCCCTGCCAGCGCTCGCAACGTGCTTTCTGACAATCACTCGCAATTCCAGACCTCTTGTGTTGCGCTTTGACTGCCTCTCAGCCCTCTCTTTATATCATTGACAACAACGCTCGCAGGCGCAATGTTCAGGGGCAAAAAGCAGCGACTTAAGCCAGTCGCCGCGGTCAGAAAAGCAACTACATTTGAGGCTTTCTCGTCCGAAAAAATTTCTGTCCACGTAAAATGTTTTACTCAACGCACTGAATGCAACGCTCGCAGGGCCCGCGAATCCAACGGACCAACCCACGTCCAAAGGTGTTGCGGCGTCCGATTCGGACGCGCCGTCCGAATGCCTGGTGTTCCACAGCCTGCACAGCGGCGCGCTTTTGTCGCATTCGGACACTTTCGCGGGGCTTTTCAACGGGCCTCAGGTTAGTGCCTCGGTTAGACGGAACCCGGAACCGGTTTGTGGGAGTGCTTGCAATCAGAGCTACTCTGAAAAGCATTTCTTGGACCAGCGTTCAAGGGGGAGAGCATCCGCTTATGGCACCATTGATGTAGCTCGCACCGCAATGCCTTCTACACAAGATTGACCGCCTTCGTCAAGCCTGGCAGTCTGCAGGCCTCTTAAGTACAGTAAAGGGCGTTGGATGACAATTTCAAATATGAATTGCATGTAATTGTTTCGTCAATGAACATCCACATCTCCGCTCTAAGCCGTTTCCTCTTTTAAGCCCATCTCCGTCCACCGCACTGAGAGCGGAGAAAAAAGCCTATCCAATTTTAAAGAGAGCAATCTTCTTCTTTTCGTCGCAATAAGATGAAAGTGCGCTGCTTCGTTCACTTCTCAAACTTGAAGTAAGCGGATTCGTGGAAAGGCGGGATAGCCGACGTCTTCTCGCAGTCATGACAACTTATGAAATTCTGAAGCTCCTTCGCCCGCAGCTTCTCGAGAGGATGCTTCACGACTCCGCGTCTGTACGAGGAAAGCCTGGGGACGTCTCGCGGCGGGCCTCGAGTAAGCGTCCTTTTGCGCCAAGCTTCTCTCGAACGTCAAAAAGTCGAATTTTGTGGAGTCTTTCTACCATCCGTCCAGGCCTCCTTTGCAGTATGATCTTGCTCTTCATTCCTCAGTGCCTTGGTTTCTCAGAGAACGCTCTTCGGGGAGGGGCCGCTCGACTGGGCTGAAAAGGGAGTCGGAAGGTGATAAGACTTCTAATCTATCTAAATTACTGAACACACCAGGAGTAAGGACGTCGCGAGGTTTTCGCTAGTGACGTTCATTCTCGGATTCTCCATGCATCGTTTCAATGCGCTCCTTAGCAGGCTTGGGCGGCGATTACCTGTTTCAATCATTCCTGTCTACGCAATGCATTCGGCAGATCTCTCCCTGGTCCATCACCTCATACTTGTGAAACTTTTCGCTTTTCTGTGGCTGTTGAGCCCCCCCTTTGAAACCTCATCTCCATTTTTTTTCGCAGTTATGCAATCTTCGCCGCGTTCCAAATCCCGCCACGTGTCCACCTCGTTGCCGCCCACCGAGACCCTCGACCCCTCGGGCCGTCTCCCGTACCCTCCAACCATGTCCCGCCACGTGTCAGTCCACGAGGCCTCCGGCGACAGCCCCCGTAATCTGGGGCACTCATCGCCGCGCGCCTTCCCCTTCATCCGCGAGAATTCTTTCGTCGGTGTGAATAAGCCCCTCCCTTTGAGCCAAGCCTCCCTCGCTGGTGTGAACAAGCCCCTCGCCCAGGGCCAGCTATCGCTGACCCGGAACAGGGGCGCATTCACATCGAGCCCTCGGGGCGACCTCGCGAGCCAGAGCTCCCCCGGAGGGTCGCCGCGAGGGGGCCGTGTAAAGGCCGGGAGAATCGAGGGATTGCCCGTCGCGCAAAAGGAGGAAGAACCGCAGATAAGCGTTGGCTACCGGGACGATGTACCGGCCATGTTGAACCGTCTGAGCAGCAAGTAAGTGCCCGGTTGGAGTGGCCGGTTGGAGTGGCCGGTGTGGTTGAGCGTTCTTGAACCAAGTGCTCACGCAGAGGCTGGTCGAGACGAAACTGTCTTCAGCACCTGTGCTGATAAATTGTGTCGTACAGATCGTCGCCGGACCGTCTTCTGTCCCCAACTTTACATCTAGGGGATGACCTCGCCGCTTAGTAAGAGCCTTCAGATCCAAAAAGGTTTGCGTAAGCAACAAAAGCCCGTGGAAGCACAGGAGCGGAAGCACGGCGAGAATCCTCATCCGACGCAAAGAATTGGTTGTGCCGAGAATTGGAAATGCTCACAGTTGCTCGGTGCAAGGGGAATCCAAGTCAGTGGGGAAGGTTGTATGTTTTTTTCGGAATATATCAAAATAAATCAGAACCCCGATTCAGTAAGGTCTTAGAACGACTTCAAGCACGCTTTCGACTGAAAAGTCCCCAAATTAAGAGCATTTGCGCCCTGGAGAATCACACCATCTCATATGGTCAATATCGTGTGAAAGGTCTCCTTTTTCAGATCAAAACTGGTCTCGATCTTCTCTGCCCATACTGAAAAGCGTACTTAAAACCGGGTCTCGATGCATTCTAAGGACGGGCTGCTCTTGCAGGGGAGGCGGCCGCTTTGCCCGCGAGCAGCGCATGTGGCAGAGGCGGGAGGAGATGCTGCAAGAGCTGGCGACCAACAAGGTGGCAGCCCTCACCTAACGTCGCCTGAAACGGCCGCCCGGGGCTGAGAACCGCTAAATGTGACGGTTTGAGCGGACGTAGCGCGTAGGTATGACAGTATTAGCTCGAGGACAAACCAAAGCTTGCACAAGCGAAGCTGCCGGTAGAGGTCTGTCCAGACTGGAAAGATCTGCCCCTGGCTTTTTTAGCGACAGTGAGTATTGAGAAGCCTGTACGGGAATTGGGAGGTTGCACATGGCTGAGAAGCGTGCCCGTTGATGATGGACAGCTCTGTCGAAGCTATCTAAAATACCTACTAACAGCATATCGCTATGGTTTTGTGGACCGAAAAGAAAAGTGTGTTGAAATATTGGCTAGCTATCAGTGAGCCTGGATTTGCTCTAATGGTCTATAATATTGAGGTAGCTGCCGGAAAGTAAAATCGATTTGTTTATAGTTGGACGTGTTGTTGCACAGAGACCCTCCATCATCCTGCTTCCTTGTGCCTTTCTGCGGTCACAACCCTTCCAAGATCGCCGCCGGCGCGGCTGCCCACTAGTTAGTGCTAATCCTACTTTCAACAGTCTTCTAGATTGTTTCCCCTGAAAGTGTATAAGCTGTTTCGCTAGCGCACGTCTGCATGAATAGCCATCAGGAGAAGTTGACAAATTAGGTATGTACTAATGTAGCACACCGAGATGCGGTGAGGTAGCTCGGCGTTCAAGTGTCGAACATTGATTCCCATGTATGCCATGGAAGCCTATGGCCCATGTGGCTACGGCCTTTGAAAAGAGAACATCAAAGGCCGATCATAATAGTCGAACAGGTGACTTTCGGAAAGACAATTGCAAGGATTTGGGCGGCCACGCCACTAATATTTTCGAGCTAATATTGCAGTCCGCCAACCGGTTATATATGCGTATATACAGCCGCCATGCACAAATCGAGAGGATTGTGGCAAATTCTTACCATGTGACGGTCATACGGAGTACGCAATTAATAAGGAGATTCTGTTGTACGCGCAGTAATCGTAACTTCTTAAAATGTTGAACTGTAATTGTACTGCTCATGAGTTGACTATCCACTGTCTCTAGATCAGTTGGGAGAGTCTGGTCAAATTTGTTCTGATTGCCATGTTGCATGCCATGGAAGCCTATGGCCCATATATGGCTACCGCGTTTCGAAAAGAGAACATCATGCGCGACATCCTTCTTAGTGTTAAAACCGGCGATGCAATTAATCATTGTATCTCTTTCTACACACACCTAGCTTGGAAGCTAGTTTATACCGCAATTAAATCGTATGCATAAATCCTAGCAATTCCTTATACATGATGGCCGACCATGCCTGTAGGCCAGTGCCATACCACGGCAAATTAATCAAACGTGCAAACGGTGCACATGCACATGCACAAAAGACTGCCATGCAATTTGCACAGATCGACTGGTAGGCATGCAGGATTCTACGCATGATGAATCTCCTAGCTGGTAAGACAGCCTAGTAGAATTGCGTTAGTGTCGCCCCTCCTATTAACTTCTCAGCGGGAATATTTGTAGAAGCTATGGCTGGCTTGTGTTACAACAGGCCTCCCTATACATGTCTGATTATCGAGACTCATAAGGCAAAAACTTGAAATGCGCATGCATCCAGTGGTTCCAACAGAGTATGCGATAATGTGGAGAGAAGTGAACCTGCTACAGTCTGAACATTGACATGGTTTGAAACTTGACATGGTAGATACGCTCTTTGCTGCCTCCTCAGAAGAAGAACAATCAGGTTGCACAGAGACATCCATGCCAGTGCAGACTCCTGAAATTGAGCAGCGACGGCAGAATGCAATGGTGTCTTTGCCGCAGCTTCGATTAAAATTCAAAGTGATACGGCGGAGGCTTGGATCCAGTGGTGGTAACAATCCAATAATGAGCATCTTCTCTTTAATCTCATAGTGACCCTTCTCAAAATTCAGCAAACGGAATCAGATCCCTCGGTGTCAGGACCCCCAGTTCCTCAGCATTTTCTGAACTCGCGGCATGCTGTTCAGAATTCAAAAACCTGCTCTCTGGTGCTCAGTAGCATCTGCCGCAGATCTTGCTTATTCTGCCTTTTCATTGGGCGCTAGGTATTTCAAGTTCTTATGCAGACCCGCTTTATTGATTTCAAACAAGGCAGATGGCCGCTGTAGGCACTGGCAGAAACAGGCACCCACCTATTCCGCTCAAACACCGCACCAACAGGACAGCAACACACAGCAAGTCGCTCTCTTTGGGGCAAGGTCCCACCTTTGCCCGGCGTCCGCGCGTCTCTGATCTCCTCTCCTTTTTTAAAGCGTCAACTCTGACCCTCTCAGCTGCTCGCATATCCAAATCTGACTAACAATCACGACATTTACCAACCCACAGGGCTCCCTACAACAGCGACCTCGATGTAATCCACATCCGCCATTTGCAACTCATCTGGTGTGCTCGTCCCCGAGATCCTCCGCCCCTGGTACAGAAACTCGACGCTGCTCTGATCTAGCTTTTCCCGACTACAGAACGCCTCCTGCAACAGCGCCAGCGGCATCCGTCGCCGCATCTTGAAGAACACCTCCGCCCCGTCTGCTGAGGTCACCCGCAGCTGCACGTACCGCGACTCCTTGCGCTTTGCCGTCGTTTCATTGGGATCCCTCCACATAGGGTTGCCCATAGTGAGGGGAAGCGGCAGGTGCGCGGCGGGCCACCGACACAGGAGGATAGGCGTGGCCTGTGTGGAGCCTGCCCGCCAACACCGGCAGCATGCGGCTTTTGAATCTTACCCTCCTTTCAGTGTTCACTTTCTCTGCGCTTCGAGGAGAAGGCAGCAGATCTTTGCTTTGAGATATGGGCCAATTCACACCTAGATCCAGCTGCAGCAGATGTTTGGAAGATGTGCCCGGGGGAGCCGGAGCGACGGCAGCCGTTTATACACCCGTCCTCCCTGCGTAGCAGGGACAAAAAATAACAGGCTCGTTGCCGACCGGCTGACGGTTCAAACTCCCGTCTTATTCCAGTCTTCAATCCCCGTGTGCCAAAAAAATCTGTTTGCAAACTTGTGAATGCTCAAGACTTGCAATCTGGTACGCGCGCACAGCATATGCCGTGCTGCAATCTCTTCTCAGACTCCAGACTCCGACTCGCTAGAGACTCGGAGCCATCTAGAGACACCTCTAGGTAGGATCTTTCCAGAGGCGCTTTCAGCAGGGTCCCACCTCTCATAATTCCAATTCTCCCTGTGAGCTTTCAATGTCATGAGGTGCAGAGGACGTCCTGATTAGCAAGAGGGGCACCTACGCGTAGAGCGAGATCTTCTGCTTACGGTACGCCCCGGCCGGTTGCAGGCATCAGAATGGCGGCGCACCCGTACTATCCGCGCAGCATTGTGTTGGCCGGCTTCTCTCCACAGCTGTGGTCGATGCCTGCGATACTGGGGGTGTTTTCCGTCGCCGTCTTTGTGGTGGTGGGCGGGACTCTGCTGCTGTCAAGTAAGCGCACTTTGCAGAGTTCCAAAATGATAATGTAGTTTCAGATGTCAAAGCATATCACAAGGCTGCCGCTTGAAGTTGTCGTGTGATCAGTCAGTGACCAAGTGACAGCTCCAGCACCTTTTCAAGCACAGTGGCATTGTATGATACTCTTATTCTGTAGCTACCATCACCGAACGGTGCGATGATCAAAGCCCTGAGCTACAGTGGCGCTCATTGATGAGGGCCGCTAGATTTTCTCTTTCAGTTGGACACTTTATCGGAGCAATTTGCAGTAGGTACATGCAAATCAGACTCCTTTGGAATGTTGCGATAAGCCAACAGAACTATAAGAGGACCAGAGCTACAGATTTTGTAATAAAGAGAGTTAAGCAGCCAGTGCTCCATCCTATGTGCAGGTGGCAACAAGAGGCTAACGGCTCTAGACCGCGCAACGCTTGCTTGGTGGATAGCCACAGGCCTGATACACTTAGTAATCGAGGGCTCTTACGCAATCGCCCCCACATTCTACCAGACCACGTCCGCCAACTTTCTCCACGACCTATGTAAGGCTTTCCTTTGGATCTCAATACAGCTACCTTTGCTGTGTCTGGGCCTTCACTTCTCATTGCCAAGGGCAATTTGAGGATTCCAAGATTCAGCCCGTGGTTGTCTGCTTTGCTGAGCCCGAAGGGTTCATTGGAAGACTTTGCCTTGGCCTTGAAACTGAAAGGTGGTCTGGCTTTCTGCATCAGTAGGAGGGCCTGTAAGACCTCGACGACCTCTTTTTTTACACCTGGACCCCTGATCTGCAAGTCTCACTAGCGGCGGCCGCTTTTCGAAAAGTGCAACCGATTTTAAATTATGGAATGGCAGTGCGTAGCTCCACCGGCTGACAGCAGGGGAACTTTTTTAGCATGAGCCAGGCCCTTGAAAGTATTGGACCCATCTTTCCAGGTCTGGCTTTAAACAGATCTGATGGAGCGTCGCAGCACATCAGGCTTTGTGTCCGTCAGATCTTCAATTAGATCCAGCGCGGTCTGCTCAAATTACGCTCTTTGGCCTGCTAATTGCTTGAAGCCTTCAATCATTCACGTAGGCTTCCTACCCTGGTCCTCATGAGATGCCTACGATCGAATTGCTGGCAGTAGATAGATGGGGTTAGGAGACTGAGGTGTTCGATTTGCACTCCAAAAGCGTGATCTCAGATCTCTGCCTGTTTTCCTGCAGGGAAGGAGTACAGTAAAGGAGACTCCCGATATGCAACCCGAGACTCGTTCATTGTCTCTATGGAAACAGTCACCGCGTTTGCTTGGGGCCCCGGGAGCTTCCTCGTAGCGTGAGTAGTCTTCTTCCTCATTTCCGCCCTGTTTTTCGGCTTCAACCGCGTGAATTGTGCTGTCTGGAAAAGCCTGGATATATAGCCTGGCTCAATTTGGAGGTACATCAATTTGGAGGTACATCAACAGTGCCGAATTACGGTTCTTGTCGTTCTTCGTTGTATTTGGAGGTCGAGTGCCAGAGCCTTGTGACGATGTACGACCTCATTTTTCAACTCCTATAGTGAACATTTGAACAAGGATTCCAGACAATGGTGAGAGATTCTGACATTCGAAATGCACTCTGAAGTGTTTGCACTGGAGCCGTGGAATGCTCGAAATGTAACCGTGTTCAAGCAAGGAATCTGTCTGGTTGGCTGAATCGAGCGACGTTCGTGTTCGGCCAGGTACGCTCTTGCAACGGATGCTCCCTACCGGCACGCCGCTCAGTTGCTGGTGTCGCTTGGGCAGTTGTATGGTGACGTGTTGTATTTCGGCACGTGCTATCTTGAGGGCTTCGTACATTCGGATCCAGGCTGGTTGTATTTCTATGGCTACTTCGTATTTATGAACGCAATCTGGATTGTCGTTCCGTCGCTACTCATAGGACAGTCGTGGCAAGCGATCAGCGCAGCGTTTGCGTCTTTGAAGCCTGCGAAAGTGAGATCAAAACGAGCTTAGGAGACCCTTTTGAGCATCCCTCAGTAACGTGTTGCATAATCAGGAGCCTTCAGGCCCGGGGCCTCTGGTGAGAGTCAATTCGAAAAGGCACGTGGGACAATCTTCAATCAAAAGTCACAAACCGTGAATACACTCAGGCTAGCTGGGGAGAACAAACATTGACCTGAGTAACAACGTTACAGTGCGAGTAGCGGATGACGCGTTTGTTGGATGGATAAGTGCAGCTCAAATTGTCGAGTCGGAATGCGTATGAATCAAGATATCAAGCTGAACCTTGGTGCCGACGAGGGCTGAGTTGCTCAGCCTCCGTACAAGTGTGCACTCTCATGACGTGCACTGCTAAGTTCTTGAATACTGAAAACCGAGTCGATCGATATTACTACTTGAGCTCGAATCTAGATGGGTGATCAACGCGTCACCGGCCAACCATGAGCACCTTTAGACGTGAACGTTCGCCCGAGCCAGCTAGGCTGCCGCCCACATGCTTCATGGATCAACAGTAACCTCTCATATTGCAGGAGTCGAAACTGCTCTTGTACACAAACGAATTGAGTACATATCAAGCACGAAGCTTATTCGAAGACATGTAGCTTTGCAACTATTGCCAGACCAACGGCTTACGTATACAAAGGTTACATGTTATTGTCACTTGGTTGCTACGAGAATCCCATATCATCCATACCAATCCTTATGAATATTTTGGGCGGTACCGGTCAGCTGTCATCATTGGCACCGCCGAGAGGAGAAAGCTAGAAACTGGGATCATCATCAGAATAAGTTGGGAAAATGAAGTACCGGCCTCCTCTCGGCCTCCTGGCCGGCAGATCGGAACTAGAACTTGTAGAACCGAGGGACCTAGCAGGTAGGTTTGAGATTTGAGAGGTGCACTCAAGTCTCAAAGTCCCACACTGTGCCACTGTCCTACAGCTTTGAGTGGACAACATACAGCACTGAGCAGTGCAGGCTCAGCCGCACCGGCTGGACAGCTGGCCACATCACGGTACGTGCCCCGGGAGGTCAATCCCGTGTGGTCATCGGGTGAGAGTGCAGGGGAGCCGGGGCCCGGTAGGAGGATTAGGGAGGACTCGCAGGGTCGGGACTGATTGACAGTTGGCAAACGGACTAGGTATACCTAGGTAGCTGCACGCTAGGTATCACACTGCACACTGCACACTGCACACTGCACACTGCACAGTGCTTGCACGGCTCACGCGCGCCACGGGTTGTGGCCAAAGGTGCATGATACACGTCGTCTGACAAGGTCAATAGGGTGGCGTCATCAACTTGGGTCTCCACCACGTATCTTGTGGCGGGCCCAGAGATGGATGCAGAAATCCACATCGACGGCTGAGGGCTCATCTTTTCCCTCATCCGCAACCAATCATCGCGAACTAAAAGATCCGCGGTCGCTGAACTGCGAACAAGCTCCGTGCAGAGTACGGCCCACCCGAAGCCACATGCTTCAAGCTCTTCACATGGCCGCCCCCGCATTGCGTGGTTCAGGATCCGGATCGCCTTTTTCCAAAATATCTCCGGGCGGTGACATGGCGGAACGGCAAAATATCCGGGTGGTTTACGGCCACAGAACCGTTGCCCGTGGAGATATTGAGTGCCACGTACGCCTGCCCGCGTGAAGTTCAATCGGAACATTTGTGCGGCCAGACTGGGTTGCGTGAGTGGTGACTCAAACCTTCCAGGACCACACTGGCGATTCTGCGGCTGGCAGGCGAGCTTGCAAGTTGGGCAGGCAGATATGATTCACGAGTCTGACTCTTCTCAGAGTTGTTCTCTTCCTGGGCGCTGGGAACAGCAGTGCTAGAGAATCTCCGTCCCCTTCAGCTACCCTAGTCCTAGATATCAGAAGCAGAGGCTGCGACCTGGCCACAGATGCGGCGATCAGGTTCACTGCTCGACCGTGGCGCTTCTACTTGAACACCTTGGACGTCCTCTTTACATATACCTATCTGGGTTTCCTCTTTGCTCATTCACAAACTCCAGCCTCCTACAAGCTCCACCAGCAGCATAGCAGTAGTGCGGCGCTGGGATTAGTCTCCATGGCTATTATGTTCGACGTGTTCCGCCCTGCGGCGTCGGGCCACCCCGCCGCAGCAGTGGCTCCTTCTTATCTGGCCGCAGTGCGTCCCGAGTCTGAAACAGCCTGCTGCGGACCGTCCACTTCAGGCGCCTCCAAGCAGTGCGAGCTTTGCCCAAAGGCCGCGCGCGTCTTCTGTGATGCCGACTCCGCTTACCTGTGCTCCGCGTGTGACGTCCGAGTCCACACGGCCAACTTCCTGGTCTCCCGCCATGTGCGGACGCTGCTGTGTATTGACTGCCAAGGGGAGACGACCTGGCGCGCTTGTGGGGGACGGCCGGGCAAGGAGCACCACAGATGCAAGGCTTGCGAGGAGACGGCGAGGCGACTGAAAGCAGATGAGGACCAGTGCGTTCCTTCTGGGGGAGTAGATGCTAGCTGGCTGACGTTGGGCCCTATTCTGTCGCACCCGCTGCCGAGCAGGGGCGCCGTCGCAGAAGACAGGGCCTCGGGGCGCTGGGGGCGGGACACCGTGCGGGAGGAGCAGGCTGCCATCAGTCCCTCAGGGAGCAGTGCGGTGTCGGGCTTGTCAGAGGAGAGGGAGGCTACGGTCACTCCAAGCAGTGTACTCATCGAAGTGCCGCGGGGTGAGAGGAAGCGGGCGAGGGAGGAGGGAGATGACGGTCCTGTTGCAGCGTCCCATAAACATCAGAAGGTAAGCTTTGGCACTCAAGTATGTTTTGTGATGCTTCCAGCAAATTGGGCTTCTTTTGCTGTTGTTTGACAGCTGTTCTTTCGAATCGAAAAGTAGCTGGCCCCTTGGTGGAGGATGATGAAGTCTAGCCCTTCTCATGGTTGTTGTGCTCCTGCAAAATTGTCTGATGCTGGATCATAAAGAATGCGAGGTTTAAAGAATGCGAGGTACGCTTATGTCTCTTTTGGATGTTCCTTGCACCGGGTTTTTTTCTTCCTGCAAGCTTTTTGTTGTACAAAATGGTTAATATTCCAGAATACAAATCGTTTTCAGAAGCTTGGTCTGTGCACTTCTTACCCAGGAGTTGTGCCCTCTTTCTTGTTGACTTCTCAGTTGACTCCCTTCTTTTTAGATCAAGTATTGAAATTTGAATTTGAGGCTTTTTGTGCGCAAGCTGTTGCGTGAGCTGTGCTGCCCTGTGCTTAACTTCTGTGATTCAAGATTTACTAGGTTATCTTTCTTTCTTTAAGTACAACTCTTTCTTTCTTTTAAGTACAATTCCTTGGCGAGGCCGACTTTTTTTCCATGACGCCCTGTTTACTGTTGACTTACTTGAGATGATTTGATTTTTGTTACCCTCCTTCTGTGTTGTTCGTACTGCTTAATAGTCATGGTTTGAGCTCTTCAAGAGGTCATGAACAGCTATATTGTAGTCACAGGTTGATTACATGTCCATCAACATGTTCATCAGAGTCCTCTTAGATTCCTATCTTAGATTCCTATCTCATATCATCCCCCGCATATTTTCAGGTTGATCATGCCCATCGGCCACAAGTCGCAGCACTTCCCCCCCGCCCTCAGCGCAGCGCCCCTCTCCGGCCAAACACCGAGCCAGCAATGACCAACGCCGCGATTGTCGAGCGGCTCGAACGAACGCTGGCGCGGTGGTACGTCAGCCTGAACCTGAACAGCCCCGAAACAATCCCACTGTCTATGCACATTTTCCGGAAGGTCCTGCAAAGCCTACAGCCTAACCTGCTGGCAGCAGAAGCGATGAGGGTGACTCTGGCGGGTTGTCTTTGGTTAGCAACGAAGGTGGACACCGCGCAAGTGAAGGTGCCGAAAGCGTCGGAGGTTGCGGTAGCTGCGGGGGTGCAGGCGTCGAGGTTGTCAGCTGTTGAGCTGCAACTACTGACCCTCTTGGACTGGAGGTTGTTGGATGGGTGGGTCGGCAGCGGCGAGGTTCTGGATTCATAGGCCTTACCTCTTTGGCGGAGTAAACCTGTGCAGCCAAGGCAGCGGTCTGTTGTTCTAGACAGTCTTGTAGATACTAGATTTGAAGGTTGACGATACACATTGCTGTACGGAGGCATAGTCGAAGCTCGGATTGGAGCTTGTCAAAAGCCTAAAAGACAATTAAAACAATCGAAACAGTTGCGACACATTCGTTCTTTTATCGAAAGCTGGGCATATTTGATGTGCCATGGGTTGGGCCTCTCACAAAATGGCAAATTGCCTTCGTGCGAAGTATGATTGAGTAAGTGAATGTTCAACCAATTCAATCCAGCGAACGATTAATTTTTTCCGCGAATGATTACGCTGCATATGTACATTGCACATACATTTGTCAATAAAAAACCTTGTATATGCTCGCTTATATGGCATACTAGTAATAGTCGTTCGCGCGACAGACCTTTCAACCCGGATTGCAAATGCATCCTTAGTAGATTGCAATCGGCGTAGCGTCACTTAATGGCGGTAGAATAATGTAGCAATGGTGTTCAGATTCATGGTGCGTTCACGCGAGAAGACCATGGTCTTCTTATGGAAAAAAAGTGCACATCCTTCATGAAATTTGTAATGATGTGAAAGTGGAGAATAATCGTTTCTTGTTGATAGATTAGACACCGATCCGGCCTTCTTTTCAAAGTGTGCAGCTAGTATTCCGAACACGGCCAAACGCGACATAATCGGACAAGCTGTTGGCCGGCCGGACAGCAGGCCATGGCACCGGATATAGGTAGGCCATACAAAAATAATCATGTTCCTTTTCTTAAGCTCGCTAGCGCGCTACAGCAACATTATGCAAGTCCATTTACAGCCGTCCCCTCGGAATCAGCAGTCACAGTATTAGCTATACACACACCACGTTTTACCTTAGTTTGTGGCCGCATTGAAGGCGATCTGAATAATTGCGGTTACCTAATATGTTCTGCACATGCGCCAATGCTCATGCCAATGTTCGTGTGCACTCCTTGTGGATAGTTTGGAGCACTAGCTGGATATCAGAACGGATGCACTCCACTACAGAAGGACTGTAGTCACAGGGGTAACCTGACTGACACATCCAAAGACAAGGCAGAACCTAGCTACATGCGCGCTCTGAGGTGTGAATGCAGGGCTGATCATAATGGTGCTAGCATTAGTAGTGCCTAGTTAGATTCACCACCTCATACCGAGCAGCTTGTATCAAGTGAAAGTGCTGGATCAGGACAGAATGGCAAGAATGAATGCTCCAATTGTTCACAGCCATATGCTTGTCAACGGACTTGCTGAAAACACAGACGCGGTTGTATGGAGCAACCCTCAATCCTAGGTCAACGCAACTCGAAGGAAGGACTCGAAACTGTCCCAGCGGTCCCCACAGTTCCAGATTCGCTTGTTTATGCAATTCGTATGTTAAATTGTACAGTCTGCAAAAGCACAATAAGGGGGCTCTAGAAAGAGCAATGATCAGCACCCCATCTATGCCTTGGAGATGACGTCGTTCAAGATCGATACAACCTTATCGTAGCTCTCCTTGGCCTTCTCTTGGCTCTTTTTCCTGGCAGCGTAGTCAAGCTGCAAGAACAAATTAAGAAGTTAGCAATGATGAAGTGTCAAGAGACATATTTGCAGAAGTGGCAGGCTGCTTCTGCCTACCGCAGGCATCACTTTGCCGTCTGACCATTGAGATATCTCTTATAAGTAGCCTGACCTGGCGCCTCATGTCAATTACACCATCCTACTTTTCGTTCTCACGTCTGGGAACAGAGACACACAACTCTCCAATCGTGACGACAATGGATGCAGACTCAACCAAGCTCAATGTTTAGGGATTCTGACAATTAGGGTTTAGAACGGCGTTAAAAACAGGTAAGCATGTCAACTCACAGAGTCGAGCTCGGCGTTCAGAGACTTCTGCAGGGCCTTGATCGCCTTCTTCTCCTCCTTGGACTTGCTGCTAGCAATAGTGTCAATGTCAAAGTTCAGGTACTGAGCCTCAAGGCGCAGCTGGTTCTGGACAAACGGCCACGCCTTCTTGGCAATGTACTTCTCAGAGTCCTGGATAGCGGCGGCAGAGGCCTTGAGCCGGGCCTGCGCCCCTGCGACATCCTCGGATTGCAGGAAGAACCGCTGCTTCAGCGGCTGGTCGAGGTCCCGGGCCTCATCGGCATTCTTTGTTCCGGCTGCAGAGCGAGCAATGGAAGCATTCAGAATTGGTAGACTGTGCAAGACTGTTGCCTCTTTACAGAGTAGACAACCAAACATTACTTGAGCGGTTTGATATTCTGGAATGTGAAACGTTTGCATGTCCCGCGAACAGGAGAGGAAGGTCTGACGAGACAGGCGCTCCGAGGAAGGCGCAGAGAGGGTTTATTAACACCAAAAACAGCCAGATAAGTCTGAGACCCGTTCAAAAATCTTCAATTTCAAAATATGCTCTGTTAGGAACAGGGCCAAAGAAGGTATGACGGCTTGAGTAGGTATTGAACGGCCAGAATAATGAAGTGGCGGACGCTCTTCCTTATCCAAAATACACTGTTCCCCAATGCCTCACGCATACACAGGCTCCCACCTGCCATGCATTACTCATCTGTTAAGTTTTCAAATCCATAGGTCCAGACCTTGGGTTTATTGCTAAACTGTTTGACAATATCTTGAAGACTCGCCCAGACATCTGAGTTTCCCCTGGGCTGCAATTCAACGACACGGCTTCCGCTTTGGCCACAAATGCGTCAGCCACACGTCCAATGCTACAGACTGCAGGCTTCCTAATGTAGAAAGGTCACCGCCCTTAATCCATTATCCTCTTGGCTTTCTGTGAAGCAGGCCTCTAATGACAATTCCCACACGAGAAAACCAGATTTTTGGTCTTGCAGAATGCCTTGGGAATCATCATGTTTCCCCTTCTCTATTTCCCTCCATTGCTGTGCTCCATTGTTCAGTACCACACTAATCATCTTTTAGTCTTGAACTTCTAATTACTTTTGCTTGCAGCAGTCCCCTGCGAATCCATTATTCGTAGCTGCTGCTTCCTGAGATGCTCATGACAGTACTGTGTCTCCTCACGCATCCCCCATTTGGCAGCTTCGTTCAGAGGGACAGTGAAGCTGATTGGATGGCATTCACAATGATGGTTTCTCCTTCTCAACCTCGCAGATAGTGGACTGCCGGTCGTACTATCCTGAAATCATACCCCCACCTATTCAAATCTACATAGCTACCAAAACAGGGCTAAGCTAGGTTTGAATACCAGCCAGTCAAAGGCAATGCAATCAATGCGGACCAACTCAACAACAGACCTTAAGAACTGGCACAACCTTTCCTCTACAGACTTGAGTCTCCTAGTTTGCACTGGAATCAGTTTCCCGTTCCTGACCATCCGCAATAAGGGACTGCCATCCTGGTTAGCAATCCAAACCAATGCAATGCACAGGGGCATGAAACTTACGGAGGCCACCGAATGGCTTCGGTGATGGTCCAATCTTAATGGAAGTGGCCTCTGCGTTCGCCCTCTGCACAGTCCCCACGCTCACGGCAGCCGCTGCTAGCAAGCTGAGCATAGCCCTCCTCGGCACCGCAGCCTCCTCCTTTGCGCTGGCCCTGACCATCAGAGACTGACCCCTCTTGCTCGACACCGGGACGGCCGCAAACGCGCGGGACGCCTTGGTGGCAGCATTGCCAACCTCGACCTTCTGGAAGGCAGCAACGGAGGTGGAGGCGCGGGCGACGGTGGAGGAAGCCATGGCGACAGGAAGATTCTGTAATGCGGCGCTCGTCCTGTTGTGTTGTGGAAGGAAAGAATGGCTGCCAGGTCTTGCCGGAAGTTTGCAAACTGGGCTGAGGTGGCAAGATCGGAGCGCAGCGAGTGGTCGGAATTGTTCAGTCGAGATAAGGAGGATTCTGCCCCTGTTTCGGAGCCGTACGATTGGTTGGAATGATCACGTGGCACCCGGCCTTGCGGACTTCAGCGGCCAGTGCGGTTGGACGGAGGATACCACCGATTAAATTGAAGCGTCCAATCCTGGTCGGGCGTCCGAGGGAAGCCCGCGCGTGCACTGAGTGTATGATGATGTGTGACTGACCGGACGACAATTCGAAAGCAGAGTGGCATGCAGTGACAAATAGCTCTCAATGAGTATCTGGCGATGCCTATCGACCTGCCGCCATAAGATGCCCTCAATGAGAAACTTTCTCACGGCCTACATTCCAATACAACGGACCCGGGGCCACGACGGCTAGCGTTGTTGGGTGACATTCTAACGAGTGATCGAGATCGGGCTGTTGATGATGGCCGCCAGCTGTACATGTTCATGCAAGTTTGATTGACGTTATCGCGATCCGCGCAAATGATACTGAGAGATGCGCGTTAGGCAAGCTTTCAATTATATCATATGTACATGGAGCAAGCTTTGCATGACAAATCAGGCAAAGCTTGAGTTCGCAGAGAATACCTCGTCGAGAAGAGCTGAAGAGTCGTCTAGAATGGTCGGCTCGAATCATAAGCAGTTTTGGACGAGGTCACGTGGTCATATCCAACTTTGGTGTCAATCCTTGATTATAGTAATCCAATTCTCAATCGTAGCGCAACAAGAAGCTTGATCGACAATTGTTCTTGGCATGCGGCTCCAACATCTTCTTTTCTTGAGTGCAAGTTCGCCTCGTCCTACCTTGGCCTTTCTTACTTGCTCGTCCGAGCACCGCAATGTCTCTGAAGTGCTCCGTCTAAGTTTTTGCAGATCCGACCTGAAGAAAGCGCCGGACTCGACCTCTTTCTCCGCACGAGCTGGCCCGCGCTCTTGCTAATTTTCAGAGCATCTAAAATTACTCGTGCTCTTATGTACATCACCGCAATGAAGGTTCTTCCGACATGGGCGCTCCAAGAGCCCAATCTCTTCCAAGCAACCCTTGGACTTTTCGTTAGCACCTGTCTTACTTCCAGGGAACAACCCGTGCAGCAGGCCCCAACTATGGTACATTAGACAGACCTCTCCTCACTATAGTACAATAACGTCATGTGCAAGTATGCACTTTCGAATTGTTCTCGTTTCGGAAGGACATTCTGTCTATCACCGCTTGAGGTAGTAGAACTCGGACGGGACGGGTACGCCATCCGCAGCCAATCGCGAGTACAGCTCCTGCGTACACATGAGAGAGACGTCAACCGACTGATTTGCCAAGGCTCAGGAACTCAACGTCGTGGTACTCTTTGATCGATGTCGGCCACACGTGGTGCAAACTCCAAAATACGAAGAGCGAAACTTGAGAAAGCCACAGAGAGACTGCTCCGCAAGTCCAGTACGCTGCAAGCAAAGCCAGTTGCTGCGTGTTGCTTTCGTCACTGTCCAAGAAGCCGACAGATAGGGCGAGTGAGTATTGCAACAGCAGAATCGCAGGTCGGGTCTAGTGTTGGGCGTTTCTTCCTCAATCTTGTGATCTGGGTGAATTTGCATAATAGCTCTCGGCTTCCGCGAACCAGACAGCACGGGCCGTACCCCTCTTTCATTTCCACCGAGGCAATCCAGAAGAAGAGCGCTGAATCCTCGGAGACATGCACTCGATTTCAGCTGTGAACCTATTCAAACCTACGCCACTTTGGTTCTCGAAAAGTTCGGCCATTCGCTCGCCCAACAGCGAGTTGAACAAGAAAGGGAAAAGCTGGTTTTCGACCCACCGGGCCAAATGCATTCTCCTTGACCTCCAACCTCACCTTAGCCACTGCGTTGTAGGCCGCCGCCGAAACGCCCTTGCACCCCCGCAGGTTGCAGCGCCGCAGGCGGGGACACGCCGCCAGGAGAGGGAGGACGTCTGAGTCGCCAACCTTTGCGCTGCGAAAAACGGGGCGGCATCAAAAGAGCGCAGGGAAGGAAGGCAGATGTTGAGATTCAGATAGTATGAAAACTGAACAAGACGAAAGAAACGAGGAAGAACGACAGAGTCGCCAGTCCCTGGAGTGCGGGCATTGGCATGAGGAGCACGAGCGAGGTGCTGAAGGAGAGATGCAACGGGTAATCAGAGAATCAACGACCGGGCCAAAACGAAGATGAAAGGATTGTTGCGTTCTAAATTTCCATTCAAACTTGAGGGCAACATTAAAAAAGGGAAACAAAGCGTGCTGGGATGGAGTGGATAGAAGGAAACGCCGACGGACAAACCGTTGAACATGAGCTTTAACCGAAACATGAAAGATCTCGAGTCCCGAACCTCCCGACTGAGGTGACGGACGGCAGCGTCAGAGAACAACGCCGAAGCTGCCCCAAAGTCTTCAAAGAGGAGCAGACTGACCACTGTGCCATAATATGACCTCACAATATCCATAGAGCGACCGATAAAGCCTGTCCCGCACTGTCAGTTCGACCAGAATGTGACTTTGAAAAAAGGCAACCACCTGTGCGCGAGTTCGAGGACCTCCAGCCGCGACTCGGAGACCGTCGCTAATGCTCCCAGAGTTGCCGGACCCGCAATGCCCCTGCGAAACACATCTTCTGCTGTGTTAATCCACGGGCTCTTTCCAACGAAAACACCGCAAATGCACGGAGTCAAATTGCTGATTGGCAAGCGGGAGCCCGCAGACTGTGGTGCGTGAAATGCGACTTTCGAAAAAGAAACCGGGCACCTATAACGCAGTAAAGACGTCTAACACAGTCAGCCGGGGTTTACAGCAGGGTTTGCAGCATTCTTGAAAAGCAAAAAATGTTGCTATCAAGTTGGACTCGACAGAAGCATGAGCGTCCGAGTGATGCCCGTGTTTTATTCCTTGGAACGAGAGGATTCTGAAGAAACTTCCTGTGACTCTCCGCCATGCAACAACGTCTAACGGACTTCCAAAGGACTTAGCCACGACACGGGCTCGGATCAGTGAGAACTTGGACCCTCAATGGCGAAGACCAATCTGTATCTCATTTTCGCCGGACAAATGAGCGCGCTTCGCAACTGGAACGAAACAGCGGATCTTTAGAAGCCTGATTAAAGAGGGGCACACAACAAAACGGGCAGCGGATCGACACGCGAAACGGAAAGGCGGGCGAGGAATCGACGATACCAGCAAGTCGGCAAGCAGGAAAACAGGAAGCACCAAAATGAAGCAGAGGAAGAAAAAAACAGACGAGAGCCGAAGCCACTACGGAAGTAGAACAAGATGGAGATAATCAAACGCAACTAAAACGAAACATACGGTTAATGCAACGAAACCAGTAAAGGCGGCCAGCTCACGTCAGCCCGAGCTTCTTGAGATTCGGACACCGCCGGACAACGGCAGCCAGCGTCTCGTCCGACAGGAGGTGACATTGGTGCAGCAACAGGACGCTGCGTTGAAGGACGGGGTTTGTTAGCGTGGTTCAAATGAACACTACGACGGCATCTTATTCTGTCCAGGGAATGCAAAAGGGCAAATGAACGACGTCTTGAGTAAGGCGTGTCTTCCCCAGTGCTTGTTGTGCGGCTTGAGAGAAAAGCAAGGTTGGTTGGTACGCTGGTCGAGGAGATAGGGATCTCAAGGGCTTGAGGTCGAAGAAGGTTGGGAAAGGGATTCGACCGAGCTGAGACAAAGAGGCCGTTCGAGCTCCTGAAGTGATGATGGAAAGTTGCAGGGGATAGAAACCTTTTCGTTGCCCTTGCCATAGCAACTCTTGACCTTCGTCAAAGAAAGTGTTTGTAGAACCAATCACAACCCGACGAAAAAGCACTTGTGATCAGACGTCATGCATTCAAAGTCTGACGTCACTGTCCTCTCACCTCAGACTGCCAAACGTGTGGCTGCCAGGAAAGAGCCGCTCAAAGCTCTCATTACAGAGGAGCCGACAGCCTGAGAGGTCGATTTGTGTCGTTGAGTGCAGCCCAAGATTGGTACCCTGACTTTCGAACCCCGTTCTCCCGACCTGGATGCGCCTCAGCAACGAACACCCTTTCGTGGATAGGCTCTGCAGGAGAATAGGAGTCTGCAATCAGTGACTCTGTCAACCAGACCTGTTACGCACTGGGCTACTGTTTGGATTGCAATTGCTCAGGCTCTTGATATTCAGTGACTCAATCTGACTAAACTGCTTTTTGATTGGTTCAGGATTCCTCAGGGGTGCAAAGGACAAGGAGAAGCAAGTTCTGCATGTGGATTCTGAACATTCAATCTGAAGTTTCTATCGATCCATGTCAATTTCTTCAAACTCCAGCTCTTCACAAATGGCAAATTGTGTATCAGCTCCTAGTCCAAAACCTTGTCGACTTCGTCATCCTTGTCAAATGGCCACTGAGAAAACCATCAGAATCAAGTGGATAATGCAAGAACCACCAAGCAAGAAGGTGGGAGCGCTGCAAACTCCAGGTTCCGATGCACCGTCAGGGAGAGGGGCCCTTCCCAAGGAACGTACGAGAGGTCGATGTGTCGGAAGCTGCCTTTTTGCGGGGCACTATTGAGAATACTCTCCATGAGGGACATAGAAGAGGCTGCAGGTGTGGGGTTACTTTGAGGGCCGGTGGTGATGACACCGTCTTTTTGTGACGGACTTAGTGTAGTCTTGGGCGAAGCATCTGGCGTTGTCTCCCTACCACTCTGCAGGGATCAACGTGGAATTGCTTGTCAGTTGTTTTGCACCACCGTGTTCTTGACGTCTTTCACACGCATGCAAGGCTCCTGCATGTGACCTTTTGCACAACGAAAAAGCACTGATGAGAAATCACGTTTAGGTCCCTACTACATTCCAAACTTCCATCCGGTTTGTACCAGAAAGTCGCTTTTAGTGCACCAGACAAGAACTTGTTGGGGCGCCTTTCGCCCCAAACAGACAGGGTTGCTTGCGTATATTAGTGTAGGGCACCTGACAAACCTAAGCAGGGGCAGGGGAATTTGAGTCGCTTACAGTTGCAACTCGCATGAGCCGTAGAAGCAGTTCATCTCGAAGTTGGATGGCTGAGCAGCTGTCAGAGTAATGCACGTGATGTCAGCCAGGTCCAAGCATGGGCACCGGACCACAAAAACTCCACGCGTCAGTAGATAGGGAATGTGAGCGCACCTTGGAACCATCTACGTGAAAGAGAATGCAGTCCCAATCCCATCGCGAGCGCCCGTTGATGTACATAACCCGCTGATTCTTGTAGATGGTCAAGACGGTGGCTTCTCTGCTAACGGACCGCCACCGTCGGCTAACACAGCCGGCCCGCACAAGGGCTGCATTGTCACACCGCAGCAAAACGGCCCGAAAGAGGTCGAGCGACAGGGCCTCAAAGGGATCCCCCATCAGCACTGGCTGTTTTCAGCAAAGGTTATAGAGCTTAGAAGGAGGTCTTTAGAGCTGCTAGCCCCATACTGGGAGCCGATTGTGCACCCATAGCTACACAGAGAATGTGCTCAAGAAAAAGGTGGTGCAAGCATTGAAGCAAAGCTTGAAGGAGGCAGCCAATTCTGCAGTCCTGTTGCTTTTAGGGTTTCGTAACATCCAAGATTAGGGTTTTGCCCTTCAAGTTCAGTGTCTGGATGCCTCATGGCAGCTATTTAAACTTCAAGTTGACGTGAACTTTTGACGCCTTCAAAATGGTGGCGCCAAAGCAGGGTGGCCTCTTCAAAGTAGAGGGTGGTGTGCTCGATCATGCATCAAAGCCCCCTCTGTCCAAGACTGAGATCAACCTGCACCGCTTGCTGAAGAGCTGCGAGCGGCAGGCGGCAGAGTTGGACGATGCGATTCTGAGGCAGGACCTTCGGTTTGCAAACGTGAGGAGGAACAAATTCTCTGCTGAGACATTGAATGTTGTTGAAGGCGCACGAGTTGGTGGTGCAGACCAGCTGACACCGGAAGTGCCTTTTCAGCTTTCAAGAGGGGTTTCAGCCAGTTCGCTGTGTCTAGTTGACCACAGACAGCCACTTGAGCATTGGAATCATTCTTCGTCTCTTCGTCGATAAGCCCTACAGCCCCATCCGGCTGCATCCTTTGTGCGTGCGTTTGGGCCGGCAATCAGAGCAACTTGTTGCGCTGCATGTTGTTCGTTTGGTTGGAAAATATTTTGATGTGCTCTTCCTTCATTCTGCAGTATGTCGCTGTCGCGCGCGACCTGCTGAGCGAGCTGCAAGGGAGAGAGATTCACAACTCTTTGCCTAGGTACAGAATTTCCTGCTTCTGACCTTTTTTTTGAATGAATTGGAGACAAGAAGACTTACACCAGGACATTCCAGTAGAAAGGCATTTGATCTTAGAAAGGCACTCAATGGATTATCAAACAGCCTTGATTAGCGGTTTCATTGCTAATCTTGCACAGAGTCTCTCTGATACAGTGCAGCTCCTCAGACTCAGAAAATGGACACCGGCACACGTCGCTTTACAGACCTCCATAGAGCTAATGCATGCTTGGGTTTGAAATAATGAAGCAAGCTGGAATGAAGTTACAAACTCACTCTCATGTTTTGATGAAGCGGTTGTCTCTACGCCAGCCCTTGTGTTCAGCCCCCTTCTTTTAATGTTGCAGCATCTCTGCTAGCAGAGCAGAAGAGTACGAGAAGCGCATTGGCACTCTGGAGAAGCGAGTAGATGAACAAACAGTAAGCCTATCCAGAAAGGGTCAGCACTGTTGGTCATAGACCTCCTTTGAATTTGAGTAAAGACTTTGTGGCTGACTAACCAGTCGGTTTGATTAACCAACTCAGCCCCCCAGCTTGTACTTTCACGTTCCCAAAAAGTCGGAGCCCTCTTTCCCCCCTAAATCCACAGTTTGAGCACTTAAACAGTGGGGACTAAGATGAATGTTCTAGAATGTCATACCAATTTGGCATTAAACGCCTTCCTGATGAGCTCTGAGGTGCCCGTCAATTGTCTTGGCAACTTCTGGCCAATGCCTTGCCTGCTTGAAGGGCTTCTTGTTTAGTAATTCCAGCACCAACTTCGGCAGAATTTAATAACTCTTCTCTTTGAGAGGTAAAGCCTTTTTGGACTACGCAAAGTAGCAAGGTTTGGGACCGTGAGACTGACACGCGGGTAATCATCGTTCTTATGCATCGCAGCTTAAGATCACTCACCTTTGGTTGATGTTCTGCATTTGAGGTCGTCTCGCAGAGTTCTACACCCCTTAATTTCGATACACACTGGCTTTCCTTGATTGAGCCTCCATTCAGCATCCAATCCCATCTCCCAGTATCAGCGCCAGGCTGACGTCACTCAGCATTTATACGCCTCTGTCAATCGCAGCGGCAGGCGACGACAGCAAGAAACGAGGCTGGCTCGGATGGGGCAAGTGGCACCAATCACCAGCCGCCAAGTGGCGGAGGGGAACCTCCTCAGTCCAGTCAGAGGGATCCCCCTCCAACTTCGACGAACGCAGCGGAGCCACAGCTGCGCCAACGGAGTGGGTAAGTAAAAGTCGTTTTCTCTTTCCCGCAAAACGAGTCTCAGCAGTGGCCTCAGGACCGACTGCCAGCCAACTGACCATCGTTTTAGAGCACCGCAATTGTCAGTTCCTGAAATTACTGAGCCCGTCCGGAATGACTAGATTGAAGACTTCGCCGTTTGTTCTAGCGGGATGGGACCGACCCCTTTTTGCTGTCGGCAGGAGACTGGCGGTGATGATATTTGGGGACGTTTTGTCAAGGGGCGCATTTTGTCTGATCAGGAAACGATGTGGAGTACTCCAACAAAGCTGTGATTGTTAGTGAGGGCGATCTCAACCAAGTTCGAATTTTGTTGCCACTTTTGTCACCTTGCACTTGTAACTTGTAGTAGAGCAAAAAGATTCCGACGAGGTTTATATCGGCTTTGCATGACTTAGGGACAACTCGCAAAGCCTTGAAAGTGGATATCACCTATCTTTAAAATCAGCTTTGCGTTTGCCGAAACAAGGAGCCAAAAACTCGTGCTGGGATTGCATCTGCTGACCGTCAATCAGCACGCCTTGTGTCGAATAACTCCGTACGTGGTGCAACTGGTCAGAGGTCAGTCTGGACATTAGATTGTGCTTCGCAGTGAATCTTTTCTTGCTATGTTGTCTGGTCCATCTCCTTGTGCAGGTTCCTCAGATTTCCCATCAGCGGGTCTACGTTCCATGCATCGAAGCCGACCCCTCCTTGGGAAATCACCTTTCCGGTCTCTTCATTCCTTGATGCTACTATCCAGCATCCCTTGCTCTGCAAAATGCACGATAATCCGCTCGACTATCTTGCTTTGAGGATGTCTTTGTCGTTTCTTGCCTTCAATTCTTCCCCAGTGAAATCTCGCCAAGCGGCGGCCTTGGAGCTCATAGCAACCAACTAGAATACTTTGAGGTTACTTCGAGGCGAATACTTTGTCATTTATTCCATTACCACGTCTCCAGGAAATCTCGTCAAACGGAGCTCCTAGCAACCAAGGCTCACCAGAGCGGGGGCAAACTGGATCAGGACGTCAGCCGAGTCTTGGATCAGCATCGCCAGTTGCAAGAGGGTCTGACGGACGAGATGGTTGAGCTTGCGAGGGCTATCAAGAACAACAGTCTCGCCATGGAGCAAAGCATGAAAGAGACCGGCAAGGTGAGTTATCTGCACCACCACTTGAGGTTCTGGTTGCTATTGTTTAGTTGTAGCAGCCACTCCTTCGCTGTTCCATAAACCGTCCGTTTCGCCAAGGCTCAAAACGCGGTCTCACCTTTGACTTGTTTCCGCGTCCGTTTAGATTGGTGTTTCAGTCACAGATTGGCGACGCAGTTTTCAACTCCGTTTGGAATGAGGTTCGACGGCTGCAGACGTGAGCTAGTCAAAAACATCCGTGCTTTGTAGGTACTTGATGCAACGGAGCGTGCGGTCGAGCATAGCATTGCAACCACGAGCCATGTCAACACACGAGCATCGAAGATATATTCAGCAACTTTTCGGACCGGGTGTTTTACTTGGCTTGTGCTCCTAGCCGTGTCTGCCATCTTCTTTGGGATGGTATTTTTGATCAGGATTACTTGACATTGGGGAGGTTGTTGTGGCGCTTTTCGCTGCAATGGTCCTTTGAAGTGTCACGAATTCGTAGGGACGAACAATATGTTTAAGGTGCATGTTCAATTTACTGCCAGCTCGTCTACAGGAATCTCGGTCGGTACAGATTTCAGCAGGTTGGACCGCCTCTATTATCCAGGAATTGTGGTGTTACTGCCTCACTCAAGCCTGCTGAATTCCGTAAAGGGTGTAAGCAGTATGTTCGATTCAGAAATGTAATCATGTATAGGTATGCTCGGACCTTGTTACGTCAGACCTTGTCCAGTGCATGAATGCCAATCTTGGAAGTCAAGTACCTATGCTGACCTTGCCTGGCATACATTCAATTGTGAGTCACGAATGCGCTATGCTAAATATAACCCATGCACACTGGTATAGAATCATAGGTGCATGAAAAGACAAGAGTTTGACGGACAGCCAGACTGATATGGTGGTGTGCGGCTGACCAGACGGTGTCATGAAGATGCACCCCACAAAATGATTGCAGCCATGCGATGACAACAGTCCGATCATCCCTTCATGATCTTCAATATTCAATTAAAGACTTTTGACACTTGTCTGAACCAACTTGTAGCTATTGTTCAGGGTTCCCCGGAGCCTGTCCGACCTATGCAGCAGGACAGTAAAGGTTTTAAGGACCTTCAAAAATTCATTGCCCCCATCATGGGCCAGGATGCACATGTGCCGCCCGACGGGAATATGAGTGTATGGCCCTAGGCTGCTATGATTTGAGATAAGCTTCTACGTCAATTATCACCAATTTAGCATGGTAATAATTGTGGCCATTGAAAAAGCAGTGCGTTGGCTTTGAAGCCTGGCCTCATAGCTGTAGGATTTGAACGTTCTGCTTTTATCCATACTGATATCCTGACTGCCGAATTGCATGAATTCCCGCATTGGAAAGTGCAAAGTGCAAACCGTACATCGCGCCGCGCAGACCACATGCTCACCCCCCGATTCTCATTGGTTCAAAGTGGAGAATCGGCCTCTTATTGGATAAGCTCGGCCGCTTTCGACTGGGGTATTTCAGACTTGGTGAACCGGGTGGGTACGGTCTGCTAAAACAAGCAATAAGGTGACCGGTGATAAAAAATAGCGTCGAAGTGAGCGTCCTCTACATTGTAAGGACTCCGAAGATACAGGGGGCCTGCCTGGGCGAGAGGGAGCCAGCCTGGCCGGTAGAGGACATGAGGAAGAGGAGAAGTGTCGCTCGCCGATTGGACGCGCCCGGAAAGAGAAGTTTGAAAATGCTCAAGAAGGAAGCTCTGGCGCCCAGCATTCAACCGTGATCAGGGTGCCCTCCCTCTCCTGAAGGGGTGCGTAACTCCAGGCTCCCTTGTAGCCAAAGGCCTTTGAGTTTTGTGAAGAAGAAGAACCTTACAGTCTTTGTTGTTCAAAAAACGTTGGCGGGGGTCTATTGTGCGGTCTCGCTGAGTGAGGTGGACTTGTAATTTGCGGGCAGAAGGCAAGGAATTTTGGATACGCCAGTCTGAAAGTGCACCAGCAGGCAGTTTCCTGCTTGCTTGTTGAATCTGAACACTGAAATTTGAGGACAAGTTGCAGCGCTCCTTTCCGATTGTGTCGTCCACTTTGGTAATTGCAAGTCTGTACAGAGGTCAGGCATTATGCAAGAAGGTGACCTCAGTGGCGGTGGATATGGAGAGACTGCGAGGCAAGAAGAGGCATCAGAACCGCCAAGTGACAATGCCCTTGTAGTAGCACGTATTCCAGAGCAGCCTCAGTTTAGCAGTCCAGAAAGGGGTCAGCAAATGAGTCAGCCGTCCTTCAATCCCCTGGTGTCCCCACAGTCTCACACGCCGATTAGTAGGCCTGGGGGTCACGGAAACAACACGCACGCACCAGGGGTTGTTGGAGAGGGGTCTTTGGCAGGTGTGAGCGCACCCGTGTACATGGCCCATCCTGGTGAGCCGCTCTATTTCTTTCTGCAGCCTTGTGTATATTGCCGATGAAAGCTAAATGGTATTCTGAGCTTTCTTCGGCAGCTTCTTAGTCACGCAAGGAAGATTGCAAATAGGCATGGAAGGTCTGAGTAGCGCCGTATCCTTTTTCTGTCTAAATTGCTTGTAGGTGACATTCTGTGCACATTGCAGTACGTATCAACTAAGCTCAGTGGGATAGCTTGCTGCTGTACGTATTTTTGGTGCATGCGAAGGCGAGTATAGGGAAGCTCTACCGGTAGATGTTTCAGGTCTAGCATGTTGTCAGACAGAGGCCTGCTTTTTATGCCTTGCTGCAAGTGAAATAATAATTTCAAAGATTGTGCGCTATATGACCAGTTGCTGGTTCAATATGGTTGGTTTCTTGCTGAGCTCTGTTACTCAGGAGGGTAACTGTAATGGAGCTGACTTGTCGAGTGACAGAACTCCCCCTTTCACAGTGGTTTTATTCAGACTTAAGGCAATGTGCTTGCGCAACTTTCAGCAATGGCAGCTGCACAATCTGGTTCCTTAAAAACTTTTCTTTGCACATTTATTCCATCATTTAGCTGTACATCTGCATAGCTTACTTCCGTCGGCCCCTGAAGTATTGCTGATATTTTACTCAAAAAGTTCCATACGGAATTCGATTAGGGGTTGTGCCCCTGGAATTTTTGTTTGTGAAACTTTCGTGAGCTACAGCAATCCCCTTGGCAGACTTCTTGCTGACTCATCCAGTGGCCATCTTTGGTCTGATGGAACTATTTGAGCGTCAGCATTGATGCTCTTTAGTCTCCTTCAAGGGGGGTTGCATGTTGCAAGACGAGCGCTTCAAAGCCACCAAAGAACACTGTGCAGACGGCTCAGGAATGTTTTGGAAGCATTCCTCTGGTTGCCCTCCTTCTGAAGAAGGTATGAGCGGCTCCAACATATTTCTGGAATGGCTGTTGAAGTTTTGGCCTCCATCTCCGCAGCTTATGAAGGACAAGCTGTTGAGGAACACCATCCGGTACAGCCGCCAGTCCCAACAGCAGCTGTTCCTCACATGGAGCACTATCCGGGTTACCCTCATGTAGATATGGTGAGAAATGCAGCCTTCTGCTTGACCTGGAGGAACCATTTGGGACAGCGAAGACATAAAGTGTCTCAGCGTACAAGCCCCCCTCAGGTTTCCTTCGAATCGCTTTTACAAACGGTCATCTGTTGGACCTGATGATAGAAAGGTTTCTCATCCGGAGACAAAAGCGATGGGTGTGTCTCTAGGCAGCGGAATGAGTCCCTGCGTCCTGTGCTTGTGACACTCATCTCACATAAGAACGCCCTTTTGTCTGCAGGGGAGGGTGCCATACCATACTCCCTATGACCCCTACTACTCTGCGACTATGATGGGGTATGGACATCAGCCAATGGTGAGGATCTCTCATCAGAAGATGCAAATGCTGAGGCCCGAAAGCAATTGGGGTTCAGCGATAGACTATGCAGCTCTTCCTTTCCCTTCCTGCTATCATCCGTGTGTCTTCTGTTTCCTGTGAGCCAGTCGTCGTTGGGACAGGGTCGCTTCGAAAGGTCTGTCATATCCTCAATTGCAGTCAGATTCGAAGTTTTAAAGTGGGCGATTCACTCTGCAGGCCCCGCACCCATTGTTGGCGGCACAGACTGCCCGTATGCCTCTGCCAATGTCAGAGTTGTTGCCGGAAGAAGAGCCTGTGTATGTGAATGCAAAGCAGTATCATGGGATTCTGCGGCGTAGGCAAATTCGAGCCAAGCTGGAGCAAGAAAACCGATTAGTCAAAGCGCGGAAGGTGAGAGCTCATTTCTCAATCTCAACCTGCAGTCAACTGTTCATGCTTTCAGAACACAACTCTGATTAAGGCAAACCCGACGTTCAGTTATGCAGAGTTTTGAATCTGGGTTGGCTACAAAAATTGCACTCTATGAATGCCTGAAAGCTATGGCAAACCAGACTTTCGAACTGATAGTCATTCCTGTTTGCTTTGTGCTCCAGCAACCATATCTGCACGAATCTCGACATCAGCATGCGCTGCGGCGAGCTCGGGGATGTGGGGGTCGTTTCTTGAACACAAAACCGGAGAAAAAAGATGAGGAGCAAGGCGGAGCAGCTCAAGAAGGGGCGAACTCAAGCGGGGCCACAACCGAGGCACCGCAGAATCAGGAGACGGGGGCTGCTAGCCAGCAGAATCCGAATAATTTGCCGGAAGCACCGTCAAACTTGCAGCATGAGGAGCAGCCGGCGTTGGTTTACTCGAACGCCGTGGTTGTGCCTCAATACATGCATGCCAACGGGCAAGCTGGCTATCCGATGGCAGCATATCATCCACATTATGGCCCCGGCTCTGAGCAATTGCCGCAGCCTGGGTTGACGTCGCAGTAGCGCAATCAGACATTGTTCGTTGAGTTTGAGTCGGCTGATGCAAGTCAGGTTTGAATCTAGAATAGGAGAGCCATCAAAGACAGCTACGGAATGGGGGCATTTTGCCGATGCTACCAAGAATGGCATGGTGCATCACTTGAGAGTAGGCTAAGAAAGCTCAACTATCTTGTGACGAAGTCAACAAGATTTTGCAAGTTTGTGAGCACCGTGTGTCCAGTCCAGGAGCAGACTTGACTGTAGGTGTGCTGAAGAGTTTGGCTCTGATATGCTTTTGGATCGGGCTATGTAAAAAAGAGAAGCGTATCAAGTTGCCGTCTCAACTGTGTTGATTGATGAACGAACTTCGCCCAGTTGACGTGTGCCACCATGAGCCTTGCTTCTTGCCATTTAGCCAAGCACAGATCTAAACTCCCCGTTCTCCTAGTCAAATCGATGATGAGGGCCGGGGGAGACTTCCAGCAGTTGACATGCGAGCAGTGCGTAATGGTGCCATGCTTAGGCATGACACTGCTCACAAAGCTATTGTAGCTATATCGAGGAGGTTTCTCAAAGACAGCTCACGATTTATCAGGAGCTAGCGCGCTGGCAGCAGCTTTTGGCATGATGGTCAACTTTGATAAAGGAGAAAAACCCGGTGACGTGTGATCTCAATGACGTATACAAACCCAGTTAAGCATGTATACACACGAACGTGAATAACGTGATCCACGATATGCTGGAATTGGCCGCAGTGTATGCAGAAGATGAAAGATTGGATTGAAAGACTACTGGATCCCAGTTTAAGCTATTGCAGTCACCGGTCGATCTTCCATCAACTTTAAATTGCACAAAATGCCTAAAATATGCATGATGCATGTCGGCAATTCGATCATCCATAGACTCGAGATAAACCTCTTTTGCAGTGCGACGGTTGCCTATTGTATATGATGACCATCGATATATCGAACGTGTGATCAAGAATATAGAATCATGCAAACGACGGCCTGCATGCTCTATACATACCCGAGCTACCGTAAATACTACAACGACGGTTGGGCATGATGAAAGTGTCAGCCGGGAAGGCCGTGCATAGTACTGAGTGCCTGGCGGCGCGTATGCGTGTGCTGGGCCCGGACTCGTCTTGTTTGCGTTGGACTTAAATGCTTGATGAGCACGCACTAACGCACGAGATTGACGGCCTCGGAGGGCCTGGCAGTAACTCAAAGCAATCCGCCCATTCAGCATAATACCCAAATACGGAGCGTTGTAGGGTTATCAGAGCGCGACCCGTCGCGGGACCATTACAGAGGTAACACATTATCCAAAATATATGCAAGTCCACCATTGGTTGATTACTCCAGATTTCAAGATGACGAAACGTCCTCTGTGGTAGGCCCCAACTCACCAACCGGCCGTTACTCCCCATGAGCCTCTTTGACCCCGGAGCGAGCATCATGCTCTCACCCCCAAGCTACTTTACCAGCACCCATCCTAAACAGCCCAGGTCATATCGACCGGGGGATGATATTCCGGCCACTTTCCGGCCTATCACCGGGCGATCGAAGTGAGGCTTTGGGAGCCCAGGGAGAATGTCCGGTCGCCGTGTCGAAGCGCCGCGTCTGCGGCCGGTCGTCCGCGTAGTTGAGCACGTCCAGCGGGGTCGTCGTCTTGTCGAGCTGCGCGTTCAGCTGACGCGTGGCCTTCCCGTACGACTCCGCATAGATGTGCTGCCACAAAGAAGTTGACGTGCTGACGTCAGCTGATAGATGTATGTTTCTACGACGGATTGTGAGTCCTTCGAGCAAGAGGATTCGTTTTGGCGTTTCGTCGGACCGTGTCTGTTTGTCAAAAACAATCAGGCAGGAGCGGCTCCGGGGTGCTATTACGTGTGCAAAAACGGACGCAGGACCCGTGACGACTTCTCAACATCGTTTCCGCACGCAGACTTTCAATTTTAAGGAGATCTTACCGCTTCCATGGGGCTTTCCTCGACGTCTGATCGTCGTGAGCGGTTTGCCCCCGTTTCCTCAAAGAATTGGAAGTTCTCGGAGAGTTTCGAAGAGACCCAATTTGTTTACAACCATTTCCAACCAACGAAGAGCGCAACTCCGAAACGACAATGAGCACTCCTCTGACAGCTGATTCCACAGAGAAAAAGCATACGGTATGCCCACCTGCTTCCCGTGCACGTGCCCGGTATAGCCCGACACGTGGTGCCTGCCCTCCATTACCTCCGCGATGTCGGCCGTGATGGGCTCGCGGACTTTGTAGTCTTTGGTGTGAACGAACTGGTCCCTCTGCGCAACCCAAACGCGTCACACCGGATCAGACTCAGAGTAAAAGAAAAAGCTCGGGCATTTTTAGGATGCGAGCGGACTAAGTATATATGCGCAGGCCGGAAGGCTTCATTGCCGACTCAGCACAATGTTTAGGGTTCCCAGAATTTGAAAAGCTGGAAGGTGTTTTGTTTCTGTCATGGCTCGACACACCTTTGAGTAGGGTTTGCCGTAGCATTGAGCAGAAGCTCGATCAGCTCAGCACAGTTTTGTAGGATCAAGAGCCTCCAATCTGATCGCGCACCATTGGTGTTGAAGTAGACGTCTCATTCGGATCGAATCAACCGCGGGATCTTATGTATCTCGTCTCCCTTCACGTCACAGTATTTCCAATTTTGACCAACTTCTTCGAGGCGACGGGATCTTGCAAGCGATATGAGACTTCAAAGCCACAAGAAGCGAGCGAAACTACCCGTTGCATTTGAGTCGCTTATAGTCCCTCGTGAAAGCGGCAGGGAAATAAGTCTAATCGTCTCGTTCAGATCACCGAGTCATCGGGATCGCTTACGGAGTGATCCCCCTTCTGCGCGAGGATCAACGGCTGCGGCTCGCCTGCGTTTGGCTGCGCTTGAGCGTACATGTCGACACGGCCCTGCAGAGAAATCCGTCACGATTCAGTGAACGGAAAGCCCAGTAAACTGTAACGGTGGGGACGGCTCGGTTAATCCAGGGGTTAGGGTTTGGTACGAGTGCGGGGAGCGTGAAATTATGGGGGAGACTTTTAATCGAACTCGAAAAGCGTGAAGTTCACTACATTCACTAGACCGAGAATTGTCTAGTACAACGTAGATGGCAGGGCTTGCTTGCAAACAAGCAATAGCTGCGTCCCTCGACATCGAAAAGGTCCGTAAAGGTCCTCAAATACGTTGGCCTACGTGAGAAGATTACGCCGCCCAGGTTTGAGAGTCGAAAGGGCGGGATACACCGCTAATGAACAAGCGGTCGCCTGATCATTCCGAAGACTTACAAGCAGCCGACGCGTTTTGCAACCACACCATTGCGTCCGAGCAACCAACCTGTGCCTTCAATTCACTTGATCAGGCCTGTTTTCAACTACATACACTCCCTATTTCCTCAGAAACGCTGTCTTCAAAGGATCTATTTGGAATCTGAAAACACTGAAATCTAGAAAGGTTGACGCGAAACCCTTTCACTTGAAACCATAAAACCTTCAAAGCCTTGGACCGCGCACCTGCGGCCGCGCGTCCACGAGCTCCGCCATGGTGCTGGCGTTGCCCCCCTCCCGCATGACGCCCTCCGCCTTGTGCGCGAGCGCGGTCGCCTTTCCGTACGTCTTGGCGTACACGTGGTTCTTGGCCGGTACGTACCCCTAGAAAGGAGCAAAAATCTGTGATTTTGAATGCTGGTTGTGTTTATGATCCCTTGCTTCTTGTTTGCAAGCGCGCGGTTGCCCTCTCGTTTTCTTGTGTCTCGATCGATCTCTGGCCGGTACATACTCAGGTGACAACAGAGGGTTTGGTTCTTAGGTCTCGCTTTCAATCACTGGTTGTTTAGCTTTCCTTTTTTTCACTGCCTGGTGTAGGAGAAGCCAGAAAGATAGCGATCAATAGAAATGGAGCGAAGGAAAACGAGAAGCCCCTACCGACCGTTGGATCACTTCCGTTTCACGAAATCCAAGGACATCCAAAGCATTCCCAGAAACAGCTCTAGGCATTTCGACAGACGTTGACAGGGCAGTCTAGTTGGCGAGAGAAAACAGGAGAAAAGATGCTGGCGAACATATTGTGACGTCACTGACCAGGTAACCGGGTACTTTGGACTCGTCGAGTGACTTCACCCCGGTCGGCCTGTCGTCAGCATACTCCATGGCGCGGAGGCTGACCGTCGCCAGTTTTGGCTCGGCGTGTTCCCCCGCCTCGGTCAGCTTGCGGGTGACGTGGCCATAGCTGGTGCCATAGATGTGCTGGGCGCCGTGCTGCGGGCAAGAGATCGACGGTCAGCATGATACGGAGAGAAGGAAATATTCTCAAGAGAACGCAGAACAGCTGCTCAGTGGAACGTTCTGGAATGGTCGTCTCTACAAGGAACCTTTTGAAAAAGGATTTCGATTCGAAGATTCACGTTCTGTAAACGACTACAGGCAAACGAACCGTGTGCGCGCAATTCGCGTCAGTTGCTGTCTTGTCTCGGCCTTACTGGCCTCGATGAAAGTCCTTCGTTCGTCTCTCTCATACGGCAGTGTGAAAAGGCAATTCCACACGTTGAACACTCCCTCTCTGCTCGAAACAACCGCACGTTCTCGCCTCATCAGTAGAACCCGTCCCGCAGCCCACCTGATGGCCCGTGTAACCAGGGACCTTGTTCTTCCCCTCGGTGACCTCCGTCGGCAAATCCTCGAACGCCTGCTTCCGAGTCTGCAGGGGCCGTTCTCGGTAGCTCATCTCCGGGAGCGAAGCCGACGGGACGCTCTTCAGAATTGGGCCCCCGATGCTGCCCGGACTAAGCGGTTGTTGCTCTTGGGCGTAGAGAAAGTCGCGACCTTGGGGCCGATTGTCGACCAACTGCGAAGGAAAGGAAGCGGATTTCTTAGCTGAGAAGAATGTTCAGCCTTGTTTTCACTACGGTCTTGAAGGCATCCTTTGCGACCTAGTCGGAAATATTGGCGCTGTTGCTCTCTGGAACCGGGCCCCCGATACTGCCCGGGCTGAGTGGTTGCTGTTCTTGAGCGTACAGAAATTCGCGGCCTTGTGGCCGGTTGTCGACCAACTGCGGAAAAAAGGAAGCGGATGATTCTGCAGAGAAAGATGTTCAGCTCTTTCTTGAACGATTGTGAAAGCAGTCTTTCCAACGTAGGTATAAATGATGCCCTTTCGGATCGGGTTCCCGATTCTGCACGGGCTGCTCTTGGGCTTAGTTGAAGTCGGGCGGCGCCCGGTTGTCGACCGAGCGAGTTCACCGATCAGTAAAAGGGGACTTGGAAAAGGATGAGTCTTGGAAAACTTCATGGGAAAAGGAGACGGAAGTCTCTTCGGAAGGTTGAGGTTGGCCAAGAGATTTTGTTCCTGCGGGGCAGCTGTCGAACCAGTTGGCAAAGTTAGAAACGAAGAGGATTGTTTGTGGGTTAGCTCCCTAGTTTAGGGTAACCTGACCGCCAAGCTGCTAAAAAGCGTCAACAGCGACCTCCTGGTTAATAGTGACCAGCACGAACGTGCGCCTCGAGGGAATCCCGTGCGCAAATCATGCGGAAAGGCAGGAACAGACGCTTGCACAGATTTCCACGAAGCGACAGTTGGCGCCGCATCTGTTCAAGAGTCACCCACTTTATTTGTGCAACTCTGAGTCTTCTCGTGGAAGGTGTTTCCTCATCGTCGTTGGCGCAAGTGTTCTGTGACAAGCTCAGGGCAACGAGCTGCTAGCTACCGTTTTCAAATTCCATCAGACCTACTCAAAACCTTCGCTCCGTGTCTCCTTTATCATCTCCTTTCCATAAGCTAAGCTCTCGATCTTCCTGTGTTCAGCCTCCTTGTCAAAGGCTGGACCAGGGACTTGTGTGCTTACAACCTGGCTCCCTCGATTGTTCGAGTTTGCTAGAGTGGCCCCACAACTTTCGCTTCATCAAAACTCCAGTTGCACCTCTTCGCTGCTCAAGAACCGCGTTAGCACTGCTTTCTTCCCTGTCGGGGCCTCGCTTCAATTCAGCCGCCTCTAGCTACATTATTTTCTTTTTCTTGCACTTCCTTGTTTGGCCCTATGGGTAGCTTCCGTCAAAGCACGTGGTTTCCTTTGTCTTGCCTGGACTACCCCAATCTTCAATCGCTCCGCAAGAGGCTTGCTAAAATCCAAGTTCTGCTCATCTCAATTGCAATACTCTGATAGATTTGGCCTGCTCAAGGCCAGCCCTGCAAACCTTCTAAATATCGACGTTTCCTTAGTACTTTTGGGGCAGGAGAGGTCTCCTTTGAATTCCAGTCCCCGTCCACCGTACACACACATGCCAAACTCTTTCTTCCAGGATACCCCCGTCTTGAACAGCGGTCTGCATTCCATTTGGCGGCGCCCTTTACTGGTGCGATTTTGGTGCAGCATTGTACATGCTGACCGTCAGGCTGAACCCAAAAACGTCATTGCATCCGATAAAAGTCAGCCCATGACACATTCAATCGGCCCCTTCTACGCACACCCGTCGTTGCTACCCCATCCGAAACCTAAAACAGGATTGGCCCGGAAAATCGTTCGGAACCCAACTCACTCAAACGCCTAACTAATGAAAGGCTAGCCTGACTAATCAAAAACTGGAGTCTTCTTTTACCGTAGTCATGCCCCCCGGGTTCCGCCCCTCCTTAAGCACGTCGCTCGCTTCCGCCGCCCGTCGCGACGCCTCCGCGTAGCGTTTTCCAATCAGGTGGTTCTTCATCCCGGGCACATATCCGCTGTAGCCGGGGACGCGGCCCTCGTCGGCGGGGGGCAGCCAATGCGCCATTGTTGGACCGCTGACGTTCCTATGCTTTTTCAAAACGTCGACAGGTTGCTTGTTTCTGAAGCACCTGAGGATATCAGTGCATGTGAAATAGCTTTCGACTCCACTCCAATTCTACACGACGCCCCTATGCGATATTTTTCTGTAGACCCCTTGAGTATGGCGGCATTGCATTTGGGCAGTGATCGAATTTGAAAGGGTTGGTCGCAAACCATGAACGGGGGATGACAGATTTTGCGAATCTAGCACGTACTTTAGTCTGCACTTTCTATATTTATATGTATCATGGATCGCTGTACAAATTTGCGGGCTGTGCACGTGGTCTTCTTGTTGCTCGTCGATAACGCAAATCGACGGCACACAGCAGAGCAAAGTAGCTAATGCGCGCGCAGAGCGTACCGGCCGAACCTTTCGCGCGACCGCAGGTCAAGTGGCCGTCTGACCAAGCAGCATGCACCAGGGAACACGATTTACCGTGTTGCATGTCCGAGTCTCCTTCAGCAATACGTACTGCTTACTTCAAGCTATGTTCAGGCTGCTGTTTTGACAAATATGCTTGCGGCGGTGAAGCCTTTGAGAAGTGGCGGAACTCACTAGTGACCCGTGATTTTCTGCCGGACCGTCTGAAACCTGCTTTCATGCAAAGGTGCCGATGTCCTACCAAAGCAATGCATGCGCATTGTGTTCTTGCTGCTTTGAGGTGCGTCTTCAAGGGACCGCCCTGGAAATAAGGCGTTCTAAGGGTGCTTGATCGAAAAGGTGAATGTTGAAAAGTGTTGCGCAGCTTTGTGCGTTCTAAATTCTGTGATGAGGGGTCACTAAAGGCAGCATTATCCCTTACCCTGGAGGGCAGCACAGCGGGATCTGCGGCCATATTTAGATTATTAAGGCCCTCTGGCTATTGCAGCAATCTGCAGCAGAGAGTGAACAAAGACGTTTATGAACGGGCTAATAGGCAGACAAAGGTGGAAATCACGGGTCTATGCATCGATGTGACCTCGATCGCAGGTCAATCAGCCACGCAAGGGTAGGGAGAAAGCCACTTGGCTCCATTCTAAAAAGGCAGCAATCGGCGCAGGAAGGCCTGGCGCGTTCCATTAAGCCTATGGGTCAGATGACACTTCCAACGAAATAATGTCCCTCTCTCGGACCCACAGCCGGTGGGATCGATCCCAAGCAGCCACGGTAATCATGGACGCGCCTCTAACAGCTCACAAAACCTCGTGGGCAGTCAGACCAAGGGCGGAGAGCCACGTGGGCGCCTCTGATTCGTTGGTGGGCAGTGCTGATTCCGTTGTGGGCACTTCGAAAAGCTACGTGGGCAGTGCGGAATTTGCAGTCGGTGTCTCTGATTCGTTCCTGGACGGTGCCGCATCCGCTCCAAGAACAGGCCCTTGGGAACAGGTACAGCTGTCCGAGTTGCTGACGTCGTCGGTGACGTCACATGCGTCGCCCCGGCCGGCGGCCAGCTTGCGGCGGGAGTCGCAAGAAACAGCGAGCGGCGCCCCTTGGGAGCCGCCCCCGGAGCACCGGGTGCGGACGGGAAACGAACATTGGGGGGGGGCAGAAAACGCCCACAAGATGCCCCCCCGCCCGCTGCCGTCGCGCCGGCGGAGCAGCGAGCAAGACAAGCCGGGGGATGACGCCATCGGAGGCGGCAACGGCTGGGTGGCCGACGTTAGCGGGGGCTGGGCGGATGACGTCAGCAGGGCGGGCGCTGACGTCGGCGGGTGGCCGGCGCAGCGCCAGGTGGCGGAGCGGGAGCGGGCGAGCGTGTCGGGGGCGTTGCTGTTGGACGATGACGCGGCGGGGATGCCGCTTCTGCCGAGGTTGAAGATCGGGCGGCGGCGAGACAGCTGGGAGGAAGAGGAGAAGAAGAGGAGTCTTGCGTGGCGGAAGCTGAGGGGCGTCGGAAAGAGAGTGATGGGCGCACTTTGGTGGGTGCTGAAATTGCCGGGGGTGTCGGACGAGGAGGGGATCAACGTGTTGGGTGCCACGCTGCTGATCACGGGGAGTACGATCAGTGGGGGGGCGCTTGCGCTGCCAGCTGTCACGCAGGTGGGCGATTGGCTGTCAGTTGCAGCGCTCCATGTACTTTTAGGAATCTGCAGTGTATTGAAGTTCCTTGAAGCGCCTCTGAGGCTCATTCTTGTGATTCTCACTACGAAGCTGTTGCAGAGACGCTCGAACGCATTCCTCTATGCGCGTCCCAGTTTCACTGTTGGCTAGGCATCGGCCAGAATAGTTGGGAGCGGAAAGTGTGTCGATGTCCTTTGGCGATCTCGCAAGCTGCTGCGTTGGTGGAGAAAAAAGGCTTTCCGCACTACGGATCTGACGCGATCAGTTGGCCCAAAAATGCGAATTGATGCTCCAGGAGCTGTGCTTTGCCGATACTGTGTGACCCGAACCCTTCTCAGTTTGGATCGATTAACACGCTATTCCTCCGTCGATCACAAGACGATTCTCTACATATGATTAAGAAGGCCACTTTTGAAGCAACATGCCGTCTTTTACGGATCTGGATTGGGGCCACGAATCCTCAACGGTCAATGCAAGCAGTCAAGGAATTGTGAAAGAGAATTTCGGATGTACATCTTAGCAGAACCCCGCCACGTTCCTTCCGCAGGACCTGGGGTTCATTCCGTCCGCCGTCTCCATGACCGGATGCTGGCTCTTCCAAGTGCTAGAGGGGCTTCTATTGGCAGAGGTACGAGCATGAAGAAGTTTCTCCAGAAGCGAATGCTCCTGCAGAGGGCCCGATGTGTTGTAAACTGCATGGAAAGCGAGCGCGACTTCGAATCCGTCCATTGCCTTTGGATGGCGTTGCAGTCCGCATGAGACGAACTTCAGGACACCAAATCTCGGAAGGGTTGAGGTCGTACCAATCGCCCATCGCTTCTCAAGGCTGAAAGACAAAGTCCAAGCAATGTTCCAAGCAACGCTAGCGTAGCTACGTAACGCTACTTGAGCAAGCTGAAGACCGTTCCAAAGTTCGAGAGCAAGCATCCTGCATGGCGCCCTCTAAAACTAAAGCTTCCCCTTTCACTTCGATATAGCAGCGCATGCCCAGTCGTATGATGCAAGGAAGAACCCACTAGATATAAAGGCATAAGCGCAAGCTAAGAGATGAGACACAGTCAAAAAGGGACGCACGCTCTGTTCCTGCGCAGGTGATCGCAGGCCTACACAAATCACCGCAAGAAAGTGGCCATACTCAAATCACCTCAAGGGATCCCTTCGTTTCTGCGCAGGTGATCGTGGGCATCATGCAGCGCCTGAACAAGGACAGCGCGAGCATCACGTCCGCGGCGTCCGAAACTCTGGGGCCGCGGACGGCCCTCCTGCTGTCCGCGTGCTACGTCTTCTACATGAACGCCACCCTGGTGCGGCTCACAACTGCGCGCGCGCATATTTCAGAACGTAGTCTTGCACGAGATTTTTCAGCTTGAGATAAATCTGTACTGCTGCCAAATGCTAATGGTTTCAAGGTAATTTGACCTGGTACACGCACGGCTGTCAAATTTGCGCCCGCGCTCTTTCGCAAGACATTGGGCGTTTTGGAACATTTTCTTAAATGAACCCGTTACTTGTATGTGAAAAACGTAGAGCCTTGCCACCGTCGTTCTAAATTTGAGTACCGTGCAAAGGAAAGTCTGGTTACACAGCGCCTCTTCCAGCTCCGTGACTTCCCTGCTCTTATATTTTCAAAATATGCAGTGCCTTCGCGATTATCGCCAACACCTCTTGGGGCGCAGTACTGTTCATAGCAATGAAACGACATGGAAGGGTCCCTAGAAAAGCACTCGATATTATGTTCTGAATCAGCGAAACCCCATCCCGGAAGCAACTGCAGATCGAGAACAGTTTCCGGGGCGCCATCATGGTCAATAATTTGGATACAGCCACAGTTCTGCAGAGATTCATGTGTACCTTACCGGATTCGGGTTATCAGAACCCGGCTCCATGTGCAGAACTCAGGTCGCCCAATCCTCCCCCAGGCGCCAAGACTTAAGAAATCCGACTCAACTGTATTTCAAAGAGGCATAAGCGCCACTTCCTTTGCTAAACACAGGTCGCCAACATCTCCGCGGAGCACGATTGTGGCCGGGTATCATCTACACAAGCAACATAATGTCATGAACAAAGCAATCTGAAAAGCGACTCCAATACAGTTGCAAGACGCAGGTCGCCAACATCTCGCAGCGCCAAGTCCGTGGTTGCCATCGAAATCAGCAAAAGAAAACCTTGAAAAGATTCATCTGAATGAATTTCAAACTATCGACGAACCACAGGTCGCCAACATCTCGCGGGGCGCCACGATCGTAGCTGCCATGGTGGATCTCCCGCTGGACGTGGCTTCGCTCGCGCTCGTGCTCGCGAGCGGCGCGCTCCTCTTCGTGGGCGGCGTGCGCGCGACGGACCTCGCCAACCGGGTGCTCACCGGCCTTCTCCTGCTGTCGCTTATTCTCACCATTCTTACCGGGTTAAGCCACGTGAGTGTGAACACTCCCGCTCATTTCTACTATTTCATTGGGCTGTTAAACGCGAGAGTAAATATTCTGGCCTCACGTGCGTTCTACCACGCCAACGGGAGTCTCACCGGGCAGCTCCTGATGTCGCTCATTCTCACCGTACTCACCGGGTTGGCCACGTGCGTGTAAATACTTTCGTTCATGTCCTTTACGGCGCTGGTGTGACTCAATGTAGATTCTCCTGGTTGCGAGCACGACTTTATCGGGTCATAGCACGTGCGTATCAAGGCTCTCAGATTCAATGCGCGTCTTGTCAGGACCGCGATCTATCCAGCGCTCGCGACGACAGATGCCAGTGTCTCTCGTATGTCAAGTCTTCTCACAGAGCTTTCCGTTTTCACTTACAGCACCCCGTTCTTCTGGAAAAATAGCCTGATTATGCATGTCTTTGGGACGACCAAACCGTGAAACCTCTGTTCCCCGTGAAACCTCTCTTTCCAGATGGAGGTTGGGCGGCTGACACGTGGCAGCTGGGCGGCGATCCCGGCGAGCCTGCCGGTCATCATGCAGGTGCTCAACTTCCTGTGCATGCTGCCGGTCGTGTGCAGCATCCTGCGAGGTGAGAAAATTGATTTTTTCCAACAATCAAAACCAATGAAGTGCTGTATCTGGCTATATAGTTGAAACAGGGTTCTTCTTTCATCGAATCCAAGGTGCGAGTCAGCTCTCGAGGTTTTTTTGCTTTCAATGTATCGCAGGTCCTGTTCCGCTTTTCTCGGCCCGTTTGCAGACAGACCCCCGATCATGTTCTTCCTTTGACAAGCGTTGTGGAAGCGAACTTCTCTTCCTCCTTCTTAGGCGTCAGAATGAAAAGCATCGCTGCCGAAGAACCTCTGATTGTTCAGAACCACGAACCTCTGACTCTTCAGTCGTAGAGCCATAGAGTCATAGAGCCATCAATGCTTGCCATCCGTTCCGCAGGCGAGATCCGGCTCATCCGTGTTGCCGTCATCCTGGGGAGCGGAATTCCGCTCCTGCTGTACGTCGCCTGGGACGCCGTCGCCCTGGGCCTTCTTCCGGCCATGCCGCTGGCAATTCCGGCGCGCCAAACGGACCCGGTGGAAGTGCTTATGGAAGCGCGGGGGGCGCATATGGGCGTCGTCCTCACTCTGTTCGCCTTCACAGCGGTCGCCACGACGATCATCGGGTTAGTGACGGTTATCTGTTTTCGATTCTAGAACTTTGGGGTTTGTATACTTTTCGTTCAATGTTTCGTAGCCTGAGTATCCGCTTGTTTTGCCTTCACAGCGGTCGCCACAACCATCATCGGGTTAGTGAAGGTTCAATTTTGGGTTTAGGATGTTAGGGTTTTGGATCCTTATCGTCGACCGGTTTTGAAGACTTTGTCGTCCGATCTCCAAAGCTCTTCGCCTTCGAAACGCTTGTAGGAGCTCGCGACAAAAGCCGTCCTTAGACTTTTATTCTTGCAGCTGTTTGTAAAAATATAAGCCTTCGAGAAGAAAACGAAATGAGATTGTGCTAACGGGAAACTACAGAATGGTTATCGGTCAGAAAATGAGGATACGAATGAGAGGACTACGCCCAACAAACGGAGAAACGTCACAACTCAGCTAAGAAACGCCTTTCTCTCTTAGGTGTCACCTGAGCTTGTCCGACTTCTTCTTCGAGTACATGCTGCCCAGCCACGTGTCCGCTGCTGGCGCCACCAAGGGGTCCCCCGCACCCCCGGGGGGATCCCCCGAAGCGTGGCCGGGCGCCACTCCCGCGCCCGGCCGGCGCGCCAAAGTGTGGGCGTGCAGCGTGCTGACGTTGCTGCCCAGCCTACTCCTCGCAATGACGGTGCCTGACGTAAGCATGGTCGTTTCTCTTCTTCGCAGTTCTTCCTCGCGTTCTGTCGCGTATCTGTCACCTTTTCTTCACGTTTTGTTTTTAGAAGAATCTGTCACTCAGCTTAATACGGTGTGGCCCTGATCGCCCACGTCCAGCTCAATGAAAGCATCTCGTTGACCACATAAAAGCGTTCAGAAGTGGGTTCATTCAATGAGCGGTCTTGGTTCGGATCTCCTTCGTCTGAGTCTCGCTCTATCTTGACTTCGAGGCAAAGGAGCCGCCGAGATTTGCAGCCACACTGAGTTCCGCTCCCGCTGGCACCACCGTCCGCTTCCCTTTGTTTTACTCAGCGGAACTTGAAAAGGGTCAAAGGTAGAATGTTATGCAGTCAAATCGAGTTTCGCTTCCCGCTGGCAGCACCGTCCCCGCTTCCTCGTAAACTTCTTAAGAGAAAGGACGTGGCGAGCGCTAGATCCTTCACGTTTGCAAACCAAGAGCTCGATTCTCCACTTGACTCGATCTTAAAACAGTGGAAAGGCGGCTCTGGGCATCCGAGAAAGGTCTCATTGATCAACGAGAAAGAGTCTTGATTACTTGCAGTGAGCAACGGTTGCTTAGAAACCGTACGCAATCTCTTTCCGTCTCTGCAGATGGTCTACTCCGTCCTGGACTACACAAGCCTGTACCTCGTCACAATTCTCTTCGGCGTTGCTCCGCCTCTCATGTGCTGGAGCCTACGAGACGCCAGGTGGGATGACGTTTTTGGGAGCTCGCGTGACGTCAGCAGATTATATTCACAGTGCGTGCCGCCCAGATTTGAGCGAATGATGCAGCCTCCTCGGATAGAATACAGACGGACGGGTCCAATACTTAGGTCTTACATTCAATGAGTACAGCTCTAACATCGTTTTGGGTTTGAACTGGCAGGAGAAGTTTCTGTGAAGCTTTCTGTCGCACAGAAAAAGTACATCCGTACGTTGAAGTCAAATAAGCACTCAGTGACCAAGGGTTTCAGGCTTCGTGGCGAAACGGGAATACAAGAAAATGGTACACCTATTCGAGAGCCACGATGGTACTGATCGTTGTCCTTAACATCACGCTGCTGAGCAACCTTTTCCGTCCAGAGATGAACTGCCATCTTCACAGGTAAAATTGGATCAAAATTTAACGTTCTGCAATTTTTCTCTGTTGTCAGGGACGAGAAGACGGCCGCATTTGCTGTCGAGAGGGAATTCACACCGCGGCGGGGACTGCTGGTGGTGGCAGCCGCGTTCTCGGTGTTACTACTCTTGCTCAAGGGGTTCGAGCACTATGTTGTGTTATTGGGGACGTTCATTCCGGGGGTTCAAATGGCGCCAAAAAATGTGCCCATAGCGTAAAGAGAAAGGCGAAGGCGAGAAATGTTACGACTGTCGGCGAAGTTGAACGGAGAGGCGGTCATCTAAACGGTCGCTTGGCTAACCAGGACTTGTGCGGGGGCCTGGCGCGCATGTAGAGTAGTTTGACGAGAGAGAATCAAAGCGGGTTGCATTTGACACAAATCTTGCGCGCCGCGAATAAGACGCCCAAGCGGGCGAGACTGCCAGGCGCGGCCTAAGCTAATTGCCAATGAACCATGACGTACGAATGTGAAGAAGTCACATCCTTCATAACGTCTTGGGCAGCTCATGGGCGTGCTGCTTGGTAGACTCTGCCTTGTCATGCAATTGTCAGCTTCGAACTCCGTAAACTGCATGGCCGGGCGCCCATGGAAGTCGCCTTAATAACGCTCTCAATATCGAGCACCATGCAATTGCCGCCATGATCAAGTTCTCCGACCTTACAAGATCACCACTCCTTATGATTGATGTAGGTCCGACCATGCAATTTAGGTTTCAGGCCGTATGATGGGGAGGTCCGAGTCGCAATGCGCCCGTAGCTGACTCCGAACGTGTATACGCACAACTTTCCATATGCAACTCAAGGTGCCACTCAATTCGTCGATAGTTTATAGTGCAGATCATGCTTCGAAAGCGCGGAATTAAGCGACAGATGATAATTGCAAATTGATCCGTGTGGCTGCATGCCATCTGTCGTGCCCACATTATATAAACTCCGCGCGGCGGCCTAGCTACAGGAGACGCCCATGGTTCGTCCCATGCCGCGCGCCACAGATTGCAGATTGCCGCTCCGGATTGGATTGATCTGGGCATTAACCATTGGTACATGAGTGAATCTTTTACCCAATGCGTGGATCATATGGCCGGAAGCGTGATTCGCCGGGCACGCCAGGCCAGCTGTTAGTAACAAACATAGCTCATATGATTGCTTCGTCAATGCGGGCGGCACGGCGCTAATATATCTGGCACTGCAACTGCTCCCACATTCCACGATAACCATTGCCCTGATTTGGTCGACAATCTGATCAGCCTGGATATATGCACCTCGATCAAGACGACGTGCAAAACTGGGAAGCGTATTGCGAAATCGACCATCACGGCAAGAGAAATATCGCCACAGCACACGCTGCGGTTGTGTTTGGATAGAGTACACATGCGCCAGTCGACACGACAAAAGAGTCCAATAAAGCAGCCGTTCGGTTTTGCTTAATCCTCCTCCTCCGCGTCTTGGTCGGCGATGTTGAAGTACCGGAGCTCGTACACGTTCCTGTCCTTGTTGGACGCAATCACTCGTAGCCAATCGCGGACGCTGTGCTTCTTCAGGTACTTCTTGGTCAGGTACTTGAGGTACCTGCGTCATGTATATCAAGTCGCTTAGAGACAAGGAAAGAAAAGAAATCTTAAACAGGAAAATGATGAGCAAACAAGCTGTTTTGGATCCACTTCTTGTGCACGATTCAGATATCACACGTGCAAGTTGACCAGACAAAAGAAAGAGGAACTGATAAAAGGAGGGTCTGATTGTGGATCAAGTAGTTTTGGTGAGGCACTGCGTAGTCAGGTACTTGACTTTGATGCTTCCCTTCTACCAAAGAACGTCGCGAAGCTACTCAACGGACTCCATTTCGTGTCCTAGACGTCTAGAGACTAATTGTAAAACCAAACACAGCTCTTTACATATGCCGGCTAGCATTGCAGCATCCAGTAAAGGCTCGAGCTATGCCCCATGGCGCAGCTTCGTTTGCACATGACCGGGCCCAGTACAGCAATTGAGACACAGAAGAACTTCTTCGGAAGGCCTGCTCCCAACAGCATCACACCAGCAAGACGAAGCGAAGCAGAAAACAATACGTGAACTCGATTTTCACACCAATCAAAGTCCACAAGGGCAAATCAGTCAGCAACGGGCCGTATGATTTCTGCAGCGCGTCCAGAAGCACGAATGTCCCTCACAGAGTAGGTACAGACAACATGCTGGCGCAGCCTGCGACCAGATAACAACTTCTGCTATCTGCTTTCACATAGGCACCTGATCTGGACTGAACAATGCAAAAGGCAAGCATGCGAAGATGCAATCCCGATGCGACGACAGGCTGACCGCAGCAGCCGCCGCCAACTGCCGTGCAAAGCAGTGGCCAAACGACCAAATCCCAAACCATGCGAACAAGCCCAAATCGTTTCTGCAGCATGAGCTGTTACTTCCGCTTCATTGCAACAACCTTGCAGCACACATCGCGCTATACCAGGACGAAAGCCTGACTACGATTTCGCAGCCGGATAACTTGTATCGCCCTGCCGCAAGTAAGGTCACCTAACTCCTGCCTTCTGGCCCCACCTTCATGACTGCGATTTCAGCTGGAAAAGTGTCTGTTTTGAACCAGAGCTCGCTTTCATGGTCAGCAACCTGAGTTTGATGAAGCGTCAGCTGCTTAACAGCAAGAAGGACAAATGCGCCCTTGCAGAAAGCCCACCCTGGGGTTGTATTGCACGGAGGGCACAAACAGACCGGCTAGCTACAAGCCCCGTCTGTATCTTCTCTTGCACATACGGAGGGCTGATATCAAAGTCGCGGGTATTGTGCATTTCACGGGAAAGTAGCAACACTATGACCGGAGGCGGACAACAGCTCTCCCTCAGCTAAAAGCCCCACCATGCCCATCAAAACTTAAGAAATGTCTAAGTGCGACAGATGACCAAGCAACACCTGAGAATGTGCATCAAGCCGAGCAACCAGACCTTTGTTTCACCAAGCAGCACATTGTTGAGCGGCCGAGGAAGAAGCAACCGTAGCCAAACCTTTTATGCTAAGGGCGCAACGGAACCCGAAATCGATCTCGCAACTGTTCTTTCCAAAGTGTTAAACCCCTAAGTATCTTGCCCGCCTAGATATCAGCTCGAATCCCAAGTGTCCCGTCCGTTCATCAACTCGGAGCTTCGACATAGATCGGTCATTCTGGCGGCCACAGTAACTCCAGTGGTCCCAACGTGGGGTGCATCGATCAGTGTGCGCAGAACCTCACAGAAGCACTTCAACAAGCTTAGACCCCCAGACAGGTCCAAAGTAGCCCTGCCATGTCTTGGCAATGAGAGTATTCAAAGAAACAGCTTCCGCCCCTTCAATAGGAACACCAGATTATCATTACCACTCAATTCCAAAACCAGCTCAGCACATAGCCTTTGACTGGGGACCTTGCGATTCAAAAACACCAAGATTGGTAATGCATCATGTCCTTAGACATTCGGGCTTGAAGCTGCGAGTGATTGCCCCAAACCCTTGAGACAACCATTACCAGCTCCAATCTGCCCCAAACGGCAGCTTCAGAAGACCAAATCGGTGAAATGCAACCAAAACAGCTCTGTGGCAACCTTGACAAGGTCAAACGGCCCCCAAGTACCAAAACACAACCAGATGCAAACAAAAGTTGCAAAAGGCAAACGGGCCAGGCACAACACCAATCCGCCTCACCTCTTGGAGAACAAGCTCTCTGACGTAATCAGCAACCGGTTCTTCTCCTTTGCAATCGTCACCTTCTCCCCCAGCACCCCCGCCTTGCCATCGACCTTGATCCTATCCTGCAGGAACTTCTCGAAGCTCGCAATCTCCATGATCTTATCCTCCACCGGCTTTGAGCAGTCAATGGTGAACGTGACCGACTTCTTCTTGCCCTTCGGCCCCGCGGCCTTCTTGGCAACGACGGCGGGAGCCATGGCGGCGCCGGCGCAAGTCCTACAGAACGTCCTGGGGCGGCCACAGGAAAGAGGAAGGAGGAAGGCTCGGGCAAGGGGTTTTCGCAGAGTGCAAAGTCAAATTCACCGTATGACTTTGCAAACCGGATTGATCTTGTCTGGTCTTGACAGGTAACCCAGACACCAGCGCAGAGATACAGCGAAGTTGAGAAAAAGGGTAAGTGTGTCTTCAAAATGCAGGGCACTGACTTTTGCTTGCGGTGGCCTTCGCCTTCTAACTTCTAAGTCACTGGACTCTGGAGGCATTCATTGGCATTGGGGTCATGCAAATTTAGAAGCCCATCTTAGTTATTTTTAGGCGACCCCGCAGGATCGCCAACTCCATGAGGAAACAGCATTGCAAGCGCACAGCAGTGATGTTCTGCCTCTTATCTTGACGTCTTTCCAGAACCACCATTGCATCAAGCTTCGCACCCGCCGAGCTTTGAATCCGATCAGAAAGTTTTGGAGTTTTGAGAGAGGAGTAAACCAACACTGCGACGTTCTGAGGACACTGCAGCGCCCTTGCGTATACTTATACTTTCTTTGGAGGGCCCCTCAATGGCAATGTCGGCCGCTCTGAAAGGGCGCTTCGCAAGCACATCAGCGCTCTCAAGGTGCCTTGAAAATGTGCCCCTTAATCATTCCTGCCGTGCTGGGCCTCCCTCCATTCATACCACCAGGCCGCCGGCACACAAAACGCACTGTCCCCACAAAACAGAAAGTCATCTTAGTCATCAGAATCTGTCAGGCGGGTTTTGCGGTGGTTCTCACAGGGCTGTAGAGACCGTGTGGGGGATCAGGGGGGCGAGAGTGATGTGCATGGCATCTCCAAATGTGAGGAGTGAAGGTGAGAGACGGGCTTTGTTAGATGAAAGCTGGCACTTTGTGCACAAGTAAAAGATCGGCACACGCGGCCTCTAGAATGCAGCCCGGTATTTGGAGGGGGTAGAACTCATTAGCGTGCCCCCAGACAATAAACAAAGGATTCAACTTCTCCTGCATACATAGTTGCTCGAAGAAAAGGAACATAGATAGTACTTTAAAAAGAAGACCTCAGAAACTGTATCACCACCAGCAAATAAGTAGTACACCTTGCATCACACCCTCTTCACTTTCTTGGAGCACATCAGTGGCCCAACCACATCGTTCCATGGTCTCAAACTTAATAACTCGCCTCAATGAGCCCAGGCTGTCCTACGCTACATGAGCCGTGAACTCACAACACAACAAAATGCTGCAGTTGAGGATCATGCGACCTACCTTCGAGACGTCGCTGACATCACCCCGCCACCTCTCCTGCCAACACTGCTCAAAGCCCTTGAAGCTTCAGGTGAACTCCACATTGTGATTCTGGGCCAGCTCTCTTCCACCTTTCCGAAAGACAGCACGTTGGCTCCTACCTCATCTGCCTCGCGCTCCTTTACGCAAGTTTGCCGTTGGGACAAATGCCTTTGGATTGTTTTATGCTTTAGTTTCTTTATCAAGTTAGGATTGTCAGGCTGTTTCGGTTAAATTCGTGCTTTGCCCCTATATTGTGTGAGACTGGTCCTTTGTAAATGTTCTGAACGTGATACGATTCCTTGCCAGGAGAGGAGGTCGTCTCCCCAGCCGAGCGCGCAGGCGTCATCCCCCTAGTAATACCTCTCACTAGAAACGAGTCCACAGGTGACCGCCCCTTCTCTCAACCAAGAAAAGTCAGCCCAGAGCTTACTTGCAATTCACTTCGTTACAGGAAGGCTGCTTCTCTTGGGATGCAGGGCTTGCATTTAAGCAAGCAGCCAGGGCTCTTCGTTTCCTGAATCTACATACGCGTCTGGAATAGCCACTTAGTAGCTTTTCCTGTCTTTGCTGCATGAAAGGCAGGTGTCACATCCATGGTTTGGAGAACCTGTCCCTCATGGAAAGGAAAAAGTCCCCCAGTCTTCAGATCAGATATAGACCACATCGGAACATTCTGATTGCTTTGCAGGCGAGTTGACAGGCATCTTGCGTTGGCCAACACCGCCCGAAGGGTGAGCCCCTTCGGTATCCCTTCTCAACAGCTTTGTACGGCATTTGTGAGATTGGTTCGGTGACTGGGGACCCATTTCTGTTTTTGGGTAATTGTCTGAGCGTGTGGCACCATGATCCAGGTTCTCCTAGCCCGTTGTGATCAAGAAATGCTTGGATAGATTCCCAAGGGGCCTACCGCAATCTTTGAAGTGTCAGTGGTGCGGGGATAAACGAGCGTCACTTGGAGTTCATCGTGCTACACCCGGTTACTTGAATGGACAGAGTTTAGGACAGAAGTTTGACAGTTGTCTCCGCAAGTCCTGAGTCTCGAACTTGGGGTATCAGGTTTCGACTCGCTCACGGTGGAGAGTTTGATCGACACTGCCGAAGTATCATTTGGATATTTTCACTATAGATCGCGGCAATCATGATCAAGAAATCATCAAGGTAAAAGGTAACGAGTCCATGTCACGAGATCCAGCATCTGCATTGCATCACATGCGGGTTGCTTTTGCAGGTTAGAGATGCCTGTCGTCCGAGTGCAAAAGAACGGCCAGCTTTGGCTTCTCGCTAAAACGGTGAGCCTGTCTCGTTCTCGTTTGGATCTGGCTGCAGGGTATTCTGCTTCTTCATGGTGACGTGTCGCAGTTTAGTATCCAACTTCGTACGTTCCACCAATCCAATTTTGGCCGTCAGCGATTGGTGAATAGGAAAGGGGTTCCTCTCTTCGACCAGCATAGAAAAGACTCAAACTGCTTGTCAACGCGTCTTCTGCTGATTTGATCAATCAAGCATGGTGACTGTCAGTATATCAGACCTTTCGAGCGATTAGCTCTTACTCTTGTTTGAGACACTTATTGTTTTGGCCCACCTCGGAAGTCCCTGAATTTCTGGACATATGGCATTAGGTTTCTATTCTTTGTCGGTGTCACATGACGTCTCAACACCAAACAATGACGTTACTAGGTGGAGGAACACATAATTATGCGACCAGCGGAGGACTTCAGATCCTGTCTGTTCATGCATCGGGTCAACGACGAATTGACACCGAATGCCTGACGTCACCAGGTAGAAGAATTCATAACCATGCAATTAGCGGAAGAGGACGCGGCAGGGGGCTCTGCGCTTGCGTCGGCGCTCGGGGACGAGGGGAAGCGTCTGTACCGGACGGGTGACTTTGCGGCGTCGAAAACGCCAAACGTCAACGTCTATCTGATGAAAAGCGTGAGGGATTACCTTACTATTGAGTATTGAAAAAGCCTGGCGACGTTTACGATGCGCAGGATTTTCGTGAAGCTTAGCGTTGTTCGAAATTGCGTCTCCTTAGTGTCAAATATTATGTTTCCATCTGCTTTTTCTTTATCGTTATCTATTTGTTGTTGGTTTTCTCCTTCTTATTAAACCGTTTTGAGTATAGCGAGCCGACTCACCTTGCCCACATCAGGTGTTTTTCGGTCCTTGGCTGCTTACGATGCCGTTATTTGTGACATACGGCTTTGTATCACAGCCCACTGACGTCAGCGTGACGATCTCTGCAGGTCGGCAAGTTCCCGGACGTGTTTGAGCGGCTGGCGGAGCAGCACTTGGAGCGAAAGGATGAGGTGGGTTGCTTGACTGTGTGCACGAGTCAAGGGGCTTGCGGATTTCAGAGCGTTAACAAAATCGAAAAGTTCCCTCATGTCAAAAAAATCGTCTTTTTATGCTAATTAGTCGTCTCGAATTGAAACTGTGCCTGCGGTTCCGTTTGACTGCATGATCTGTCGGGCAGATACATTGGAATCAAAAGTGACCTTTGGCGGCATAGCACCTGACAGAATGGCTTGCTAATATGTGATTCTTTGGCTGGTAAAATCGTGGGCAGCCTAAAGGTTTCGCGAGTTAGCCCTAAGATATGATTAGCACTTCTCTAAGTTCGGGCTCGTTTCTGCAGGTGTCCTCTTTAGTTACTGCCGAGTACTATGCGCGAAAACACTTCCCCGGGTTTGGCAGGGCCTTTGTGTACAACGCCATTCTGTATAAGCGGTGAGCCCCTCCGCCTTGTGACCACTTAACTCTGTTCCTGCATCCTAATCCTACCCTTCGTTTGGGGTCTTCGTTGCTCACGGCTGATATAGAGCGGCATAGTTTCGGTCGAACCTTTTGAGCTGAGAGTTGAGGACGAAAGGCGGTCTCAAGTGGCGAGTGGAAGGGCATGGGAAGCGTCGCGAGGTACAAGCGGAAGGTCTGGCAAAGAGCAGTGAAAAACGGGAGACTGTGTTGAGAAAAGCGTTGCGCACGGTTGGGAGACGGTGCAAGCTAAGTCTGCAAACGGAATAGCCGGGGAAAGGCCAGAAAACGACCAGGAAAGTAGGTCTGGTTAGGGATGCGCAGGGACAGAGTAGAAAATGCATTTTGATGTCGCGGAAATACTCGGCCATTGCACAACCAGCATGATGCGCTAAGATGCAAAGCAGGCGAAGACGTGCAGGCAGAAGGTTGACATTTCACGGAAAAGAGGAGATAGAGCTGGTCGGCAAAACGCTAAGGAGGGGTTGAAGCGGAGAGTGGCCAGGGTTAGCCTGGCGAACAATTAGAAGGGACGGCAGTTGGCGGCTCGGAACGCTGTTGGGGCGCTCAGGCAATATTTGAGGATTGTCTGATTGTGACTTGGAAGTCGAAAGTTGCAACAAAAGCTTTTCTTTCAGAGCCTTTTTCCCCAATTACAAGCAACGAAGAACCCAAAGACCTGACGCCTTCGATGTACGAATCCCATCTGACAATACCAGCGTCGAATCGCACCCACAGCTAGCAAGCGGCAAATCGTAAGGGGATGCCGAGAGGATGTGACACCGGTAACCGAAATGCTGTTTTGCAAAACCCCCTCGCCCGGAAAGCAGTCATCTTACTCGTCACGCTCAGTCGTTGCCCTTCTACGTGATTCTTGAATGTTGCGGGGGCTCTACTCTGATTACAATTGCAAGCACCGGCTGACTTCCGCTTCCGTCTGGCTTCCTGGCAGGTTAGGGCGGAAACAGGAGTCGCGGGACGCAGCGCGGATAGCGCTGAAGTGCCCCTGGTGGACTCTGGGGGCCAGCTATGCTGTGAGTGTTCCCGTCTTTCGGGCGCGGGTTCCGTGTTGCGGTCTGATCGTTCAAGCAAAGACCCACGCTCGAACATTTGTGGATCGGCCGAGGATATTGAAAGATGCATGACAACTAGCAAAGAATTGCGTTCAGAGTTTGTCTCGCGTTTCTTTACACTTACTCGTGGTTAATCTGAGCTTTCTCGGGGGGACGGAGTTGAGACTGCTGTCGTGCGACGGACAACATCATTCTTTTCGTTTGACAAACATCATCAATTTAAGGCTCAAAGGGACAGGCTCCCCCTTGGTACTGCATAGTGCAACCATCAATTGCTTCAAGCGGACTGAATCCACGCCCAAGTTTTCCATAAGAATGGTATTACGCATAGCTCTTGAACTTTTAGGAACTGATGAAAGACACACCTCAGGGTCCAACGTGGCCACGTGGCAAGTTGATTGCTGCCCGCGTCTGCCAGATGGCCTTGAGGAAAGCTATTCCGTCGCCTTTTGCGGAGGAAAGCGGTTGAAGCTTACTCCCTACTTTGCCTCGCTTTCATCGGGCGCCTGCAAAGAGGTGCAGACACTCAACACGTTACCGATTTCCGGGGACTGCCGGCATCATCCTGTTTTGCAGTCGCTTCTGTTTGGTCTGTCATTGCAAACATTGGCGATTTTGTTGATTCAGGAGGTGTGTGAGTTGGCGGGGTGGGGCGACGAGAAGCTGGAGTTTGTCAAGGAGAAGCTGACGTCAGAGGCGACGCAGGAGGACATCACCAAGGGCAAGTCACCGGAGCAGGTGAGGCGGGGCCGTTGACGTCAGCAAGCTTGATTGATCCGCGAAGACAGCATGCTCCACCCGTTGGCAACCTGAATCCTTGGGGAAGTCTATTTTAACAACATTCTCGCTGCCCGGACGTTGAAAAACGCCCTGTGAACAAACTTAGGAGACCCAGAGTTCCTTCAGTTGCGCAACAGTCAAACGTTGATTCCTAATGTCCTATCCCATGCTTCCACAAGATTTCAGATGTCAGAAACCGCACGATTTGAACGGAGATGGACTCTATATGTCACAAAAAGTGTTAAGTGGTTTGCTGTTCTCCGCTATGGTACCTGATAGCTGAATTTGGTGCTTTCCGTTGCCAGGTCGCTCTCGACGTTACTAAAGTGTAGTCTCTAATTGGTATCCTGTTCTTGAGTTTACGCTACCTAACACTTGCTCCGGTGCTTTTCGTTGGCAGGTTGCTCTGGACCAGGCTGCATACATGATGGACATCGCCGCAGCCGAGAATAACTGGGATGACGTTCGAGAACAGATCGCCGAGTTGTATGACAGAGGAGGCCTACCAAAGCTGGCGCACTTCTTCAGGGCTGTGGGCTCGTCTTGAGCATATGTCCAGTTGGATCTGAAAGCTCGCTTCTTGAGCGGTCGGCTTGTTGTCAATCGAGCTGACTGCGAATGACAAGCTGAAATGTTGGATGGATTCGTGGTGGCCCGATTTCGGCGGACGTGTATTCAAACACGTGTTGCTGGCTTGCGCGCAGACTGATCTTGAAAGCTCAACCAATTGGTCATTGAATATCTTCAGCTTCATGTCCAGAAACCATCCGCATCATTTCACTCTATGCTGAGAGTGTCGTTGCAGTCTACATGCCCTGCCAGATGTGCTTACTGTTTGCGGCCCCACCTTCATACGTTGTCCCATGTCCGACATTGTTTGTGCCATGTCGGATGCTTCAATCTTCAACCCATTATAATGTTTCATGCATACATTCCGCGCAATAATCCTGGCAGACTCGATCTAGATGCATCACTGTATGAGTTCTTATTAATCGTGTGTGCGATCGTCATATCTACAAATATAGCCTGGCATGCGCCACCGGCGGCCTGCACATATGCGCTAACGTATAAGATAGCCCTCTATATAGCATGCAGCGGCAGCCTTCAATTACTCGAATATCGAGCTGACTCAAGCTCACCATGAGTTGAACTAACTTAAGCTTTCAATGTCAATTGCAATTAACGAAACCGCACATGCTGAGTGTCGAGCTATGAGCGTCCTAAGGATCGACAGCTCACATATCGGGTCCGCAATGTTTTGCTGCCTTAACCAGAGAATTTTTGCTGACTTCCAGAAAAATGGGCATATTTGCTTCTCCCATGTCCTGACAGAATGTGTGCATTCTCCCTTGCCGACTTCTTACTATCAACAGATCAGCGAATGCCAACTCTCCAGCTTTCATTATTGACGTTATGGGACATGTCAAAGTATGTACAGGTTTTCAGCAGAACGCTAGCCGGGAGGTTGATGCAACTACTTCAGCTCACAACCCGTTTTGAATAAGCAAGCGGCGGTCTGGTAGACCTAGCGTCGCAAGCTCACATGCAGATTGTTAGTCCTGCTTGCCTCACTCCTTTTTGAGTAGACGGACTGGCCACAGTTTGGCCATAAGCCGCACCGGCACAACTTTTCAATCGATACTCTGATCCAATGCTTTCCCCACAAACTTACCCCTTGAGGACACAAGAAACCCTTCCCACGTGAACGTTTGAAGCCCGCCGAGCTGCCCTTTCCAAGCAGAGACGCTGCCTCAGGGCTAACCCCCTTCTTCCCCCCCCTCCTAAAGAATGTGCACTGTCCTTCCTTGTCGCTGCACTTCATCCTCACCAGCTTCCGACTTCCTTTTCACAACCCTCGGCTTGATGCTAAGCCGTAACCCGAAACCTCCCTCCTCCACATATCATCGCTGTTCCAACTCCTTTGCTCCACCATTTTTAGATCCGGCAAACTGTCCTCCCTTTCGCTTTTAACACGACGCAAGACCCCCCCCAAAATCCTGCCCCCCACTCACCCCCCCGAAACAGTACTCAGCACTTGTCAGCAGGTTCGATCGAGCTGACCAGGCCGTTGTTCCGCAACGCGTTGCAATACTCCTCCGCCTCTTCCTGGCCGCATGTGATGGCGCATGCCACCCCATTCACATGCGCCTCCTGTAGGGATAAAGAGTTATCATTACGGTTGTTACTGGTCGTAGGAATGTACATTGGTTGTAAATCGGAATGTACATTGGATATTGGATATATTGATTACGACATGGCAGAGCTGGTGAGAGTCTCTCGTCCCTGTTCTAATTGAGTGCTTTCCTCGTTCCGGCAAAAGGTTAACACAAACAAGCTTCCTCGTCCTTGCAGAACTTGCATCGAAGACGATATTCAAAATGAGCTAGTTTTCAAAATGAGCTAGTTTTCATAGTACGCCCCAATCTGCTGCCCCCCCAATAAAAACCTCAAAACGCACTACTCTTGAGTGCCAGGCCAACTGTTGTCCCTCTTGAGCTGCTTTACACGACCTCTAAATTGGACCTGTAAGTATATGTGGACGGTCTTTGTTGGGGCGCCCTTGATTCAAATGTTTCATTTAGACGAAAGCTCCAGTGCCTATTTACCCATGTCGGGCCATGCCCTGAACGGCGAAGCAGCACCCGTGCAACTGTCAACAAAATAGAGGACCTCAGTTCACCACTTGGATTACCTGCCAACTAGAAGTACTGTCAAAAGTTGCCTGGTTGGCGCAGACGCCAATATCATGAGCATTACTGGGACGCAGATTTGAGGTCTTATGACAACATGAAGCAGTAGCCTCTTACCTGCATAATGTTCACCGCTATATCGACGGTCATCTCCGGAATGCACTTCATGAGCACTTGCACGACATACTCGCGCTTGTTGAAGTTGTCGTTGTGGAGCATCACCCGGTATGGGGGGGACAACTTCTTCTTTTTCACGGTACTGCAAGGAGCGGAGGTCATCAGACGGGGCCACAGTTCGAAGTCGAACTTATGATATATGTTGAAGCCCTGAGAATACATCAGAAGTGTTAAGTCAGAAGTGTTTTCAGAATCTCCAACTGTACTCAGAGTATGGCCAATCTTCTGTGTTGCGTTAGAGGAAGGACCTTGAGATGATATAAGGCAGAGCTTGCACAAACCCTCTGTTCAACGTCACAAGCGCCTGGCATGTCTCCAAAACGGGGACCAGAAGAAGTCAATGTGTTCATGATTGAGACGGGGGTAACCAAGGTACAATCAACATTTATGGACATTAGGACCTAGCAACAAGTTGCGAGTCCCTCTTCAGCAAGATTGACAGGATCTCAAATAGACTTAGGGGGCCAGAAGCACCTGCCCTCACAACCATACATAGTGAAAAGTAACTGCAACTTAGTCTTCGCAGAGGCACGACAAAATCTTCAAGCTGCAATCTCCGTAAGCACTCGCTCCCAGTTAGGACCCTCTACAGACGTCGACGGACTGACACTAGGACAGCTTCCTCACCCCAGGTCAAACTCGGACTCCCGACCGGGAGTTGGTTTTTCTACGATGACAGGTCTGTCCAGAACTCCCCCGCCTTTTCCGCCACCAACAGCTTGAATACTTGGCTGATGAACCACCGTTTGGCCGGCCCGCACGAGCCAAGGGGTCGACTTTTGCTTGCCAGAAGAACCTGAGGTTGCAGAATGAGCCCGTTCAGACTGTGCTGTCTTGGTTGAAACTTTTCAAAACGTTCTGAAGGGGTGTTGGTGTGCCTACAAGTTTACCTTCCTGCTTGTTTGCAGAGCCTCTTTATGGATGATATAAACTTGTCCAACCTTGCTGGTATGTGCGACCAGGTTTCCAAATCCAGCTAGCACAGCGGGCAGAAGTAGGGTGACTGCAACTTTTGTACTATCTAGGAGTATTGAGCAAAGCTAAAGAGTGACTTAAACAATAAACTCAGAAGGACCACCATCGGATATTCTGCAAAAACATTGGCAGTACAACGGAATCAAATGCACACGATTAAGCACCTGGAGTCAAAGTGGTCAGGTTGATTTCAAAGGAAACAGAGACAATCTTTCATGACCTCTACAATCCACGCAGAGGCTCAACAAGAAACCAACTGAGCCCTGCTCAGCAAAATGCGCAAGGCATGTCTCTATGTTTACAACTCCCGATCAGCGTACAAGAACTGCCAGCATTTCAGGAAAAGTACGTCGCAGACAGCGCCCTGCTTGTTGCATGCTTCACAAAATACACAAACATTGCTAGACACAGCGTCGAGGCAGAGATGGCCCGAAACTTACGCTCATAAGCCCCATTAAAGAACAGCAGTTTTACAACTTAGGGCCAAGATCTTGGGTCTCCAGAGAGGCACAAGAACAATCAGGCACAAGAACAACCTCCTTCATTCGCTCGTCAGATCGCACACAGAAGCTGACCTATTAACTCACCTTTTTGTGATAGTCGCCTTTGTGGTGCCCAAGGAGGCATACCAGGACTCTGCCCGCTCGTGCTACAATTTCTGGAGTCCCTGGGGTTGCTTGCGGACGCATCCGTCATTCCTACCAGCATCGACGACGACCCCAGAACAGAGCTGCTCGCAGATCTGCTCGCCATTGCAAACCGGCCAACTTTCGAAGCACTCTGCACCCTCCTTAAATGAGTTTTCTGATCAACAGAACTTGAAAAGAAGCGAGGCTACAGAAGACAAGTCTGCACGACCCAGCACGGCCAAAGTACTGGCGCCGTTCAAATAACCAACACAGCGTTCTGATTCAACCACGTTTAAGTTCAACAAGGGCGACAACCTTGGGAGGACGATTCTAGCTCCTGCAGGGAAGCCTGACGGAACTAGATTGAGAGAAAACTCTTTGGGAACTTGCCGGTTTCGTTGGCAACCGAGCTGCCGTCCGACAGACTGGTAATGGTATCCCAGCGTTCGATTTTCAACTCCCGTCAGATTAGGCAAGTGTTACCAGGCAGATCGCAAGTCGAGTGGTCCGATCGAGGTTTTAGGGTTCGGAAAATTCTAGGGTTTGATCAGGTTTGATGTCAAATTAATGGCTTCCTTTCTCTCCAGGCTTGCTCCCGGCCACTTCACCAAGTCCCTTTGAAGTGGTGTAGGGACAATTTTGCCATGGCGCTCATCGCTGAGCGCAGCGGATTGTCTGGCAGTGGAAGACAAGGCAAAGTCAAAGGATCGGGCTACAGGATGCAGATTAGGGTGCACTTTTCTGTAGTATCTTCCGGTGGGGGGCTATCAACCTGATTCCCTCCTCTTATGCATGCTGCAATCACGCAGCTGCCTTTGCTGTGGTGGGACGATGACAAGCTGGGCATCGCTTTTCTGTAAGTGACGAAGGGTTGAGAGGCTTTTTGGCGTTTCTTAGAAAGCCCCGTGAAGAGTTTTGAACTAGAAGGGGTGCAATGGCAACCTCTGGTGGTGGCAATCTGCAAGTCGAGGCACTGGGTGAGCCGCAAATGGCGGCTGCACCAGCGCCGCAGAGTGCCTGGGCAGACTACGAAACTGTCTTCACAAACGCGAAAGCGGGTGAGTCCTTCCCACCAAGGATAGTTGAGCGCTTTCGGTGGCATTCAATGATTTGAAAAGCCAATTGTAATGCTGCTCTTCTGTAGGACAAGCACTAATTGTTGATATCATGAATGTTTTCTGAGCATAGGCTATACAGTGCAGTGCGTAAACGTGGAGAAGGTGAAAGTGAGACCAATTGTAAGGAAAGGCAAGGGATTGCTTAAGGAAGGCTGAAGCGTTGAATTTGATCATGATATTAAGAGGAAGTGGATCTTGAAGACTCCTTCCGCCAGAGGTGCGCTTGATTTCGAGGACAAAAGTCAAAAAGATGCTCATTAGAGTCGTCGGTGTGGAGATTGAGTTGGGATAGTTCCTCTAGAAGAACATGTGAACTTGCCAAAATTAACTGGGGAACACTTTTTATCGAAGGCCAGAACTGTCCGCTGTCCCCATCCGTATAAAGCACCAAAGGCGGGCATGCAGGGAGAGGTCACACAAGAGCAAAGATTTTTGCGCTTCGCTGTAGACACAGTAAGGGCAACTTCACATGAACCGTCCAGAATACTGGGGAGTGTATGTCAAGATCTGAACATACGGGAGTGGTCTTCACTTGCTCGACATCAAGTTTTGCTGAGTTACTGTAACTTTTGGCATGCGATATAAGGCATTGAGTAGCATCACTAAAGCAGATTCTACAGATGTGACCATGAACAGAACACTTGCAAAAACATGCTGCCGTGGGGCATAGATCAAAGTCTGAAGAATTTTGGCAAGACTTTTTAAAACACATTTTGCAGGCATGGACGGGGTTGACAAGGACAAGGTCAAGCAGGTCGTCTACGAGATGAGCAAGGGGTCCCGCTTCTTTGAGAACGAGACGCGCAAGGAGAATGCCACCAAGGAGCGAGTGGAGCGGTTGAAGGAGAAGGCCGCCAAGATTACTCCTGAGGAAAGGGCAGGCTTTCAGAAGGTGAGAAAGACTTGTGAATTGGTTGATGCGTGACCATTTTTCTGGTGGCATTCTTCTTCTTTCGTTCTTTCTTGGAAATTGTGATTGATGCCGAAATATCTGAGTCGAAAAGCCCGTTAATGTCATCGTGGATGTTGTGTACATATCTGTGACACAATAAGGTTCCCTCTCCTCTGTTAGGTCGCCTGTCATTCTCACCAGTCACCTTAACCATGTTTTGATTGTCCAACGCGCCGTTTCCCTCAGTTGTGGCACTTTGCTCAGTTGTGGCACTTTGCATAGCAATCGTCTAATTTTACATCTTGAAATCTTTCCAAGAAGACATAGACAAACTGCGATCCATCAGTAAGTCGTCAACTGAGATCTTAACATGTAGTTATTAAGCTGATAATTCGACATCCAGTATCTCTTCCCATCGTTTCAGGCTGCCGACAAGAAGGTGGTCGAGCTCGAGTCTACAAGAGACCTCTCGAGAACCTGGATGCATGTCGACATGGATGCATTCTACGCTTCAGTGGAAGAGTTGCACGACCCAAGCCTTGCCGACAAACCGATGGCTGTCGGAGGCATGGGCATGATCTGCACAGCCAACTATGAGGTCAGCACTTTGTGAATTAAGCACGTTCGAATGAGAGTTCTACGAATCCAGATTATTGGTCAGGCTCGAGTTGAGGGCACTTTCTTGGCAGGAGGGCTATCAAGCAGAACACAGCGTTTTGATCCCTCCATGTTCGTTCACAACCCAAGGTCTTCACGTACGTCGGTTGGTATTTCACACTGCAAGCATGGTCACGTCGAGAGAAAGGTATATTAGTTGGTCGAAGACATGAGAATCCCCATTTCAAAACACCCTCCATCAAGCTGACGCCTGCGGCAAACTCCCTTTGCCCCATGCGATTCACCGTCGAATCATGTGTGCTTCATTCACTTCTGCCCGAGCTTTCCAGGGGGAGTTCGGTAAGGCAATCCTAGGACTACCAAGGTCATCAGAACAGAGAAAGAAATGAGGCGCAACTGCTCGTTGCAGGCCCGCAAGTATGGGGTGCGCGCAGCTATGCCGGGCTTCATAGGGAAGCGCCTCTGCCCCCAGCTCGTCTTTGCCAAGCCGGACTTCCAGAAGTACACGGCGGCCAGCAAGGAAGTACAAGAAGGTAGGCAAGTTTGTACCTGCTGCCGCTGTTTGCGACATTGTCGAAGTGGGCACGTCCTTTTCAGATTGCACGATTCTGCGACCTTAATTAAAAGGCCGGCCAAAGTCTTGACCGTTGGTGTTTGACCATTCGATGATTTTTCGTGACTTCGTCAACAAGCAACGTCCGCTGTGAATGGATCCTTCCGATTCACTTTGCCTTGTTTTCTTTTGGCCGAACGCTGACAATGAACAATTCGTTGTTGTAGCTGAGTCCTGCTGACCTGTGAGAATCTGTGCGACGTCACGAGCGCATCTGAATTGGAACTGACCTCGAATGTGACTGATGCTGCCGTCTTGCAGTGCTCCGCGAATACGACCCAAACTTCATCGTGCGGAGCTTGGATGAGGCATACCTGGACCTGACGCAAGTGTGCCTCGAGAGGAACATGACGTCAGCGGAGGTGAGCAAGATGCGCAGGGTGGCGATTGGCGATGGGGCCAGACGAATTCAAGCGACGCAGGGTCGTCTGCAGCAAGTTATATTCCGAGCTAGATGATGGTGAATGCTTCGATGCCTGTTTTGATTTTAGCAGCAGCCGAACAGCACCGACGTTTCGATGGACATGTGCAAAAGTCTTTTGGAACTTCGAGGCAATTTCCCATTCAAGCGCACACGGGAGGTAGATCAGACAGGTTTGTTGGCAAGCTCTCCATTGAATTCATTCTACGACTGCCACGTTCCAGCATATCTGAGCGGCATTCATCCGACACGCTTGCGAGCGTCACTTGACCCGCAAGACGCTGCAAGACTCAGAAAGGTCTTCCCTTAGAACCTTTCCAGCCAGCCCGCCGCCGTTTGGACCGACGCCCACCATGAGTTTTGATTGAATGGTCACGATTCTCGCTGCTCAAATCCTGGCTGAACGCTCAGTTGCCACGTGGCAGATTGCGGAGGAGCTGCGGACCAAGGTCCATCGGAAGACGCGCCTGACATGCAGCGCGGGCGTGGCACCTAACAGGCTGCTGGCCAAGGTGAGCCGTCCGATCTGACCTGTTCTGCCGTCGAACGTTTTTGCTTTTGAATCGTGAAACCTCTGAAAACCCTGTGCCGACCCTGTCAATGTTCCTCGAGAGAGATTCAGCGGAGACAACAAAAAGCCTCGACTGACATTCCAAAAAATAAGCGAAGATAAACCTGGCTCGGCCTAAATCCCCAGCGAAATTTACTATCCAGTGCGGTAAACCAATTAGCAATTCAGCATTCTATCAAGTTCCTTGAGAGTTGATCATCATACGCATGGTCGTTTTTCGTCCATGGACACGAAATTGCTGAAACGCATCTTTGGCGTCGGCGCTTGATGTGCCGCACCGAGCTCTTTTCTGTGTTTCGCTGTCCTTTGATCCGTCGCTCAGCTTGTGTTGCACCGTGAAGCATCACATTGTTAATCTCGTCGCTTTGTTTCTGGTGCTCACCTGAGCTTAGAAGTTGCCCTGTACTCCGTCCCACGTTACGGCCAGCAGGGAATCGGCTAGTATGTTTGCCGCCAATTGCTGCCGCGGTCGAGATGACATACAGTCGCAGGAGGCTTTTGAAGAGGACGCAGGCGTCTGGGGTGACATCAATATTGACGAAGGGCTAGCTGGTCGCTAAAAAATGACATCAGCGTATGACCAAGTGTTACTGTTTTGAAAACCAGATACAGCCATCTCGAGTCCGCTGTTGCTGCCTTTCTTTGTCGTATTGCCACGCCCCCTTAGACAACGGAAGGGGTGCACATCACTTCCCGGTTGATACAGACCGGTAGACTTTCATCTCGCACTCGAACAAGATTCTTATAATCCGCTGGAATTGTTCAGCCCGCGGTTCTCTCGTCCAATCTACTTCTCTCATAGCCTCGTCCTCAACTTCCTCTGCTCGTATCCTAGGTGTGCTCCGACATCAACAAGCCCAACGGCCAGTTTGTGCTGCCGAATGAGCGGGCCGCTGTCATGTCATTCATCACCTCGCTCCCAACTCGAAAGGTAAGTTGCTATTTTCCGAGTGACCTCTGTTGTTGAGATTCGTTGAAGTAGGAGGGAGACACCTGGCGCTGGCCCCTGGAACCTGCCGAAAAGGCGCCCTTATCTCACCTACTGCGAAGTCCCTTTCGGGAATGGTCGGAACTCTGATCTGCGAATGTTAAAAGGCGCCTAACATCTGCTGCCGGCACCAAACGGAGCCTTGGATGTAGGTAGATCAGAGCGAAAAATTTCACGGTTCACGGTTGGAGGCTAACACGTGTCTCCCCTCAGGTTACTGGGATCGGCAAGGTGGCAGAGCGGGTTTTGCGGGAGGTCCTGGGGATCACCAAGTGCGGGGAGCTGCTCGAGCGGCGGGCCATGATCTTCGCTCTCTTCTCGAACATTGCCTTTGGTCAGTCCCGCCTCCTGCTTCTGATTCTTTCAAGCATCGAGGCACTCTCCGACCCTGTCCCCATGCATCCGCTCACAAGGAAATTAAATCCGCAAATCAAGTCAAGCTCTTATTCAAACAAATTCAAAGCTGGGGTTGTTTTGGTCTGTCTAGCAACGCTTGACTTTCCTTTCGCTTGTCTTTCACATCCCGTTGCCCTCGTCTCTTCAAACAGAATCCCCTCCTTGTCGTTCTTGCGTTTCGTTTTTATATCTTTAACCTCGCTTTCTCAGAGTACTCGTGGCGGTGAGCTTAGGCATCGCGGTTAGGCATCGCGGCTCGTCATTGCACTTCTGGTCGCGATTACATCAACCTTCATACCTGAAGATTCTGCTTTCTTGTGTTTGTGCTCAACATGTTTGTTGTTCGCCTGCGCAGACTACTACATGGCGGTTGGACTCGGCATTGGCGGCTCGGAGGCGCCCAAAGAGGAGCACCGCAAGAGCCTCAGCACAGAACGCACGTTCAACACCATCAGCAGGGACGCGGACCTCATCAACAAGCTGCGTAAGTGCGTGTCCGCTTCCGGTCCGTAGTCGGTCGGTATTCTTGCACGTTGCGTCGAACCCTGTCCCTAAAACGGTTCAGATCTCGGGGCTTAGCCACGCTGTCGACCGACAATCAGCAACTCGCTCGGCTGGAGATGCACGATAGCATAAGACACATTGTTCGACCGGACTTGTGATAGCAAGGCATTTACATGAGCTGCCAGTACTGACGTGAAACTTATACTGAAAGGGCACTCTGGGGTTTTTAGGGGATTGACGGGCACAGGAAGTGACTTGTTATCTCCGACGTCCTTGACGTGAGACAAGCTGAGTATTGTTCCTTAAATTTTCCTTGTCCAAAAGACGGTTCAGTCAATCAAAACATCGCACTTGTGACATGTTTGGTATCGACTGTTTCGGCCAGCAAAGCTGGCGGATTTGATGTAGAATGTGCAAGGTTCTGACTTGCATTGATTCTGGGTTCGAAGTTGGTTTAGGGTCTCGGGATCCGTCGTCGGTTTGACCTCTAAGCGCGCCAACCTGTCCACCTTGCGAACACGTTCAAAGGAAAGCCGTTTTGACGTGACGCTTTACTCATTGAATCCATACCCTAGAGCCCTACAATATCAATTACAGTTTCAACCAAAGCCGTTGTTGATTGAAACGTCGCTTTTTGCAGACGAGATTGCGGCATCGCTTGCGGGCGACATGGCCCGGGAAGGCCTGCATGCCAAGACGCTCACGCTCAAGCTCAAGACGTCGCGCTTTGAGGTGCGTTACACGTTTTACTGAAGCTGGAACTCTTGAGAACTGATCTTCCGTCCTTGGATTGCGAAATTGTGTCTTGTCCAGTGTTCCTCAGCTCCTTCCTTTCCGGTTCGAAGGGCAAGTTTCTTTTCCATTCTGTGTGACCGCCTCTTCGCTTCACCCGTCAAGAGGATGTACGACACCACATTCTTGCTTTGGCTATGGAAGAAGGATCAAACGCAACCCCGCGAGACCATCTTCCATTGGTGACTTCGAACGGTTGCCGTTGTCTGTGCGTCCTTCGCCTCTGAGTTGGTTCCAACCAGCTACAGCCGACGTCTATTAACATGGATTTTTATTGATCAATACTTTTCATGCGTTGTGCTTCAAAAACAACGTTTGCTCACACGTCTTACACCACTTAGGGAGCCCACCGGACTTGACGGATGAAAACCCTCGCTGCCGCAGATCTGACGCGCATGTGTGTCAAGCTTGCGGTCACAGTGTGACCATCGATACTGACGCTGATGCATGCCCACCAAGCCACTGCTGACCGGTTGCCACGTAGCACGTCCAGGTGCGTCAGCGAGCCGCGACGCTTCCGACCTTCATTTCGACAGCGGACGAGATCCTGCCGCCGGCGCTGCGGCTCCTGCGAGCGGAGATGCCCATCTCAATCCGGCTTATGGGTGAGTACCGCAAAGAGTCATAACTTCTGGACGAATCTGCAATTCTCAGCTTATGGGTGAACACCGCAGGCTCCGCAGAGTGGAAGAACCGCAAAGGCGTACCATCATTGAATGGTTTGGGACAAGGCAAGCATCTGGCCTGGTACCCGGGGTACAGCGGGGAAAAGAGAAGGAAACCGGGAGGTTGTGGAAAATTTGCAAAACGTAGAGTCGCCCTTTGTAGATGCACGTGCCACGTACGAGATACCTTCTAAAAATGCTCCCCGTCCGCACTTGCAAGTGCGGAACGCTTTGTCCATTTTCGGGCGCGTTGTTGTTGCCACCCTTCAAAACGCCGTCGAACCACGTCTCCTCTTGTTACTCGCCCGAGCACGCCTTCTCGCTGCCGAAAGCTCCACTGGTTGGGCAGATCATGGATAGCAATGTGTAATGATCGTCCACAGGCAACTCTCTTGGTGAGCGAATATGCAAAGCTTGATCCTGGCTCATCCGCCTCCTTCTTCTCCGTACTGCAGGTCTGCGCTTCTCTCATTTCAAAGAAGAGATTGCCTTTCACAGCGACCCCGGCCAAAAGACGCTCACAGCTTTTCTAAAACCCGCACCCGAGCCCTCTTCCCCGGGCCGCTCCTCTGGGCCAGAGACTGTTCAGAATGACAGAGAGAAGGCCCCCGAAGAAACTACCGGGTTTGACAACCGGGGACCTGATTCTGCAACTCCAAATGCGTCCGCCAGCCTCTCAACTTCCTTAGAACCAGGTCCGAGTGCACAGCAGAGAATAGCAGACGCGCATCTAAAAGCAGCGGTAGCAACGGCGAGCTTTGTGAATGAGCGGCGTCGGAGAGGGGGGGACGAATTGACTGGTGGAGAAGGGGGGGGACGCGAGCAGGGGAGGGGGAAGAGAGACGGCAAGATCGACCAGTTGCTCGGGAGAATGCGGAGAGGAGAGGAGAACGTGGAAGAAGTGGGGTGTGCCACGTGTACGTTTCTGAACCGGGGGGGAAGCCGCACTTGTCGAATCTGTGGGGCGGAGCTGGATGGAAAGACTGGGGCCTCAATGAAAGGTGCCGTCTCTATCGAGACTTCTGCGCATCTAGAGAGGAGTGAGGTTCCGGTTACGACTTCCATCGGTGCGCTCTCGGAAAGCGGTGAGTTGCGGGACGGGGGTGCCTGCGACACGGCTGATAAGCAGTCCGGGTTGGAAGAGGCGAGCAACGGCAAGGATTCTCAACCGGGCAGTCGCGGCGAGTCGGTTGAGGTGCATCCTTCCCTGCGTCAGTGGGTCGATGACTACGACCGGACACAGAGCACAAGTGTTTGTCAGCGGCTGGAGGAGAAGGACAAAATGCAGTTCGAAGACTGGATAGACGACGGTAAGGCAGGGGATGGAAATGAAGATATTTACGAAAGCGCGCCGGGTGGGGAAGCCTCCGTTTGGACCGATCCGGACGTCCAACTGGGACTGGATTCGGACGAGGAATTTGACGTCGTTGGGTCTCTGCGGGAGTGGTCTGAAGCAGAGAGGCGCCCCGCGAGCTTTGGCGACGGAAGGAAGAGTGGAAATGGTCGGGATCTAGTGAAAAGGAGTGGCACGCATAACCTGAGGGAAGATTTGGAGGTGGGGGTGGTTGAAGGGTCCGGTCGGGAGTTAAATGGAGGCGGGGAGAACTGGATAGACGACGGAGTGGGTTGCAAACGGTTGCTTAAGAGGGACGGTTCGAGCGGAAAGGCAAGTCCCGGCAAGCGGCCGAGACTTGCTGAGGGGATCCCGCTGTCGGGGACAGAGAGTGAGAATCAAAAGTCGGGCGGCACTAGCGTTCTGTTTGACAGCGGAAAGAACGGAAGCAACGGAATCAACGGCAGCTCAGCGAACTGCACTGGCGCTCTTGGCAAGTGCCAGGAAGGGATTTCGGAGGGTGCGCCGTCCGTAGGACGGCCGGACTCAGCGGAGCCCGGAGAACTGTCCCCGACTGTGAATAGTGGAGTCGACTTGGATCTGGGGCGGAAAGCGTCCGCTGAATCAAATTTTGCGCCCCGGGCTGTGCGTAGAGAAAATCCTGATGCGGGAAGCGTTCCGGCATGCACCGGCCGAAATCCAGAGCATTCATGCGCGCACGCCCAGGCAGAGGAAGCTTTCGGGCCGAATTGCAAACCGGTTCTAGAACCCGGTGCCAAGTCCGAGGGACCCGTGGAAATCTACCAGCCGGAACCCGAGACTTCGATGGAAGCGGAACGGGTCAAATGCGAGTTGTGCGGGGAGCTGGTTCTCGGGTTCGGTCCGCAGCGGCAGGAGCACGAGGACTACCACGTGGCGCTCGAGCTGTACCGGAAAGAGGGCGGCCGGCTGCAGCCGGTGGCGCGGAGTGGCGGCAGCCAACAACACGTGGGCAAACGGAGGTAGGTGATTCCAGCAAGGTGCAGTAACGAGTGATCCGTTACGGAGGGATGGTGTCTGCGGTGATTTTCGCAAAAGGCGGGCGGAGAAAGTTGGGGGTGGAGCGACTTGAATAGTGTCTCACCGAGCAACGGCTTAATATCAGCCGTTTTTGGAGCGTGTTTTGAAGAAGCATAAAGAGCTGAGTACGGTGGCAGTGGGGCCAATGCATGGTAGAGCAGAGAGGGTGAAAATATACGGTACTCTGGTCTTGACAGGGACAAGTCAGGATCTGGCCGCACTTCCTGAATCTTGCTTCTGACGACTTTGCTGGACTTGGACTCGTTACACCTTGTTAGCTCATCCCTATAATGCCACTCGAGAGACCGAGCGGGAGAGGAAGGTCGTGCCTCAAATGACCGTACGCTTCTCTTTTGTGCAGGCCAATGGCTCACAAGAGCGGCAACCATCGGGATCAAAGGGGTTCTGATGTAAGGCCCCGAGGGCCGTTAGATACGTTTCTCAAGAAGAAAGGCTAATGCCCTGCTTAGCAAGCTTACGGGTTGGGTTGACTAGGACCGATCTCAAACGTTAGCACGCAAGCTCGTCTTAACTTTATGAAGAGATACTTTGTAGACTGGCAAAGTGCTAGCTTACTTCTGCTGCCAATCTGCACTAGCTACTACAAACTCTTTGAATCGCTTTGGACGTACTGGAAGATTGTTGCTTCAAACAAACCTTACATTCGCCCAGTGAAAGGCGAGCTGTGCTCGGATTAATCATGATGGTTATGATTCACACTTCAGCTCCCGTTGGACAGTTTGACAGGGAAAACTGTGAGTGTTGAGGCATCAAACAATTGATGCATCTGGAAAGCCTGTATATAGAGGTAATGTCCAGCCGAGTACTGTACACATATTCATCTAGACGTCCCGAGCTCGCTCTGCATGGAAAGTCTCACTGAGCAAAACCGTTATACCATGTGGAAGTGTTACGAGTATCCAATTATGTTTTGTACGCATCTCCGCGGCAGATCGACCGTCTCTGAGCTTACTGCATGGCCTGGCCGGCCCGCAGATCCGAGCATTGGATCATGCACGCGACCATCTCGCAGGTGTAAACATACTCGCGCATCATGCATATAGAGTGCCCCGCGTTCTACAGCTGTCATGTCGTTCGAAGAGCCTTACTAACTAAGTACATGAACAAGAGCTATAAGTCAATGATGCCGCTGATGTCACATAGTGGGCAGCACGCGAGCCATGTCTTTAACTCATGCAGACGAATTGCGCCTCACAGAGTACCGTAGCCTCGAACCTGAACATATACCCTCAACATACCTGCTGCATTGCGCTTTGAAGAGGAATTCACGATCAATGGGGTGATCATATTTGTCACCAGCCCGGCTGGCACTGTGCAATTTATAGTTGTTTGTGAATTGTGCCAGACTGCCCAACAACCTTAACGAGAAAGAGTATTGATTCCTTTTCCTAGGCTCCTTCAATGGGAGCCTCTGCATGCTCGGATTACCACCACTTTTCAGAAAGCGCAACGTATCTGGAAAAGAAAGAGACCAAGCTTCGCGTATTTCCTAGCTGCAAATGGCGGGCAACTTCGCTGTCCGTTGACGAAGGACATGGCTAGGATTACCGTACCGCCACTCTGCTTAGGGTCTGGTTGAAGCTTACTTGATGTTCTCTTTTCAAACGCCGTAGCCACATGGGCCATAGGCTTCCATGGCATACATGGGAATAAATGTTTTGAGTTCTGAACGCCTAGCTACCCTCCCAAATCCTGGTGTGCTACATTAGTACATACCTAATTTGATAGCGTTCTACTCGTTCCTCCTGATTGGGTGCGGGTCTGTATCGAACCGGAATCATTTTCAAGCTGGATTGCAAATCTCGAAAGACAGTGATCAGTAGCAAGTGCCAAATTTAGCACACCGGCCCTTGACTCCAAGGCCCACTGTACCGACAAACGAAAGTGACTGATCTCATCCCATGCTGCATCAACTAAACAAGAAGACTGCCAGTGGAGTCAGAAGGACGGATAAGCCTCCCGCTACTCTCAGGAAACAGTGAATAGCTCCAGTTTCACAAAGACTCAAATCAGATTTGCGATGCGGAAGTCAGAGTCACCTCGACGTCAGGAAACCAACTTGAAGAGGCACATCAAAAGGAGTGAAAGGAGTCATGGGGAGTAACAGAGTTAAAGGAAGAAGCAAAATGAGCGACTAATTCGATTGCTAAGCCTGAGAATCGTCGAGAAGAAACAGGCTCCATTAGAGCTCGAAGTAGCTTGCTAGAAGCCTGCTCGATTTACTAAGCATTCCTTGCTGAGCGCAACTCAGCGCTTGTCCTTATGAGCTGCAACTATGTAAGTGCCAGCTAGCTTGTGTGATGCACTTGCCGCATAAAGTAGTACTGAGTCATATATCTTTTGGCACCTCCGTGGCTCGATCACCGATAACAATACAGCGAGTGATTAAGTTTCTGTCAATTGACAGGGATACCACGATGCAAAAAGGTCGATACAGCTGACAAAGCAGTACTAGGAGCTTTTGCCACCAGTACTGGCACAAGCTTTGCTCAATCCAGGGGCTCAAGTTGGCCAATTCTGAGAACGCGAGGCTGCTTCTCTTATAATAGAGGCCAGAATATATGATGCCCCGATCCTGACAATGCGTATGAGCCTACTGTCGATTGAAATTGCAACTAGGTACCGTACATGGTGAGTATGCGCCTGTATCAATTCTGAGCTCGGCTTTATTATGGTCTTATTTATTGCTGCAGTATCTCAGCATTTGTGCAGTGAGTACTAAGACTCTGTATGAGTACTCTGATGTTGCTGATGCAGTTGTGACCACCTCAGATGTAACCTAGGCGGCGGCCGGCCTGCGGCCCAGGTTTCGCTCAATTATTTCGCACGATGTTATGATGTCTGGACTCTGCTCGTCTGCTCTTCCCAGCTTGTGACCAAGCGGTTACGTCACATCGTAGACACACCAGGATGGACCGTTGTGCAACTTGCACCAGCTGGGTAGGTACCGGTAGCTTCATCTGCATTGACTGAAAAAAATCTAGGTATTCACCTCGACTGGCTCAGAAGGGCCCACCTGGTCAGCGGATCCTCTTCGGAACAGTTGAGACGAATCAGAAGCAGCGGTTTAATTTCTGTCCTCTGCAGGTATCGTCACCTATCTGGCGGTCATGGAACCGATCAGCAGTTCCGACAGTGGTCCGCCACAAGATCCCGGTTAGATTTGGACGGACCCGGTCATAACCCATGATGTGACCAACGAACCTGTTTCTCGTTCATTGATTGGCCCATTTGAGATCCGCACAATCTGAGGAGCTAATTTTGAGGTGGCAGCGCGCCCGCATGCTAGCTGCACACAAGCTCCTGTAGTTTAGGTTGCATTACTCCCACGTTTCATGGTCCCAGTCCCCAGGGTGAATTAACCTCGTACCGTAAAGCAACAGATATACGATCCACTCTCCCTTGGCCACCCAAAACCATCCACTTAAACCCACCCGTTCACCGGGCCTACAACTCCTACTACCCGGCGTTACATGGCCTATTCATAACCTTCCAAGCCTGAACTTTAGGCTGAGTCCTTTGGAACAACGAGCGGGCGCTTTCTCTGGTACCTACTACTTCAAGTTGGGCCTTGGAAAGGTGCCCTGCATTTGTGCCGGTGCGCCAAAAGTTGGGTAACCTCTTTCATGGTGGCAAGCTGAGCGTGGGTCGCGCTCTGGCGCGGCGCGTGCTTGCAGTGCCTGCAGTGGGCCAAAGCACTGTCCTGCTTCTTCAAGAAAGACGGTGGAGGGGCAGTCATTGGCTGCTGCATTCTGCATAAATAGGTGGATAATCCTTGGCTTTTGAGGAACTCAAGACTGCTCGCAGACGAGAAGCCTTCGACGCTCAAGTTTGACGACGCTGCCAGGCTTTGCATTCATGTGAGTCAGCAATGAGTGTTTTGAAAGCTGTTGTGATCTCTCATCGTCCCATTTGCCCCTCTCAGACTGAATAATTTCATAAGCCAATCTGCAGTTGACATGAATACATGATGAGTGCTACTGCTTTTCAGAGATGCCATTTGTGGCTCATTTGAATTGGTCAATTCTCAACAAGGTGTGTGGTACTACCCCTGTCAATGTTCTTATGTTCCGGCAGATTTCTGCAGTCACCTTCTACTAAGCAGGCTCCCAGGAGATTGAAAGCACCCCCCTTGAAAATTAGCTGCACCAACCCCCTTTTGGTCCCTTAGTTGACATCCGCACGGGAGGCAAATACTAGTTTGGGTAGTCGGGTCTGTCCTCAAATTGGAGCTCCCTCAAGCTTGCAGCTGGGAGATCTCTATCCATAGTCATGATCTCCTCTGGATGAATGTTGAATGGTAGATAAGGGACAACAATAAATGCAGAGGATGAAGTTGTTGCTATGAGACACTGCAGTGTCCTTGGTGACGTGCTGGAAAGCCTGACAAGATCTTACGATGCAGGTGGTCAAGGCTTGTGAAGAATCTGCGCGCTTTGACTACGATGTATCTGACACATGATGGCAATGGGGCGAATGAGACCTACATCAGTTGCAATAACTTGGTGAGTCTTTGCCTTCAGGTTTCATGCCTGTATTTGTTTCCTGAATTGGAGCACCTTTGATGTGCTCCCTGGTAGTGGTGCCACAGACACCATCATCGAAATCGCTCGCATTGTATAGGAGTCATCTGTGGATGGCTCTGGCAACCTGCAGGGTTTTACTATTCTTCAGTTACAGTGTTCCTTTTCTCTTGCGTGCGTGCCTCCTCAAGTCTGTTTGAGAATGTTGCAGTGTGCCCTTTCTGTACGGTGACCTCATGTTGCTTCTCACTTGCGGCACCCCATGTCATCGTCCTTCCCTTGGGACAACCCTACTGGGCCAGGTTGCACAAGCGGTCTGTAATAATTCTCCAGATGGTGGTGCTCAAGAATGCTTCTGCGCACAGAACAAGCTGTAGTCAGGTTGTGAGCGCATGTTTACATTCAGCAGGCTTGAGTAGGTGCTGTGGACATCAGCTGAGCTTCATACTTCTTTGCCACCTTCGATGAATGCTGCTCTGAGCGGAATGCTTTTGGTGAGCTACTTTCTGTACACAATCATAGTCCGGAGGTTGCACTTCTGCACACATATGCTGAGAGTGTGATGGACAGGTCTCAACGAATTCTAGTCCGACCAACATCTGATAATTATCGTGGAAGCCAGAGTCCACAGGCTAAGCGAGGGAAACAAGGACTCGCTTCTGAACAAATCTCAATACAGTTTGGGTGATTGAACATGGCATTGGAAGCAGACTTTTGCAATTTAGCACTGTGTGCATTAAACTCCAAAGTTGGTCACAAGCCTGCAATTATCCCATCACAATCCCCTCATCAGAGAATCTTGCCTCTCGTACAACCCAAAGTTTTTGTTAGACACCAAGCATCAAGTTGTGAACGTTGCTACTCATTGCAGCGAGCTGAATGCCCTGAAGGTTGCGTGTTGTGTTCAGATGTTGTCCAATCAAGGGTCTGAGGCTTCTGAGGTTTTGGGTTCCATTTTGTCTCGATGGTTGGCTTTGAGTCTAGCCACATCCACAGCACATCAAGTCGCATCAGGTCCACTGTGTGCAAGCCAGGGCTACAGGACCATCTTTCTTACTTCTCAAAAGTGACTGTCAACCCTTTGTGTCCGGCTGTTATGCAAGGAGTAATAGGCCAGCTCCACCAGAACTAATAAAGATGCATTTGTATCTTCAGGTATGCTTTGTCGGTAAGGTAAGGGACCACGACTACTGCTTTGGTCGAAACCAAGGAAGGAATTCTAGGGGGGCGTGAAAGGATCCTGAGACATCAGTATACAGCTCAAGATCCACTGGGAGGTTCAGCAATGTTGGTCGAAAGAGAGATACTTGCTAGTTGTTGGTTGGTCTTTGAACCTCTAGTGTTGGGTATGAGGCTGTCGGGACATTGGTGCGCGATGCTAAAACTGCAAGCTTCCGATCTCGTTATCAGTCCTTCCTTGCATTGGCCGTATCACAGAGGTGCTACGACTTCTACAAGGAAGGGCTGATTCGAGATCAGATGCATGTGTTTCCGCAGCATTGGTTGTTACTACGTTCAGATCTTGTCGAGAACTCTGGAAACCACAATTGGGACACGTCTCTCTACAACAGGCTAACTGATGCTAATTGGTGTTAATTGATGTTTTGTTACTCTACGCTCAGCAAGAAACTTGTTGCAATGCTTTCGTGACTACTGATACGTAATGCAAGTCCATGCCAGCGAGCATCGCTTGTGGGGCCGATATGCATGACGTTCTTGCTAGTGCGCATGAGAATCCTTAATATGTGACAAGGCAGTCGCACAAATTCAACATGCAATATTGAACATGGATTGCAGGATTGATGCATTTTGCTTATCGGGTCAGATTATCAAAGTCTTTCGCTTTTTGTGCTGTACTCTGTAGTACCGTCTCTGTTGTCCATGCGGCCGTCGCCAACCATGTATACGCTGCAAACATCAGACATACCTGACTGCGCTTTTGTCATTCCACACGTACGCATGCAAGCGATCCGCCACCGTTGCTAATTGTTGATTCGCGATCGCCCTTGGCCGGACGTATGTGACACTCATGCAAAACGATCGACCACGCCGTCTGTCATGAGGTAGGTCCGGCGCCGTTGTTGCGTCTTAGCTATGATTCTGGCAACGTAGATCACATGGTAACTTCTCATGCATAAGCACCATGAGATCATTGGTGCTTATTCAGTCAGGGCGCCAATATATGTATCAGCTTATCATTTCACTAAACCCAGCCTGTTCGTGTTAGCTGCTCGCGCTTGGTTGCGAATGGTCTTGCACAATTTCACTTATGGCAACGTACCGGCCCTTCAGCCATCTGCAGCTGCTGTTTGAACCAGAAAAATGTTCGTGCGATAACAAAGTGGTGTCGATCGTGTATCGTAAGCGGGATCGTAAATCCAGGAAGTTAATGCATTGTAGAAGGTACTCAAAGCATGCAGTGCCTAACCGAACAAGGTGTCTTGTAACTGTCTTGGCCCTGCATGAGCATCTTAACTTCAGTGATTTCAGCAAAGCAGGTTGGCAGGTTGACATCAAGTGCTCAACATACCATATCTACCATAGGCTGGCAAAAGCGTCGAGCCCCTTCACTGCCCAACTTTCTACGAGGGCCCGAGGAGCGAGGGGGAGTTCCCAAATTAGGGCAGCCGGTACGTGTCCCCGACCTGATCTCGTCAAGTGATTAGCTTTTGAATCCCGGCAGAGAAACAGCCCGGCCCCCGGGAGTCGTTCCCCCGACTCCCGCTTTCAGCCTATCCTCAGCAATACACATAAAACGCATGATGTCAGGTGCGCGTTTGCTTGATGCAAGCAGGCATGAATAATTAAGGATTCAAGACCCAGGCAAATGCCAATGGCGTAAGCAATTGCACGGCAGGACTGCAGCAGTCACGACGTGCCGTCACATTCCTGGTGAACCCTCGTGTGCATGGAGCGCTGAGTGCGACTGGTTGAGCTGCATCCGGAGGAGCTGGCGGCGGCGGGGCTTGCATCTCTTTCTTCTGGCTCGCTCTTGACTTCCAGAGAAACAGACACAATCCCGCCAGTATACATACAGACTCCCCACTCAACAGCACAGATTCACGCAGCCAGTTGGCATTCAAGGGCCCGCTTATGTCAGTTGCTTCATGCGCGTCTATCTTCACACTCCTTAAGGGCACCTCTTTGTCCTTGGAGCAACCGGGACTCCTTTGCAAGCGCATCCATCCTCCAAATGGATCTGTAAAACTAGCAGGTTGCCAGCTCCCTTCTTCTCCCAGAGCGCCAGCCCTTCTGCTGACACTCCCCCTCCCAAAGAATGGAAGCCCTTCCAGAAGTAATTCTCTGGGACATCATCTCCCGTCTATCTCCCGAGGACGTCGCTACCAGAGTCACCCCCCTGTCGCGATACTTCCGCACCCTTGGCGATTCCCCCTCCTTATGGCGCAACTTCTGTGGGCCGGCGACTCTCACCGAGGACGACGCCTCCGCTCTGGGGGGGTGGAAGGACCTCTTCCGACGGCTCTTCCGCAGCAACCTGCTCTGCGCCCCCCACTTTGAGCTCCTCGACACACTCCAGAAGGAACAGAAGATCTACGACTTGACCGCCTTCGAGCCCGAGCGCCTGTCCAGCTGGTCGTTGTGGAGTCACTCCAACCTAGATTCTGAAGAGGGGACCGTTGGGGCGGAGGATTATTGGCTGGATCCAATTTGGAAATGGATGCCGTGGGAGTGGCCCAGGGGGGCTGTACAAAGGGAGCTGAGACCTGTGGGTTGCCCCCCCTGCCCGGGGGCGCCCTGGGCGCCGTGCTTGGCGACCGGTTGCGCTACAGGGATGGTGGCACAGGTGAGACAAAAGTGGGGGGCATGAGGATACAGTGGGAGAAACTACAGTCTACTGCAGTTGCTAACATTGGTGACAGGTTAAGTTCACAAGGGGCTTGGCCGTATAAATTCTGGAACCAATTGCATTGCTGCGATATGATGTGTAATCTGAACAACCAAGCCCCTTGAGGAGATGTTGCCTCAGGTAGCAAGGGGGGGTCCTGGGAAAGAGAGGGCCATTGCTGTTATTTCTAGGATACCCATCGCCGTTGTTTCAAGAGACCCATTGCTGAATGTTGAAGAAACTCGTTGCTGGAAGTTGATGCTTGGACTGACAACTGGTCTCGCTGGGAAGTGGTCGAGGAAGGACCAAGGGGGCCCATAGAGAAGCGACAACCCTGTTTAAGTGTGTCCCACCGTTCGTTTCCTTGACTGGTTTCCTTAAAACTCAGCAGATGTTGATCCTGGATCATTGGTATTAAGAAGCTTAGTAGGCAACCTTCTTTGAACAGTATTGATTGGAAGGGGTGAGACAGTCAGAAGGTCAAAGGGATTGGACATTCAGAAGGTCAAAGTCAGACCCTGATTGTGCAAGACTCACCTCCTGTGTGCTCGCGGGTCTACTTCAGCTGATCTCTAGCGGACACATGTGAGTCGGCCAGCTTTCTGAGACTCGATGCTTTCACAGGCTAGTGAACTGCGAGAGCTGCTCTTTAGTTGGACACCCAACTTGAGAGAAGGTAAACGCAAACTCCTGTTGCAAAGACCTGATACCCCTTTGAATATGAAGGTGATGGATTCGAGGTCGCCAACAGAATCCAAGTTGGACTGTCCATCTGAGCAGGATTGCCAATGTTTTCTTGAATCCAGATGCTTCCTCCATTGGTCCAACTTAAAGGCTGGCACATCCAATCTGTGCGCTCGGTATAAGCACAACGGCACCTAAGGGTCACTGACTTTGCAAATTGGTCACACTCAACGACTTCCACTTTTCGAACCTGAATGTGAGTGGGTATACATGGTACACAAAAAGATGGAAGTTTTCCAATTTCTTTCTTTGAACGTGTAACTCGTTTCGAATCAGAAAAGGACATGGATGCTCTACCGGTCGTTCCCCAATCGTGTAGCTTGATACGAAGTACACGAAGAAATGGCAGGCCTCAAATATTTCTTGCTTTGCAGAGAGTGGGGCTCAAACACTTCCCTGCAGCGTTCCGCGACTCTCGTCCTGCGATCTTGGTTTCTGCCTGGTATGGAGGTCGTTCCGACTGCCCCAGTGTTTTCGACCTCTGCGTAGAGTTTAGAAGAGGACGAGGCGGCAGCGAAGTCCTACTTGAATGGTGCGAGTTCCGTCCGCTTTCTTACCTCTATCTATACCCTCAAAAACGTTTGCAGGGTCATCAAAACAAGAGTTGATCCGCTTGTCCAGAGTTGTCGCAACGAGAGCGGTTCTCTGCTCTTGCCTCGTCATTGCAAACCTGGAATCGACGTGGAAGCCGCCAGAACTTTCTATCAAGCTTCTCTGCTGGTTTGCTTGACGGGAGCTGAAAGATGCTGAAGAGCTGACTCGTTAAATTCTTTTTTATATTTAAAGCGGGCTGAGGTTGGGTCGCTTAAAAGGTCGGCAGCCTCATGCAACCAGGTTCTCTTCGTTGGATGAAAGGTCGTGGAATGAGCTGTGCTACCTTGGTCTGAATGCGTCTTACAAACATTCTGAAAAACGGTTTCTGCACTAAAGGAAATCCTTTGTTCGTCAGATTAGACCGTGAATCAGATCGGTCTGCAATACTGGTGCTTTGAACTGGGCCTCCGGTGTCGATGCATATGGGCTTCCCATGATACTTTCTTTGCAAGCGAATAGAGTCGACCCACCTCGGCTGCGGTTTACTGGAGGAACTAGAGTGAGGGCAGCACTTACAGCGAAGGCAGATTCCTATGTTGCACATCAGAGTCAGATCTGTGCCCATGAACAGCGTTCCGACTGACGATACTGACACCGAACATACATGCTTGCAAGGTATGATCGTCCCCTGTTTCCGGCAGTGTTTGAAGCCCCGGGAAAATTCTGGGGGCAAGCTGCAAGGGATTCTTGGATTTTATGGTATCGGGCTCTCACAAGACTCTACCGTAGGGAGCTTGTTGAACTGATTAAGCCCGACTCTGCAGCCGCCTCCTCCGGATCCCCTTTTCGTAGCCGGCTTTTGTGAACAGAGCGCCTGCTGACGTCGCGGAATGCACTCCGCCGAGTCACCTCCAGCTTCCTCGCCGCGCTTGCTGACGTCAGCGCTGACGTCACCTCCCCTCCCCCAGGTCGGCGAGCGACCTGGCGGCCGGGTCGAATCGAGAAATGACTGCCCAGCAGATGCTCGCCTGTCCGCAAGGCGGCTGGGCGAAAGTGGAGCATCTGATAACGGACTATGACCCTCAGGTTGGTTCCTCCGAAGGGTTTGCCTTGTCTTGCCCGTTTCCGTTCTGTGTCTTCTAGGAATTATTCGATCAAAGTGCAGCAACTAACCCGAACTCTAAGAGGAGCTGGTTGATTTTTGTAAACGGTCACACGCAGTTTCCATTTTCAATGTATGTTATGTTGTTGATTCTTTGCGACGCTACTGGCTTCGATGAAGAAGCAGCGTCCGATGACGGATCATCGTCAGACTGTTTTTTTCTTTTTGTCGAGTCGACCGGCACTCAATGTCTGCTCGGATCTTTCGCTTGGCTCCGTTTTGCTTGAAGGGAAGCTAGCCTCTGAGCACGAGGTTTCTTCACACTCGAGTTCGCAAACGGCGAAAGTCTTTCACAAACGGAGTTTTGAAAGGCGGTTTCCAACCTCCAGGTCGATGGTTCGGACGGCCTGATGACGGGTTAACCATGCCGTTACCCTTGCGTCTGCTTCTGGGTAGCACATGTTCCTGTAGGATTAGTCCTCATTGAACGTTATCCTCACAGAATCGTCCGTTTCCAAGTCGGCCCAAAGCCGCTATCCCTTGCACTCGAAGGCAAGAGCTTTCCGTGATAGCGACAGTACGCTTCTCTCTTAAAGCCGCTAGGAGTTGTTTTATCAGGCGGCCGCCCCGGGGGCCCACGTGACCATTCCGCATGGCTGACACGTGTCCTGGGCGCAGGGTTTTGACGAGATCCGGGTCGTGTTGTTTGGAGAGGACCAGCGCTTCTGGGCGGGCTGGTACGGTGCCAAGTTCACAGCGGTGGAGCTGCGGTTCGTACCGCCGAGCGAGGTGAGCTGAGAGTGTTCTACTTCCAGTAGAAGGATGCAAGATACTCTGAAGAATCTGGATAAGACTTGTTTCAATGAATTTCAGAAGCCCCATAAGTTACATGGTCAAGCCCGGGGGACGGGTAGGAGCTTGGTGGTTAGGGTGGGTGCGGGCGTGAAGCGGGTGAATCTTTGGGGTTAAATCTTAGTTTGTCTTTGCCCAGTAGACTAACCTCAGTGACCATGCGGGTTATCATCCGTAGAGTTGAATCTGGAATCTGGATGGTCGTGTCAAGGAGCTACTGCCATTCGAAAGGCGTCTAAAATACTCGCGGATTGTGGAAGAAAGGGACAAATAGTCCAACTGTCCTTCGAAGATCAGGCGGCTCACATCAATGTGCTGACGACTGCATAACTCTGTTCAAAGACTTTTCAACTACAATTCCACTTTCCACGAAACAGCGTCAATGCCAAAACCGGTTCACATGGGCGAATCCTGCATTTCGCTTGACATAGATCTTCGAGGTGCGCTCACCGACCTGATTTGCGAATCTGCGAATCTGCGAATCTGTTTGAGTACCTCAAAAAGAGGACACTGTCTTTCTGGTGGCCCTCCGCTTTATGTGACCCCTAGAAAGGCAAGCTTTTGATGAAGGTTTTCATCCATTACTCGCTCTGCTTCAGCGTTACCAGAAAAGGACGAGAAGGCTGACAAATATTGAGATTTCTGACGGTTTACTCGAGTATGGTTCTGTGAGCATATAGGCTGTAAGGCTGCGCTCTTTCCTTCTCTTGTCCAGGTTCATCTATACCAACAACATGTGCAAGCACAGCAAGCTATGTAAGATATCCTAAGTGCCTCCCCTGACCAAAACTCGGTGTTGCTCTTGGATAGGCTTTGGTTGCCTTTGTGTAAATTCGGGCCCAGTCGCTGCTTATGTAGAGTGTGAAGTTGCTAAGTTCCATAGCCCCATCGAAGTGTACAGATTTAAACCAGCCTTACTAAAGCTCTGTAAGCCCACGAGCGACAGTCAGGACGTAATCGTACTGAGGCACTTGTGCTGAAGCGTATGTTAATAAAAGCTAGCTAGGACAAGTATACACTAGCGAATCGTGGCGATGCACAAACTTATCGAGAGGTACTGATGCTTTGCATGAGACCCCATTTTCTTCAATCATGGTGCTGAATCCAGCCTGTATATGCAATCGTAAACAGAACATTCTGCCTGTTGTTCGGGATATATTGCTGGCATCATTTCAACTCAACGATGCGCACATGTCTGCATATGATTGCATGTGCGCTTAGCTAGATCGATCCGCTCGTTAAGTGCATACAAGCGGAAGTGGGCGGCTTGATCGCACATGCACGCTCTGGCCCCGAAAAGCATGCACCGGGCGCGATTTCATGTGAATTCTGCACCGGGCGCGATTTCAAATATGAAGTGTCTGAATACGTCGGATGCGCGGCGGCAGGCCTCCCGCTTTAGCTCGCTAGCTGGTATTAATTTCCTAGATTTTACGCCACTACATACACGTACAGAGACACATGAGGCTGCGCGCGTCAAAGGATCAGTACGTGCCAACTCGCTCGGCCGGTATTTGTCTCAGTGCTATGTCGGATGCTGCAATCAGTGACATTGTTGAATGTCTAGTTGTGACTAGCTAATCTATCAGAAGTTCCTGAGGCTTACACACCTACTCTGGGTCAGTCTTTGATCATCACGAGGTTGGCACGCGCATAGCATGCTTTTCAAAGCTTGAATTGATTGGAAACACAAGACCGCTTAACTGGCAATTTCACATGAAGCCAGAGACCAGTGATTGGTTGCACAATGCAGTCGTCCTACAGATACTGTCCGGATAAACGAGACTATTCCACTGCTTCATCATATGTACACACGCTTACACTATCTAACCATGCAACCCGACACAGTCTAGCTGGCACTCACAACCAGCAACTCTTTACAGCCCGACCACCGGGACGCTGAGCTCGATCCTAGACCCACCGACGGGGCAAGCAAACATTGCCTCTTTGTTCCCACTACCCATCATACTGAGTTTTTACATTACAGTTCTGGCCGCCCATTGCAACCACTTGAATCACGATTGTATTCTACCTGCCCGACTTACACCATCTTTGTGACGTCAGCCTGTCCTACTAAGGTCTGTACAATGTTGCCTGACCGCCTGACCACCCATTACGCCGCCTGAAGGCGGACACGACCCTAAAGGACTCGTCTCACTAGACCCATCCCGAACCATTGCATAACATACTAACGGGTCACACAGTCCCAACACTAGACTCTACGCAGAAGCGCGCCTCTGCATGTGCAACCCTCTTATCTACAGAACCCTCCCCACCCCAATGCCGCTCCTTCGCTCCTCAAGCGCTCCTACGCCTTACTTTCGAATTACCACGGGTACCCTCCGCCCACGTACAACCTTATCTCATTCGACATGCACCATTTTGCCACTCCGGCATTCCGCACCGATCCGCATCTCTCAAGACCACGTGGTGGCCGTGAAGCGAACCGGTACACGGAGGACGGGGACGCGGCGGCGGAAGCTCATCGCCTCGCGCAGGCGGCGAATCGTCTCTTCTTGGTCGGCAAGCCTCTGCAGATGGAGCGAGAATGTCGCAATTACTTACACGCAGATTGACAGGATCCGGTCTTGAATCTCGTAAAGGATGGAGATCCAATTCTTAATTCCAGGCGGATGGTACAAAGAAGGGTTTAAACGGTGTGGCGCAAATAACCAATTGGTCAGGTAGATTAAATGGACCTCCTTGTTTCTTCCCTGAAGCGATCTTTCAGTGACCTCAAAGCACGAATCAGATTGGTAGCTTCGAAGAAGTTAGCAGCGTCCAATTCGGGTCCAGAGCTCCTAGATCATAAGATGGCTTTTCGCGGGCCTTATTGCCACGTTTCACTTGTCCCGTTTCGAGGACTACCAGACTGCCTCCGTGAGTGAAACTGAGCCACACCAAAGAGTTTCTCCCGAACAAGTGGTAGTCCACCTCAAGAGAACAGTCGAGTCCATAAGTCTGAAGGTGCTCCCATTCCCCTTTCCGGATCTGCCCTGCTGGTGCTGCAGGTGTTTTTTTGAAACGCATCGTGGATCCTAAACGACCACGAAAACCAGATCAATTATGATTTCAATACAGCTGTAATAATGGGCCACCCGATATGGGACTCGTATATGAATTTCGACTAGGGAAAGAAAGACGTACCTTGTTCCCGGCCCGAAGTTGGGCCTGTAGGTCGCGGTTGCGCCACAGTTGATGCAGGAAGAGAAAGCCCAGCACCGCAGTCGTCAGGCCCAGAGACCACACCGTCAGCGGCTGGCTCAGCACGCTCTTAACCCACCGCCGCAGCGTCTCCTGAAAAGGAGATATAAAAAGTGCATCCACAACTGAAAGTACGGCGCCGGATGGTTTCAGAAGATGCTTTCTGAACTCGTAGATGGGGCCAACTATCAGCAGCTGGCTCAGCATGCTCTCTGCCCTCCGTGCAGGTCATACTAAGCGGCTGACGAGCTATAATAGGCGAAGCAGTTTGCTGCACTTTCAACGCAGCGGAGCGGCTAACAAAACAATCTTAGGTACAGAGATTTGCTGGACTTGTCATGCGGCCGGGCTGGCTGACAAAGCATATTAGGGAAGGCGATTTGCTGGATTCTTGACGCGGCCTGACTTAAACACCCATGGTCCTTTCAAAGCAATCTGGAGAGGAAGCACTATGGAGAGTGACACATGTTACAGAATCTCAGCGGACTCTTGTGAAACCTCCGACTGCTGACAGTCCAAACACTGCAAAGTGTTTTACGATGCAGTCTCCCACTCATGCCACATATAGCCTTCTCCTGCTACACTGCGCAGCAAATGCGCAAATCTCAGCAGAAAACACGCGCGTCGTCCAAGCAAAGAGGAAAACAGTGCAGAGATACTCTTCTCGGGCAAAACGTGCGAATTGAAGCCCCTCTCACCTGTTTCTGCCACCACGCCTCGTACGGGAACCACTTCTGCAACGCCGTCGGCGGCTCTTTCTCCCCCTCCTCGTTCTCGGACTCCACAGGTGCCACAGAGCTCACAGGCTGGCTCACGACTTCTTCAGTTTCCACCAGGGGCGCCTGAGGAAGCTCCTCCTCTTTTGTCTCCTCTTCTTTGGATCCCAAATCCAGTTCGGACTCTTGTGCGTCGATTGTTTTGGCCGGCGTCTCGACCGTCTCTGGAACCCCCATCCAGCTGCCGAGATGTGGGTGCTCCTCCAAGGGGGGAGTCACGGGGGGTGTACCGAGCGAGGACGCATAGGACGTACCGGCGCTGGAGGAAAGGTTAAGGAGTGGTTAGCACACAACTAGATTGTTGCCTACATTTGGATTATGCGGAAAGATGACAAGAGGGCCACTCATCAGAGATGCAAATATTGGAGTGATGCAGATCTTGGTTGTGTAAGCGGAGTCGGTGATCCAGGGTCGACGGCTCTGCCGCAGCACACAGAAGTAGGATTGCACCTGCGGAAGGGTTGCCTGTGTGGACTCAATTTGGCAAGCAGCGCTTGCTCATATGTGGATTTTGCAGTGCAAGTTCTGTACTGCAAATAGCTATCGAGCTACCACTCCTGGTGGAGGCGTTATAGCTAGATAGCTACGCAAACTAGCAATGCACTTGCATTGCCTGCTGTTTGCTTAGCAGAAGCCGGACACACACAGACTTGAATCCATCAACAGGAACAGCAGACCCTAAACGAGTGTGCCAGGCTTGAGTGGCGGGGTTGGCAGCACACTGACTAATGAGCAGTTTTTGCTGCCACAGCAAAGTCAAAAGTCCCTGAATCTCATCAAGCTCTGACAGCATCTTTTTTAAACACAGATATTGGGTGCGATCTGCAGCAGAAGGTGCTGACAGACCCGTTCCGAAAAATAAGCAGCAGAGGAAACCTCGTCACAGCCGGCTCGAATGCAAAGCAACCTCCCAACAGGTCATAGTACGGCGACCACACCCTGATTAAGGTTCTGAATGCGATCTGGAAAGCACTGCCAGACTACGCACTTCGCTCAGAGATATTTGGCTCAATACATCACAGCACTTTCTTCCACTGAATGCATGAAGAGATTGATAAAAGATTGGAAAGCTTAAATTGTGTTACAGCCTTGCAATACAGAGCAAAGACAAAGTTAAACACACAGATGCGCTCCGTTTCCTCATTGCGTCCCATTAAAGAGTGCTTACCCAAAGGATGCTGGCACGGTCAGCGGCGACACTGGCGAGTCTGCATACCTTTGGCCCTCCTTCTCCTCCTCCTTCTCTGCCTGTGGCTCCACATCCCGCTGCTGCGATATGTACCGGCCAATACCAGAGCCCGTCCCAATGGAGTCGCCAGCTTCTGCATCGTCACCAAGCGCATCACCTTCATTCAGACTGGCCTTGCTCCACTGAGGATAGTCATTTAGCTGTGAATCATTCTGTGTCTGTACAGTGTGAGGAGCGATAAGAACGCCCGATTCGCCTGCCTGGCTCCAAGAAAGGTGCGGCCACGCGCCCTCAGTTTGGGGGTTTGACAACAAGCTCTCAAATCCACCCCCTCGCCGTGCGCCCCGGTCGGCCTGCAGGAAACCCTCCACCCCTAGGGCATTGAAGAAGCTATCGTCAAGCTGCCCTCTTTCTTGATGCCGGGATGCTTCCTGGGGCTTCTCAATGGTCGACTGGCTGGCAACTTTGGGTGTAGAAGACCCAGAATTTTGACTTCCTGATACGTCCACCTGAGACATGCTCAGTAACTCCCAGTCGGAGTTGGTGCGCGACTCCATGCCAGGATCCTCCGGTGGCGGAGACTGCGAGCGAGGCGAGTCAAGCGGGCTTGCCATCAGGGAAGAAAGAATGCAATGCGCTCTCCGTTGAAAGAAGTTGGCTAACAATGCAACCAATTGAATCCGCTACTGCACTTTGTTGGAGTGGGTATTTCTCTGTCAACGTCACTGGAAGCAGCTCAGCTCATGTTGTCACATACTCCAGCCAAAGGCCTGGCGAGAAAGAGAAAGCCAAGGGCTGCCACACCGAACCAAGGGCTAGGGATTGGTGCCGGACGATTGCGTGAAGGGCGTCCTTCCTAGCATTGGCAAAGAAACACGCCTCATGCATTGCGCGATTGCAAACTAATATTCGAGCTAGGGACTTGGCGCGCCACCCATGCCACTTCACGAGCTTTGAGTCGTCCGATCCGGAAACGTTGAACTCATTGTCAGTCCTCAGCCGTCAGATAGGTAGATGCTTCCAAGGGCTCACCAAAACTTAGAGAAAACTGCAAGGTCCAGGCCCGAATCGCCGCTTCCCTAGTTTTAACCCCCTTTTCAGCTCGCCAGGTCCGGCACAGAACGGCGCCCCGGGCCCAAGTTCATGCATGAAGCTGCCCCTTATCATCGCTCATGCTCGTCTGAGTGTCTGGTGTTTGGAGTTACGAAGAAGAAGCATTAAAAGAGGGATTATTTTAAAGGCTGAACAGCTTTCAGTCTGCCGTCGTTGTGATTGCTGAATTGCGATTGCGTCAGCTGACTCGCAAGGAACCGGACTAAACGGTGTCGCGCCAATTGATAGTGAAGGGGAAGGGCAACCACCGTCATGGACACGTTGTTTGGGATCGTTGGGGATGGATTTGTCCTGTTGGCGTCAGACACGTCCCAGGTTCAGAGCATAGTGCTGCAGAAAACGGACGAGGACAAGATCATGATCCTGGACGAATTCAAGCTGCTGGGGACAAGTGGGGAGACAGGAGACAGGTGAGCTGCCAAATTTTTGGTAGCTTATACCAGCCACTCTTAACGAGCTCATTTGTGTGCTTTGTGTTACCAGCTTTTCTGTCACTTCATTGCTGGGACATTCCAGTTTGATTCTCTGGGATGTTGTACAATCTCCATGGTCAAAGCGTCCTTCAAGTGGTTCGGTTGTGCAGGTGTTTGTTTGTTTGAAAGGGGGTTGTCTGTGAAGGTTGAGGTTTATGTGCCGTAACACTTTGCACTTTCATCACTGGCTGCCACCACTTAGTGCCACGTTCAGAAATGCCACGTTCACACGCCCTTTTAAGCTAAATCGCTTGCGCTTTGCAAGGCCCCTCTGTCCTCTCATGAGTCTCAAAAAGTTCATTTGCAGAAGATTTCTGCACATGCGATTTCGCAATGGACCTCTGTTGACGGATTGCTGCATCGGCGTGGTTGTTGGACTATCAGTGGCTGAGGTGGCGACTTGACTGGCTTCAACATAAACTCTTATATTGTTCCGTTGCAGGGTGCAATTCTCTGAACTGATTCAGAAGAACATCCATTTGTACCAGTACCGGAACGGCCTGCCTCTGTCAACTGATGGGGCCGCACACTACATGAGGGGGCAGCTCGCCACTGCCCTTCGGAAGGTGAATGCGAGAACTCTATTTGAGATATGCAGCGAATCTCCGTTAAAAGGACATTGCACCTCACTTACATCAGAAAACTTCCTGGCTGTCGACGCTGCTGAGGTTCATGAATCTGTCTCTCATCCCTTTCCTCAAGTGTTCAGCACCTTGCATCAGTCTGGAGAGCAATTTGTTTTTGGCTGCTTCCTATCTGAGAGCAACTCAAGGCGCTACAATTAAGGCAATGTATGTTTCATTGTCCTTACGCTTAGCGCTGTCTACATCTTGTGAACGTGGCTAATATATCAAACTTTGTCTGGCAGTGCAATGTTCAACATCGACTTGTGTTCATTTCTGCAGGGGCCATACTCGGTGTTCCTTTTGCTGGCTGGCTGGGACAAGGAGACGGGGCCGTCTCTGTACTACATGGACTATCTAGCGACTATGCACAAGCTCGACAAGGCGTCGATGGGCTATGGTAGGTCTCTTTCCGACCTGCGATTACCGTCACAGTAATCCTTGACCAAGATCTTTCGACTGCCTGAGATGCATCTTGTAATATTACAGGAGGTTTTTGGAGAGACTTGCGTAAATTGTTGTGCACGAATTGGCGACTCAGCTTTAGTGACTGGTTGTTGCGGGGTGTTTTTGCGAGTTGCCGCGTTGTGCATCAAGTTGACCCCTATAAACGCTTATTGGCAGAGTCGCGAAACTGTATCTGAAGCAAATGCTCCCCGCGTGAGAGGCGCCTCTTTTACTCTTGACGATCACGAAATTCCCTGAACACCTCAGTTTCTGACGTTGATTGTAAAAACGTTTCTTCTTCTGAATCGAATAATCTGCGCTCCAGGCGGGTACTTCATGCTCAGTCTAATAGTGCTTCCCACACTCTTGCTGACACTCGACTTTTCCCGAACACCTGAGTTTCTGACGCTGATTTTAAGAGATGTTTATTGTCTGATCCGAGCAACTTGCGCTCCAGGCGGGTACTTCATGCTCAGTTTGATGGACAAGCACTGGAAGCCGAACCTAACCCTGGAGGAGGCGAAGAAGATTATGTACCTCTGCATCGACGAAGTGCAGCGGAGGCTCGTAGTGGCGCCCCCCAACTTCGTCATAAAGGTGAGACGTACGCGAAACTTGTGTCCCCGTGCCTTTCCACTGAGCCCCTCTGTTGATAGTCCTCTTTACGCCTTCAGCATTCGCAGCCTGGGCGAATTCTTGCAGGCGTTGTGAATCCACTTTTCTCAGACCGGTTATAGCAGCTTCCAATAGGCGGGACGAACTCCGACATGAGCCACTTACATCTTCTGGTTGCCCGTTCTAGCCAAGAGTCAAGCTGAAGTCGTCTGCTAAATTATAGATCCTTTTGGGTGCGTGCCGAGAGTCAAAGTCAGACCTAAGCAGCACTGGGTCTACCGAATTGCTTGCTGGTTTTTGGGATCAGGCTCGAGCTGAGCGCCGTGATCGGCTTCTACCTTTTCTGCAACTTGCTCAAATTTGCAACTTATTGTGCAGCTATACAAGCTGCGGCCCGTCAGATGGGATTTTTTTGTCGCGATTGATAACGGCTTCAATCAGCCTGACGCTGTCTGATTCCTCCTGTCCAGCTATCCACGGAGTTCCCGTTCTTTGCGATTAGCTAGCCTCTTTTGCAAGTGATGTTCAGCTCCAAGTCCTCGTTTCATTATCTGCACAGATCGTGGACAAGGACGGCGCACGCGAGCTGGAGCGACGGGACACCGTAGTCGACGCCACAAATGTCACCACTGCGACTGCTAGTCCGGAGGCGGAGTTCATCGACGCTCCCGCTGCTGCGGCCGCAGAGGCGGGAACGAGTCAAGCGGATGCTGTAACGAAGCCACCCACGGAGTCTGAAACGAAGCCACCAACATAAGATTAGGTGACACTACCACTCGGCATCGTGGAAGCAGCCGTACCTCTTGTCGCTCTTTCTCTCTCTTTTGCAACTCGAGGTCCCTCGTTTTCGTGAATGCTGCGTAAGTTCATGTGCGAGGCCTCTCGCGGTCAACCAGCACCATGCACTGCTTATATGTCAGTGCTAAACCACTCCTGAACTTGTCGGACTGCATGGTTGCCGGCGTGTGCTGACGTACATCCCGGATTGTGACGGGTTGTCTGCACGTGTCAGATCTTTCGAACACCCGCCCCAGATTCATGCATAGATGGTCACTGTCCAAGGCGCTTCACATCATGCTTACCGTTTTGTCTGGGCACCATGCTTTACGCATTACGCCCGGCGCCTTGATTCAAAGAGACTGTGGTCGCTGAATGATATGCAGCGGCCGGCGCTTGACTGCTATAAACTGTTTTGTGCATCGACAACAACCTGATCAGGATCGGACCGCAATATTTTGATCCAAAACCCGGCGGGGTAGTCACAATTCGAGTGCCTGCATATATCTGTCATGCGCGGTGGGCCGGCCGTCGACACTGCATGGTAGCTGACGGTTAAATTGTCTGAGCTCTACCATGCGCATGAGCTTGACTGTCACTCGATCATGGGCCAGGCCGCGGCCGCCACGCTCGAGTCTTTGGACAGCATTTGTGCAGCATGCAATATGGCCGGTACAGGCCACGAATTTGTCAATTCAATCATTCATCCTTTCTCTATCTTTTCTCAACTTGTGATGCTCATGCCTTGAAGCAACCTAGTTCTCGTGAAGGTGATCCGACTAAGATCGGATGTCTCCAAACAGGCTCCTCAATGCATGATCGAAGTTGATTAGGCTCAAGTGACTATCCGAACCGGCCAAATCATTATCACAAGCTGTTTGAACCTTCCTGCTGGCTGCACCACCACATTTTCTTAAGAGTTGTTTTCTATGCAATTCCCTAAGCGATTCGCATGCTGTGGGACGTGTCAGGACGGATTTTGTGGAGCCCCAGTGCCTGTCCCTGTCCCCCCTTGCCCGTTCCGCTGCGCCGCCGCGCCAAAGACCTGAAACATCTGTGTCAGCAGCTGTTGCACCTGGTCGCCCCCTACATTCACCGTGAAGACCGGCTGACCGCCCGGTTGACCTGCCCCGGGCGCTGAACCCGCCCCAGACTCCTGCTGATTTTGGCCTTGACTCGGCCCCGCGGCGTTCCCACCCCCCTGACTAGCTGGCGCTTGGCCGGAACCCGAAGCTTGACCCTGGGTTGCTCCAAACCAACCCGAAGGTTGACCCTGGTTTGCTCCGAAACCTGGAAACCCGGGAACCCCAGGGGGATCCCCCGAGCCCGCGGCGCCGTTTGCCATGGATGCGAGGGGGGTGAAGAGGTTGGCCGCCATGTTTGCGAGGCCCTGTACGTTCGGGGGGAACTGGGGCGGAGGATGGGGAGCGCCGGTTGGAGGGGGCCCTGACGAGGCCTGCAAAGTGATAATGCTTAGTTCGAGGATGGGTGGGATAGGGGGGAAGTACTGGGGAGAGCAAATGTCCGCGGAGACCTCCATCCTTTGACATGTGTCGCTAATGCGCTTTGAGTACCGCAAGGAGAGGCTTATGAGACAAGGAAGACAGCCCCTTCATGAAAGGCGAATCAAGGTACTGTAAAGAGAGCTTAAGTAAAGGAAGGGGAAGTGCAGCGTCTGCAGCCCGGAGGTGTTCTGACCGTCTTTCCTGAACTGGTCCCAACATGGAAAGGGCGGAACGGCCGACTTGTTTGACAAGCTCGGAGATCCGCCGACTGCCAAACAGGCAAGCATATCGCCATGCAAGGAGACCCACCACAAAAGTGCACGACAGAAACAAGACAATTAAACCTGATAAAAGGTCTAAAATCCTTAGACCTAAAGACCCTTTCTCGACAAAGGAACACTTACGGAGGGCGCCGGTGGCGGCCGCTCGGGCTGCTGACGTTGCGACTGGCGCGCGAGCTTCTCCTGTGCAGCCTGCAAGCGCATGTGCAGGGGTTTATTTCCGAAGTAACCTCCGCGAAGCCTTAGAGGAAAAGCTAGTTTTCCACACGTTCTATTCAGGTGAAGACGTTCAGGACTCGATGTGAAAGAGATCTTTCCCCATTTTGTACGTGAACCCAACCGAAACCGACGTGTAACGCCTTCTGTTCAATGAAAGAAAGCGGAAAACGGCCACTGCTGGACAAATCAATCAAGTGGAACAATATAACCAGGTGGAAACGCCTGACTGGATGATAAGCTCAAACCCGTTGAGCATCAGTCAGAGCGAAAATGTAAGCGGTTCTTTTTATGAAAGATGACTCGACGTGCCTACGACCGTTCAAATTCTTGTCTATGTTCGCCTCGCCCGGAGGTTGGCTGACACGTTTGCTTGAATCGTCACGGTTGTGGTTCGTTCGAGCGCACAGTGCGTCTTATGTTCTTGCAGCAATCAGCAAATTGTTGACCATCTCAGTCGCGCACTTTCGAAGCAACCTACGAGCAGAGCTTCGACGATCTTAGCCCACCTTGAGGTTCTGCTTAACTATTGCGTTCTCCGGGTCGATCTCGAGGGCTGCACAAATACAGAGAGCGGTCAGGAAGCCGGGATGGCTACTCAAGCGAGGTCGCCTGTCCGATTGCTATTCAGTTTCTTCTACCATGCCCACCTTGTGACGTCAGCAAAGAGCATGCACGGATGATCCTAGCGGCCTCATTGCGACGTCAGCACATGCAGAAGGACTGAGCAGACAAGATCGAAGCAATCAACTATAGTGAGGGGCCGTAAAGCCGCTGAGAGGAGGACCAAATCGGAACAGAGCGTGGCGACGGGTCCGTACCCAGACGCCCTCAGAGGGTCCCGAAACGTTCGGGAGGGCCATTGTTCGGTCCCTACTCAATAGTGAAAAAGCTGACGACCAACATATCTATGCGAGAATATGCGCAGAATCCTGACGAGGGCCCCCCGACAGCACGTGACGTCACGTGCTGCTTTCAGGAAGCACCTGCCTTCAAGGAACGGCCCGTCCATTGACAACATAAACGGCTCACGAAATGAAGGTGCAAACCCATTAACCCGTCCAAACGTTGCTGTCTGATTGAAACTTCCCATGACCGAAGCATCTCTGTACCGCAACTTACTTCGCACGCGCGCTTACTTTCGGTTCCCACGTTTGAAAGCTTTCACTAATCAAGTGAATCACAATCTCACAACGTCCAAAAACTGAGTGCTCTCTACTTCGTAAGACTTGTAGTGGTGACAGACTTCTACTACCAAACGACTGGAAGTTTCCATGGGCGCCCACCTTTTAGGAAGCCCCGGTCTATGGCCGTCTGGTAGTCTCCCTTCTCGAAATAGGCCAGCCCCAGGCGGCTGTATGCGCGCGCATACCGCGGGTCAAGCTTGATGCTCTGCTCACAGTCCTTGATGGCCAGGTCGAACTGTCGCAGCTGCGTGTGTGCAGCGGCCCTGTAGGGGGGGGATGAAAAACGGGTCATATTGGGGAGGGGGGGAGCATTTGAGGGTGAAATGTGGGCGGCTGAACAGAGAAGGACACAAGAATCAGGGATAAGTTTTGGCGAGTCCAGCTTGATGCTCTGAGTCCTTGATAGCTAAATCCAAGTAGCGCAGTTGCGTGTGGCTGCGGCCCTGGGGGGGGAGGCAAAAACGATTCAGATCGTAGGGGGAGCAGCGATTTTGCGTGGGTGATCGGGCAGACGAGGGATGCAAGAGTCACGGAGCTAATATTGAGGATTGAGCTTTTACTCTGTGCAGTTTTACCCTCCCGTACATCAACCGTTGAATCTTCTAACCTGAGGCCGAAAAGCTCTACACAATTCGCAACGAATGAAGCGCTTCCTCGCGCGCAGGGTGACCCACATCCAAACCCTGGTGTCGAGTTTTCATCACAGCCTTGCAACTTCAAGGAAAGGGGGACGCAGACTGGGCAAAATATTCATGGAAACCTCTCAGAGATATTCTTGTCCTTTTTGAACGTAGTATGGCCCACGGGCTCTAAAATCACTTGTATGACTCGTCAGAGAGCAATTGGAGGTATTTGGCGAAGGCAGGATCTTTTAGCCACCAGTCTGCAGGGCACTGTCCGGCGCAGTCAAGAAGCCCTGGCTTCAAAGGCACAGAGTTCTAAAACCACCCATTGGCAGCGTTATCCAAACTTGTCGACATCATATTGCGCACCTGTCGTCAGCGTTCTTCACAACCCACCAGAAAGACTGTGAATCAGCGCGCTCACCTGTTAGAATAGTAGATAGCGTCTGTGTCCACGAGCGAGATTGCCTGCGTGTACAGCTCGATCGCCTCGTAGAAGTGCTCGGACGACATTGCTTCGTTGCCTGCAATTGAAGAAGCGGGTTTCACATTGGAGTGGCGTGGTGTTCACCTGAAAACCGACGACGTTTTCTTGTTGGATCCTGCAGGGTTTTTGTGCCGCTTCTTTTCTGCCCTGTTGAGAATAGTTTTGATGAGCAGCTTGCACATGAGTTAATGTGCACCACTCTCCCACTCTCTGAAAGCTTTCAAGCTGCGTCGCTCTTGACAAGGAAAAACAAGGTTAATATCTCATCAGGAATGCGAACTTTTCTGAAATATTGGCAAGCGGTCCACGTCCTTTGTCTGACGATCACAAAAGAGCTGTCCTTCAGCAATGACAGCCGTGTGATGGCCTAGCGAGATCAACCGCATTCTCCCCGTTCATTGCCATCTTCCGACTCTGTTCCAACGCTAAACACCGAGCTCGAGCCGTGCCGCTCTGTCCGAGTTCCAAACGGATGCCCCCTCTGAGATCGGTTCTCCAAACCACTAGGTTTGTCGATTCCCGTTTTACACACCCACTTAAATCTCGGTTTCGAGGCTCCTGTCTGTAATGCTGCGTGAGTTCACACATCCCTGCCAATTTTTGCTTAAGGAATCTTGTGCAAACTTGCTTGCAACTGTCCCCTTACCCTGCTTCTTGAGTTGTTCCGCCTCCTTCTTCAAGTCCTCGCGAGCCCTGTCCCAGCTCGCACCAGCCGGCGAGGAACCTGATGTGTCCTCCTGCAAGGTGAGCATAATCTGGTGAAGTCTGGCAAGGGCAAGGGCAAGGCCTTGGTGAACAACCGGCCAAGACCAGAGCTGTTTGTACAGAACAAACATATTCGACCAGTGGACCCCCAGAGGGGAAAACAACGATTATCCGTTTCTGACATGGTTATGTACTTGGTGAAACAGAATCCTGTTCACTCCAACAGTGAGGAATTGAACAACTATGAGCAGCATCTGGAAGCCCTGGACACGTGTTGCCCGCTGCACAACTCCAAGTAAACTGTCACACTGAATCGAAGTCCATCGTCAGAAAAGCAGTCCATCGTCAGAGAAGCATCAATGCAACCTTGCGCCAAAGACTAGGACTAGGCCTGCAAGCTTTCAGATAAAAAACCACCTCATATCGCCTCATGAGTTCCACCACTATAACTCAAGATACAAAAGGCTGGTAGAGGCACCATCCCTTCCCGACACCCGAACTTACCTTCTCTTTCTTAGCCTCTCTTCTCCTCCCTGTGCCCACAGCATCGTCACCCCCTTCTGCCTCTGCCATAACCGCATCTTCGCCCCCCTGCTCCTTCCCACTCGTTGCAGCGCCCCCCCTTGGAGCCTCATCTGCAAGCCCCTCCGCTTGCACCGACGCTCCCGTTCCTTTCGAGCCCCGCTCTAGTTGCTGCGGCGTGGACGGCCCTTCTCCCTCCTGGGGGCTCACCTTGGTGGGTGTTGTTGGAAGCACCGAACTCTCAGGTGCACTTGGTGACTCATTTGCTGTCCGATTGTCGCCCAATAAGGCCTCCCTAGCCGCGTTTGCCCCATGCACTTCTCCTTCCAAGCCCCGCTGTTCTCCGGAGCGCTGACCTCCACTCGCAGCATTCCCTGGTTGCTGGTCAATGCCTGGGGCGCTGGCAGTATTGGGTTCAGATTGACCGCCGTCCAAATGACGCTGTCCACTTTCCGGACGCTGCTGAGTGCTTTGTCCAAAACTCCCAGGCCCCTGGCTCAGCAGCAGCCTAAAGATGTGTGGCAAAAGTTCTGGTTGCCGGGGAGTTCCGAAAGCGGCAGGGTCGAGGCGGAAGATAGCCGCTAAACATTCGGTGGCCACGGCGAGGGACTCAGCGTCTGCGTCGGTTGCGAGCTGCAGGTTGTGCTGGAGGAAGTCGAGAAAGCTGGAGGCGATTGCCTGGCTGACGGGGTCGTCGGAGCGGAGCCTCGGCATGGTTGCCTTGCTTGGGGGGCTGGGAAGCCCAGTTGGGTGAACGAGGATGCGGAGAAGGGGTCTGCACATTGGAGAAGGTACGGACAGCTTCAGTTGCTCCTGAGAAGTTTCTGTGCATCTTAACAACCTAGATGTGGCAAAGTATTCTCCGGGAGGGACAATTGCAGAGCTTTGGAGTGACGCCCTAAGAGGTAAAAGCAGACAAAACCGCAGCAGAATCAGCGGCAAGACCGATAGATGAGTGAGCATGCAGCTCTAATAGGAAAAGATGTGGATTGTTCATATTAAATCCACATCAATATACATTCATATACATTCATATACATTCATATTGAATGCAGCATTTTTGTCAAAGTGGCAGTCTAGAAATCAACATGTTGAAACACAATTGTGAGCATTCTGGACACCCGCCAAGCGAGACAGAGTTTCTGAAAGGGTTTCACGAACCAAGAATAGTACTGGAACTCTTCTGCCCGACTTCGAACCCCAGGCAGGACAGAGATTGGCTCATTAATGGGCAATGCAGCTTGCTAACTGCGGATACGTCATTGGACGTTAAAGTGAGTTGATGGTTGATGGGTGGTGCGGCAAATATGTCTTAGCAAAGGGCGAGGCAACAAGGATAAAGTCAGCATTAAGAAGTCTCACCTGCAGTACAGACTCTGTTAGACGGTTGCACTAACAAGTGTCGTCGGATGCTGTGCTTCTGCCCAGCAGACCTCCCGGAGTGCTGTGGCCGGTACAGATCTCGTCCCGGTCACTGGTGGAGACCAAGGCGTATCAGGGTGGTTGGAAAAGGCTCTCCGCCTCTCCGCAGAGTCGTCTCAGCCAGATTTGCGCAATGCTTCCTTCAAAGCTAAGATAAACCTGTACACAGCTTTCTGCCTTTGGCCTCAGGCCTCCTTAGGCTTCGGAGTCCTGCATGGATGGCCCCATGGGTGTGATTCACGTGGCGTTTTGTGAGTGAGCTAGCAGCCGTCCGATGGTTCAGAGAATATGTCCAGCGGTCGATGAGGATCACCAAGCACATTTCCGCATCTCATCGGACGGCTTGCAGTGCTCGAGAGCTGGCCCTGTAAGCCACACCATGTCATTCAAAATCTCTCAACGCAGCAGGTTGCATTGTGGACCCGTGGTCAGCCCGTGGTGCCAAGTCCCCAGCATGCAGAGTACTAGTGGCAACTCGCTGCACTGGCATTGGCAATGTTGGAGGAAGCTGGCATTGTAGGTTCGCGAGCTGCTCTGTCAAGCAACCATTGAGCACCAACTGCAGCTGTAGAAGGGGTCCCTGCAAAACGGTGAAGTTTTGAAAAAAATTGTAAGACATTCTGACACTACAAGAAGGATTGTAGCTGCTCTTACATAATACATTTGGACCTGGAAGAGTCAAAAGTGAAGCTTCACAGAGCATGGAGCCTTGCATTGTGCAAAACAGCCAGGCCATGCAGGGCAATGAAGGTGAGCAGCACTGGAAGATTGCTACATAGGTTGTGCATGAAGTGCAAATGGCTGCATCGAACACCATCGCTTGCAGCAAATGTTGAAACTTTCATCATAAGACAGCTGGACCACTAGGGGCCAGAAGCCATGCCTCGAAGTGTAGTCCACCTTTCAACTCATTACACTTGGTGGGATAAGTCACAGCTTGTCAAAATTTTCCAATCTCCACAATTCATGTAGAAACAACACCTGAAGTGATAGGTAGTTCTGTCACACTCCTGATGTAAAGCCAAAACATCAGAGAATTGTGCATTCCTGTACTAACGAAACAAGCTGGTAGCAGCCAAGATAACTCGCAGCTATACTGTATAAGAATCTCTCATCAGAAAGAGGTTTTTGCACGTTGAACCTTCCAACAGTATTGAACCTCTTCGAGTTGGTTTAGCAGTATGATGACAAAAACAAGGATGCATGTTCCTGTCTTCTCGCAGCTGATGAGCAGAAACAACAACAGGGGCAACCGCTCCCCTCAGTCTGTGTGGCGCCTGTCAACCAGGCCACTTCTCCAACCACCTTCCCAACCACCAAGGAAGGGGCAGTCTCAGCAGTGCCTGCAAATAGCAAGCGCTCTGAACCCCAGGCCATGGTGGTCAGTCAGCCTGGACAGGGGAAAGGGCCTGTGAAGGCAAAGGCCACAAGAAAGAGACAGAGAAAAACCTTGGTAAGACAATTAGGCAGAATGATAATGTCTCTTATGACCAGGGTTGACTGTACTTGGAGTGGCTGACTCACAGTTCAAACCCCAAGTAATTGAATTGACTTTTGGATAAGCTGCAGATGCTGTAAAGGTCGTGGCAATTGAGGAAGAGTGGTATGACCTGACAGCCTTTGGTGGGATCAAAAATGCGGCACACTCAATTTTGGATTTAGTTAGATTCAGCTTGTCGTTGGATACATGGAGAATGAAGAGTCTCACAGTATACAGCAACTGAATGATTTTTGAACCAGTCAACCTGACTTTGTTATTTTGCAACAGCATATGGCTCTTCACACTTGTTGCCTTCGTTGCTCAGGCACTCCCGGCCCTCAAGCCAGCTCCTCTGATGCCTCTGTGGATACAACGCCCCCTCCAACCCGGTTGGATCTCAGCTTTTGACCCTGCTACTCGCCTCGCATACTACTTTCACCCCTCCACTGGAAGGAGCCAGTGGGAGCCCCCCCTTCAGCCTCAGCAGCCTTTGCCTCCCCCCTGGATCGAAGCTGTTGATCCTTCCCGTGGCCTTCCATACTACTACAACCCTGCAACTGGAGCAAGCCAATGGGAGTGTCCGGTCGCTCTCTATCCACCGTTAGGGGGGCTGGCTCTGCCCTGGGCCGGGGTGCCAAGCGCTGCTAGTCCGGTGGTTGCACCAACAGTGCCGACTAGCACATTACCAGGTTAGTCCTCAACTTTCTGCTTCTTGTGGTTGGTATCAGGCAGCTTCTTCGAATGCTGAGACTTCAACTTGTAGCTGACGCTGAGAAGACTTAGCATTCGTGCAATGTAGTGAGAATCCTCATCACTGTGAAAGTTTGCCTTGCTGTGCAAAATGCCGCGCTACATGAGTAACCACTGTTTGAGCAATGTCAGCGCATCCTTGAAGCATGCAATATGGTGCTTCAAGATGTTTTCCTTTTTGCCTATGACTTTCTAGCTGTGGAACATTGGATCGGCCATGTTTGAATTCAACATGTTTGTCCAAGCTCTGGTCTTCGACGTGGAGATGCCACTCCTCAATCAGCCACTGATTTTTCTTTGAGTACGCATCTTAAGAGTTTCAAAATTTTCACATCTTACGAGTTTGAGTTCGACGAAGTGCCAACAATTGTATGACGGAACGGAGAAAAAATGGGATTGTGCAGTTGCCAAAGTATTACAACGGTGTAATCACCAAATGCTCCCTTCCTTTCTGCAGCTCGTTTGCACCAGAACGGCGTGCTTGGACAGACCGCAACTGAGCTTCCCATCGGCCCAACCGCATCAATGGTCCCGGCACTCCCAGCCGGTGCATCTAAGCCATCTTCGACTCCCACAATTGCTGCCACCTCAGCAGCAAAGCCATCTTCGACTCCCACAACCGCTGCCACGTCAGCAGCAAAGCCCGCATCCCCGCAGCCAGCACCGCTGAGCGCCTCTGCAGACATCAAATCAGATAACAAGACGTCCTGCGCTGAAGTTGCTGCGGTGCCGGCAGTGAAGCTCGCAAGCACGGAGACCGTTCTTAATTCTGAAGCTGGGGGTCAGGTCGAAAAGACTGCAAAGGCACCTGGGGCAACCGCACAACCCAAAGCTGCGAAGAAAACGACGAAGAAGGCAAAGAAAGCGGGAGAACAGTCGCTGGTCAGGAGCGTGGCCAATCTGCCGCTGCCGTGCGTCGAGTGCGGGTGCTTGGGACCTGTCACGAGCGAGGGTGTCTGCTTCAAATGCTCCACGTAAGCGTTTGGTTCTTACTGAATATCGGTCCATCTTTCGGCCAGCTTGCTTCTGAGGACCGGTCGACTTTAGACGCTGTAAATAAAAGAACAAGATCTGGCACTCCTCTCAAGGAACCGGATCTCCAGCTCTAAAACTGAGTAAAGCTTCTGCACGTTTCTGTCGCCTGTGAAATAGACTAACGACTATGATGAAACGCTTTTGTTGAGACACAACTCAAACCTCGATGATGGCTCAATTCTATGTCTGATTGGAAACCCAGTCCCTTTCACCATGCAGCCTGATCGAAAAGCTTGGTTCCGTTCAGACGCACGGGAAGCAAATCAATCCTTTCATAAGATTCCTTCACTCCCCTTCGAGTCTCTAGCCCTGAGAGGAAGATCTTTAATGAGGCACAAACCTTTTTCTCGTCTACTTTGAGCTTTGTGGAAAGTACTCTTATTTCACCCGAGCAATATCTCGTTGCATAATTGATCGAATCACAGACAGATGTGAACGCAGAGAAAGCGTTAGCAACGGCGAGCTTCCCACGCACTGGTGTTTGGAGTTGAACCCTGACGTTATCCCGTTGCAGAAATCCGAGTAACTCAACGCCCGCTGTCGCCGTGACTAGCCCTGCAGCACAGACCCCCCCTCAAAACGCCCCGTCGCAACCTCCGGCCAAGCGCGCGAAGAAGTCGACGCAGAAGCGCGCGAAGCCCCCGCTGTACACCCCTCCCCCGCCGCGGGCGTCCGAAACGGACTCCGACGACACGCCTTCGGACGTCCATCTTCCGGAGGAGCTCCTGGAAATGGTGGTAAAGCTGGTAGCCGCTGCGAAGCCCCGGACGGAGTCAGAACGCGAGGACTGCTGGTCATATACGGGGTACTTTGCGCGGCACGACCGGGACTTTGAATTGCGCGTCGACGAGCGGCTGACGGTGCGCGACCTGGCGAACCTGAGCGCGGTTTCCAAGGACTGGAAGCGCGGCGTGGAGGCCGTGGGGTGGGCCACGTTGCGGGCCGGGATCACGGACACGTGTGACTTCGTCCGCAGCGCTGACGAGAGCGCGGTCGACATGCTGAAGGAGATGCAAAAGGAGGGCGCGACGATCGTGGCAACTAGAGCGGCGGCCGAGTACAAGGTGAAGCCGAAGGAACTGGCCGCGCAGGTGAAGCAGTACAAGGTGAAGCGGAACCCGCACCGGCGGTCGGGCAAGATGCGCATCTATTACGTGAAGGACGTCCTGAAGGTGAGTAGTATCGCTTTCAGGTTGTCTCTCCTTGTTGACAATCAGAAGGCGCTCAAAATCCTGTAGTATGGTTCGCTCGTTCAGTATCGTCAGGATGCACTGTTAAGGGTGAGATACAGCCAGGTTGGGAAACGTCAGTGCCCGAGGGACAGGTGGGGTTAGGTTAGGGGTTGGGTTAGGGTGGGTACCGCTGCGGAGAGTGCAGGTTTGTCTCAAGAGACTAAGTTTAGGGCGTCCTCCCGGTTCCCATCGTGTACCTCTCCCTGACTGGCTCACTCTGAAATCGGAATCCATCTGAAGGTGGCGCTCGCGAAGCATGGCGGCGCGTGCGGCCTGCGCCAGAAGATCGGAAAGTGCGAGGCGGCGGCGCGCAAGCGGGCGGCGAGCTGTGCCGGCAAGCCGGGCAGGATGCGGGGTCACAAGAGGCGGCCATGGCCGTCGTGGGACTGCGACGACGATGATTACTTCAGCTGGGACCTTTAGCTTGCCGGGTTAGGTCTGAACGGAGCACAGGAGAAGAGTTTTAATGGTTTGATGCGAAGCGGTTCGTTGATATTAAAAGAAATAGGTCACGGCTCGGCTTCTGTGCGAGTGTATAAATGCACCTCAGATGTAGCTCCTATGAGACCACCTTCAGACGACGATTTGGCAGATTGTGTCCATGTGCAGTAAGTACATCTGGAAGCGCTAGCTGGTCTTGGCTCGTGGTAAACAATTGTAAGTTCTAAATGATATTGACTGTAGGTATTAAGTAAGTATCTGTGTTCAAACGTTGGTTCTTCATGCTGAAGACCACGTAATGAGGCAATTTGGAATAGGGGAAACCCCTAATAATATATTGAAAATCTGCGCAGGTGTTAATTGCCTTGACAGCTGTGCTCCGAGTCGCAAGCAAATAATATTTTCTAGAAGCTGCAGATTGGAAACACGGTATAAAACCTTTAGAGCTAGCATATTGCGCATGCAAACTGCTGCAGTCGGCCTTCACAATCATTGAATCGAATGTGTATGTGTCGATCATGGTTTTTTGGCCGGCAAGTTGCATACCTACATGATGGGTGTACAGAGAATCATGTGCATGCCAGTTGCGATCATGCATGTGATTGAATGAGTCCACTGCTATCGAGCTAACTGAAATCTGTTGTAAGTAAATCCCGCGCATGACCTAAGCACCCGGCGCTTGACGCGCCGCCGCCCAGAGCACACGCCCATGGATTTAGTAGCTAGGGTCACTACATCGCCTGCGTCCGGCCCCATGCCGGAAATGCAATTCCCAATACGGATCTTTCGTCTATCCAGCACTGGGCGCATCTCCCAGCTTTTATCGGTGCACCAAGTGAGCTGGCACCGCATGCCGGACGGTCGAGTTGTATCTCAAGCTTGCCACCTTCCTTTCCAATTGGATGCTGCTGCAACCTTTTCTCATGCTTGAGATAGGACCGTCACTACAACTCTCAGTGCTACTTTGCCCGACGCATCCACATATTCGCCCCGTCCGACTTGCTCCCACGACTTCGCAAAAACGTCTCCACGGCCCCCCTCTAAGTTCGTCGGCCCAAGCGAATGCTTTTCGGACCGCTGCAATGCCCACTTCCCGTCGGCGACTTTTTTCACCCAGGTTTGCATTTGCACCTCTTTCGAGAACTTCGTGAGCCTCGCCACGTCAGTCTGAGCAATCGACAAGAAAACCCCAACGGTCGACTTCTTCGAAGAACTCGACGCTCCCTGACTCTGCTTTCTCACCAGAACGTGCCACGTTGCACCATTCCGCTCGACCGCCGGCGACCATTGGTCGCTACTTTGCGCGTCAAGGGTCGCCTCGAAGCGGAGCACAAACGTGTTGGGTTTCCGCGCCTGAAACCGGCTGTCTTCATTCAGCTCCTTGGGAGATCGAGACGACGCTGCGAAGGCTAGCCCTTCCGTGACGTTCCGCTGCGCGAGCGGAAAGGCCATCTCCGGAATGTCGATGACGTGTTCTTGGACAAACTCCCCGGACATGCGCGCGAAGCGGATACGCGCGCACAGCTCGCGCATGGCGGCTTGTCGTTCCTCCATCACCTCAAAATTTCCCCTGACCCATGCCAGGGTCTGCGTGAACACCTCTTCTTCGGATTTCGCTTCCAGGTCGCTTCTTCCCAGCAAGTACGAAACGCCCTCCAAGCTCAGTAACTTGAACACGGGATCGTCCCAGAGCGTTACCTCCTTGAACCGCTGGAAAAGTGTGTCGCACGCTTGTGCTTTCAGGCTCTTGACGGCGACGTATTGGAGATAAGGCGCGGGCAATTGGAACGCCGTGTGCTGTAGCCACTCCAAGTCGTCAAGCAGATTCGCCCAGACTTTGCTGACGGCAGCGACCATTCCGGCGACCCCGTACTTGTCGGCGACGGTTAACAAGGCCACGAGCTCCTCGCAACGGTCGCCGCGATCTAGGCACGGCGTGGAAAAGGTTCCCGTGTAGACGAAGTAGAGCATCTCTAAGACGGCTCGTTCCTCTGCACCAACGAAAACGTTTACGTGTTTCCTCGAGCTATCTTTGACGGAAAAAGACCGTCCGCAGCAGATTCTGCTTCTCGTGGGGTCTTGCCCATGAACGGACGGTGAGAATGCAAGCGGTAGCGATGTGAAAGGGAGATTAAACAACCGGGGTGGCTTCCAGATTTCGAGCGAAAGATATGATCTGTTTTCAAAAATCTGTGCTCGCCATGATCGAAAATTTCAAGTGACCGTCGAATCACGCTACAAGAGCTGGAACATTTCGTTCGAACATTTCTGGCGCAGAAGATGCGCGAACGGTCAGCTCTTAAAGGCTCCCAAACCGTATCTAAAACGTACGTGCGCTGCTGAAAGATTGGAATCGTCTGAGTTGCATCAACACTTTCCTTAGGCTCACCATTCAAGTTGTTTGTCGCGGCTGTCTTACCTTGCTCGCTGTCTACGTTGACGATCACAGGGCGGTCTTTGTCGGTTTCAGCCATGCCATTGGAGAGCATGTTTTGAAAGACAAGACTTTTCGCCGCAACGATCGCGCTGTTGACAGGGACCTTCTTACGAACCACCGCTTGATCTGCACACAGAAGAAATGGTTTGCCAGAGGGACTTAATGGGGAAGGCTCTTGTCGTATCGACCATTCGCCGCTTGCGTTTAGAAACTTCTCTGACGTGCAAGAATATCTCAAAGTCTTCTCGAGGAGAAGAAGGAAGATTCATAGTCTGACTTGATATCCTGTTGCAAAGTGCGGTCTGATTTTTGAGCGACCCCAGACAAGATGTCGGCTTGATTTTTATTGGAAGCATTGCATCGGGGTAATGAAACGCTGATTTGAACAGCCTTCTCTTGCAGGCAAACCCAGAATAGTCTCCGGATCTTCGGCTCGCTAATTACTGCCTTGAGATCCAGGATCATAATCTGCATCTATGGCTCAGAATCAAAGAACCTCGACTTGACACCGACAAGACTCGTTTGCCCTGCATTTTCAGTTCCAACTCCAACCATCCAATCATCATTGATCTTCAACCGTTCTTCACTTAGTGGAGATGCACTCGCGAAAGCACCGATCTGACTTTTCGTAGATGATCACCTCCATCTTGAACTGGTTCCGGCCCTTGCAGCCAAATGATGCGGTCGCTGAACGAGGGATTGCTGCAACAGAGAACAGCCAATTCGATGGGGGATAAGGAGCTCTATTTCTAATGTATTTGTTCAAAGGCCGTTTTCATCTTTCAAGCTCTGCTAAATGAGCTTGAGCGACTTTGTGTTCACTTTCGAATCTGTAGTGTGTGAGCTTTTCCTGAGACACCCGTCACAAACTCTTGTGCAACATCTGTCAAATCCACCCATTTCAAGCGCTCCAGATCAAGCGACGATTGACGTATCTGCTTGTTTTTTGATTAAATTTACCAGTTTTCTGCGCTCGCCACTGCAGTGCTGGCAACGTGTTGTTTGATACCTCTCTTCATGTTCATAACATCTCCGCGTTCCCCTATGACACAACTGCAGGACTGATGGCTGGAAGGTTATGCTAATATCACAGCAAAACTAGGGATCGGAACAGACTTCCCTGGGACTCCGCTGAGACATAACTTTTCTTCCTACAAGCAACCTGTGAAGATCAGCTGGATTTTTCACTTACCCATAAGCGAAAGCGAAGTCGTAGCAGGCAGGCTCGTCTAGTAGCACGCTGCTTGTTCCTTTCCCGGTTGCAGTGTCTCTTTTTTCTATGGACCCCGCTTCTTTCTTGCTAGCCACGCGACTCAGGCGCAGAATCCTTGGCCTCATCCTTGCTTCGCGTACGGTTGCTCTTTCTTGAGACTGGTTTACTCTGAGATGGCAGCAAGTGTTTGCTAAGGCGCGTCCTCAGGAATTGGGACGGAGAGGACTGAAAGGTAGGCACCAGCAGGCCTTACGCAGGATCAGGTCTTAAGGCAGCCATTCCGGCAAGTGAGGCTAGGCACACACATTGCTTGAAGCCTGCTAGAGCAGCTTCAATCTGTGAGACACTGCATCTCCTACATAATTCTGCAAAGGAAGAATGTTGCACAGAACCGTTCAAAGCTCCTGCTGAGCCCGGGCCCCAAGCTAGCGATGGGCGTATCTGTGCCGCTGCAATCTGACCGTTCGATTAGACAGTAACAGGATCGACGATCACCAGTCTGGCTCGATGCCTCAATCAGATTTCATCGGACGGCTTGCTTATACCGACAATATTTCAGGCTTATGTCTTCGCATGATCGCTCAACGTCACCAATTACAAACCTGCTCGAACCAAGGTGCCCCCCTGCAGCAACTTGGTAACTGATCAAGAAGATACGGCCCTTGAGCAGCTGAAGTAGGATGGCGAGCCTGCAAGGGGGTTCAAGAGCCTTTAGATTCTTGGGATACCAATCGCAGTCTGCTGCAGCTTCAGCGAGCAGCAACGAGATCAGTTAGCAGATTCCTGATGAGATTCATTCTCTTGCTGAGCTGAGTGCTGGCAAGCTGTTTGCTAGGTTGCTGCACATAAGTGTTGGCTCAACTTTTGGAGGAAGGATCCAGATTGTAGGAATCACCCAGCGCCCCACCGTTTTACTCTTACCTGCGTCCTAGCTGAACTTTGTATCCTGCGCGGATCTATGGTCGGCCAACTCGAAAGCCCTATCACGCAAGGCAACGTTGTTCAAAGATAACACCATACCAAGCTTCACCATATCTGCGCGCTGAGGCAAGCAGCTCAGAAAATGAAGTCCAAAACAGGAACGCTGCGCTCCCCTGCTTCGTCCACACCGAATAGATTTGGCTCACGGCGCCCAATGTCAAACGTCACCAACTTCAACGTGAGCTTAAGAGCGAGAGCGTTTGACCAACCAAATGAGGCAGAGTTCGATAAAGAGAATGACTCGGGTTTCCTCAGCAAGGAGGTCCTTCTTCTAAAGAAGCTCTTACGCGAGAAGGAAAGAATGCTTATCCTGCAGAATGATCAGATGCAAGCCATGCAAGCCAATCTTATACAGACGATGCGTCGGAGCTCTGCGCTTAACAATGAGATCATCCAGTACAACGTAAGGTTGCAGAAGGTAAGAAGGGTGTTGTCACAGTTCGTGAGATTACGCTTGTCTTTTGATTATAGTGCGAACTGCTCGACACAGACAGAGTCACTCGCTGCAAAAAAGAGTATGCTCCTTGTGAATAAAGAGAAAGGTCTAAACTTAGATGCCGCTTGATGAACCCGATTGAGCTTCAGCATTGAACGGATGCCTTTCTGAACAAATCAGATTGTTTGCAGGAACTTGCCGAAGCACGGAACCAGGTGAGTGAAGGTGTCCTGCTTTCCATGGATGCACTAAACGACCACCGTTGTACCCTTTGCTCGTGGCCTGCTGTTGCGAGTCTGTTGCATGGACTTCCCTTCCCATTGCAACACTGTTCGTTGTAACTTCATTTGAACATTGACAACGTTGGTTCAATCTAGAATGAGGGTATAGACAGCAACCTTCGAGTCGTCGAAAATCAGGATCAAGGTCGAAATTGGCATACCGCACGAGCAAATGCTCTGGTGCTGACCAGATTCTACTTGCAGCTGACTCTTCTCAAGCACGAACGCAATCAGATGGTGTCCTTGCGGAAGCTTCATGCACATGAGACGTCACTGCAAATTGACGCTCTCTCTGAAAGGGTTGACCAGCTGCAACGAGAAAAGAACGAGCTGTTGCGGATGAGGTGCACCAAAGAGGTAGGTAGATACAGGAAACAATGATTCGGTTGGAGCTTCTCCTTTTGGACTCTGAAGCAATTTCCTAATTCTTGAGCCGGAATATCCTTTCTTTGGCACCTAAATTGCACGATGACCTGAAGTGTGACGGTTTCGTCTTTGTCAGGAGCGCCAGAATGGCGTGGCGAGCAGCCTGCAAAGAGCGAGCAAAATGCAGGGCGACCTGGACGTCGATGTAAGCCGTTCTCAATATTCGCTGTGTAAAGGGACTATCTTGGTCACTTCCAGGTTATGTAACACTGCAGCTTTTCCACACCGCTTGGCTTTTTTCAACACGTTTTCTTCCTTTAGTTTACTGAAATCTCCTAACCTGATTTGACAGCATCAAATACATTGTTTGAGGGATTACAACCAGTTTTGACAGCATAAAATGATTCGTTCGATTGGCCGTCTCCCCAGCAAGAGCGGTGTCATATTTTGTGCACCCAAGGCCATTTCGACTGGCAAAAAGTTATATCAAGGCCTGACACATACGCAACGTAATCTCATACGATTCCCGGAGCCTGGATGCAGGTCCACCGGGTCAGAGATCGCTCGAGGACTAAGACAGGTACGACAAAGGCTCACTTAGACCAAATGAGGAAGTCCGGCGTGGGAATGCTTTGTGGTATTTCGTTGAGAAACCATGGCTTTAACGGAGAGTTGAATGCCTATTTAGACCTCGAATGGAAACTTTGTTTGGCAGAATTTCAGAAACTCTTGTGTGATAAAATTTTGCTGCCTCTCCACCTCCACCTCAATCTTCATCAAATAGGAGAGGATCTGAGAACGTCCCTGCTTTTCCTCTCAGGTAGCTTGGCCAGACGTACTTCCAACGGACCACAACCGAGGGAGACTACGGGTGCCAAGGATAGCCATACTGGTTCACGATCGGATTCGGAAATAATCCAACCGCGAAGGTAAGAAAAGTATCAGTAGGACGTTTGAGATGCCTCCGTCTCAGGCCTGTTTTGGCTCAACTTGATTCTGGATGCAAACCACGTAACTGGCTTCTGCGAGCAATCTCCACTTACATGGAAACGGTTGAGCCAACGGACCACGGAAAAGCTTCGAGTCTTAGATATCCGCGAGAAATCAGGGGCTCATGAGGAGTGCCAAATCCACAGCCGAGCATAAAAGACCATATTCATCAAAATTGTGATTCAAGGATTGCTCGAGAAAGTTTCTCGCACGCCAGGGACAATTAACTTGTCATGAGAAACAGCTCATGTTTATTGTACCAAACTATTTCATTATGTGCAGGCTTGGTTTCGGTCTACGCAACACCGTACCCGTCAGCTACGCTGAGCCGTCACTGAGAGCGAAGATGCGGCGGGACGATGCTGCCAGCTTCCCCGTTGCAATCGACGAACTTTCTCTGCTCAAAATTCCAAAGTCAGTCGCCCCGAAGATGAGCCAGATCGAAGAGGCTTCGGAATGGACTGGCCAGGAGGCGCCGCAGACTAATGTGCACGCTACTCGTTCTGCGAAGCCAACCCGCGCACAGCTTGTCGAGAATCCGAGCAGCGGTAAGAAGGTTAGCACAGACCTACCGGAAAGGTCGCTGTCTCCCTCTTTGAGTCCTGAAAGAAGGCGGTACCTAAGGAGATCAAAGCAGCCCGTAAGCTATAAAGAGCCGTCCCTTGCTACGAAGTTGCGCAGGTCATAAGACGTTTCAATGGGAAAGACCTGATGTAAAGAGAGCCGTTTGGAACATGCTAGGCATAGACTCTGCGCCTGCCAATGGCTACGATTACAACATCAGACAGCTCAGCTCTGCCGCTCTCGTCCAGAACAGGAGTCTGGTCAAAAGCAGGTTTGACGAACTGTGCGCTAATATTCTGCCGCCGTCTGATCAATGATATGGCCACGTGCCCCGGGGCCAACTAATAGTTTGCCCTTATGCACTTTACGTGTGTTGAAGCATAGAGCGGCTTGACCCAATCTGAGACGTTACTGTGCGGCAATCTTAACCTCGCGACGTCTGATTGCAGCCCACGGCGTTGTCAATGCTTTTGCTTCTTGTCAAGCTCGGCTTGCAGGTCGGAAGGTCGGGCCTAAATATGTGCACTAAGCTTAAATCAATCATGTAGCAGCTTGAACCAAAACACCGTGCAGAGTCATCATGGCCTGCCAGAGAATTATAACGGACACTGGCCTGCGGGGGAAAAGTGTAACGGCCGCCCCTACATATGCCCGGCCTGAGTCCTACATAGACTGGACCACCCAATCTATGGGCATCTTTTGCACATGGCGCCTGCGCACATGGCGCCTGCGCACATGGCGCCTGCGCGCATGACGCGTCGATCAACCAAGAAAGCCTGCCCGCGCCGTGGACACGTGATCCATCCTGCGAAAAATACATGGCTCTTGAGTTTACGCTTTCAAAACACTTAGTATCTATACGGCCATAACGTTGTGGCATGATATGGCATATCATGCCACAACGTTATGGCCGTACATAGATACTATGATGATGATTGGAAGGCGCGTACACGTCGCTCGGACTGAGTGAATGGTTCGCGAAGTGCAATGCTCATATTCGTGCACGTATGTATCGTGCCACTGGCTTGAAGGTTGCACCTTGTTGATTGATTGATTCAATAGAAAGCTTGATTCTGCATAACCAACTATTGCGCGTGGGCCTCGATGACAATCTTCAATGTTGCTGACATTTGAATCCTCATTACCTTGATCAATGACATGTCGAAGTCTCAGACCTTCCATGTTTAGTACCTCCTGAACGTAACCGACTAAATTACACCTCCAATCACATTGTTTGTCACAATCCGTTCTACTCAACATACTTATGTGCTCTTTATCGTCAACCCACGATCACCAACCTCATCAACCTTACACCCCAAGCAATGAAGGTCACCGAGCTACAGACGCCTTTTTCCCATTCCTCCCAGATGCGGCCCGTTCCATAGATCGGCCTTCCTCCTCGCTTGGGAGATACTCCGGCAACGCGTCGAAAAGGAAGTCTAGGTCGCCCGGAAGGGACTGCTTGTTCTTGGTCGACCGGGCTCCAACGATCAGGGCCCCGCCCTCTTCCAAGGCCCACAGCTGACACATGGAGTTGGACGTCAGCACAAACGCGCCATGCTTCGGAAAAAGTGGTGTCAGTGCCGCCTCGCCTCTGGACAGCAAGCAGCACTTACAGATTGCTCTCTTAGTCAGTTTCAATACAGCCATCGAACATCTGTCTGACGACTTTGCAAGCAAAGTCCGGCGGGTAAGGAGAAGGGCGAACCTCTCCCATCATATAAATTATTCAACGAATCTAGCGGTAAAAGGGTTGACACAACGACTAGCACCACTGATAATAATAATAAAAATTTTAGGCGAAGTGTTAGTCGATAACTATAATGTTAGTATTGGTGGGCAAGTTATCGAACAACAAACCGGAGAATATATGCATGTACAAAATCAATCAAAAATCAACGGGGTCAATCCCGTAACTAACGTGGCTTGCTTGCAGAACCCCTTAAATCTCAGCTCTTGCCGTGTCACGTTTGAGAATGGACAAAGGCTGGGCGTTCAGGCCCGCAATCTCTGTTTTGCATGTAAGAGGCAACACCTTGCAGCAAGGGTGGGACTATCAGAAACAGCAAAGACGTTTGTAGGAACAGCCGCACAAACATCGACAAGCAGTTGGCAAGATTCTCCTTAGAAGAAAGACGGGACTTCGAGAGTTTTCACGCTGAAGTCTTCAACGAGGACGGAAGCAGCGGACACAAGTACTTAAGATGGTACAAGAACCAGTCTCCGCAAGGCAACGATAGGAAAAGAATTATAACGGAAGCGACGAGACGGGCCAAATCCTGGAACCTAGCAGCTGAGGAAGACGGGATCGAGCGGGACATGAAGAATCCTTACCTGATCGTGCGACACCTGGCTCACAATGACGGTCACGATGAGCGTCCCAAAGCCGGCGTAGACGAACGGCACTCCCGGATCATACTGCAAAAAGATGAGGCATGCTAAGATGGAAGGAATGATGGCTCGTGCCATATTCTTGTTTGAAACAAAAGTTGTCTGACGAAGCTAGTCTTGACCCTCATGTTCTCTGATTGCCGTCACGCAGCCAGCTCCTAGGATCCGGTTGCAATCTCATTTCGTGGACTACCATCAGGCTCCCACGCCGAAAACAGGATGAAAGAACCAGTCTTCGCGATTTGCATGCGCTCCAAGATACTTCACCATACCCTTTCTGCTCTGTACAGACGTTGCACGCAGATGCAAGCGGGCTTTCACCGAGGCTTGACATCGACAGACCCCCAAAACCATCTATTTCTGACGACTTGCAGCTATCAACCTTCCACTCCAACCATAAGGAGAAGACATTGCTCAGGTTCTTTGATTCGACAAACGTTGCTGATGTTTCTCGGATCTAGACAAGGACAAAGACACTACGCAGACTGAAGGGCAAACCCGCCCACTTTTCTGCCGTACCTTGAGCTGCATTCCGGTCGCCCCGATAAGCTCTTCGATGACGATGTCCTTCCCGTCTACAGTGATGGGCTTGTTCGATCCCGGCCGTCGAACGCCGACAAAGTTGCCATCGGGGCCGTAGATAGCGACGGACAGAAAGTCACGTGCCACCAGAGAGCTGCATCGGGCGCAGAATCGTCAATCGGGGGCCACACAAAAAATTAGAACTGTGCTTATTCTGACAACGTTGAAAAGTAACGAAGAGGTTTTTAAGAGGTTTTTTCGCACCTTTGTCATTCCAGATTATTCCTGACCGTATTTGCGTTTGTCTTCAATCACTCAACCCTGCTTCGCAAGCGGATGCAACGCTATGGTTTTCAAAGACTGAGCAAAGCAGAGAATAGTCCCTAATCCATGGCGCAAACTCGTGGGCTTCCTTCGAAAACTACCAAAAGACCTCCCCTTTGCTCCGCTATGCAAAAGGGCTGAAAGACCGTGATAATTTACGAGGCACTGGGGCCAAGCGTCGCCGTCAGATTGTCCCCCCTTCTCAAAAGTGGGAAGTCGTAATACTTACACGCCACGTGGCTCTTCCGCAGGCCCCGTCCTAAGGAACGTTCCGAAGAGCTTGCCCGTCTTGCCCTGCGGGAGCGGATAGGCCCTGTCAGAAGCTGCGCCGCACTTGGCAAAGCGATGGAGCTGACTGAGGCGCTTCGATATCACAAGCCGGCAAGGCGGCTATCAGTGTCCGGTTCTAACGGCGAGCTGGCACATAACTTCCTTAGAACGATTACCACAGAGCCTGCTTCACAGCACTCCGGACTCCTTAAGGGGAAGAAAATCGTCTACGAGGGGGTTCCAGAGCTCCAGTCAAGAGATTTTCAGCTCCATCCGAGCGAAACACATTGCGTCTAGCGAACATGGTGTCCAGAACACCTGCTCAAGTGGAGCTTGAGAAGAAGAGAGTCACGAAGCAAAAGCAGGGACCCGGACGAAACGCCTGCGTCAGTCTCACAACTTGAATCCGAAGCACATGGGAGTTCCGTCGCCATCTCCAGCACGTCGATGCGTCGCGCTTACTCCGCGACCCGAATTCCGAGGTTGCCACGCATCTTGATTGAAATATGACGTAAGCCGTAATCCAGTTACCAATCAATCATCCAGTACGGCCACCAGCAACTATTTTCGCAGCCACTTCATGATCCAGAGGGCACTGAAGAAAGGGTGAGGTGAGTGTGATTAAACATGTTACAAGAATGATGCAAACACCATGCTTACCACTCCGTCGTCAAGAATAGCCATCGGCAGCCGGAACGGAGCCCCCCCGTCGACGCGCGCTTGCAGGCTCGCGAGGTTCCAGTCCGTCTGGTACATGGTCACCCCGCCGTAGCGCAGCGGGTCGTTCACCTTGATCATCTTATGGTACACCTCGTTGTCGTTCAGATCGACGATGGATAGGTCTGAGTAGTATTGGTTAACCTGCAAAAGGGTTAAGGGTGTCACCTCAATTCGGAGCTGGGCTTAGAAATCACCATCTTGGGAGGCCAGGTCCGAGTTCAAGAAGGTGATCCTGCACCATGGTTAAACCGCCGATATCGACTGAATCGACCCATCAAGTTGAGCTCACGCAGGTTTGATGTGACAAGATTTTCTGTGGTTATTGACCGGCACTGGACAGGTCGGGTTAGATTTTCTTAAGTTGCACCAGGTGTAAGCCGTCAGTTTTAGCGGTCTAGGATAACCCGGTTCAACTCAAAATACGGACTTGACCCCAAGCAAAACTGGGCTCGAATATTTGTTGTCAATACTGACCACGATGCACAAGTCCGAGAGCAACTGGTTTAGACTGCACTTTGCCGCAAATGCCAACTTTCGATAACTCCCAGTATCAGTAAGCAACTCTAGTCGTCTCGAGTCGAGCTCTCGTCAACGTTCAATCAAGACAAATTCCGACAGCGGCAAAAAGTGAACTTCAGAAAGTTCCGTCAAAGATGGGAGGCACTTGCAAATGCGTTCTGATTTTCACACAAGTCTCAAGGAACGAAAGAAACGGTTGAAAGAGACGGCAAAGCAGTCCTTACGTTGCCGTTCGGCATGTAGTCAATGGAAAAGTTGTTGACGTGGACTCTATACTGCTCGGCCGCCGGCATGCGGCTCAAGATTCCCACTGGCTTCAATATATCGCCGATGAAGAACTCCTGCGGGGGGAGACACATGACGTCAGCTGCTAAGTAGCCACCGAGACCTCTGTGACGTCAGCACGGGCTACGGATTCAGACGAGCGGTTCGCTTTCTGGTGTGAAAATGAAGACCGCGACTGCAGTGAGAAGATGCTGCGAGAACATCCCTCGACCACTTTCCGAAAGGAAAGATGTTCAGATGAAGCTTTCAATATGCAATACGGCAGCGAAACAAGACAATGCGGACGGTGGTCCGTCCTCTGTCACAACATCGAAACTATGGCGTCATGGAGTCCTCTTCAAAGTCGATAAAGACAGGGACTGCGCTCCGCAAGATGACCTGAACCAGCCCTACAGGACGCTTTCCTACCACAGAATTTGTCACTCTGAAGAATCAGTACAAAGCTTTCCTCTCCAGAATGTGAGCAGACACATACCTGTCCCTGGGGCGTCATGGAGCTTCCGTCGAAGCCGGCAGTGGCAGAATAAGCGCAGCCCGCCATAGTGAGAATAAGCCCTATGTGGACCCCGATCGGGCCCAGCTTGCCGGCCAGGCCCCGGAACGCGTAAACTGCAGGGCCTTTCATGAAGACCTGCGAAAGGCAGGAGCGGTGTGAAGAGGCTCTTGAGTTTGAAAGAAGTGGTTTGTATACGGAGACTTTGTTTGTTACATGAAAGTAGAGGGGCCTCGCATGAATGCGAAATCCTGGAACAGAGGAAACGTGTTGGGAAGGCTCCAGACTGAAGAAGGCGCTTGACGCTGCGACTCACGAATCCAGTTTTCCACTGCATGGAACCATGAACGAGAAGTGCTTTGCATTACCCCTTTTCAGGAGGGCGACTGGAGATAGGGAGTCTGGCACATAACGAGGAAAACGACGGGGTGGATCGGACCAAGTCGTCAAGTCTTCACATATCTTAGGCACACTCGAGTCACACCCTGTGCCTTGCTTGGGAAACCCCCACGAAGGGTGAGTCGATTCAGAATGTAAGAACCTGATAACTCCTTCCGCTAGCAACTCCCTTCAGAAGCAGGGGATCTCTTGGAAAAACAAGATCAATGATGCACCATCGGGTGAATCTGACTTTCTTGCACTGGCCATGGGCTTACCTCATATCCTTTCGTGGTTAGCATGGGTACAAGATCGGCCGCCTTGGCGCGCGGCAGCTCTTCAATGATGTCCATATCCCGAAACTGGGCCTTGGACTTGAGGAAGCGCCACCGTCGGGCAACCTGAGAAAGCAAGCGAACATGAACAGGAATGAAACTGGATACGCAAAACCAGTTCCAAAGCACTCGCCTTAGCCATTGGTAGCTACTACAAAGAAGCGCAGGCCATCAGCCACCCCCCCAGAAAACCAGCAGCTAATAGCCAGTGCAGTTGAAGCAGAGTTACTCTGTTTCAATCTGTCACAAGGAACATGAAGAGTCTTAGTTTCACCCTAGCCATCGGAAGCTGTTACGTCGAAATGCAAGCCATCAAGCACGCCGGAAGAGCCTTGATCAGGGAGTACAAAGTGTGGTTTCATATAAGATACTTCTGTCCTCAACTTGTCCAAACGAACATCGCAAACAGATAGTTTCCACTTGGCCATCAGACCCTATCACATGGACCTGGGAGCCATTGGGCAAGTGGTCAGAAATGCAGAAAGAAAGTGCGCCCAAACTGAAATTACTTTCATTAGAAGATGACCTTGACATGTCAAGGAGCAAATGCGAAGACTCACCTTAGCCATTGGAAGCTGTCGCGTAGACGTGCACGCCATCAGGCACGCCGCGAGAAACGCGAGAAGCGACAAGAACCACCAGCTCGTGTAAATGTGATCCAGCTCCAGATCCAGGAGCACCTTCCACGACAAAAACCCGAAGCTCGGGTTCTCCTCCGGATAGTTGTTGATGTAGAATTGGTAGCTCTTGTTTTGCTCAACGACAGTTCCGAGGGCCGATAGCGCGGCGACAGTCAAGAGGGTCCCGATCGCGAGTTCGAGGGAGGAGAGGCTCCGGAGGGTGCGCCGCCACAGGCGTTGCGGCAGCGCTAGGACGCCGTTTCCGAACTGGGGGGCTTGTATCCGGTTTGGGGGCTCGGTTGTACTTCCTACTAAGGCGGCCGGTTTTCCATTGGGGGCCTGTTTGGCGTTTCCATTCAGGGGCTGTTTGGCTCCATTCGCAGGAGCGCCGTTCGAAACACTGACATTCGCTGCACTGCCGTTTGTTGCACTACCACTTACCCCATCGCCTTCCCCGTTGAACAACTTTACGCCATTCTGATTGGGCCCACCGTTCTGGGTCCTGTCTCCTTGGATTTTCAAAGGTGGTGGCACATTTGCAACCTTCACGCCGGAGGCCCCGTTGCTGCTCCCCCTCCCAGACGCGCCAGCCTGCGCCCCCTCTTGCCCTCCGACCACTTCAGCCACAGGGCCTCTTCTCAAACCTCGTCCCTTTCCCGAACCTAACCCAAAACCCAAACCCTGTAGCCGACACCCCTGGCAGATGTCCTCAAAACTGGAGGAAGTCTGCTTAAGCCCCCCGGAATCCCACCTCACAATCGCAGCATTTCGTCGCCTAGAAGCCCTTCCTCTGAATGGGCAACTCCCACCGATGAAAAGTGGTTGCGGACTTGAATGTGAAGTTGTGCAAAGATTGGCATTCTGAGACAACCAGCTCTGTGCCGCCTTCGCCGCGTGCGGTGTCAGCAGACTCGCTGTTGACGCCATCATCAGACCAAAGGGGATGATCAGCAAATCTACAACTGAAACATTTGTATCACGAGCAGAGAAGGGTTATCTGAAGCTTGTTGGTGGAGGCTTTCACTTCAATGTTCAATGGACAACTCAAAACAGGCTAAGCTGGGATTATGTAATCCTGATGGAACTGCTGGAGCCTGGGGTAGCAACTAGTCTGTCGTAGCTTCAAGATTTGAACGGTATTGGCCTTGACAGCTGGTAACAGTACCGGGGAGAAAACTAGATTGTGCGAGATTTCTTCTTCATCATGTTATCCAGCTGCCGTTGCGCATTCTTGGTGACTGGAGACTGAGGAGTTTTGCTACATTTTGTAGTGAGGTGAAGTGCGCCAATCCTTCACTTCAGGATCGCACCAATCACCGTTCAGCATCATGCCCCTATGGGCCTATGCCTCCCTCCCTGACTCCAGATCCCACACCTTGCACCGCTAGGCTTCACATTCGCCAGCAAGGATTTTGGCGCAAGACGTTGACAAATCAGGCACCAGAGCTAGTCACACCCAATGATGATCAATTCTGCTATACGAGCCACCTTTGGCATTTTTAAAACATCAGATTGCACGCCGACACAATGTCAAAAGCGGCCAATTTCCAGTACACCAACCCATTGAGCGAGGACCCCCTACAGTGCTTCAAAGACTGCTTATCAGAGTTCGCCCACCGTCGCAACTCCTGCCCAACGGACCCCTTCGCTTCTCCGCTTGTCTCCCCCGAAGTTTCCGACTCCAGCACCAACTCTAAGCTCCACAATCACGAGGAGTACCCCCCCCTCTCACCGCGATCGCACTCGCTAACTGCCCAGGTTAGGGCTAACCAGGTTTTTGCATTGCAAGAGGGGCTGGAGAGCCAGGGGGCCAGGCGACGGCCGAGGGTTTATAAGGTCAAGTGTGACGAGATCAGGGGGTGGGGATTGGTGCTTGAGGAGAATGTGTCGCTACTTGATCCTGCTTGTCACCTCGTGGCTGTGAAGAAGGTGGGTTGCATTGCCATTTGGTTGACGCTTATCATTCGAAAATGATTCTCTGCTTCTAGTTGGGAGAAAGGCTGCTTTAGGGACAGCTTTGCCCGGCCAACTTCACTGTGTGGGGCGTTATCCGCGGTTTTGATCGTAATGACGTCTCTTTTCACCAACGAAAATATGTGAACCCTTTTTCTGTTTCTTGATTGCCCACATTCAGCATTTGCCCTTTGAGCCGTCTTACGGCGCAGTATCTCTTGATGCCTTTGATAAAACTGAGATTGTCCGTTGACACAGTGCCCGTGACTCGAGTTCTATAGTCGGTGTTACTTGGAATCTTTTGCATTTTAGGAGCAGAGAAACCACCGCCGTCAGCCCCGTCAGCTGGTGAATGCACTATGAATGTTGGGGGATGTTGTAGGATACACCAAGTGGCAATTGCCCCCCAATGGCCTGAATCATAACACTAACCATCCGGGTTTTGAAGGTACTTCCAGTCTGACCCTCAAGGACATTAGTTGTTGGGCACTTTTTACTTCGCCCAAAGCGAGCCCTTATAGAGTCCAAGGGCAGACATCACACCTTCCAGAAGAAGCCAATGTATACTTATCTTTGCTCCTGCAAACATTCCTCCAAAGGCATGTTACGAGGTTGACAGGACTTTCAAGATCTAGAAAATCCATTTGCGCAAGACTCTTATGTCTTTCATCTCCTTCAGGACGGAAGGCTAGGCTTGCGCAGTGGCCTGGCCCAGGGCCGTCTACTGCGGTGCAACCCGCAGCTCGAGCTGAGCTTCGTGCGCGGGAACCTGGAGAGTTGGGAGGTCAGTTTCTTCTCAACGTGGTGAAGATTTATTTTCGAGACCCAGAGTATTCTTACCTCTTTTGTATGTTCAAAGGCCAGTCCTAATTGTTTGGAGTGTTGCTGGGTCCTTCGTAGGTTTGCAAGAAGTCTGGGAGCTGGAACGTAGCTCCTTGTTTGGTTACTTTGGGTTTTTCTTTGAGCAGGAGTTCTTCGATTTTGGAATGTCGGTCCGTTTCTGTTCCATTGATGCAGTCTTTACTTTGTGGGCAATCAGGATTAGTGGTCATCTTGCCTGACTCAGTTTCGGAAAAGGTACAAAGCGAGTGATCTCCAACGTATCACGACATGGGCACTTTCCTCTGAAATACTCGTATTCGCAGGGAATGACTCTCTTGATCTACGAGCAATTTCGCGGCTTTTCTGGCCACTCGTACTTGCAGTGGATATCCTTCCACCAAGGGCAACTTTGATCCGCCGTTTCATTTGATTGTTAGAGTCTTTTGATACTTCTTTTCCGGTAGTAAACGCCATACTCAAAGGGGACATAGAACTTTAGCAATCGATTCTCTGGCACGGCCAAAGAGCCTTGTAACCTACCTCTCTCGTCTGCAGGCTTGGAGCCTTCGAGGAGAGACTTTGTCCGATTGCCTGCTGAAGAATCGCCGCTTCAAGAAGGAGCTGAACGTAAGTGCATTGGTCCCTTTTATTCGTCATCTGATTAACGAGCAGTAGATTGGTTGATCATGTTCACACGTGAACTGTTATGGGAGCGTCTTATGCTAGTTGCAGCATGTAAAGTGCTTCGAGTCCCCATAGTGACGTCAGCTTCTCTCTTACATACATTCTTTCTCCTTGATGCCATGTTTTTTTTCAAGATTTGGCTGCCAGCAATCTTAACCCTTGATACTCCCACCTTGAGGCTATGTAGTTAGGTAAAAAGGGTTTCAAGTCACGAACTTACATTGTTGTCAAATGTATTAAGCAGGTTTTGCAGAGTAATGTGTCTGGTCAGGTTTTTTCTGGTGTTGTAATTGAGCATCCCCGTTAGGAAGGGAGTTCAGCGGTTTCATCGAGCGGCCAACATGTCCCCTGCAACATGCAGATCAACTTAAGCACAAGTCAACCTTGAAGCAGGCTGCAATAAGCATACACTGTTATTTTTCCAAACGCAGGTTTCGATCATGACCATCGGCGAGGTGGTCGACTCCCCCGGGAACGTGCGGTTGACCCACGACGCCGTTCTCGCAGCGGAGGCGCTCGCATATCCGGGCCCGTACGTGTCTTCCTCAGCCAAAAAGAGCCCCTTCATTTCATCAGGGGGGCTCCAAAACGGGGAGCGGCAGGGGGGGGCTTCTGGGGTGAGCGAGAAGGTGCGCTTCTTTGATGGGCTGCCAAACGGAAGCGCTGAAGGGAAAAGTGTACACGGGAAAGTGAAAGTGGATAGGGATTTGGAGGAAGAGATGGATGCGGTGCGGGGAGAATTCGACGGTGCAGAGAGCGCTCTGAGGACGATCGACGGTGCAGAAAGCCTTCTGAGGGAGATCGACGGTGCAGAGAGCACTCTGAGGACGATCGACGGTGAGGAGCGCGAGTCGAGGGCGATGAACGGCTGCAACGGAGACGAGGTGGGACAGAAAAGTGAGCGGGCGGTTGGGAACCTCGACGATAACGAAGGGGGCGAACTAGAGCGGGGCTTTGTGGCACGGGAGGAACGCCACGGGCGGAAAGGAAGTCCATATGGCAACGGATTGAGTCTGGACAGAGATGAACGGCTTCCGGACGGAAACGGACTGGATGCGGACGGAACGGAACGTCAGCCTGACGAAAAGGAACAGGACCCGGACGGAAGGCCACGGAAAATGGACGGAAACGGACCCAAGGCGGACGGCTTCAGACCGCATTCGGACGCAATTCTGCGGTGTCCGGATGAGGGCGATGTCGTTCTTTCGGACGCTTACCAGCTGGACGGTACTGACAACGAGATTCTTGTGAAAACGGCGCTGGTAGATGGGCCGGTTAGGCGGGAACCGGATGGGATCGGTTCGGACGGCGGGGTTCAGACAGGGAGCGTTTCGGACAGCGGGGTTCGGACAGGGTTAGGGAGCGGTTTGGACGGTGCGGTTCGGATGGGGTTAGGGAGCGGTTCGGACGGCGGGGTCCGGACGGGGTTAGGGAATGATTCGGACGGCGGGGTTTGGACAGGGTTAGGGAGCGGTTCGGACGTCCAAACGGGGGGTCGTCGTGGGGAGGGAATGCGAGCGGGAGCGGAGGCCGTGGAGGAGGTGAGGACTGGAAGCAAAAGCTTTGCGCGAAAAAGTGAGGCTGTGGTGTTAAGGCGGTCGGACTTGCCGCATACGTGAGTGACAATCTTAATGTCCCAACTTGACTTCGTCCTCACCCGCGGTACAGCGCCCTGCAAAGGAGAAAGTTTGCGGCTAGGGTTTGCTGAAGGTGACTACTCCGTCTCACACACATGTACTTCTGCCTGCTCTCCATCATCAGCCCGCACTTATGGAAACGTGCAAATAGACGGGGAAGTTGCGCGTCGGCAGGCTATCAGCGCCACACACATCTGAATCGGGTAACCGTGGATCAGTTTTTCAACTCCCAGTCTTTCACGCGCGCTTAAGGCGTGTTGCCTTTACAAATGAGCGCCCCAAGAAGTTCTGCTCGAGGTCAGACCGTGGCTGTTAGCGGTCGATCTATTCACGCACACATGTCAATATTCTCGAAGCTTGGTTAAGTCCCTAACCTCCACCCTCGATCCGCAACCAAGGCGCCTTGCAGCAAAGAGCGAGCGTCCGACTCCGTGCCGCCGCTTTTACCGGTCGAAGTGTCACTTACACACAACAAGAAAAGACATCACTGAGTAACCCTCCTAAAATATGGTCTCACCCTCCACCGATACTCCGCAGTTGTGACGCCTTGGGGCAAAGAATGAGCGCCTGTGCCGCGAACTTGCGCTCGAGGCCGCGGCCAAAGTTTTTCAGCGTCATTCTCACACGATTTGTTCAAACTCTTATTTAACTTCCTAAACCTCATCATTAACCCGCAGTTACGGCGCCTTGCGGCCGAGAACGAGCGCCTGCGCCACGAGCTCGCGCTCGAGGTCGAGACCGCGGCATTCCAGCGGTCCGATCTGCTGCGCCAGCTGGAGAAGGAACGGCACCGGACGGAGCAGCTGCAACTAGAGCTGCAGCAAGCCGGGTCCGGACGGTCCACACCGTCGTCCGCAAGGTACGAACCGTTCGAATCTAACTGTCAATTCTCCGTGACAAAACAACGTGTTGCTTTCTCACTGTCAGTCCGTCATGGATTGACACGCGGTTTTGCGGTCGCTGCAAACCAGCTGCCCACATGGGAATATTGATCTGGACCCTTTGGCGTTGATCGGAAAATAAATCGAATTGCCCCATAACTTGGAGAGTTTGTCCTGAATGTGCGTAGCTTGCGGCGGTCTCTGAGGCATACAAAAGGGCTGGATTAATTTCCGGCAATTGCCCCGCATATCAAGCGCTCTTTCAATTAAGTTTTACGAAAGCTCCTCAAGCCGTTGATAAGATGCGCACAATTTGGCAGCAAATTCCCTGGCGACGACCTCACGTTCATTCCGCCCCCACGTCTGTGCAGGAGGCGGCTCACCTTCCAGGAAGACCGGAATAACGCTGCGAGCGTGGCGGAACGGGTGGAGGGCCAGCTGGCGGACGCCGTCGCGAGGCTGAACGGCAGTCGAGAGGTAATTGCCTCTTCAAGCTGCCGTCAGAAACTTCATGAAAAATTGAATCCGTTCTGGTCGCAGCACGCCTACGGCAGGGAGCGTCCTTTCCGCCGCTTTTCTGCCCTGTCATTGTCTCCTTGATCCTAGGACAATCGGCTTCCGAACGTGTAATTGTTGACATAAGGGCACTTTTGTTTAGCTTTCCTGCCGTAACGACACCCTGTTCATGTAAGGACGTTTTTGGTGGTCGGTGGTCATTGTGTTCCCAGGAGCTGTCTGCTCATTCGGATAAAGCATTCTTGCATACAGCGCGTCGAAAGGTTTGTAGTGAAGTGCCTCAAAGCGGTCTGAGAGAGCTTCTTGTTGCTTATTGCCTCCCCAATCCGTCGGTACCAATTCCTCCCTTCGTTCTGTACATAGGCTGCAATGCTCTTGAGATTCCGCGACTGAGACGCCCCATCGTCTACCTCAATCACCGACTCCTTTTCGCAGGCTCTTTGCGCAAGGGCAGACAGGGCCACTCAAAGCACCGGCCAGGAGTCCGTTTCGCCGACGTTCTTGCAGCGCCTCGTAGCGTGGACACGTGTCACGCTCCGGACGTCCCGGACCGTACTGCCCTGGTTCGTCGCGTTCGGATTGGGCATCTGGCTGACGCGATTGAAAGCCAAGCGGAGACAACGTTTGAATGGCTAGATAGCTGAAACCAGTGATTATATACGAAATTTTGAGTACGTGCAATACTTAGTCAAAGCTCTTGAGCGGATACAAGTCAGAAGTTAGTGGGTGCGGTTGTTGGTTGTCAATCGAGGAACCCGCATTACCACTGCTTAAAAAACTAAGTGATTGATAGAAGAACGATTCGGGCTGGTGGCCCTTGTTTTACTTATACTAGTAGATGTACAGTTGATCTATGCGTAAAAGTGAGTAAGTGGAGCATTGAGCGGTTCACTCTTTGCAATACATATAGACTTTGTTCTGAACGCGATGTATGTACGAAACATGACAAAGAAGCACCTGTGGATGCACAATCGTCCACGTACACTGATGTACGACGGTGCGCATCAAAACTAGAGCTGTAGACAATGGACTGGCGCGGCGATGTCAATGAAGATCACTCAGTAAATCCGTATCGGGATTGAGTGGATGGCCGCGCACCATCGGATGCAAGCGAGTTCTAGTTCGATGTCGTGCACGTACATTTTCGATTCGTTCAACAACTCGCACTGCATCACTTGCCCATGTGCAATGAGTCGCAATGCAATTAACGCGACAGTTCCTAGATGCTGCACTTGTGCACTAGACAGATTTGCTGAATGGTCTCCCTGCCTGGCATCCGACCATATGCATGCACGCAAACTCAACAGAAGCTCAAATGAACTTGCATCCGCATGCCAGTATGTGCCGTTGACCTAGCGTTGGGGCGGAAGGTCCGATCGTCCTGATGAGTGCCATGATCGCGTTGAACTCTATTTGACGTCATGCGCTTCAATGAATTTGCATGTGAAGCGCTTCAAGTGTAGAACAGCTAGCTTTCCGATCGGCCTGGTCGAATTTGAAGGTTTACAAAGAGATTGATATGAGAATACAAAGTCGTGAAATCCCAAAGCTTCGTCCGCTCTACTCTACAAAACGTCATCCGGGAACACTGTTCCGCTAGGGAGCGGCTTGGTTCGTGGGTGCATCGCGGCTATACACAGGGAGTGAGGCAGAAAGAAAAAGAGTCCTAAGAAGACAAGAACGCCCAGATCGGCCTCTTCTCCGACCGCGGGTATTCGCGGTACGGACCAGTAGGTCCGCTGTATGCACCAGAGGCAATATAGACTAAGGACGGCTAAGAGAAAAAGGGCGGCGTGTCGAGTCGGGGGGGTAGGGTTCGTGTTAAAATGTGGGGGAAGTAAGGTCCCGGTGAAGCTTGACCTGCTAAAAGAGGAACGCTCAAGTCACGGGTCAGGAAAAGGGATGGCTCCCAATCTCGGCTGAAGGAAGAAGATGCGTAAGCCGGGCTTAGACGAGACGGGCGTCCTCGAAGAGAACGGAATCATGAGCTGACGGGTTGAGCGTCGCCAGAACTGAACCAATAAACTCGCATTGGATCGCGAAGAGAGGGCTCATGTATGGGAAGTTTCTGGCTCTTCATGCCTTTCCCAAAATGAGCCAACAGGACCATTCCCACTCATCCCCACCTCACCAATAGATCCGGGCGATTCCCCAAGCAATGCACAGGAGGGAACTCTGAGTACGCTCCACAACTTTCAACGGTTGAGAATAACGTATTGAAGTCTTTGACGATCAAAGAGCTGAGAGAAGCGAGAGCAGTAACCTCACGAGAAGTCTGGAAACGAACAGGAAAAGCTCTAGCGCTGATGCTTCCCCTATAAGGAACGTCTAGAGAAGTATGCAAACTTTCAATCGGCCCCTCACCGGTAGATTCATGCAAATCCCCCGAGCAGTGCCCAGGAGAGAGCCTCGACTAGTCTTGCTAAAATTCAAAGGTTGACAACAAGGTGGCGAAGTTCTCAACGATCAGAGGGCTAAAAGAAGGAAGAACAGTATCCCTCACAAGAAGGCACGAGTACTCTGTCACGAACAGAAAAAGCTCTGGCGCAAGAGCTTCGCCCATAAGGAACGTCATTTCTCATAACGACGTTCATTAAGAAAACGATGCAATTCCTCAATCCGTCCCTCACCGGTAGATCCACGCGAATTCTTCGAGCAGTGCACAGGAGAGAGCCCCTGACTACGATCCAGAAATATCGATGGTCGAGAACCAAATTTAAATGCCTTCAAACGGTCAAAGGACTGAGAAATGCAGGGTCAGTATTCCTCACGAGAAGGCAGGACTACTGTCACGAACAGGAAAACCTCTGGCGCGTGATGCTTCCCCTAAAAGGATCTTCCAGAAAATTATGCTAATCCTTAACCCGCCCCTCACCGGTCAATCCACGCAAATCCCCCGCTGATTGCACAGGAGAGAGCCCTGACGACGCTTCCTAGAGGGTAACGGCTGACAACAAGGTGTTGGAGACTTTACCGGTCGAAGCAAGAAAAGTATCCCTCACCAGAAGGAGGGAATACAAGTCACGAACAAAACAGCTCTGGCGCGTAATGCTCACCGGTACATCCACGCGAATCCCCCGAGCAGTGCACAGGAGAGAGCCCCGACTACAAGCACAGCCGCGACATCGACCGGGGCGTCTGTCTCCCACCACCCGGTGCTTATCACCCACCGCATCATGGGGGTGCGGCCCTCCTCCTGCGAACAAACGGTGACGTCATAAGGCGGGCCCATGACGTCGTCTAACATATCTCGCATGGTGATATGTAAGTTCCGACCAAATTATCGATATGAAAAGTGTGATCATCCGCCGCATCATGGGAGTGCGGCCCTCCTCCTGCGGCCCTCCTCCTGCAAAGAGACCGTGCCTCTGGAACAGACGATCTGTACAACTGAGTAGAACCTATTGGACGGCTCACGGTTGGCCTCTTCAAGCCGCCCTCTGAATCCGGTCTCACTGGTGTGCTACTCACCCACCGCATCAAGGGAGTGCGGCCCTCCTCCTGCGGACCAGACATGACGTCACAAGGCGGGCCCATGACGTGGGGCGGTCTCGAAGCATACTCCCTGAGCCTTCTGCGTTCTTCGATTGTTGTGCGTTCTTCGATCCACCCCCGCCGCTTTTCGCCTGGCTTTCGCTCGACCGTTCCGCAGCGCACTCTCAATCGGTTTCCGGAACCCATATCATGTACAAATTCTGAGCGTTTCCAGGCCTCTTCCCAGACATCCGCGATCCGTCTCTCTGAGCTTCTTTCGACTCTAGCGTGCCGGTCCAAAGCTCTCCACAACGACACCGTAGCTTTGTTCCCAATGGAATTGGCTCCACTTTCTCCTTGATTTATCCCGGAATTTCTTCGATGGCAAAAGCAGTTGAATGCAAGCAATCATCCTCATGAGGGAAGTGATCATTATACCATTGACATGACATGCAATTCAAAAAGGTTGTAGTCCGCATGTGTCAGCATGACAGAAGCTCCACTCTTGCGATGTTGCCAAAGCGCTGCTTCGTGGCTTGCTTGGGAGTTTGTTGAGCGTTGCTGCATTTAGTTGCGCTGCTACCATCTGCTTATGAAATGAAGACTGTAGCTTATAGGTGCAGTAACGGGGGGGCGACCAGCTGGCAGGAACGCCGAGGATGACGGGGCAGGGAAGGGGGATTCGCAAAGGACGACAAAAGGGAGACAAGTTCGAAGTAGCAGAAGAATTGCATGGGAAAGAACAAATCAGGTTCCAAGAAAGCAGGTGCCCACCTCAAATAGGTTGTCTAAGAAAAAGTGGGAGATGCCCCCCGCCACGACCAGAAGGGAGCACTGTCGAAAATTGAGAGGAGCCTGCAACAATCAGTGAAAAATAGATTGTCTGAACCTGGACAGCGAGGCTGGCTTTAACCAGACGGAATTTTTTGGGCCACTGAAGATTCCCAATTGGGGAGACTGATGCCCCTCAACCGAAACCCAGCTGTGGACGATAGTAGTTGAGATACTTGAAGGTTCCGCTTTCAGAAACAGGTCAAGAAGGATATGATTGACTTCAAGGAGTGAGAGCCAGGTTTTGCATCACAGAAGTCGAGCTAAGACAGCCAATCAACAAAAGGGCTTTCGTCTACCAACCCAGAATCCACTAAAACATGGAAATTTTCGAAGGCAAGTGAGCACGACAGAAGAAGACCTGACCTTCTGAAATGATCGGCCAATCAAAGCAGGGAGACGAGCGGGATAAGAGAACGTCTCACGTTTTGAATAGATTAGCTAACCAAAGACAGGGCGTTTCTTCAGAGATCTGACCGGTGTCCAATCACCTCTCTCACAAGCTTCCGCACCACCGAACTCTTCAGAAATCCTAGCGGCGCCCCCAAAACAGTTGCATACCCCAGCGCACAATGAACTGACCGCATCAAATAGCTGCACAAATGAGGAGTTGTCTACTGTTTTGAAAATTGCAATGCTCACCTCTCTCACAAGCCCCCTGGTAACCCAACTTTACACAAACCCCAGCGGCGCTCTAATAGAATTGCCTACCCCAGCGGGTCATGAACCGAAGTCATCACGCGGCCGCACTTAGAAAAATTGGTCCAGCCTTTTGTAAACAGCAAAGCTTACCTCTCTTACAAGCCTCCACGTAACCCGACTGTACGCAAACCCCAGCGGAGCCCCCATAAGGATCGCATACCCCAGCGGATCGTGCACCAAACGCATCACAACAGCTGCGGCCTTTTCTCCTGCCCCAGATGTCATTGCGAGCCACTCGCAAAAGGACCCAATGTCGGGCCCAAAGAAGCCATTCAGGGCGTATATAAGGGCATGGGCGGGGGAGAACCTATGGTCGGACAGGTGCATAAGGCCGAGGGATGTGCCGAGGCAGTAGCCTAAATGGGCGCCCGGGCCGGGCATCACTTTTTCAGGGGGTGAGGTGGGCTTAAGATCGGTTAAGATTTCTGGATCCTTCTATGGTAGAATATATGGTGAAGCTCTGACCGGAATGTGCTCAAGGGAATGTGCTTGGAGGAGAGCTGATTGACGGTTGAGGGCTCTCATGACGGGTCGAAAAGTGCTCAGTTTTTGAAGCCTCTTGATCCAAAAGTGGTTCTAGGTTTGCAGAACTGGGGCACTAGTACTAGATAAATGCATGTGGGTAGGAGCTGAATGTGTGCGCATCCAGACTACGGCGCCTTGATTGTGACTTCATTTTCAAAGGTGCATTGTTTTGCCACTACTTCCAAGAATCCTTGTAAAGTCATTCGGCAATCTCTGTCCTTTTTGGGTTCAATAGAATGGTGGATTGTGCCTCAGGAGCCCACCATTTCTCCTCTGATTTCATGACCGGCAGCATTTTGTAGCTCAAGCCTGAGAGTGCTCCACACCACTGTTCCATCATGCGGTTTTGCTCACAATACCTGATCATGCTTTTACATACTCATTCGCCTTCCACTCCCGTGTCGTGACGTAAAAGTTACTTCTACCGGTGCCCATTTTTTATACCACCACTTTTATCAAGCCTGCAATCAAGTTCAGGTGGCCTGTCTGGCCGAATGTGCTGCAATCAGCTTTTGTTCGCAATCCTTCCCCGTATTGATGCTGGTTTTTCAGCCTCGCTGCTTGCATCCCCTAAGTGAGTCAGAATTTTGTGAATGCGGCCCATGGCGCCAACTGCTTGAACGGGCGTCGCCCTGTTCCAGTATGCGCCAATTGATGCGAATGAAGGACTAATTGAAGTGGCCTTCTGAAGGATGAAGATGGCACCAAGGAGAGGGGGATCCCTGAACAGGTTAGTAGGAGCTATTTTGGGTTAATATCTTTCCAAGGTCTGTTCCCGAGTCGATCCCCGCGCTAGGTTAAATAACACTAACCATTAGCCGCGTATGATCAACACTGGCAGACTGCATACTGTTCCAGCTTGGACATCCCTGAACATGCACAATCTGGGGCACAATCCAGAGGCTGAGAAGGGGGATGGCCGCTGCGACTGTAAGCGTCTTCTGACATAGCGGTGCATCGAGGGGAGACCTAGCTGGCCCCTCTTGCTTGTAGCAGAGAAGCATCCTGCATCGTCAGAAACATTTTGAACAGCGGCGGACGTTAGTCTATTCTGGTGCCAGCCAAGTAAACATGGGAGGCTTTTGGGCAGAGGCGGTTCGCCGCGACCCTGAACCCTCTGCGCCAGCCAAAGCCACAATGAGGAACGAAACCCACAGCCAGATTAATGGGAACCCCGTTTCCGAGGATGGTAACAACCCGTCCGTGTCATCAGCGGTGGTTACGGCAGAAGCGGACAGCGGGCGAGCATCGGACACAGAGAAGAGTGGACCAATGTCTGAAGACGTTGGGGCTAGAGTGCATGTGAAGGGGAAGGATGGAGGGCATCTAATGACTCTAGTGGTGGACACAAACGCGATCATCACTGGAACTAGACTGGACAACATTGCGGAGAGCCTGGTAACCATTACCGAGGTGTTTGAGGAGATCCGGGACAAGCAGACGCGGCAGCTGCTGGCGAGGCTACCGTACGAGATCGAGACGAGGGAGCCGTCGGATGCAGCCCTGAAAGAAGGTAGGTGGTCGCATGAGACGATCCTGACAAATGCTGGTGCAAACAATTGGTGGTGGTTTGTATTCGTTTAATGATGGTGCGTGAAGAAGTCGAGTTTGACATGATAGAGTAGGCCTCTATTTCTCAATTGGGTTGGGCAGCTTTTGATGCCATGCCATTCTTAGGTGTTCCACGACGTCAGGATGGTAAGACTCCAGGGTTTGTTTCTCGCTTAATAATCCTGAGCAGTATTCATCGTGGGCAGTCTTCTCGGGTGCGATGAGGCCAAAATCAAGGCTTACCAGCTCATATTGCCATACCCCTAATTTCGATGGTCGCGTGATGTGGAATTTCTCTTTGGCCAATTCCTGCTCCTATTTTCCAACGCCATTTTTGACACCCCCATGGCAATATCTTTGTTTCTGCAGTGGTGCGCTTCGCCCGTGCGACTGGCGACCTCCACTCCCTCTCCCCCCCTGACATCAAGCTCATCGCTCTGACCTACACCCTCGAGGCCGAGCTCTACGGCACCGCTCACATTCGCCGTGAGCCCCCCCCAATCGCAGTGGCCAAAAAGTCTCAGGCCCGTATGAAGGACCCCCCCGGATGGGGAAAGGTCGCAAACCCGGCTGATTGGGCGGGGATTGACGAGGTGGGCGATGATGGGAAACGGCCCGGATCGAGCAGCGGTTTCGGAAAGGGGGGGTCGAGAATTTTTGGGGTGAAGCCTTTGGAGGGGGATAGTGTGAGTGTGGTAAGTTCGAGCGGGGCGGGGGAGGTTTTGAAAGGTGCGGCTGGGTTAGGGCTGGAGGAGGTATCAACCAGCTTGTCAAAAATCGGGTTGGAGGGAGGGTTAATGCCCAAAGAAGGTTCAGCGGGTCTGCCGGAGGTTAGCTTAGAGGAGCAAGGAGTGGGGACAGAGGAGCAGAAAGGGGAGTCGGTCTCAGAATCGAACATCGAAGAAGGTGTGAAGTCGGAAGGGAAGGGGGTTCCAAGTGGTTCAGAGGGCGCTGCGGCGTGGGGGGGCTTCATGGTGGCGCCACCTGTCGCAGTCCCGTTGGCCAGCAACTCCCTTCTCTCTACCAAGCCTGCAAATGACAGCAGCGCTCCTCAAGCCGTCGGAACCGCGAGCTTCGCAGAAGCGGCGCCTCAAAAGAACGCCCGCCAAAGCTTCAAACAAGGGGGGGGCAGAGGGGGGGGCCGAGGGAGAGGCCGAGGGAGGGGGAGAGGAGCAAAAATGGCGGCGCTCACAAAGCCGATTGTGGTGGATGGGGTTCATGCAGTGTTAGTGGAAGAGCAGGCGATCGAGCACGCAGAGGGGGGGGACGAGTGGGAGCGTAACGTGAGCCGTAGCACGCGGAGGAAACATCAACGGCGGGCCGAGAGGGCGGCGGGGCTCGAGACACCAGGGGGTGTGAATACAGGGGCCGCAAATATGGGGGCTGTAGAGGTTGGGGCGAACTCTGGGGACGGTCCCTCTGCTACTGCCGAGGGTCACGTAGAGACAGAAAGCAACGCTGAGACTCATGCAGAAAAAGGGGGAGAAGAGAAAGCGGAAATTGGGGCTGCAGTGGTGTCGAAAGGAGTGGGCTTGGTGGAGAACGATCAGAAAAGCGAAGCGGCGGCGGAAAGTGTGCGGCAGTCCGAGGGGCCGGCGAGCGCAGAGGGGCCGTCTGGTGCGGAAGCCGAATCGGGAGGCCAGTTTTCGGATGCAGAAGAAGACGAAGAAGCGAGCGGTGCCGAGGAAGACGAGCCGGAGGTAGAGTCTCCGGCCGCTGACGTCGACGACACCCCAGCTGACGTCAGCACGCGCGCAGAGCCAGAGGACAGTGGCGAGCCTTCGGGAGCAGCGGAGTATGAGTACGTTTACAGCGATCAGGAAAAGGCCCCGGAATCGATTCAGGTGGCTTTGCCCCAAGCTTCGCAGGCTGCTTCGGAAGTTGGGTCGGGCTGGGATGGGGCCTCCTCGGCCGCGGGGCCCGAACGGGAATCGGAGGTGGCGTGCATGACCTCAGACTTCGCGATGCAGAACGTGCTGCTGCAGATGGGGCTGCGGCTACTGTCGGTGGACGGGCTGGCCATCTCGCAGGTGCACCGGTGAGGATGTTTACGCTTTTTTTCCTTGTTCTTCTCACCCCCCTCGCTTCCACATGTCTTTTTGGAAGCGTTCTTTATCAGTGCTCAGTCGTCTTCTCGAAGTGCAACAGCGGCCGCGGAGGGGCCATCTCGCAGGTGCATCGGTTAGGAGAAAGTTGTAAATAGTTTCGTTTTTCCTGACACTAAATGCCTGCTCAAAAGCCGGAATGTCGAGCAGGCATTTTGCCAATTACAACAGCAGCTGACAGCTTGGTCATCTGGCAGGTGCACCGGCGAGCAGGCCGCCGCAAATTTCGATCTCCTATGCAGCCGTCTAAGCCCTTTTCTGGGCACAGAATGCCGTTTGCACGGCACTCGATTCCGCATGTCGTCTATTCTCGGTTTCATGCGCGTTATTGGAAGCTTGCCATCTAGCAGTGCTCGGTTTCCTTCAAGTGCTCAGGTGACGTGATTGAGTTCTGGGATCATGGTCCTGGTTGGCCCTGTGTTCGACACTACAGGAACTGGCGGCTTGATTTGTCGACGATCACATTCGAACAAAGGCAGAGACCTTGGACTGAGGACTCGCCAGTCGTTAAGTTTACACGTTAAGGTTGGTTTAGCTCTGCCTCCCAATACTAAATTTGCTTTTCTTTCTCCTTCGACCGAGTACTCAACGTTCTTCAGACCCCCGTCGAATTTTCTTGCTTAAGGACCTCATATCAAACTCAGAGTCCAACTTGTGTAAACATCTGCAGATTTGTATATGACACTCATCTGACGGCCAGCTCTTTTATTGCCTCAGGTGGGCGCTCCGGTGTCAAGCGTGCGGGCAAGTGACCCACGAGATGGGCCGCATCTTCTGCCCCAAGTGCGGTAACGGCGGCACGCTCCACAAGGTGACGGTAATGGTCGGAGAGGACGGGGCGCTCGTGGCGGGCGTCAGGAAGCGCTTCAGCCTACGTGGCACGCGGGTAAGCGTTCACTGGGACTTTTTTGGCCGTTTATCATGGATGGTTATGGGCTGGTCAGAAGGTGGTTATATTCCCAATAATCAGACGTCGGCGACAACCAGGCATGGAAAGATGATAAATAACAGTTTGTTTTTCGATAATCCTGAGACTCAAGTCCGGTGATAAGCCTGGTTAGCAACCAAACCGTACTGTGGTTGTCACAGAAGTTGGGTTCTTCTGCACTTCGTGCTTCTCGGAAAATTTTCTGGTATGCCGACACTCTTACGATGTCGATCTTGCTTCGAGATGCTTTTTCAATGTTTGCCATGCTCTTAAATGCACATCATTCCGGCCTGCAAGTCTCCTGCAGCCCATCCCGTCTCGCCTTGCGAAAGCTGAGTCGTCCCACAGGGCGCTTGAAACCCGGTCATCCACAAGGAATTTTCTTTCCATCCACTCTTCGGCTCGCGCATTTTTCGATTCGGTCAACAAACCTCCGTTCTTTCGTCGCTTCATGCGCTCTCCGATTCCCTCACCAACCTCTCGTTCTTCGCCCCGTGCACCAGCCGTTCCATCACCATTTGTCGTCCTGCGTTTGCCCCGTGTACTGTCCCCTTCCCTCACCAAATCTACTTTCTTTCTTTGCTTTGTGTGTTAGCTCCTCACTCAAACATACCTTCTTTCTTCGCTTTGTTCATTAGCCGATTTCTTAACCAATTGACGTTTCTTTCCGTCCTTGTGCAGTATCCCATCCCCCTGCCTAAGGGCGGCCGCGAGGGCAAGCAAAGCGACCCGATCCTGCGGGAGGACCAGCTGCCGTCGCGGATTCGGCACGGCCTGGGGCCTCGGAAGAAAAAGGGGGTGAGCTCACAGACAAGCTCACAGACAGACTCTCAGAAAGTGCAACAGGAGCATACATTGCCGGAATGTGTTCGTTTTGGCTCTCCCTGTGTCCGTTGGATGTTGCAGCTCGTTGATTGCTCGTTTAGAATCGAAGACCGTGTCTGTCTCTGTTTCGGGAACGGCGACTGGTTTGGTGGTTCTTGCTCTGGTCTCTTGTGAACGGCCTTTAGTATCTTCCAAGTGGCTGGCTGACTTGATGCGCTTCCCATACCGATTAATTCAGCAAGAGCATGGATAACTGGATATGAGTCCGCGAGAACGCGTTCTTCGACGAGGACGAAGGTTTTGAAGCTCTTCGCGCCTGCTGGTCATACCCCTCGAGCAGAGTGTGCGGCGTCTCGTGCCGTTCGTCTCCCTCTAGAGGCGGGCCTTGAGCTAATCGTTCTGGAAATTTCCGGCGGAAAATGTTGACAATTTTCAGTTCGAGTCGCTGGTGTTTATTTGAGACAAAAGTTTGAGGGTAGCTTTAAAGAGAAGTCCTAAGCTCCGGGTGTAACCCCTTGCAGGAAGTCGACGTCTTCGGCGCAGAGTACGGCCCCGAGACGTGGTTCCAAGCGGTGCCCACGAAGGGAGTGTCTCACAACGCGGTCCACGTCAAGAACGCCACCGCCGCGTTTAACTCGCGGAAGAATCCGAACGAGCGCAGAGTGGCCCGGAAGAAATAAACTTGTCTCCGCTTAAGCCTGTAATTCTGTCATGCACCCTAGCCCTGATAGCCGGTGAAAGGGTGCTACTACTTTGAATGAGCAGCATGCGGCACAGGGATAGGAGACGCTTGGAACCATAATGTCATGCGATTTTAGTGTTGAAATTATCCGTACAACCAAATCATGCACCTAGTGACGTTTGACATTGGCTACGTACGTGACCTTATGGTCGCTCCCGTATCGAAATACTGCATGCTCCGGGATGGGCTGGTTTGAAGCAGACGTCAAGTCGAGCAAATTTGCACATGCTTGCGAATGCACTTAATGTACCTAAACATGGCATGTGTTCGTATGGGCTATATACGCCTCTTGATTGAGTTGTGTGTTGGATCTATGTTAACGCGATTTGATCATCAAATCTTAAATTTCAATATGTGGATTGATTGCCTGGTACAGGAAGTTCATGAGTCTCATCTACATGCTGGCCCTAGCTAGCTAAAGCAGCCGTTCTATATCTTGCAAATGATCGATGGCACATATGTTGTCAAAATTGTGCCCGCGGTGTTTGAAGATGCCGAACCACAGACTGAAAAGAGTTTCTGGGCCGCATGCAGCCAGCGTTCCTTCTTGTCGTTGACGCCTTGTTGAGCGCAAAGAGTTGGCTCAGTGATGCACAGCTTGAGAAAGAGAAACGAAATCTATTCTTTCGAGTCTGAGATACAGCTGTCCGAATTGACATGCCATCAAGAGCCATTTTTCGAAAAAGGAGGTAACGTTTCTCTTACTTCGACAAGTCCAAATCGTTGCTTTTGGTCTGAAGAGCAAGGACACGAAGTTCAAAAGTGGGAAGGAACGTGTTGACCGTTTCCGAACTGAAAGCCAAGGCATACGAATGGACGATTCTTATCCTAGCCGGAATCTACTGCAGAGGCATCTGTTCCTTCACTTCATAGACGGTTTTGAGACCCTCGATGAGGATTTGATTGAAAGTACCTAATTCATGACAAGTTTCATGCTGGTTAGACACGTGTCAGTGCGGAAGTGCTTCTTTATTTCGAGTGGGACGTCCAGAGACTCCAGACGGAGCTCCGGAGTCCGTCGGCACCTTCCATTCCGCGGCCGAGCCAGGAGCCTGCGCAGTGCGGAATGCGGATGCCTAGCCGCGGAAATCGACGAACTCTACCTTCAGTACGTCATTATGGCTGACGCCATCGTTCAAGTGGTGTCATGCTTTCGTACTGAAAAGAGAAAGCGAGCTGCATGTGGCCGAAGTTGAACGAACTCCACAACGATGCGCCGTACTATCGAAAAGTCAAACTTTGAATGATTCACGCAAAAGGGTCGTCGTCTTCGAGTGCCACGTTCACATTGCACAGCATCAGCAACACAGTCCAAAATGTACGGTCTAAATATTTAGAAATTTCAATCATGCAAGTCAATCATGTAACACGACCATGCATGAGTCATGACAATTGTGGAATTGATGGCGAGTCTGCGACCCTCTGATGCCGACACGTCTCTTACCGATGCCTACGCGCCTGCCAGACGAGAATTTAGACAAGAGAATCAAACGCAGGATAGGTCTCGTTTTCATGTTGACAAAGGGCAAGGGAAAGCACCCGGGGGACGGGTAGGGTTGGTATGGGGGTTAGGTGTGTGTACGGTGCAGAGCGGGTGACATTTAGTCGGTTTAGGTTTTTAGGTTTGTTCGTGCCCCCGAGCACGATCCTTAGTCAACATGCGCTTAGTCAACATGGAATCGAGAAGTATAAACGCAGGTCGACCTTCTGACCGCCGTTCAAGCAGTAGCCCACAAGCCGCAATTTGGATACTTCTCGATTTCATGTTGACTAAGAGCATGTTGACTAAGGATAGTGCTCGGGGGAACCAGCAAAACTAAAAACCTAAACCTGGGAATGACGCGCTCCGCACCCGTACCCACCCTAACCCCCAAACAAACCCTAACTGTCCCCCGGGCACTTTCCTTAGTCAACATGGCCCTTAGTCAACATGAAATCGAGACCTATGCAAATTGGGCTGCAAATGTTGTTGTAGTGTCTCTGGAAAGTGGGGGGGTACAGGGGGGAATTGGTCAAACGACTCGGATAGAACATGGAGAGATTGGTCCCTCCGAGCACGACAAAAGGTCGAAGGCCCGCTTTTGCGTCTCTGATAACTTCGTAGTACATTTCTCAAGCGCCAGCGCCCGTCAGACACCAGACGGCCATTCGTCAGCTGCAAAGCTTATCTTGTCACACGCCTGCCAAGAGGGAGCTTAAGCTGAGAGGGAAATATCGTCGAAGGTCTGCTGTACCTAGTCGCTCCGAGTAGATTCTCGATCCAGGATGGCAACCACCAGGTGAGCTCCTGTAGTTGTACCAACGGTTTCTGCTTCTTGTTCCGACTTCTTTTCCTTTCATACATGGATGAGTGCTGGACCAGTTCAGGGTAAGACCGCGTTCAGAGACCTGTTGAGACTCTCATTGCGAAAGTTAGTATATATCCGGGATCCAGGGCCTTAGAACCCAATTGCAGTTTGGCTTCTGCTCATACTGAGCAAAGCTGACCTTGTGGCAAGTTTTTCTCTGCTTGATGCTCATCGCAGGAGTGACCTTTTGTGGGGCAATTGGTTTCTTGGTTGCACTCACTTGACCCTCCAATATTGCTGTTTGCTAATGTCCTGCTTCAGTTAAGGAACACTCATGATCGAGGGTCTCAATGATTGCGCAAAACCGATATCATTCAGCCAGCCAAGTTCGCCTCGTCGCCTCTGCACTTGAAAGTATGTTGTGCTAATCAAACCTTGAGAATACTTGTACATGACACCTTAAGGTATTCTTCGTGTCCACCAACCAAGACTCCCCATCTAAATTATGCCAGAAGGCCACAATTACTGTTCAAAGCCTGATGCTGAGGAACAAATCCTCGTACTAAACCCCACAAAATCTCTTTTGCATAATTCAGATCGTCCCTTCATTGACAAGGCCTTCGGCGCCCAAAATGGACATCAAGGGGGACCATCTTTCCATCCAGGACATCATCGATGTCAGCCTCTTGGGCCGCCACGTGCCGCTCAGCCATGACGTGGACGACCACGTGGCAGCAGCCCACCAGCTGATTCTCGACCGTCTGAAGGCGGGTCAACCCATGTATGGGGTCAACACCAATTTCGGGGGGCTGGCAACCAAACAGCTCACGGCAAACGAAGCCTCTGCTCTTCAGGAGAACCTCATCTGGGGCCTCAAGAGCGGGGCGGGTCGCAAGCTGCCCCCCTATCTAGTTCGTGCAGCCATGCTCATCCGCGCAAACGCGCTGGCCAGGGGGGCTTCGGGCGCCCGCAGGATCCTCATCGAACGGTTGCTGGCGTTCCTGAATGAGGGTGTGACACCTGTCGTACACGAGCTGGGCTCTATTGGCGCGAGCGGCGACCTTATTCCGCTGGCGGAAATTGTCGGCTGTGTCATTGGCCTCAGTAAGGCCTACCGGGTTGTGGACCAGAATGGGAGAGAGCTCGACGCCCTGGCAGCGCTTGCTGAGATGGGCCTTGAACCACTTAGGCTGGAGGTATGTGACTTTCTCCAGTAATTCTCAGGTTGGCTGCAAAAGCAAGCCATCTCAATCCTACAGTAGCTCAAGTGTTTTGAAGTGCGTGCTGATCACGAGGTTTCGTTGCGGTTTCCGAGACTCTTGATTGAGATGAAGCTTTTCGGACAAGAGAACTTATCATCCAGAGTATCATTGTGAACTTTAGGCAGACCTGTCAAAGCTTCGAAGATTGTCAACAGTCTCTTTCTGATTTAACGTTGCTGTCCTCGAGGAAGCAGCTTCAATTTCAAATTTTTCAAGACATCAATTAGTGAAAGCTGCACCATCTTTTTCGCAGCGGAAAGAAGGCCTCGCGCTCGTGAACGGCACCTCCATGATGAACGGCATCGCGTGCCACGTCATCACCGACGCTCGCAAGCTGCTGCGCCTCTCGCTGTACTTGCACGCCTTCTACATCCAGGCGCTCGAGGGATCCCCCGAACCCTTCTCCGCGTTTCTGCACCAGTGCAAGCCGCATCCGGGGCAGGTTGAAGCTGCCAGACTCATGCGCGAGCTGCTAAAGGGCGGGAAGGTCCTTCCGAACGCCGAGCAAATGCTCGAATCGGATAAGGCGCTGATTCAAGACCGGTACTCTATTCGCTGCCTACCGCAGTACATGGGACCGATCCTGGATGCGTTCGCTCTCATTGAGAAGCAGGTATGGCGTTGCACGTAGTGAAGGTGCAAGGCGGTGAGGTTTGCTGGGTTGCCTCATTAGTGGCGTTGTGCTCTGGTCATAGTTGTTGGGTGGTGTTTGATGCTTCAATGCGCTTCATCTGAATAGCTTGCATTGGTCAGCGGCAGTCTCTTCGTGCAAAAGTAACTTTTGAGCATATTCCCACGTGTTCGCATTCTGAGCTGTCTTCCCATTTTTGTTGCTGTAAGGCCTCGAGCACTTTTTGTGTTCATCCTTTGTCTCCAGATTACAGAGATATTAAATAGGCCTTTGGCTCATATGCAGGTTGAGATGGAGGCGAACTGCGTGGACGACAATCCGCTGGTGGACGTGTCCGCCGGAATGGTGCTAAACGGGGGCAACTTTCTGGGGCAGTACATCGGAACCGGAATGGACCTGTTACGATATCACGTCGCCTTACTTACGAAGCATCTTGACACACAGATTGCAATGCTAGTTACGCCCAGCATGAACAACGGGCTGCCTGCGTCGCTAGTTGGCACACGAGCTGACGATACGGGAATCAAGCTCGGCTTGAAAGCATTGCAGATCTTCGCCAACTCTGTCCTACCCCGGTTGATGCACCTCGCTTCCCCGATAACGCACCTCTTCCCGACGCATGCGGAGGAGTATAATCAGAACATCAATTCGCAGGTTTGTCACTTATTGGCTGGCTCATATGAGCCCTCATTTCACCTTGATCGTGCAACACGGGGGCTCGCAGGAGCATGCCTTGTAAAGAGATGGTATTTGCCTGCTCGATATAGATGGGAAGTGATGAGATTCGTGGCCACAAAACTCAGTAAGCAACTCAATAACGTCCGAGCACAATTGGATCTGATCGCAATGCATACTCTCAGACTGTTGTATTCTGAACCCCTCACCTTGCTCGTTTCCAACTGTGACTCGAACTTTCAAGAAATATTGATCGCGCCTCTCTCATCCTTAGCTCGCAGCTCTGGCTCTGTGTCTAGAAGGCCGTGTTTCAATGATTATTCTGCAGGGTTCAACTCTGCCAACCTGGCAAGAGAGTCTGTTGGTCTTCTAAGAACCTACCTTTCGGCTGGGGTGATTTTTCCGATTCAGTCAATAGAGCTACGCGCTTTCGCTAGGGAGGGGCACTAACATGGCGAGGCATTTTTGTCGCCTGCGTGTCGCCCTCTGTATAACGCCTTTTACAAGGCATTTGGGCAGCCCAATCAAACGACGAAGCCGTTCGTCGAAAAGAATGGCGACCAGGATCTTGCAGACTTGATTTCGAGATTGGAGATTGACCTTGCCAGCGTGGACAGCAGGTTGTTAGACAGCGTCTGTGAAGGTTGAAGTACAAAATTTGATTCAAACGCGTAAGATTACAACATAGGACATATACGACGGTACAGGCTTTCGTGCATGTAGCGAACAAGGAAGCCCATATATACATGTGTGCATGCACACGAGTCACCGTCCAGTGCGCTGTAGGCCGCCTGGGGCCACATTGCAGTAGACCTGACCCTCTTGTATTTAGTACAGGATCCAGATGTCAGAGCACCCCGCGAGCATGGCCATACGTTGTGGACTCGAGCTTGCTTCAATGAAACTAGATCATGCAACACGTGGCTGTGATCTCATTCAATCATGACCGAAGGTCAATATCTGGTCTTCGAAGTGTATAATTCATATATCTCAGCAGCCCGATCAGCATGGCCATCTTGTGAACCCGGGCTTGCTTCAATAAAGCTGGACTGCAACATGTAGCGGTCCCACGCAATTATGAAGGTCAATTTTTGGTCTTCGAGCTCATGCTCAACGATCAGTGTCCCGACATACCAAATTTATAAGAGGCTTACTTCAAGCCGTCCTTCCGTAGCCTTTCGCTCAAATTGCTCTACAAGAGCGCAAGTTGTTAATATGTCTATCTAAACCATACCGCAAGGTGTTGAACACGCAAAAACACTGTCACCTTTTCGGTGCGTTTTGTGGGTTACTAGATTGGCTTCCCGCGCTGGCACCACTCCCGTGCCCACTCGCCTTTTCTTCGACAAAAGCCCCCAGCTTCTTCAACCCCGTTCCCACGTTCCCGGCAAACCGTTTCCCCATTGCAAGCGCCTTGTCAGCCGCCGTAGATTCGGGGGGGTGGTTTCCGCTTGCTCCTGCACCCCCCGTTTCCTTGCCATAAGGTCCATGCACTTGGTCATATGATACATAGCCGGGGGGAGGGGGCGGAGCCACGAGCCCGGGCCCCAGACCCCCCTGATTCGAAGCCGGAGGACTCGCATAAGGAGGTGGCTGGCTTTTATAAGCAGACGACGAGCTCCCATAAGGCTGGCTTTGATAAGCTGGCTGCGGACTTGCATAGGCCGGCGGGCTGGGGCCTTCGAAGCCTGGTCTAGGAGGAGGCGCGGCATAAGCGCTCTGAACTGGATAACCCATCTGAACCGGGGGGCTATGACTCGGGGGGAAAGCGTATCCTGGAGGGGGGGCAGGTCGAACCATGTCCGCAATTGGGGGGGGAGGAGCGGTCTGCGGGTAACCCTGGTTGTAACCCGGGGGGGCGGACTGAATCATTTGAGGCCTTTGCTGGGGGAAGAATAGGCGCCCGATGATTGTTTGGGGGGTGCTGTTTGGCCGGCCGTTTGGGGGGGGCCTGTTGCTTAGGAGGGGGGCGCGGCGGCAGCATTCCAGTAGGAGACTGAGGACGATCATAAACAGGCTGGCGATGACGTAGACTAGGAGCAGAGCTGCGCAGATGGCGGCGGCTCTCGGGAGGTAGTGACCTTTGACGGGGGACTCGCCCTGCAAAAAGCGAAGCTTATCGGGTTGACTTGCATGCTAAGCCTTTCGACCGTGCAGAGGGTTTTTGGAAGAGTTTCCTGCGCATTGAAGCATTTGCAATTTTCTGAGGCAGCATCCGGAGGACCTGAGACCTGACAAGCCGCCTACGACTTTTGAGGCAAGTGCACAACTATGCGCTGCGATACTCAAGGGGTTTGGCTGCGCCTCTGAAAATCGATATCTCAGAAGTTTCCCCAGCGGAAACGCTTCTTGTCCTTTCACAGGAGCAAGTAACACAACAAGTCGAAACAGGCATCAACAAGTACCGAACACAATACGACATGTCGGGAGCGTAGACGGCTGCAATATTTCTGACACCCGGAGGCAACTCGATCACACAAAAGAATCTTTTTGTCCACGGGCATGTATTGCTCCTGAAACATAATCGAGGGGTGAAAGCAACAATCAGAGCTACCTGATTCACTAAGCAACAAAAGAGCACCCTGGAGACGAGATGAAACTCAAGAAAGATATAGTAAGCCAGAATAATAAGCTCCGACAAAGACTTAAAACCCCAACCCAAAAAGATACCTGCTCCGCACCCCTACCCACCCTAACCACCAAACTAACCCTACCCGTCTCAGTGCAGTCAACTTCTTATTATCTCGGCGTATCATTCATTTAGTGAGTTCGATGGAGACGAGTACTTACGCAGTGGGCAGATGCAAAAGCTTGGAACCCAGCAATCGCCCAGGCAAATCCTCCAATGAAGAAGAGAACGAAGAAGGCTACCCAGGGGTCGTTCCAGAACACGTGGCAGGCTCTGCAGAGGGGCAACGTCTCAGTACCAGAATATACTTTTCCACAGCAACGAGACTAGCAGAATCATTGGTCTCGTACAAACGTCCTATGCCTATGGGGCTCAGCAAAAGATAGTCATCTCGGTCTGCAAGCAATTGTTGCGATGGTCGCAAGATCTTTGTGTCTCGAAGTTCAATACGTTGGATCAGGATCAGTCAGAGGACCACAGTCAACTGAAATTTTAAGGCCCCAGACAATTTGAGCTTAGTGTCCCTGACCAAGTGTAAAGTCGACTGACTTTGAGATTGGCATAGCTGAGATTGATAAGAATTTGAGGCTCTTTGACACAAATCAAGGCATCAGGACCAGTTGCTACCATGTGCCTCAAGAACCTTGAAGCGCTCAGTAACTTGTGAAGCTGCTGAGATAAAGCCCCTGTGGAGTGGCTTGATTTGTTGCAGAAATTCGACAGATAATGTAAAGTGACAAGTAATCAAGCCTTCTACAGTAAATTGACATGACCGATTGTTTGAAGGGTGACAGCCTCCAAATCAATTTCAAAAGGCACCATAACCACCTCATTACAGAAGCTCCCAGCTAGGCCTCCCCTTCGTAAGCTTGTACTCGGTTCACCCACCTTGCCATAGGCCCTGCATCTGCTTCCACCCTTGCATCGTAGGGCCGGGAGAAGTACGTGTATATGTGGACTGCAAACCCGACGAAAAACAGGTTGATCGCCGCAGTGACGTAGAAGAAGGCGGGGACATATGTGTCGCAGTGGTTGTGGATGTTAAGCAGCCCCAGAACGATGAAGACGACCCCAGGGATTGCGTTCATTAGGACGGTGAACCCCAAGAATAGAGGGGACGGCCTGGAAAAGGAAGAGGAGTTTTGCATTGGGGCGGGGGGGGGGGTATCAAGCACCGAATAGTTGCTCAGAAGTGTCACCCTTGAACCTCCGTTACTTCGAGCTAACCTCTGAGAACTGAGGAACCCCAGGAACATTGGAACCATGACACTTCTTGGGTTGCGCTCATGCTCCTTAAGCAGCACACGCCAAGAGAAGCAAACTTGAACGGGACAGTGTGGCGAGCATGTATGTTCCCCAACATTGAAGGAAAGTTTCTTGTCTCAGCTCCTTGCGATAGCTGCTATGATCCTCAAGGGACATGCTTTGCAGAGTCAGTCCTTGCCAGCAGCTTATGATCCTCGAATGGAATATGCTTTGAACAACCAGTCCTGCCACCATCTTATGGTGCTAATATAGAACATGCTTTGCACAATCAGTCCTGCCACCACCTTATGGTGCTAATATAGAACATGCTTTGCACAATCAGTCCTGCCACCAGCTCATGATGCTGATAGAAGTTTGACTAGTCCTGCCACCAGCTCATGATGCGAATAGAGCTCTGACGAGTCCTGCCACCAGCTTATGAACCAATTAGACCTTTGATAAGTACAACCACCAGCTTATGATCCTGATAGACCTTGATAAGTCCGGCCACCAGCTTATGATCCTGATAGACCTTGATAAGTCCGGCCACCAGCTTATGATCCTAATTGACCTTTGATAAGTCCAGCCACCAGCTTATGATCCTAATAGACCTTGGATCAGTCCTGCCACCAGCTTATCATCCTGACAGACCTTTAATAAGTCCCGCCACCAGCTTAATATGATAAAAGACCTTCAGATTGAGGATCTGCAGCTGTGGAAGGGGCGCTGACTAGGCTCACCTGTCCTCCGGGCAGCAGCAACCCCCGCATGTCAGGCACTCCTCGCAGCACCTCCCGCAACCCGCACACAGAGCGCCCCAACACTTTGCATTGCAGGGGGCGCAGACAACTTTGGCCACATAGTACATGGCAGCGCCTCAGCCTCGATCAAGTAGAGTGGATGACTCGTGCGGTGTCAAGAGAGGACAAGCCTCTCGACCTCGATCCAAGACTGATAGTGGAGAAATCCCGCGAGTGACAAGATAGGATGAACTTGAAAGTGCGGGACGTTTTTTGAAACCCTAATTTGCCCTGTGGGCCCTCTGATGGACGCGTAGACGAGGTCAGCAACGGATTGACTGAATGAGGTCCTTATTCACTGCAGTAGAGGAGTAATTGTGTCAGCGCCACCTTCCGAAGCAGCGGATTCCATCAGGGTTCACTTTTGTCATGAGCACTGTCACTTCCCAAGCTACCCTTGTGTCCTACGGTTGGCAGGAAGATGCTTTGCAGAAAGCTGCTTGCTGCACATTCCTGCCATGCTAGACTTGTAGTGCCAGCAACACGGATCCAGCAACACTTGTCAACAGAACCATGCGGCAGCGCAATGCGCATGAGCGCCCTTCCCCACAGAGACTGCCACTTGAGTCCAGATTCCAGGCAGCTAGTCTTCCAATATCATTGTCGCAAACAGGTCAAAGAACGGAGTTGTAAAAGTGTTCACATGCTACTTTTACGCACCAGGTGCGTCAGCATTTTTGAGCCAATTTGACATCCCGGGCACTATGCTTTCCGCGGTGACGACCTACAACGTTGTGGTTAAGGGCTAGGTACGACAGGCCTAGGTGGTTTATGAGGGTCAGCTCGATCACGGGTTAAATCTTCCGAGCTGATATGGGTATACCAGTACTGAGCTTCGGCCTGGGGCTGGCCCGTGCTGTTGCTTCAACTTGCTTGTTCAGACCCCGGTTTGGTACCTAGTTGACTTGAGAAAAGGTTACGGTTTCGGTCATGTAGGAATGGCCAAGGCTGGCTGTTGTAGATAGGTAGTTAGTCTCTGCCCGGTAGAGAAAAGGAGTAGCATGGATCGCTCGGTACTTTTGTAAGGTGTGTCGGGTGACGCCCTACCACACGCGCGACGACGGGATCGTCGGATCAATCGGGCGGCTGAGAGCAATGGCCTAGGTAACACTCGGCCGGTAACACTTTTACAACTCCGTTCTATGTACTACTTGCATCATTGTCGTCTCCCCGAGTCCAGGCATGGCATTAGCCTGGTGTATTCTGGGCACCAAAAAAGTGGCCGTTTCCCAAGCATCGTTTTCATCTTGCCGTCAAAACTTCTCAGCTTTGAGCATCGGACGATTCAGAAGCCCTCCCCAGCTTCCACCTTGGCCACGTAATAAAAATTGCCGCCAATTGACGATCCCCAATTGCTCCAAGCTGGACAATCATGGACTTCTTCAGGGCCAGATTCAAGCAGACAGAGAGGAGGGAAACGCATTCGCGAGCGCTTTGAATTCAGCTAGCTGCGCCTCTGCATGCAGATGCTTCTTTAAAGCTGACGCCCGGGGGTGCCATAGCGCTGAGGAGCAAAGGAACGGGTTGGTTCTATTGCTGAGAGCACTGGCAGTGGCGGAGATTTTGGGAGGAAAAAGTAGTTGCTTGAAGCAGAGAGAGCCCCTTTGTTGCTTTGTTCAAGCAGGCGGCGTGGATTCAAGAAGAAAGCGGCCTCTGGCTGCGGATGCCGGATGGTGTGGGAAGCGGGGGGGTGTAAGATGAGGTGACAGGGGTTTGGCTGGCCGGCAGCCTCGAGGGGAGGAGGGGAGGAATGGCGGTGACCGCTGTCCAGGCTGCGGCTGGCACATTACCATCGAGCACCGTGAGATTCGACGAGTGCTGCTCGCTCCTCAGCAGTCTGCCGGGGCCACATTTGCAAGGGAGCTTCACTGCAGCCATCGGATCTGGTTTGGCGCCATCTGAGGGTCCAGATTCCAGATGGAGGCTAAGGTGGCGGGAGCGGATCGGGGGGTACCTGGAGAGAAGACCCGTGCGGAGCCCTGTTTCGTGCTCCGCAGATCGGCAATGGGGGGCAGCAGTGGGCGAGAGCTTGTATCAATCGAGCCTGATTCTACCCAATGCCGGCACGCTCACTTTGGCAGTACCTCAGGTAGAGTGCCTGGAGGTCACGGGGGGCCACGCTTTAGAAGGCCGGGTACGCATCAGCGGGGCCAAGAACTCGGCTCTTGCAGTTCTTGCTGGCGCTCTCTGCTGCGAAGAACCGGTCGTGCTTCGCATGGTCCCAGATCTGCACGACATCAAGCGGATGAAGCAGGTGCTAGAATCTGTAGGAGCGACGGTCAAGCGCGGTCACGACGGCTCCGATAGTTGCGTCCTGGTGGACGCATCAGAACTGACGTCCGTGGAGCCGTGTCCGGACGTGGTCCGGAAACTGAGAGCGAGCTTCTTTGTGCTGGGGCCATTGCTGGCGAGGATGGGAAAGGCGGTTGTGCCGCTCCCGGGGGGGTGCAACATCGGCGCGAGGCCGATTGACTTGCACACGAATGGGTTGAGGGCGCTGGGGGCGGAAGTCGAGCGGAAGTGAGCATTTTCCCCTGAAAAGGTGCTGTGTGTCTAGTCAGAGGCATTGTCACCAATTGCGCACAATTTGAATGCGTGGCAGGTGAAAATTTGAAGTCTTGTTTGTTCAGCCAGATCTAGGAGGATTCACGCTGAAACGTCCAGAGCAGTACAAGCGATGAAGAGAGCAGGACAAGCAAAATGAACAATTGGAAATGCAGAATTCTCTCTCATCCAAGGTGCGACCTTGCTTCCGCTGACTCGAGTGTACAAATGCAGGCATGGGAAGATTTACGCGTACGCCAAGAACGGGCGGCGATTGGTGGGAGGCCATGTGCATATGGACTTTCCCAGCGTGGGCGCCACAGAGACGATCATCATGGGGGCCGTTTTAGCAGACGGGGATACAACCATCACAAACTGCGCGCAGGTAGGAATGTAATCTGCTCAAGCAATGTCATGAGGATCTCGAGTAAATTCAGGTGGTTGCAATCCCAGCAGGTTCGCGAGGCTTGTGCAGTAAGCCTGGGAAAACGACCAGCAGTCATACATTGCATCTGACAAAGCGCCCCTTGTCTGCTTGTTCAACGGTCTGGACAAGCTACCCTTCAGCCGCACCCTCTGCGGAACTGAAAGAGCAGCGGTTTTGTTCAAAGAGGAGAACTAGATGCAGAGTGAAACGAAGGGAGGGCTTAACTCAACCCTCAACTCTCAAGTATTAAGGGGAAGTGTGAGGCGGAAGGGGTCTCAGATTCCGCTGACCTCTGGAGCGGCTCATTATAAAGGGACCAATTATATGGAAGAGATACGTCCAGTGGTCTGCCTCCTTATGGTAGGAATCAGCATCAGTGGGACCAAGCAGGCTGTTCTTTTCAATTTAGTCATACCTGCCCGAATCTATCACGCTGTCTTCCACTGTCTGCTGTAGTCACCCAAGTTTTAGAGCGGAGTGCCAAAGACAGTTGTCTTCCCATCGGTCCCTTCTCAGATACTTCCTCTTCAACTTTCTACCTTAATGACCCATGTTTTTGTTGTGACGCCCTCACGCACTTTAGCTGACTGCACCCCCTGCTCGATAATTCGTCATCCATACGCAGAAGACCAGGTCCTAAGCTTCCTCTCCGTCATATCTTTGCTCATTGTGGTGTTGGCCAGGGTCACCCAGTAGCTTATGCTTCCCCCCATCTCCTACACCCATAGCTTATCCCCAGTGCCCCATCTCCTATGCCAGGAGCCCGAGGTCCGGGACCTCGCCGACTTCCTCAACGCGTGCGGCGCTCGCATCCGCTTCGCCTCCAACAACACCATCTGCATACAAGGCGTGAAACGCCTGCACTCCGCCGAGTTCACCGTCATTCCGGACCGAATCGAGGCGGGCACTTTCCTCACCGCGGCTGCGATCACGCGCTCGACGATCTCGATGTCCCCCGTCTATCCCACGCACCTTGCGGCGGTCATCAGTAAACTGCAGGCGATCGGGTGCCGCATCGGGCCCGACATGGAGCTCGGACCGCATAGTGTCAAGGTGAGTGTTCTGTTTCTGCTCTTTTTCCCCTCACTTCATTCCTAAACTGGAAGCGACCTTTTGCACTAACGGAGAGCTTAGTGTTATGCCCTGGTTTTGCAACGTCTCCAAGCCGCTTGTTCATATCCAATGTCAGCTGGAGTCTACTGACGCCAGTGTTCGACGTAACTTTAGAAAGTCAGTTGAAAGGGACCGTAACGTGAACACCTCTGGAAATGAGATTTTTGTAGAGCCTTGTTGCAGAGCCTGAGCTTGGGAGCTGACGGATTGCAAGGATATGTGGTACTTTTTTTGGGTGGTGCTGACATCAGACTACCGAAGCTTCCCCAACAACCTTGTCTTGCTTTTGCATTAGATCGAGCCTGCCGGTGGCGAACCGCCTCACAAGTGGAGCTTGATTCCCTCTCGACCTTATATCCAACTGGTCAAATATGTTTCTAATCTATCAAGCAGCTCATTAGCCAGCTGTTCAACTGAATTTCCCCCCCCTCGTTTTGCCAGATTGAGTGCCCCCCCAACCTGCGGAGCTCAGAGATCAACACGCTGCCCTTCCCCGGCTTCCCCACCGACATGCAGCCCCAATTAATGGCCCTACTAACTACATGTTCTGGGACCAGTCATATCACCGAAAATGTGTTTGAGAGCAGAATGCGCCATGGTGAGAATTCCCCATATCTTCTTTTTCTGCTTCGGATTGAAGATCTTTGTACTCTGGCTCTGAAGTTGACATCAAAGCAATTATTTTGGCCAGCAAACACGACGGGAATAGGGCTTGGGCTCTTGTTGTTGGCATCTCTTAGTAGCTAAAACATTTGTTGTCGGTGCCTGAGTTTGCAAGGTGCACAGAAGAGTGAATTGGAGGATTTCGCAAACGAAGATTGGATACGTTGCAGGATTTGAGCATGTTGGCACCGGCACCCTTTGAGTGGCGATCAAAGAAGGCTTCTCAAGTGGGACGTTTCGAGTGCAGTCGTCCTTTTGCAGAGCAGGAAACAATGTCCTGTTGTGCATTTCCAATTTGCAGAAACCAGGCAGGCGGCCAACTTGATGAGGTGACCGCTTGTGGCTTGGACTACTGCAATTGCACAAAGGAAAGGAAGATTCGGAAAACAGGAGCTACGTTTCCTTTCTAAATGCAGCGGAGGAGCTGCAAAAGCTGGGCGCAAAGATCATCGTCAAAGGAAAGGAGGCCCGGGTGTACGGCCAGGATGGCGGAAGGTGAGGCTAGACACGTGGCAGGCTGTGCAAGGACTTGCCTGGACTTTTGTGCTGCATCATATTTTGGGCGAAGAGCAAGAGCAAGAGAAATCTCAAGGAGGGCGTTGGAGGACGGTAAAATACCAGGCGACCAGCTTAGCTCCCCGCGGGGCTAGCTTGGTCGCCGAAGCCAATTCACACTGTGAAATGTGGGCCGCATGACGAAGTTTCTGTCTCAGACCTCGGACCATTGCCCCTTGTCGAACGGACGCTTTTTTCAGATCCCGTGACTAGTCCAACGTTTGACAATTGAGCTCGCTGTCTGTCACCGACGTCCGACCCATGGACAGCCCTGACGTTCTAAGCTCGACTTTTGCAGCTCGCTGTACGGTGTGGAGGTCGAGGCGACAGACTTGCGCGCGGGCGCGGCGCTCGTGCTGGCGGGGCTGGCGGCCGAGGGGCGGACGCACATACAGGTGGGTCATCGATGGGTTTTCATTGGGTTATTGGTAGGTTACTGGTTGTCTTCATCGGTTGGTTACGGGTGAGTGATTTGGTGGATGATTGGCTTTGAAATACGGTTCCAAGTGCTGAAAATGTAGCCACACGGATTCGAGGGAGTATTCTAGGCCGTCCAGTCTTGTCGCACCGCACTTGAGGCAGGGTACAAAAATCTCTATCTCGCAACTAATCTAGACTGCTTGGCGGGCAAGCAATTGTGGAACGCACTTCACTTGTGCATCGCCGGTTCTGTGCGCCTAAGCCAAAGCCCCAGAGTAACGTCAATTTTTCCGAAAAAACTGAAACGCCTAAGCTTTTCTACAGGGTCTCCACCACGTGGATCGCGGCTATGAGCAGTTTGATAAGAAGCTGCGCGGGCTTGGGGCGCACATCCGGCGCCTCCCGTGCACGCCGGTCGAGCTGCAGGACGTCCTGGTCTAGGCGGCGGGTTAGCGCACGGGTTTGGGCGTGGTTCCGGGGGGTTTGGGCGAGGGTTTCGGGGGTTTTGGTCGGTTGGGGCGGTTGTTTAAGCGGGTTCTGTGAGACATCGTCGAGGTTGGCGGCCGGGTCGAGCGGGAACCAAGGGAGGGTCGGGCGAGGTTGAGCAACCGCGGGGGGAGGTTAGTGTGAGGGTTTGGCGGAAGATTCTGGCCTCGGTGTGCTGTGTACTTCAGTGCAGGTTTGGGCTAGGTGTGAGCCATAGTCTGAGCAAGGGCCGTGGGCAGAAGGTGTGGGGATGTGGGGCGAGGGAGTTTGGGCGGAGTGGTCAAGAACGATTGTCGATGGTGGTCTTGCTTTGGTTTGGGAGGGGGGAGACGTGTGCGCGTGAACAAGCAGGGGCGACGAGAGGGCGCATTGCTTTTGGAGGGCCGCAGAGAGCGATGAGAAGCAGAGGTCTGGCATGCGGACTTAGGCGGAATAAAGGGTAGGGACTGCTAGGAGTTGTTTCCACCGTGCAATCCGTTTCCCCGGTGGGATCCTCGCACCCCTCCAATAAAAGTTGCAAGGCACCATCACATCGGGCGCAAGTCTGGGGTGCCGTCAGCTCGGCAGCTAAAGCGTAGCTGTAGCTTTTCTCTTTGCTGGTTCGCAGCGGGAAGGATCACCCGTCGCTGGTTGGTGCGACCTTTGGAGCTTTTTCGTGTCTGAGCTCTCGAGTTCCAATGACTGGCACATGCGGAGCAGCATTATGCTGCTTTCGAATGCTCTTTGCTCGTTTTACCTAGGTACAAGCGGTCTTTGTCTTTAGCAGAGGTTGTAGCGAGTAGCATCGACTTTACTTCTTTTTTTGTGCTTTCGACTTAAATTTACTTTCATTGACATACAAAACATCGTTGAGGAGATATCACTCCGGCTTGCTTTCACTCCACCTGAAAGCTTGGAACTTGTGCTGGAGCGCGGTGCCTTGCTGCAAATAAACGTACTCGGCTATTTGTTACCTCGAATGTAAGCTGCAATGGAGAAGAAACAACGATTCAACATGCATACAGCAGCTTTTGAATAGTCAACAAGCAAGCATCGCATTCGTTGTCATGCAATCGCAACTCACGGACTCGTATAAGTGTTGGCATGGATCTGGATCCATGCCAAACTTCACATAAACTTTGCATATTCTATCACAGAGTGCCGCCATGCAAAGTGCCTGCACATGTAAATTGACATCGCGGTCGGATGGGAATGCAATATTCCAGATCCGACCTAGGGGGCGCATAAATGAATATAAGCTTTTAGACAGTGCCGCTAATTGCAATAGTTGACCACATGCGTCACTGCATATCCATGGGCTCAGCTTCCTGCGTCAAACATTCATATATGAGCCGCAATTGATATGGCATATGCCGACGTCGTCAACATGAAGATGCAATCTTGCCTTGAATCTTATGCAATTTATGGCCTCTCAAGCTGGGGCACATGCACCAACCACGTTCTAGAATCGATCAAAGGTGTACCGAAAATACCAGGTAACAGGTCTACAACAGATTGCCACTCCTGCCCACGCTTTGGGAAAGGGTTGGTTCCCGGACTTGCTAAACCGTTCAAAGGATTCTGGTCGCCACCGTTTCTGCTCCTAAATCTCTAGGCTTGTTTGCAAGCTGACGCCCCTGCTAAGTGCGCCCTCGAGGACCTCTCATGCGGGTCCCCGATCTCCCCTCGGCCGAAGAATGAATGTTAATTGCAGAACGTAATTGGACTGGCCTACTCTCTTAACTTGACATGTGTCCGCACGTTATATGTAATGCACGTGTGCTGCCAGCGGTAACCTAATCTCGCACACTCGTGCGGAGAATCTTCACGTCTTGCACCGGTCTAGAAGTGACGCAAGAAAACAAGGGAATCAGGATGCTGTAGAAATCCACCGGCAACGACTTACACTGCTCCGATAACATAGCGCTTTGAGACAACCGCGAGCAGGTAATTGTCCGAAAGGCATGGATCCAACGCAGAGAATAACCTTCGAACGAGAAAGGAGGAGATATGCTTGTTGTGAGAATCGCTGCAGTACGACCTACCAAACGATTCTTCGACAGCAAAATGCGAAGTGCCTTGAGTTGAGAACATACCTATCGTTTCTGTCCGTTTGCACCGTCCCCAGCTTCTTCACGTTCTCCATGCCTACATAGAAGTACTAGCAACGTCAGTAAGGTGTGGACACCGGACGAGGACATCAGCTGCGTGTTCTGACGCTGACGAACGGAGCTACTGCCCAAGCCCAGCGCCCCAAGCACTTCAGGCAACTCGGATGGGAAGGAAGACATCCATTTTCGACCAAGAAAAGCGACCAAAAAGCATGATGGTCAGTCTTCTATCTTTCAATCCTGGCCACGACACATTCTTAAGTTGCATGCTGGAGTAGGGTTCCAGATGTATTTGCGTGGTTAGAAGAGCGGGAGATTGGACGGGCAAGAGAGCTCCAAATTTCCTCGTAAGAACACGAGGCTTGCTACACACACGCGCTACGTCGGCAAGTGCCAAATGCCGCTGGAATGAAAGACGTGAGTTCGTAGCGACCGCCACAACCGAACATCGAACAACAAGAGCAAAGACAAAAGGGCGAGGGGAATGCATCTCACCTTGACTGACTCTCCCAAAGATTGTGTGCTTCCCTGCAGGTAAGCCAAGTTCGCGGTCACTAATTTGACTTGAAATTGACGTACATATGACCTCACAACGTCACGAGACCCAGCGCCGGTGCCAGCAGCGCGTGGGCGTCGAAACAAGCCGAAAAAGGGCGAGCCTTTAGAACATCTAACATCAATTCGAGTTTTGGACTCTGGGGGCAGGCCTGAGAAGAACTGGAAGTTCGTGTTGGGTCCCGCACTCGCCATGCTCGAACCTCAATCCAACATCCTGACGTCAGCGAAGGGTGGAACAACGTCAGCCAGGGGCTCACCGTCGAGCCAGGGCGTGGGGGCGAGCGTGATGAACCGTTGGTGTTGGGTTCTGCGTTCGAAATCCTCAAAATGCTTCAATCAAACCTCTGACGTCAGCAAAGGGGCGAAGTGACGTCAGCAAGGGGCTCACCGTCGAGCCAGGGCGTGGGGGCGAGCGTGATGAAGAATTGTGAGCCGTTCGTGTTGGGCCCCGCGTTGGCCATGCTCAGGATTCCTGCGCCCGTGTGCTTCAGCTCTGGACTAATCTCGTCCTCGAACTTGGCCCTGGAAGCAGGGTCACCAATTGCGTTGAATTAGGAGCAAGTGTTGCAGGGTTTTAGAATCTGGTCGGAGGCCAGCGGAAAACAAGGTCGAGAATGGATTACTTTCCAACGGTAGGCGGCGTGCTTCAGCTCCGGGCTAATCTCGTCCTCGAACTTGGCCCTGGAAGAAGGGTTTAAAGTTTTATGCAATTGCGAATCAGGACGGTCGGAAGTCGGAGGACGGAAACGAGGCCAAGGACGGACTCAGTTCTGAGAGCGAGTCGTTGTGCTATCAGCTCCTTGTTGTGAACGCCTTTGAAATAAAAGAAGAGGCAGGACTCATTAATGCATCCTCAGCCCCGGACTGATCTTGTTCGCTAAAAATGCCATGACGCAACCAAAGCAATTGGATGTAGGCTTAGTATGGAACTGGAAGTTCGGGTCAGATGTCAGTGGCAAAACTGCGCTGTGACCTACACGGATTTCAAAGCGAGATGGTGTATCCGGCTGATTGATCGCCCCAGAACTTGGCTTTTAAGAGGCAAAATCAGAATGCAATATGGTGGCTAGGATGGTTGAGGGAAAGAAAGCGTGCCAACTGTGTTGTGGATCCAGAGGGTAACTCTGTTTCTGAATGCCAAGCGCCGTGCTTCACGATAAGATAAGTGTCCTCCGACAAGAGCACAAGTGAGTCTGCACTCTGACGGAAGGGCGCGCAATTGGTTCAAGAGAGTGAAAAGCGCGTTGCAATCTGCACGTTGTTTGGTCTCAACATCGGACGTTTGCCTGCCCTATGTGACGTTTTGTTCTCCATGAGCAACATATGGCGTCCATCCAATCAGACGGCCTTAAATGGCACCCGATGGAAAGAAATTCTTTCGAAAGCCCGCCCAGCCTTTCTTCAATTCAAGGAAAGGGGTCATCGCCCGAATGCAGACAAATCAAGGTCCAAATTTTTCAGGGAGACCAAAAGACCTCATAAGTATCTTACCCATAGACACATTGAATGTGGTTTAGGCAAGGCTTAAGTATGCGGCTCAACAACAGCGCATGCTTTGTTGAACAAGGTCGTGCTTGAGGAGGAAGTAACACGATGGGCAGAAGAGAGAACGAAAGATGATAGGAGGGCTTATCTAAAGGCGAATTGATCAGTCAACAAGCTTAACGGACGCGTCGCCTCAGAGAGAAGATTAGGATTTTGCAGTCATGGCTCCGAGGAGCTACTCTGACACACACAATGATGTCATCACAGGCGACGCGTGCATCCAACAAGTAACGGGTAGTGTATCTGCAGTCTCTGAAGCGGGTTTCAAGCAACGTTCACGCCGAGAATGAATCACCAGGCATAGGCACCAAGACAGACACCAGCGATGCTAAGAGAGGACACATTGCCTAGAATTCTATGATGGATTACTCGCTTCGTTAAAGAGGAACAGTAAAGGAAGGTTCAATTTGAGCTGAAGCTCGAGCTCAAAGGAACAAGGAGGCTGCAAGATTGCTTTGGCAGGCCAGAATATGATTGAACTTTCTCCGGGAAAGTTTCTAGATCACCAGAATTCAGTCAGCAATTGTCTTGGTTGACCAACCGTTTATCCATCCATCGCTTTCAGGCAGCAGAGAAACGCTGCTAATCACTGCATCTTGTCTTGGCAGCGTATAATCCCAAACAATTATGACAATGGACATAGACGATCACAGTCAAAACCCTTCTCATTGCTTGTTGGTGATTTTAATAACGACGGCAGGCCAAGATCACTCACCCGTAGATTGACTCTCCCCCTCTGCCTGTGCCCGTTGGATCACCCCCCTGGATCATAAAGTTCTGCAAAGGGACGGGATACGAGTGCACAGTTAGCACTGGCATACAGTTCCAAAGACAAGCCCAACTAACACACGGTCAAAAGATTCAGATACGGAGAATGCTCATGAAAATATCAAATGAACTCAGATGTTCTGACAGAATAGACTTTGGATACCGAAATAGGAAGGATGATGCCACCGAGAGTGGTGGTGCAATTACCAGGGAGAGTGCAGATTGCAGTGTTCAATTCTTCCGAGATGCTGGACAATGATCACGCTCAGAACCATGTGACGTCCTCTCTTAGGGTGGGACCTCTCCAATGCTGAGAGGCCTAATAAGCATGTGTGCCTAACTAACATAGAGTTGACCATGCGCAATCTTTTGTGCTGAACGCACTATGTACGCCCCAACTCAATCCACCGTTAAGTAAGCCGAGTCCCTCGCTGATTGTGTTCCAACTTGCTGTTCCAACTAGCGCAAAATGCCAGTTTAGAGGAACACCACCTCTCAATCACTGTGGGCATGATGATGTGATCCAGACGCAAATGACTATGCTGATTTGTTCAAATGTATGAGCAAATCGTGCATGCCTATCAGAAAAAAGGGTGGTGTAGCATTTTCAAGTCCATGTAGGTGCAACAACAGTCCCTGCTCCATTCACTGAGGACATTGCCCGATAGCTGCGATTTGTTCTGAAATGGATCTTACATACTCGGCAGATGTGAAGCGGACCTTGCCTGAAGGTGGCAGGGTTTATTGCTGGTGGTCGTGTCAGAAGAAGAAGCTGTCCTAACAAGCCGATTGCTGAAAGACTTACTGGTATGATCCTGTGGAACTTCACATCATCGTAGTAGCCCTTCCGCGACAGCTCCACGAAGTTCCGCACCGTCTTCGGGGCATGCTTGTCATACAGCTCTATCGTGATAGGCCCCACAGATGTCTCCAGGGTGACCTCGGGCGAACTGCTAGCCATTGGCGCGGAGGGAATTGCAAAGGTGGTGCAAGGTGTGCTAGACGATGATGCAGTGGTGCAATCAAAGCAGGGTAATAGAGAGGAGAAAGAAGGGAGAGAGAAGGATTTATGGCGCCCAAGAGCGAACTGACAATTTGAAAGAGTCAATGTGGCATGCACGAATTCCGTTTTCACACAGGAGCCTCCTGAGGAGGTTGTGTGAGGTTGTGAAAAACTACAGACCCTTCTGCGGCCACTACAGCCGGGGGGTGTGAATAGGCATCTGTCAATCCCTCGAAGGCTTTGAATTAGTCAAATCGTGCATGGGCTGGGACAAACTTGGTTTTCAGATCAGCTGCTCTTCAACGTTTGGGCAACCATGGCGACTTTCTTCCCCCAGAGAGCTGCCTCTTTGCAATCTCTGCACCACAACGTTTCGGCTCTGAGCCAGCCACTGCAACAAACAGCAGGTTCGTCAACCACAACAGCTGCTTCCCTTTCCTTCCAAACCTGCCACGCCTGCAAGCGAAGCTTTCTGACACCACAATTTCTTAGTGTGTTTTCATTAGATTCTCGGAGAAACAGGACGAAATTTGGGGTGCCAAAGTTAGCAGGTCATGGGGCTAGGCGAAAGGAACATAATCAATTGGGATTGGCTGTTCGTGCACTTCAAAACGAAGGAGAAGCGTTGGAGAAAGTGCGGAGCCAGCTTGAGGAGCAACTCAGCAAAAGCAGTCCGACAGTGGGAGCAGAAGCAGGAAAAGCAGGTAAGAGCCGGAGCATTGTGAAGGGTGGCGTGGAGAAGCTGATAAACTTCGAGTGAAGGATGAGCGTATCCTTGCAAAACAGGGGCACGTCTGGCATGCAAATGATCCAAAGATGTAGATTATGCTGTAACTTGTTTTCAAGGAGTTTCTACTACTAGCGTTTAGCTACAGAATAGGATTGTAGAAGCTTATCCTATTGAACAAGCTGAGACGCTCCTTCTGCCCCAGGCCCCAGATGCATCAATCACGTAATTCACAGCGCATGCGTTTAGAAAAGGTCGCATATGCCCCTGAGTTGTTGCCTCTTTCTTGGAATTGCCCCTGAACTACATATTCTTGCCAGCAGCCGTCCTGTGCGAAATCTTCAAGTGCAATTAGCACCGAGATTGCCATCTAACATCTTTCTGCGGAGGTTGCAGGGTTTGACAAGTGGCCACAGCTGCTCCTCATTCTGTTTGCAATCGGCACCGTTTCGGGCCCTCTGCTAGATGGTATCCACAGCGTCACGGGGCTCCAGGTCTATGACGATGGGGCCATTGAGTTGGGGAGCGGGAAGTATCTGCTGAAAACAGACATCTGGGTACGCAATTTAGGTCCTTCTTCTCTGCGCAGCTTTGGGCCCTTGCGAGTTGCTTTATTGAGTACGTTTTAGATATGGACTCAGACTCAAGCTTAGAAAGCAATTAAGGATAAACTTGAGCTGTAACAACTTCAGATTTCATTATCAATCTGGAAATTCAGTGTACCAAAAGGTACTCATGCTCTCTTGAGGCACATGTCTGACTCGTTTTCAAATTTTCTTTGAGGCTTTGGCCTTAGAGAGGGCTAAAAAAAGCTGTGGCAAGTCTTGCCTCACATCAGATTACCAGGAAATGAACTGTGAAGGTTTTCTTTTTTTCAGTTCTCCCTACGCTCTCAATAAAGTCGAATTCCCTTCTTCTGAACTCTGCCTTCTCGTTGAAACAAGATTGGTCGTTGGACAGCCAAAAACCCCTTCTCTTCTCTGCTTAACCATCAGTAAAGTTTGGCTGACATCAAGTTGGCATAGTAGTCCTACCTATCTGCGACTCTCAGTCTGGCAACCCCTGTCAGGTGTACCATCCCCGCTAGAATGTCAACACTTTTCTCCCCCTTGTCAATCCAGGTTTTTCCCTTGCTCGGAGTTTTCTACGCAGTTGTCGGCGGACTATACCCCCTCCTAGACGACATATTCACACCAAAGGCCCTGGAGAAAACTGATGCGCCAGACGAAGAGCCTGATGTGTCGGGATACGGTGCAGACTGGGGTTTGAAGGGGGATCCGAAAGCCAAGGAGCTGCCGCCCTGGCTAGAAGTGGCCCCCCCTTTTCAATTCATGTGAGACCTGGGGCCTTTTTTGGTGTGTTCAATCTACTGGGGGTGAGAAGATTGGTCCTTTATTTCGCAAGCCTTGTTTGGGAGGCTGAAAGTGTGAAGCTTGTCATGGATTCAGTCGTCGTCGTAAGGGTTCAACCCGTGTTGGGAGGGTATGATTGCAGAAATCCTCATATTGTCCAGTGGTTGTTGTATCCATTTGACCTGTGTCACAGTCCTTAAGATCATGGAACGTTCCAGAGCGGAAAGGTAGAGTCCCATGGAAGGAAAAGGCAAGGAAGAGCGATTGGCAGAACCGACAATTGATCAGGCAAGCGTTATGCACGGTTAGGATAGAACCAGGGCCGAACTTGTTACGCACCCCGACGGCAGGGTCCTCGTGAGAGAGTTTTTGGCGGTTTGCTATTCTGCAGTTCAAAACATGTATGGAGAAAAGACCAGTGCAGAAAACTGACCTTGCAGGAATTGCCTGCGTATGTACTCCCGCTGTCTGATGCTCTTTCAAAAGCCTGGCCCCGGGTTCGGGCCCTTCTGAATCATAACATCGTTTTGAACAGTGTCGAGGCCAGGCGAAGACAAAAACGAGTCGGAAGCATCGAACCACCAGAACAGATGAAACCAAGGACTATTCTTGCACAGAAGAAGTGGAAAGGAGGAGTTTTCTCTTATGCTCTGACGTTGAATTAAACCAGTGGGCTCACGTGAGCGCGCTCATGCCGCGTTAGTTAGCACCCCCAAATCACAACTGATCAAAGATGATGTCAGCCTGACGTTGCACGCCTCCAATTCCTCTGCCTCCGCCCCGTTTGCAGGTTCCTCGCCTTCCTCCTCTCAGGCAGCGCCTTCCTGTACCGCACTGACATCAGCTATGACGTCATCTGGCTGGTCTTGGCGGGTTCCTGCGTCGGCTGCTGGGCCGCCCTGGATTCCACGTGGTGGGGCTTCCTGCTCGCGGCCGCGTGCGCGGTCGTGGCGCCTGGAGCGGAGCTGGTTCTGAACAAGTGAGCAGGATAGTATTCTTCTGAATGAAGCAGTAAAAGTCGCATGTTTCATAGTTGTCCAATCATGCAACGGTCGCGACGCACGGGGCGGAGGAGGTTTTAAACAGGCGAGCGCGTGGTTTGGGGAAGCAGCGGAAAGTGTTCAGTGTTCGCGTTCGTGTAATTCAACGATTGCACGAGGAAAGAGGGAGGGGCTCGAGGGAAGCAGTCCCTCCGTCGCCCATCAGGAGACAGGTGCACTTCTTTGAGAATATTAAAGCTCTTACTTGTATCTCTTCGAGCATGCGGGGCTGTCGATTGTTGGTTGGATCACCGGGACTGTTTTGTGGACATAACGAAGACGACACGAAGGGCGAGCGAATCAGGTTGAATTAGTTTGCTCTAGTCGGAACGTCGTCGTTAGATATTGACTGGTCCTAGATCTCCGTGACTGTCCATTCCGGGCCAGCTCCCGTCGCTTTTGCGGCAAAGGTCGGTTTAAATAAATGCTTACACTTTGTGGTTCGACCCGATCTGATGTGGCTTCCCGCATTGAATACGTTCGAAAGAGTGCCCATCCAGGAGATTTGTGTCTAGAAAGAACACTCTCAAAAAACAATGTCAATTTTCACTTTACAAGAAAGGCTCGACTGAGGCTGAGCGTCAATCTACCTCTGATAGTAGCTTCTTTACGGAAAAGGCGCATGACAATCTCTGAGGACGGGAGCCGGAGAACCTGTCTAGAGCTTCGGTTGCACGCTTCCACTTCCGCCGAAAGTCATCTTGTTGGATATACCGATAGCTTGGGGTCATCGTTCCGGTCAACGTTCTACTTTCGTCTCGCTCTGGTTCAACTCGGCTCGATGTACCGACTCTTCGACGAAACACCGTTGTCGTCATCAACACGTCTTATCAATGCTCGATACCACCATTCAAACAAGCTCGCAAGACAGACGCCAGCTCTTTTCTCCTTGGTCAAGCTCTTCCCGCCTGCCGTGCTGACACCCTCCTCTGCACACGCGCAGTTTCTTCCATTTGTGGCACTACCCCCGAGCCGACGTCTTCATCGCAGGCCAGGTGCGCGGAACGGCGAACTTTTGATTAATCATTATTCTGTTAATGACGCTTGCAGCGCGGCACGGATGCTGATGCTTCCCCTTTGAACGTCTGCTGCTCTGGTCGGGACGGTTGTCGAAGTGAGATCAGAACTCGAAAACTGTGTTAGAACTCGAGACTCCGTGGTTGAACCCGGAATCGTGGTAGAATTTGAAACTTGTGGTAGAACTCGGACGGACGTCCGGTCGGCCTTTACAATTGAACGCAGACCTTCGCAATGCTGGGCCACGTTCAGCCCCTTGACGTGACCGGAAGACCAACGCCGTTACTGCAACTCCCGATCAGCAGAACGCTCATACGCCTTGTGCGTGTCATGGTGCACCTTCTGAATTCTCAGTGGCTATTTGGGTATTAGCTACACTCTTTGCCCGCTATGTGGGGCGCTGCGAGCAGACTTCTTTCTCACAGGCTGTAGAGTCCATTGTCAATAGCATACAGGTACTCGTCGGAGCTGAGCTTACGTGGACAGGTCCTTTTAAATATTGGCACGTTTCCAGTGCACAACGCGGAAATTCTTGTCGAATGTTGAGGCTGCTGTTCGGTGCTTGATCCGCAGACATGCTGAAGTTGCTTGTTTCACTTGGAGACGGAGCTTTCTCGCCAATGTTGCAGGGGGTGGTGTCCTGGGTTGCTCTGTGCTACTTCTTCTATTGCCCTCCGCTAGGCAACCTTGGAAGGTTCTTGAAAGCACACCTTCAAGGTCAGCTTCCTTTGAAAAGATAGGTCGAAAAGATACTTAGCATACCGCTACTCATTAAGAACCATTCACAGTATTGACTTCTTTGCCGCTTTGCAATCACGTCCTGTGAAAACCTGGAGACGGCCGCTGAAACAGGATTAGTGGGCACCAACGTTATGATTATTTGGCTGCCGGCATCGGCATGAGGAATCGAAATTTGTCACCAACGTTGTGCAAACCGCAAGGTTCTTTCAATGGCACTTTGTTGCGACTGCGCGCTAGAGCTGAATGCTGCGTCGCTTTGTTCACATCATGGTGGCCCCATGGAACATTTAGTGTGAATTGAGAAAGGAACTCAACGAAAAAGTTAATTGGTTTGGCCAGCACACTTAGGTCAGCAGGCTTATCTTCGATCGCCTTTCACTCGTCAAATGTAAGCGGCATGTATGAACATTAGAGCGCTTTCTTCCACGGCCCGGCTGCGCACGGGCAGCCTAAGCTGAGATTGAGATTCATGCTCTTCTGCATTCCCTTGTGAATGCATACTAAAGTTTGGACTAATAAGGATGCAGCTTGGAATCGAGCTTTTTGAATGATCAAAATCACGTACTTCATTTGAGAACACCTGCTGATTACAAATCGAACGCGATCGTATTGAATGGGTGGGCGGATCCTCAGCATCGTGCAAACCTATAATTGTTGAGTACTTTCGCAATAGTCAGCTGCGCAAATGTCAAATTAAAACCCCGAATCTCTTCCGCATCTTCAAATCGATCCATTTAGTAAAGCATCTCACTTTCAAAAGCATGTGACTATCTACCTATAGCTACTGTAGGTACCTACCCCCGAATGTGCAATAGATGCGATTATTCGGAACTTCCTCGATGCCATGCAAACTTCCACTTTGCCATTTTCCAATTTTCATGATTGCTCGAGGGCTCATGACTAATTACGGTATGCAGAACGGGCCCGAGATGTACGGCGCCCGAGATTGGCGGCGCCGCTAGGCGGCGTACCCGCGTTCGGATTTGAACGGCGGCTGGTTAGCAATCCGGCCGTTCGATGAGATCTTCCAAGTGTACGGTTGGACCTATCTGCGCCGCACCTTGAGATCTTCTGAGCATCCAACGGTACAGAAGACATGTAGCGTGCTGCCTGGGGTAGGAAACAACAGAACCCAAATGGCTCGAGTTCCCAAAGAAAGTCACAAGTTGGTGAGTGCTTCCTACATCGATTAAAGGTGTCGAGACGCACCAAACCGCAAACTTGACCAGGTTTGAAAGAAAGGACGCGAAATTTGAAACTTCGACAATGAACGTTCCAGATGGTGAGCAGGGACCACCTTTCACATCTCGAGCTGACAACATGCAACAGGTTGGCAGGCAAGAGTCAGTTGGGAGAAAGCGACTTTTGAGAAGCATCCTCTGCTCTTTGAAGTTTGAGCAGGGTGGCCCTTTGACTTTGGCAACAGGCTGGCAGCATTGAAAACAGCAACCTCAAGAGAGCCGTTTGCTTTACAGCAGCATCGCTTTAAACAAATAAGAGGAGAGATTGTGCAGAAGGAGTCCCTAGCTCTGGCTCTTTGTTCCGGAAGACCTATAGAACTTCCACCTTGGTATTAGTGCAATGCTTCAGATGCTTGGCCATGACAGGGAGCAAACATCAGTTTAGCGCAATCACTTGAAACTGAGGTTTCACGTTTCGAAAGAAGCCTTCCTGTGGCATAAGAAAGGGGGGCTTTGCTTCTCTGAGAAAGCATCCTGGTCGGAGGCAACAAGGAGGCGGCATGTCGGCCCAAATACAGTACTCTGAGAAATATGCGGATGACTGTTACGAATATCGGCAAGTTTCCGTCGCCTTTCCATCCCTTTGTGAAGCTCTGTGCTGGTAATGTCTTGTTCCAGCTGGTAAGCTGGCGGTAAAATGGTGCTCAAGCTGGTAAAGTGAAGCAGGGCGTCTTGATGCATTTTAATAGTGTACTTGGGCTTCTCTTGGTTTGGGTGCATGAGCCTTGTCTTTGACAAGAATCTTCTGCTCAGTATTCAGCCTCATGTATTTGGGGAGCTTCAAGATCTGCAATGCTGTGCTCTGGCCGGGCCTGAAGTCATGCGAAAGAAGATTTGGTAGCTCATAAGCAGACTCATCATTCCACTGGCATGCTAAGACGACTCCACACATCTTGTATCCAGACTTCATTGAAGCTGGTTGAGTGACAACCTTGGCTGTTGATTGATGGGTCAGGTCGAATCCAAGCATCCTGTAACTTCCATCTCCTATGGTTACTGAGGGTTCACAGCTGTCACGCATACGCGTAGGCTTCATTTGTGATTGCTTTAGGGGGGCCCATGCATCCCATGAATTGGTCACCAAGCGTTCTGGGTGCACCTGATTCCTTACATGGATTCGTTGAAGTTGAGGCTGTTCCTGACACTAAGCTTGCAATGCTGCTAAGAAGAGGTGGATTTTTGGTGGGTGCATGAAGCATGCATGCTGTACAGACAGCTGGCGCCGGGTCCTGTTTTTGATTGCCATCCTTTTGTTCTTATTAGAAGTGAACAACGCTTCGTTCTCTTTTCAGTTGTGATACAAGTGAAGCCTGTCCTAGAACTGCTCTTGGCAGTCAAGCCTTTGAGGACTCTGGTCGAATGAGAGCCTCGACCACCACCGTATTTTCTACTGCAGAGGATTGAAGTTATGATGGTCAGTGTTGTGGCTTTTTGTAGGATACACGATCTTGGCGGGTTGATGAAGTCAAGGAGTCTCTCCTGGGGCTTTTCGTAGGATACACGATCTTGGCGGGTTGATGAAGTCAAGGAGTCTCTCCTGGGGCTTTTCGTAGGATACACGATCTTGGCGGTTGATGAAGTCAAGGAGTCTCTCCTGGGGCTTTTCGTAGGATACACGATCTTGGCGGTTGATGAAGTCAAGGAGTCTCTCCGAGGGTGCTCTAGAATACTTGCATTGCCTTTGCATTGCCAATATGTGTTTGCAGGTGTCCCTTTTTTGGCTTTCATTGAATCTTGGCAAGAGAGTGTGTTGGTGCATGGTCGTCTTTAAAAAGCCCAATTGAGTCGAGGGGGGAGTTTCTCCGCTTGATGTTCGCTGTCAAGATTGCCTCTCTCCTTGACTGTTGCTTGGCCTTTGCTTGATTGATCGTGGTTCTCAACAGATTGGACTCGATCAAGGTGTCCATCACTGCTCTTAGACCTTTCTCACTACTTTCTTGTGAGCTACCTACCTTATGGCTTGGTCTTTCTTCAGTTGCCCCTTCATCGTGGGTTAGCTGGCATTCAACTCAGCGTCTTGACTTGACAAGTTTTGATTATCTGTTCCTTCAGCAAGCAATCACGAGTGGCCCATTGTAACCAATCTGGGAAAGCTTAGCCCCGAGTGAAGAGCAGTCAGGAAACATTCTGAGCACAATAAGTTCCAAATCGAGCGTGGTTGACAACAAAAGCAAGTGCGATTAACGACAGAGGCGCGTAAGGTATAGGGAGCCAAATAGGGTCAAAAGCAAGCGTGGTTAAAAGCAACTTATCCTGTGGACGTAGGCATTGATCCTGCCGACGTCATACATGAAGGGATTTAGTGGTTCAAAACAAAGGCAAGGTCTAAGACCAAACTTCAACGTGGTTACACCATAGAGCCAAGCATTTTAAACAGGATCAAAATTAAGCGCCATTAACAGAACTTTATCTTGTGTCGGCGCAGGCACGTGATTCTGCCGACGTCGTACGTGAAGGAGCTGCCGAAGAACCGGCTGCTGAGCGAGGACGAGTGGCGGGCGCTCGGGGTGCAGCAGTCGCGCGGGTGGGAGCACTACGCAGTACACAGGTGAAATACTGCTTCACGCCTTCAACTTTTCTGTTCATTTCTAACTGGTTTTTAAGCCGTCAATCTTTCTGTTCGTTTCTTCTGATTATCTGTTCTACCCTCCTAACCTACTTCTGGATCCTGCTAACCTTTGTCTGGGTCGTTCTAATCTCTGCTAGAGTCTCCTAATCCGATTTATAGATACCCTAACAGTTTTCTCGACCACCTGACCCCTTTTTGGACTCTCTTGACTCTTTACTCGAATCTCCTAACCTTGTCCTCTAATCCTCCTAATCCACCTCTAGACACCTCCTAACCTTCGACTGGACCCTCCTAACTTCTGTATCCTCCTGTTCTCTTTTTGGACCTTGGTCAGGTTTCTGAATCATCTTACCCTTTTTTTCTTCCTCTTCTCTTCCTCTTTTTCGGATGTAGAGAGTTCAGTGCATGCGACATCCTTGCTAGACTTGCTCGCTTCGGTGTTGCTTTCGTTTCAGTACTTCTTTCGGCATTCTTATTTCCCCCCGGGTTTTGGACACGGCAGTGGGGACAAGTTGCGTGGGCAGAGTACCACACCCCTGCAGTATTTCCTCTTTCTCCCGGATCTTTGTTCCCTGCTTTGCTTTGTCGTTGCACGCCTTCCTTGGCTTTGTTCTTCTCCTCTCCTCTTGTCGTTGCAGTCTTTTCTTCCCTCTGCTTTTCCGGTCTTCACTCCGTATAGTCTTTTTGGGGCCTATCCTTATGGCCAGTCAATCTTCTTTGCTTCAGCGAAAAGAGTCCTGTCGTGTTCTTGGGGATGCGCTTTTATTTGCGACTGGTTGATCAGCAGTCCAGCGTCAGTGAGGGCGTCTGCATCTGCAGGAGCCGCAGTGCGCAACATTATTCAGTTGGGTGCTGTAGTAGATCGAGACAGGTTGACCCACTGAAAGCCTTGGCCAACGGTCCAGCATGGTCTCTTAGCGTCCGAATGAAATCACGTTGTGCTGGTTGAAAACCAAGCATTTGCAAGGTTTCGAAATGATTGCGTAGTGAGTTATCCTCGTGATTTACGTCGCAAAACGCTGTAAACGAACATAATACGTGGTTGTAAGGGACTTTAGAAGGGAAAAGCGACAGCCTATGCAACGAACAAAACAGGTCATTTGGTACTTCTTCCGTGTCCTTCCGAAGAGGCATTTCATGTTGCTGAAAAAGGTGTCTCGTAGGAGGTTTCCGAAGTCGCAGCCTGACTCCAAATCAGACCCGTGGTCGGCTCACAGTGCATACCTAGCACGAATTTGCGTTGATTGGGTTAAGGTGTCGATCGTCCGTACTCTGGTCTTCATAGCAACCTCCGAGTCCGCTCTTAACGCAACTTCGTTCCGTTCACAGGCCGGAACCCCACGTGCTGCTCTTCCGGCGACCACTAGGCTACGGCACGGCAGCCCAAGTCATGCAAGGTACAACGAACGACGCATCCGGTCGACGTGCGCAGCCCCGCCAAAGCCAAAACGAGCTGCAAGAACATACGGACACGTCATTTACTGGTGAAAGCTAGAAAGGACTCGATGCTGGTGAGTAGCTAGAGAAGAAGAGAAGGATTGCTCTTTCTCTTGTAAGCGTGCTGCTCGGATTACTGACAGGGACTGCAGTTGTACATACACGGTTAGGCAGCCTAGCGAGTCAGTTGCGCAAGGTGATTTCTAAGTGGCGCCCGGCCTAATCGGATCCTAGTAGTAAGAACCTTGACATAACATGTAGAGCTTGACAATGCACAAAAGCGTCCACCGTTAGGTACATAGTGGGCATACATGGTCACTTGAGGCCATTCACTTTCCCATTAAAGTCAGCCGTACACCTCAGAAAGAAAGCAAACGGGTAATAACACGAGCACTCGACCATCAGAATGGCTTAACAGCGCGTGCCTGACATTTTCGCAATAAAATGTACAACTGTTGGGTCAAGAAGTTAATTACAAAGAATGATCCACGAGGTTTGCTACGCACTGCTTTGAAAGCAATCGAAAATCTTCCTAACGGTAAGTTCCAAGAAATGCACCGTCCTTTCCAAACTGACGAGTGTGTCTTCATAGGCATTGCAACGTCCCCTATGGTCACCGCACTCTTTTCATGCACCTAAAGCAAGCATGGTGGACACAATGCTAAAACCTATCGTAGAACGAAACTGACTGGGCTAGAATATGTGGCCCATACGCGCTCTCGATTCCCTCTCGATTATGCTAAGTAAGGCGTGGCACGAGCTTCTTAGAGGAGAGTCGGGGTATAGTATCACAGGATCCGACACATATTGGCCTTTGCTATGCATCATCGATCGGATTTGAAATACTGGCGTGCGGCATGCACAAAATCATGGCGGGAAGAATGTAAAGCATATACTAGCAGTGTGCCAATACTCAATTGCGGCTGCCGGAGCTAACTAATCGACTTGGAGTTTGTTTTAGCAGCGTAGCGTTGACGTTAAGGAAACGCTCTTCACAGTTGAGCACCTTGACTCCTGAGCGCTTGCTTTAGGGCTACGGCAAGCCGCTCTGCTGAGCCGCTTGATATTGATATTGAGAGCTAGTTATAGGTAGTCCAGCTGGTCCTGTGCAGCATGTGTGATTCTGCTAGTCGCACAAATTATCATGCCTCAGTTCCCCAATATGTGAAAAGTCTCGATGGTCACTTCGTATGAACGCGTGCACACCCCTCAGTGCACACCCAGATGCATACCTATATACCGGGTATATACCTAGCGCATAAAACATCAGAACAACGTTCAAGTTCGTAGTACCCAACTACCCCTTCGATAAGGGGGTGATGTATAATTTGTCGTTGGAATGTGCAAGTTGGGGTTAGATCGTCGATAACGCTCGCGAGGAAGACGATACACCGTTGGCCATGAGTTACCTTACGTTCCGAACCCGTCGACTGCCAAGGCCGGACCGTGATCGGTACCAAGGTATCCTATTTCCACCTAGGTACGGTACCTGGTATCTATCCTGTGCCCTGGAGGAGCGGTACCGTACCGCGGATCCCAAGAACATCGCCCCGACTCGTCCCCCGTCGCGCCATCTGAACCGCACGTTCCGGATAGAAAGTGAGATCTCGACGGCTTCCAAGATCTGCCTTCCGCAGGCGAAGTGGTGCGCGGACCAGCACCGGCTTCTGATTGGCTGACGCGAGATAGTGCGCCACAGAGGGCCAATCCAGACCCTCCAGGACTGCTATGGCGTTTCGAAAACACCGTACACTACTCCGGCTTGATCACTTTCTGATCAGTGAGACGGCTACAGTGCATTTGATTTCCCCCGAAGGTCTGACTCGGACTGAGTTGCGGCTTGTTCTGTCTGCTTGGTGAATGCGTGATTGGCAATTGCTCTGCGGACGAAAACAGATTGCGAGAACGTTGTCGAAGAAGTTTGAGGAAGGTCGCCTGCAGGGGCGCATTGATCTGGAAGCTTGATCCTCTGCATCACAATGGCTTCCTCCCTGGTTTCCAAGGTCAATGTGGCCTCCAAGGCCTTCCTGGGTCAGGCGGTGACGTCTGCGGAGACGGTCGCGACCACCAGCGCTAGGTCTTTCAAGGTTGTTGCTAGGACCACGCAGCAGAAGGCAGCTGGCACTGCGAAGAAGGCGTTTGGCACTGCCAAGCAGGCTGTGGGGACCGCCAAGAAGGCTGTCGGCACCGTCAGGAAGCAGGCTCCCCTTGCTAAGGTTTCTGCGCCTATCAAGAAGGCCGCTCCTGCTGTCAAGAAGGCTGCTCCCGCTGCTGCGAGGACTGTAAAGAGGGCCGCCAGGAAGGCTACCGGAAACGCTAGCGATGACGAGCTGTCCAAGTGGTATGGTGAGGTTGCTGGAACAGGAGTCAGTCTGCAGGATTGCCATGATCTGGTTGTCACTGTGCAAAAGATTATGGGTGATTCAACGACGACAAGTGTATGCGAATGCTGCATTAAGATGGTGAAACCGACTGACAGACATTGACGTCTACAAACCTGTGTCTGGTTTGCAACAGACTAGATTCAGCGGGACGACATAACTCTTTGCCTGTGAAGATATTTGCCCTCTATTCTTCTTTTCCACGGGTGCCTATTCTGGTCCTGAACGTGCTTGGGGGTTATGCACCAAGTCGAGCTTGTTGCTTCCAGTGTTGTTCCTGCAGCAAACCACCCACGGATATCAATTGGGAAACCAGATGGAAACAGAGAGGGGTCTGAATCTAGGTGCCACACGGAGAAGACCTGAATCCATATGCAGCATAAAGATACCAAGCATATCATGAAACCTGGTGATCAGCTTTCGGGACATGACACCTACACTCAAAAGGAAAGAGAGTGCTAGGCGAGACCTCTGCTGATGCGTAGGTCGTCACCAATGCAGGGCCTAACAGGAGGCTGTTCCTGCCTGAGGGCCTCCTCGATAGGGAGGAGGTGCCATCATACCTCACCGGAGAAATCCCCGGAGAGTGAGTACAAAAAATTTGCACTGTTCCATGGGTTCTGTTGAGTACTCCTCAGCAGCAATGTGACCTGCAACTACTGGCCCTCATCCTGCGAATAGATGGACGGGCGGAGGATAGACTTTGCAAGGGTGTGCATCATCATGAATTCAGGGTTGAAGATTGTACTGCATTGGCAGTGGCCATACTTTGAGGACTATACTCCATACTCGGGTCTGTTTCCACATCGATCCCACGGGGAAAGAAGGCACCCAGTGGCACTCATTGGAAAACTCTTCAAAAGGCTGTTCCAGAATAAGTACCTTGGGAGCGGAAGACTGAGGTATGGTGTACCAGAATACTCTGTACAGCAGAGGAACTTTCTCCATGGTCATACTCTAATATCCTTTCGGCCACCGTACAGCTACGGATACGACCCTCTTGGCCTCGGAAAGAAGGAGAAGGACTTCGACCAGTACCGCGCTGCTGAGCTGATCCACGCAAGATGGGCGGTGAGTAGCGCTGCTAGAGAAGTTTTGCTACACATTTCTTTCACAGGGTTTGAGACTATGTGGTCCAATGCTCACAAGATGGTGTGTTTTTGAACAGAAGATCCCGCATCCGGTCAGCATTCGGAAAATAACTGGATACTAGGTTTCTTAACATTGATGTTTGCTCTCGCAGATGCTCGGAGCTGCCGGTATTGTCATCCCTGAGGCCTTCAACAGGTCTGGCCTGCCCTGCGGCCCTGAGGCCGTCTGGTGGAAGGTGAGGAGAACAATGGTCGCCTGACTAGACTGCATTCATCAAGGGTCGCACATTATTAGATACACATTACCGTACTGTAAGGGAATTCAACAAAGAAATTTTTTGGGGTCAGTGTGAAAAAATAAAACTAAATGTGACCTTGACTGTGAAAAGGTGAATCTGTGAATCAATGTCAGTCGTAGCTGTTTCCAGTGTGGAAAAGGCAACAAAAGCTCTTGTATGAAATCAAAAATATTTACTCATCGCGCCCGGTGAAACCTTAGGATGAACGAAGTGAAGTTGTCACACCAAGAAGTGTGAAGTCCTTGGCCGGTACGCAAAGGCTGCTGACACACAGCAGGACACCAGTATCACAACTGGCCGAAATTGCCTGTGCTTGATTCTTATTGTATCTCATTCTCCAGCAATTGCAGTCAGCAAGATTCAACGCTGAGACTTTTGCTGCAGATGTCAGGCTAGGGTGTTGCGGCGTGATAAGGGCTTGTCATTTGATATTTTTGGTTTTTCCCTTGCAGACCGGCGCCCAGCTCCTGGAGGGAGAGTCCCTGCAGTGGTGCGGCATCACTATCCCCCTCAACCTGGCTGCCGCCACCAGTGAGTCACATCACCAATTGTTGCACCAGTGACTGCCATCCTCTGCTAACGAATGTCTGTTCTTACACCTCGCTCGCTCGCCTAGAAAAACGGCACCCTCACGGAAATCCTCTCTCCAAAATAACTGAAAGCTTGCCAGCTTGAGACCAATTGAGCACGGAAGCGGATGCATGATCTCGGCCAGTATCAGCAATAAGTGCACGATTATCATAAGCGGCTAGCTGGGGAATTGGCCACCTGCAGAGACCTTACGCAATTTTATTGTTGCATTCAGTTGCTGAGATCGTCCTTGTCGGTGGAGCCGAGTACTACCGGTCCGCAAACAAGAGCCCCCTCGGATCGGTGAGTTGCGTTTTCTGACGCGCATTGATGCAACAGTTCGAAGTTGCACCAGTGAGAATGTGTAACCGTCCATTTAGAACGAAAGAGAGCTAGCAGTTCGTTTACAATCATCCTTGCAAAGCGATCGTCACAGCCGTTGTTATTCAAACCTTGATCTTTGCTTCTACAGGACCTTGACCCCCTCCACCCCGGTGGTGCCTTCGACCCCTTGGGTCTGGCTGGTAAGTTTGGAAGCGCTTGCAAAAGTTCTCTCCTCTCTGACATGACATCAGTGGAAAGCTGGCCAGTTCTGTACTGCACGAGCAGTTGAAGCCTTCACCGAATTCTATTGCAGCCCCTGGTTGCAACTTCCAGATCTTTGATTCGTTCCGAGATGTTAGTTGCATGCCTTTATACACGGCAAGCCTGCAAATGCCAGAAAATTAGAGATTGCAGATTCTGGTTGGTGATTGTGTCGTGGAAGATTGGCTGCACATCTCTAGGATGAGGGCAGGCTTTGTCAAGGAATCAAACTAGATTCACAATTTCACAGAACGGCTCAACTTGCTTTCAATGCGTCTTTGTCTGTTGCTAAAGTGTTCTTAACCTTTTGTCTGATTGCAGACGACCCGGACCAGTTCGCTCTCCTCAAGGTGAAGGAGATCAAGAACGGACGCCTTGCCCTCTTCTCCCTGCTCGGATTCTTCGTACAAGCGTACGTCACGCAAGATGGCCCCGTGGCCAACTTGGCTGCCCATTTGGATGACCCCTTCGCCAACAACATCATCTCTGTTATCGGCGGAAACATCGAGAGGTCGCCAGTGTTGTAAAACAGCCGACTCTACTGACTGTTTTGTGTATGATTTCGAGTTCGCCCTCATAAAATCTGCAGAGCTATTCAAAGAGACGAGTTGGCAAAGTTGATTCCTCTGCGGAGCCAGAAAGTTCTTTACAAGCCGTAGATACGCAGAATGGAGGTCTGTACCGCCAAAATGGATTCTCAAGTGTTATTCATGTAACGAGCTTAAGAGCAAGCCTTGCAGATCCCGGTCTGATCTGCAAGTTTTCGTTAAATTTGAGGTTCGGCTGCAGATCGAGAATTCTTTCAGCCATCCTCGAGCAAAGCTCAAGTCATTCAGTTGTTTGCAGTGACGGCGGTAGCCCTTTGGTTTGCTTGCACATGCTGCGGTTCGTGATATGACCACTTATGGATATGAAAAATTCAAATTTGGCGGGCATTCACTCGATAAACATTATAGCATATCAGTTCCAAATGGAGTCACGGACTAAGCTTCACGAATGGTGGACTCGTATACTATTTCTTTGCACTCTGGGCTACACCGAAAGAAACCAAAACGCAAGTGCCAAGCTGGATGCATCATGCGCCATGGGATCCACAATGCCTTGCATGAGACATATGTCTCCGCCAACATTTTCCTGTGCCATGCAAACATGTATCAGACGGTGCAGGCCCCATGGACCATGGCGGCCTGTGTATATGAAGAACAACATAAGAAATTGAATGCCGCGCATGTTCTATTTCGACCAGCTAGCAATCATGACGAATCATTTACGTCCCCAGAACCTAGCTGAAACAATTGATTGGCCAGCTCAGCTCAGACCATTATCAACAGTGGGTTTGAAGAGTTTGGCAACGCTAGCTAGCACTAAGATAAGCACCCGGGGGAGAGTGGGGTTAGTTTGGGTGCGGGTGCGGAGCGCGTGATTTGTATGGTTAGGGTTTTTAGTTTGGGTGCCCGGGAGTTATGTATCTTAGTGCAAGCGAGCGTTGCCAGTATGGTTTGAATTCCATGATTGTCTCCAGCCTCTACTGGATTGTTCATTGCGCTTATATGTAAAATGTGCAAGCTTCATGAGTGGTGGATGGGCTTGCATGAGGGAATAGCCTGGATCCAGTTCACAGTACTTCCGCTACAAGCGCTGCGCTTGGATACATTGCCAATTCTGAGAGGAGGACCCTTTGTCCGTCCCCACCTTCGAGCTTCTCTAAGACTTGTCTTGGAAAAGTTGTTACAAGCTGGTACTCGCCTGGATGGACGCTCATCTCTTCCAAGGAGTCAACCTGGGAAGTAGAAACCGCAGGAGGTCAAAACTTACATAACCTTGTATGCCATAACAGCTCAAGCTCAAAGCGGGGCTGCCGCCCGTGAATCTCGCAGTATTCTGTGGAGCACCCCTGCTTGGTGCGCATCTACAGACAAGAGGGTAATCCGAAACAGGTTTGTAAAGGAGTTGTATGGACGTCATACACTCTCGTCAGCATATTACGTCCAGCCCTGTGTCTGCTGTCTTTCCCAACCGTGCGTGCCCAATCCGGCAACATTTGCACGCCACACAGCAGAGTCTTGTACATCAGAACGTACGTATGTGAGCACAAATTTGGACGACGAGAGACTTGCAAAGAGGCCCATGGAGAGCTGACTCAAACGGGCACGTGTCGCTCTCTCACCCAAACATAGACCTCGGCCAGGGGAGAGTCAGGCGACCAAGCGCGCCGGAAGGAGCTGTTATTCGGCAGCCGCACAGAGAGCGCGATGCGGCCAGGGGTGCCTGGAGGCGGCTCAATCGGGAGGGACTCTCGCAACTTCCGTTTGCGCTCCTGCATACAACGATCTGAACGTTAAGAGTCACGTGTACATGCTGTAGCTGCAAAGGCTTCGGAAAGATGGAGGGCCGTGGTTGAGGGCTTCGACCTCCTCGCCCTTATGAAGCAGTCTTCCCGACCGATGGGTTTTTGAGGCACCTCACTGAGGTTGAGTTAAAATACGGAGCCGCAAGCGAATATCTGCGAAAGGCTGGCTAGATGCGCTGCAGGCGCGCTTGATAAAGGGGAGAACCGATGTTCTTCTGGCCCGGTTGGACCAGCCACCAGGGCTTCAGCAGGGAGACAAGAACGGCACCGTTCTTGTCTCCCAGAACTGCACCGTGGACTGTCTTTGACCATTCGCTGTTGAGCAGTGCCGATAATACGGTACTGACTTCTGAGGTTCTGAATCCAAGCTATGTCGAAGTAGGGCTACCTCAGCGCGATCCCAAACTGAAAGTTCAGAATTACACATCGACAAAGAACGTCAGGACCGCACTCCAACGGACGATTCGTAGGTACGGACGGCTGAAACCCGAGGACCTGAGCAGATGGACGATTGCACTCAACATGCCAGACGTCTGAGATACGAATCAGCAACGGAGCAGAAATTATCAACGGGCCACCTGGATCGTTTAGAGAGCTTACAAACCAAGACAAATGGAACACGTTGGTCCAGTAAGATACACATAAGGCATGTCCCTCGGCATCCAATCAATTAACACAATCCTTTGCACGTGGATCAAGGTTAAGGTGCTCGAACTTCCTCAGAACAGGTCGTTCCGGGCACGCACCTCCCAGGCCGCCCGTTCCTTCCGTTTCCGTTCCGCCAGTGCAGCCGCGCCCTTTTCGACACGTTCCCGCTCGTCGGCAATCCTTTTCAGCTCCGCGTCCCTCGCGCGGTCCGCCGCGAGCGCCGCCTGGAACGCGGCGTCCTGCACGGCTGGACGGACGGCCGCAGTTGTGGGGGGGTCTGAACAAGCAGCAAAAGTCGAGAAACATGGCCCCCCCGTTCTGAAAACAAAGGAACTTTTACCAAAAGGGTCTAGATGCGCGCTCCGGGTTGTCAAATGTGAGAAGGGCGAGAGTCAAACCTTCGAACAGAACGCAGGTCGTTGGTTAACAAACGATTCAAAAATTTGTTCCCGATCCTTAACAGCAAATAAGTTTTAGCAAATTGACAAGCTGACCTGCGTTACGCCCCAAGGACGCTTGGTTATCGTGTGATACTTGCAAAGTTCGATCGATGCATTGGACGGAGGGTTTTCCTTTTCTTACCTGCCGGTGTCTCAGCTCATTCTCTTTGCCCCGTGCCTCTTCGAGCCTTTGTCCAAAAAATGTGCGATACTTTCAAATTCAATTGTTCTAAGAAACAGAAGGCATCGCTTCTCTTACCTGCCGATGTCTCAGCTCCCTCTCTTTGCTCCGTGCTTCTTCGAACTCTTGTCCCGGGCGGCTGGGGTTCCCCGGGGCCTCCAACCGGGCCGCCTTGGCCTGCAGCACCTCCTGTTCTCTCTCTCTCAATTCCTCCAGCTTCTTCAACCGGGCCTGCACATGGTGCCAGAGTGACTTTCTCTGAAGTGCGCTGCGTTTCGGAGTAGCCTGTTCACTGCGGCTAATGAAGCTAGGGCTAAAGTTGGCAGAACTGATCTATGAACTTCGACAAAGGAAGGCTCGTCAGCGATTCGACCTTCTGATTGCGACGCCTTGTTTGTAGTACCACCTTCGTGCCACTCAAAGCGCCACCACTACCTTCGCTAGATTTTCCGTCACAGCTTTCGACCTTTTTGGGGCAGGTTGATGGAGGACGTTACGTGGTTGTTTGGTCCACGCACATGATGTCTTGACCTGTGCCTTCCGAACCATACTCGTAAGTGCAGCTCACCATTGATCTTTTCATCCGAATTCTAAAAAGCAGCTACTATATGAACCAAAGTGGTACCAAAGGAAATATCATAAGAACTCTGCCCCTGAAGCAGGAAAGGTGTCCACCCTACCTCCTCAGCTTTCCGGGCCGCCTCTGCCTTCTGCCTCTCCTGCTGACTCTCGCGCGCTTGATGCAAACGTACCGTCAGGTCTGTCTCCCTACGTGCAGCGGTCTCTGCTTCTGCAATTGCTCGGACCTCCCGCGCCCTTCTCTGCACTCAGGGGGTCAAAAAATTGGTTAGAAGGTGAGCAGTGGTTTAACTTCGCAACAGTCCGCACTGCTTTCAACGAGTTGGTCACTTACTCGAACAAGAAGAATTTGCCAGGTCATAAGCTGAACATCACCGATGTTTTCTCTGACTCTGCAACAAGGGGGCGCCGGTCAACACATGCCGGATGATGTTGTATTGCGAGGATCTTTTTCGAATTCTGTGCATTCCACGGCATCTGTGCAAAATCTAGACCATATACAAAGGCGTCCTTTCCCCCTGTGCCTCACAAGAAAATGCCCTTTGTTGCACCTTGATCAGAAGTGAAGACGCAAATCCGAAACCTCCCAGCCTGGAGCTCAGCAAGCGTACCTTTCTCTCTTCTTCCGCAGCCAGCTCCTGTTTAATTTCCAGGTGAGCTTGGCTTGCTTGCAACGAAGTTTGAGCTGGGCTACCTACAGGGAGAGAAGCTCAAAGATTGAGGAGACTTAGTAAGTTTCCAGATTGTCTTTCAAACCTGCGGAGGTTTCTTATTGCGAGTAGGCTGCACAGTCCAAGCTGAGTTGATGCTTCAAAGATTAGAGAAAACTTTTAGTCCCTCAGTATCCTGAACAGTATGCGTCAGATGAGCTTGAATTGACAGAGTATATTGGTATTAGACAGCGTTCCTGGGTGCCGTTGCTTTTTGTACTGTCTCTCATATTGCATCAATTCCTCAGGATAGTAAGGGACTTGGACAACCCCGAGAATCAATGCCTATATGTTTCTATTTGTACCACCACCGTCTGCAACTTCCGTCGTAGGTCCAAACTTGTCAACTTGAAGCTCAAATGCATCCCACCACACATACAAGCATACATCGATCTGGCTGGATGCTACTTGAAATGCTGAGCAGCAGCTGAGCTCGCTCAAAATCAACAGAACACAGGAACTTACCGGTGCTCTCGCTTCCTGAGATCGCTTCTCCCACTTCGTCATTAGAGCGCTCCAGCTTTCGCTGTCGCCATGCCGATCTTACAAACTCTACTGAAGCTGCCAGCACGACCAGCAAGAAGGCCGCCTGCAAAGCGTATGTGAGGAGCACCGGCAGCCACGCAAGCACAACTTCTTGCATCTTGCAGAGCTTTTTAAGGCTTGACCCCCAAATGGCGATGCGTCCTCTGGAAAAAGCAGCCGCCGGAATCCTTTGAACTTCACCCCAAAATAAGTAACCTAATCCTAGGTTGAGCTTCTTTCTCCTCCTACAAGTGCAATTCCCTAGTGGACTTTGTGATCAGTTTGGCACTTTATGGAGGAGGGCTCCTTTGGTCGAAGCTAGACGATCTTGCAAAGCAAGCGAGCTATGCTGCCAAATGCATGCAAGCGCATGCATGTTGCCAAGTCCAGACTCCGAAACTTGCACATCGCCAAACTTGAGAAGAGGTGCATTTGAAGTGCAGGCAGAGAGTGGGCGTTGCATTCTGCACTCGCATTCGCCCAGCTCTCGCCCAACAAAGAAGATCAGCATTCCTTTCTCCTCTCAGCTTCACGCTTAGCCTGAGGCGCACGGTTGGAGCTCAAGATGCAGGTCGCAACAGTAGCAGCTCCATGCGGGACTGCTGCTGTCCTGTGCTCTGGGTGTGGGCTTCCTCAGCAATCGACGAGAAGAGGGCCCGCATGGGCTGGCGCTAGCAAACCGTATGCGGGTTCTGCACTTCAGAATACGGCTGCTGGATCCAGAAAGAAGAAGAGTGTGCGATTGGTGGTGAGCAGCTCTGCTTGGGTGACTTTCTGTGCGGACGATAAGATCAGAGCGAATGCAGAGGCTTGAAAGCTGCAAGAGTTGGTTAGCCTGGAGTGTGACAGCATTGGCTGGGAGCTGGCAAAAGAAGAGCAAATCAGGCCTTATGAAGGCCAATTTGCATTCTTGAAGAAGTGGGGCATGTTCTTTACGAAAACATAGCATGTTTGGGACTTTTGAGCTTTTATGGTTGGCCTATCCTTGAATAAAAGGTGGTAATCTGGTGAGCCCAGATTACGTTTGCTTTTTGCCCCCACCATCAAGTGGACAGCGTCAGAGCTGAACTTCTCTACAACAGATTCGTCTTTAACCCCTCGTTGAATGACTCAAGTGAAGTGCTTTCAGAAGCACTTTTCAGTAAACAAGATTGCAAAGGTGGGTATGTCGGCGAATGATTGATTTGGCTCTAAGAAAAGTCGAAGAAGGCCATCAATACCACAAAATGTGGAAGTTGGACCTATCACTTCCGTTAGACTGCCATATTTTTCTACTTCAACAACGCCACTAGGTGTCTCCTTCATATTGATGGTTGCTTTTGCAGAGCTCGCTCCATGGGAAGTTACTGCGTCTCCAGTCCCAGGTCTATACTGGGATCAAAACACATGTGCGTAAAGAACCAATCACAGCTGACTGGAAGGAGGTGAGGTGAACAGTCCGCCATCATTCTCGTCATCACTCGGAACATGACAGGTCATCTGGTGGTGCGGGTCTATGGTTTGGTGACTTCTCTCATATGTGAATTGCTTTCTTTCATGCTTCCCGTCGTAAACTTCAGAATTCGAAGCCATGCTTCATTAGTTGACATGGAAGTACAAGCATTGGACTAATAGTAAAATCACTCAGTTCCTTCCTACTTAATTGTTTGCTGATTACCAAGTCTGCAGAAACTGAGTCAGCAGACTCAGTAATCAGCGAACAATCTGAGAAGTTGGGCGGTGAAGAGAGGCAGCTCAATCTTGAGAGGCTTCCCTGCGCTTGCAGCTTACAGGCGTCTTGGTGCTGTCAGCCTTCCCCTTCCTCTTTGTCAAGTACCTGGCCGAGGGGCCCACAGGCGATAGGCTGATGGAGAATGCGCAGAAAACAAAGGCGGAGAAGGAGCCCCAAAAGCAAGAGTTTCAAGAGAAGCAGACGGAGGCGCGCCAGAGAAGGTGAGGCGTCCGAGCCCAGAAAGTTCTCAGGGAGTTTCGAGGCGGAAGCTCAACTATGTAGAGATCGTCAAGAGCACATTGGGGCGACAATAGTGATATTGGAAGGGGTGAACCTGCTCGAAGTCGCCTCCCTAAGCGTCGGAACTTGGTATTCGGGATTTGATTTTGAAAGCGAGTCTACGGATATGGAACGGAATATACCCAACCTCCAAGATCCTCTGTACAAGAGCTGCGTGTTTGGCTGGAAGACGATTTGAACGTCTGTCAGGATTGCCCTCCTCAGGAACAGATCATCAAGGGCAGAGCTGCTCATTGTGATCTCCCTCATCGATCGTCAGTGCCCTCATTCTTACCCTTGCAATTTGAACCGAAAGACGTCTTATATATTGTCTGTTGATATCGCTTGAGAAGCGCTAATGCTTTGCCAAATCCATCCTGTCTAACCCGTGAATATCTTTGCAGTCGGTGGTACGGCCCTGAACGGCCGAAGTGGCTGGGTCCCCTTCCGTACGAATATCCGGGGCATCTCAGCGGAGAATACCCCGCAGACTACGGTTTCGACATTCTAAACCTCGGCGTGGACCCGAGCAACTTCCAAAAGTACTTCAAGTGAGTGCTTGACCGCTGATGTCACCGAGACACGCCCTTTCGGTCGTTAAAAAGGTGATGTAACGGAATCCTGATTCCCTTAAGCTGAACTGCACCTTCCATGAGGTGCGTCCTGAAGCAAGCGTCGACTTCCCGAACGGAACAAAAGTTGACGGAAGCGTCCGTCGGTCTGCACATAGACCCCTCTCTGAATCCTTCTTAGTCTCTGGAAATGCCACCCGTTTTCCTTGTTCCACGTCGCTCTCTTTTCGATCTCACCGGATCTTAGTATCCTTCCACCACTTCGGTTTTTGAAATTCTTCGTTCACGTGTTCATCTCGTTCTGGTACTTTAAAGCACGCGGCGCCCTCATTGGTCCAGTCAAGAGACTTGATGGGGCTCGTCTGTTGCAACGATTTCTTCCTTTCCTGTCGTTCTGTCTTTACTCTTACTTTCACCCCCTGCTCAATCAGAGCCAGCTCAATTTTGAAGCCCCAGTTTACTTGCCCCGGATCTCAACTTCGCCTCCGCCTTCCTCCATTTCGAGGCCCTTGCAACGGGCTACGCAGTGCGCTCATTTCCGCACCATACCCTGATACCATTTCTTTCATGTCTGCATTTATCCAACGCCATCATCGTCCCCTCCCCCCCCCTCTTTCTATATTCTGCACGTCTGGTGGGCCATGCCGGGAGCTGCCAATCGTGGGGACTTCCGATAAGCAGAAAGATTTCCATGTAGCCGCTGAACGTCTACTTCCCAGACCCTCATGTTCTCTGCCCACCCCCTCGCTTGGAGATCCTCCGCATTTGATGGATCATGCTGAGCGCTCATCCCGGGGGTACCTCCAATGATCCGGGAACTACCCCATTTGAAAAGGACGTTTCGCCTTCCCTGGTTCTGACAGCCGTTTGATACTCCCCCCACTTTCGAGATCCTGCACGCCCGGTGGGCCATGCTGGGGGCTGTTTCCTCAAACGTCCAAATACACCTCAATCTTTAAACCTCCCTGTCCCCTTCCCCCGGGCATAACAACCGTCCGAGCCTCCCTGCAGTTTCGAGATCCTGCACGCCCGGTGGGCCATGCTGGGCGCGCTCGGCGCGCTCATCCCCGAAGTCCTCCAGTACTTCAGCGCGCTGGACTTCACGGAGCCGGTGTGGTGGAAGGTGGGCTACGCCAAGCTGCAGGGCGAGGACCTCGACTACTTCGGCATCCCCGGGCTGCACATTGCGGGCGGGCAGGGGATTCTGATCATTGCGTTCTGCCAAGCCATACTCATGGTGAGTGCTGAGACTCGAGCCAAGGGGTCAAATCTGATAGTTGCCTTCTGCCGGGCAGATCCTCATGACAACCAGAAACTGGCAGAAGAACCTTGTATTAACGGTTCGTACAGAGGTTGTTTGAGAAACGGTCTGAGGGTCGCACGCAATGAAATTGTGTTGCGTGATGGAAAGTGGCTCTCGTGGTGTCGCTGAAAGTCTTGGAGTTCGAAACAAGCGAAAGACTGGAGAGTCGCATCTCTTCAGAAGGTGAACTCCAGCTTCCGTATTACCCTTGCAACCTCGTCATCATCGGTGAATGTCCAGGACGTAGGCCACCTTTCGCGATGAGCAAAATCACGTTCTTGCTGGACGCTTGCCGCTATGAAAAGCAGTCATAAGAAATCAGCACAGCAAGCTGGCACTTGCGTATGAAAACTCCACGTGACTCGTACGTCAAGCACGTCCCAATTTATCTAAGTAACTGACTTCGTTTTGTTTCGATCTGGCAGCTCGGCCCCGAGTATGCGCGCGCAACTGGCATCGCTGCCCTTGAGCCGGTCGGGTTGTACCTCCCGGGAGACGAGAACTTTCCTGGGGGAGCGTTGTTTGATCCCCTTGGTTTGGCGGACGACCCGGAAGCTTTTGAGGACCTGAAAGTGAAGGAGATGAAAAACGGGCGGCTTGCAATGGTGGCGTGGCTCGGGTTCTACATCCAAGCTCTAGTAACCCAAAAGGGCCCGTTGCAAAATCTGCTAGACTTCGCTTCAGATCCTGCCCATAACAACATATTTACTGCCTTCAATTCGTCGTGAAGCCGACATTCGACTCTGCCGCTTCCATGTAAGTTGTATATTTTCATAGATCAACAAATTACTTTAGAAATGTTCCTTGCTCGGATCCATTGTCTGCATTTTGATGACGTGCGTGCTGCCCGGTTTTGAAAACTGGTGTTCCAGAAGTTTGCCTTTACAACGGCTGCAAGTTTGTCACATTGTGCCATTGAATGCTCATGAACGTCTTCAATATTCCGACGACCGGTTTGCCATGCTAGCCATGCGCCAAGCTCCGAGTCTCATATCTGAACCGTTGTACGTGCTTGGAGGAGCGGGAGCCGACACATCATGCAGTCAGCTTTGTGCAGCATGATGCATGCCTTTATCCAAGCAATCAAAACAGCTTGCCAAAGTCAACACGCAGGATATGCACATGCGCGCAATGGCGAAAACTTGTAGATTCTCAGTGCGCGCAGCGCGCTGAGAATCGCGGTTCTCTTGGCGCGAACCGCGTCTGAAATTTGCAATTTCCCGCGCCGCGCCGCGGCCGCGTCGCCGCGCAGCGGCGTATAAAGT